AAGGGGAATACACAGGGAGAAGCCCTAATGTGAACGGAGGCCAGATTTCCTTGCAGTGGCTTGAATACAGGCTCGTCTTTGATCTGACACCATGAAGGGATGTCTGAATCCCCTGTGGAGTCCTTAGAGGAAGCCCTAGGTCCCTGCCTCATTTTGACGGAATACCTCACATCCCCCTGACACCTCGAGAGGCACGCAGAGATCACTGCTTGAAAAGGTGACGATGCCTGACTCCTCTTGAATACTTATAGGAATCCCAAAATCCCTGTGGCTACTGGAAAGGGTCCTTGGGTGCCCTGGCTCACTCGAGAGGCGTCCCTTTTGCCCTGCCAAGCCTCGAAGAGATTCCTGAGGTGTCCCTCATTACTAGACAGGAGTCCTGACGTCACTGAAGAAACTCGTGTTTTGAAGGGCCATCCCCGCCGTAAGTCGAGAACATACCCCAGGTTCCCGCCGCAACTCGAGAAAAACCATGAGACTTCCCCCTAGAGGCGAGATGAGGCCCCATTCCCCTGCAGTGCATGCAGAGCTATTCCGTGATCCCATTCAAACAAGTCAGGAGCTTCGACTTGCTTAATGGATCTCGAGACAGTCCCCAAGAACACTGTCACCAGTCTAGACGGACCGTGAGGTCACCCAGCAATGCAAAGCAGCTCCATGTGCCCCAAATCTACTCGAGATGAGGCCGGATTCCCCTGCATTGACTCCAGAGCCATTCCCCGTTCCCCATTCAACACGACCGGTGGCTCGACTTCCTTCTGGCAACTCCAGAGATGCCCCGAGAACACTGTCCCAAGTCTAGAGGACCACCAACTGAAGCACAGCTACTCGAGGAATGCGCTGTGTACCCCAAATCGTCTCGAGATGAGAGCTGATTCCCCGGCTTAGGCTCAACACGTATGCCAACTTTCCAGAAGCACCTCAGGAGGAGGCTTCTCTCAGCAATAGGTATGTGGGAGGGACCCCGAGTTTGCTGCCTCAAAGGGAATATACAGCGAGAAGCCCTAACTTGAAAGGAGGCCGGATTTCCTTGCAGTGGCTTGAATACAGGCTCGTCTTTCATCTCACAACATGAAGGGATGTCTGAATCCCCTGTGGAGACCTTAGAGGAAGCCCTAGGTCCCTGCCTCATTTTGACGGAATCCTCACATCCCGCTGACACCTCGAGAGGCACGCGGAGTTCATTGCTTCAAAAGGTGACGATGCCTGACTCCTCTTGAATACTTATAGGAATCCCAAAATCCCTGTGGCTACTGGAAAGGGTCCTTGGGTGCCCTAGCTCACCTCGAGAAGCGTCCCTTTTGCCCTGCCAAGCCTCGAAGAGATTGCTGAGGTGTCCCTCGTTACTAGACAGGAGTCCTGACGTCACTGAAGAAACTCATGTTTTGAAGGGCCATCCCCGCCGTAAGTCGAGAACATACCCCAGGTCCCCACCGCAACTCGAGAAAAACCGTGAGACTTCCCCCTAGAGGCGAGATGAGGCCCCATTCCCCTACAGTGCATGCAGAGCTATTCCGTGATCCCATTCAAACAAGTCAGGAGCTTCGACTTGCTTAATGGATCTCGAGACAGTCCCCAAGAACACTGTCACCAGTCTAGACGGACCCTGATGTCACCCAGCAATGCAAAGCTGCTCCATGTGCCCCAAATCAACTCGAGATGAGGCCGTATTCCCCTGCATTGACTCCAGAGCCATTCCCTGTTCCCCATTCAACACGACCGGTGGCTCGACTTCCTTCAGGCAACTCCAGAGATGCCCAGAGAACACTGTCCCAAGTCTAGAGGACCACCAACTTCAGCACAGCAACTCGAGGAATGCTCTGTGTACCCCAAATCGTCTCGAGATGAGAGCTGATTCCCTGGCTTAGGCTCAAGACTTATGCCAACTTTCCAGAAGCACCTCAGGAGGAGGCTTCTCTCAGCAATAGGTATGTGGGAGGGACCCCGAGTTTGCTGCCTCAAGGGGAATATACAGCGAGAAGCCCTAACTTGAAAGGAGGCCGGATTTCCTTGCAGTGGCTTGAATACAGGCTCGTCTTTCATCTCACAACATGAAGGGATGTCTGAATCCCCTGTGGAGACCTTAGAGGAAGCCCTAGGTCCCTGCCTCATTTTGACGGAATCCTCACATCCCGCTGACACCTCGAGAGGCACGCGGAGTTCATTGCTTCAAAAGGTGACGATGCCTGACTCCTCTTGAATACTTATAGGAATCCCAAAATCCCTGTGGCTACTGGAAAGGGTCCTTGGGTGCCCTAGCTCACCTCGAGAAGCGTCCCTTTTGCCCTGCCAAGCCTCGAAGAGATTGCTGAGGTGTCCCTCGTTACTAGACAGGAGTCCTGACGTCACTGAAGAAACTCATGTTTTGAAGGGCCATCCCCGCCGTAAGTCGAGAACATACCCCAGGTCCCCACCGCAACTCGAGAAAAACCGTGAGACTTCCCCCTAGAGGCGAGATGAGGCCCCATTCCCCTGCAGTGCAGGCAGAGCTATTCCGTGATCCCATTCAAACAAGTCAGGAGCTTCGACTTGCTTAATGGATCTCGAGACAGTCTCCAAGAACACTGTCACCAGTCTAGACGGACCCTGAGGTCACCCCAGCAACGCAAAGCAGCTCCATGTGCCACAAATCAACTCGAGATGAGGCCCGATTCCGCTGCATTGATTCCAGAGCCATTCCCCGTTCCCCGTTCAACACGACCGGTGGCTCACCTTCCTTCAGGCAACTCCAGAGATGCCCCGAGAACACTGTCCCAAGTCTAGAGGAACACCAACCTCAGCGCAGCAACTCGAGGAATGCTCCGTGTACCCCAAATCATCTCGAGATGAGAGCTGATTCCTTCGCTTAGGCTCAAGACGTATGCCAACTTTCCAGAAGCACCTCAGGAGGAGGCTTCTCTCAGCAATAGGTATGTGGGAGGGACCCCGAGTTTGCTGCCTCAAGGGGAATATACAGCGAGAAGCCCTAACTTGAAAGGAGGCCGGATTTCCTTGCAGTGGCTTGAATACAGGCTCATCTTTGATCTGACAACTTGAAGGGATGTCTGAATCCCCTGTGGAGACCTTAGAGAAAGCCCTAGGTCCCTGCCTCATTTTGACTGAATGCCTCACATCCCGCTGACACCTGGAGAGGCACGCGGAGTTCATTGCTTCAAAAGGTGACGATGCCTGACTCCTCTTGAATACTGATAGGAATCCCAAAATTCCTGTGGCTACTGGAAAGGGTCCTTGGGTGCCCTGCCTCACCTCGAGAAGCGTCCCTTTTGCCCTGCCAAGCCTCGAAGAGATTCCTGAGGTGTCCCTCGTTACTAGGCAGGAATCCTGACGTCACTGGAGAAACTCGTGTTTTGAAGGGCCATCCCCGCTAAGTCGAGAACATACCCCAGGGCCCCGCAGCAACTCGAGAAAAACCATGAGACTTCCCCCTAGAGGCGAGATGAGGCCCCATTCCCCTGCAGTGCATGCAGAGCTATTCCGTGATCCCATTCAAACAAGTCAGGAGCTTCGACTTGCTTAATGGATCTCGAGACAGTCCCCAAGAACACTGTCACCAGTCTAGACGGACCCTGATGTCACCCAGCAATGCAAAGCAGCTCCATGTGCCCCAAATCAACTCGAGATGAGGCCGTATTCCCCTGCATTGACTCCAGAGCCATTCCCTGTTCCCCATTCAACACGACCGGTGGCTCGACTTCCTTCAGGCAACTCCAGAGATGCCCCGAGAACACTGTCCCAAGTCTAGAGGACCACCAACTTCAGCACAGCAACTCGAGGAATGCTCTGTGTACCCCAAATCGTCTCGAGATGAGAGCTGATTCCCTGGCTTAGGCTCAAGACTTATGCCAACTTTCCAGAAGCACCTCAGGAGGAGGCTTCTCTCAGCAATAGGTATGTGGGAGGGACCCCGAGTTTGCTGCCTCAAGGGGAATATACAGCGAGAAGCCCTAACTTGAAAGGAGGCCGGATTTCCTTGCAGTGGCTTGAATACAGGCTCGTCTTTCATCTCACAACATGAAGGGATGTCTGAATCCCCTGTGGAGACCTTAGAGCAAGCCCTAGGTCCCTGCCTCATTTTGACGGAATCCTCACATCCCGCTGACACCTCGAGAGGCACGCGGAGTTCTTTGCTTCAAAAGGTGACGATGCCTGACTCCTCTTGAATACTGATAGGAATCCCAAAATCCCTGTGGCTACTGGAAAGTGTCCTTGGGTGCCCTGGCTCACCTCGAGAAGCGTCCCTTTTGCCCTGTCAAGCCTCGAAGAGATTGCTGAGGTGTCCCTCGTTACTAGACAGGAGTCCTGACGTCACTGAAGAAACTCGTTTTTTGAAGGGCCATCCCCGCCGTAAGTCGAGAACATACCCCAGGTCCCCGCCGCAACTCGAGAAAAACCATGAGACTTCCCCCTAGAGGCGAGATGAGGCCCCATTCCCCTGCAGTGCATGCAGAGCTATTCCGTGATCCCATTCAAACAAGTCAGGAGCTTCGACTTGCTTAATGGATCTCGAGACAGTCTCCAAGAACACTGTCACCAGTCTAGACGGACCCTGAGGTCACCCCAGCAACGCAAAGCAGCTCCATGTGCCACAAATCAACTCGAGATGAGGCCCGATTCCCCTGCATTGATTCCAGAGCCATTCCCCGTTCCCCGTTCAACACGACCGGTGGCTCGCCTTCCTTCAGGCAACTCCAGAGATGCCCCGAGAACACTGTCCCAAGTCTAGAGGAACACCACCCTCAGCGCAGCAACTCGAGGAATGCTCCGTGTACCCCAAATCATCTCGAGATGAGAGCTGATTCCCTGGCTTAGGGTCAAGTCGTATTCCAACTTTCCAGAAGCACCTCAGGAGGAGGCTTCTCTCAGCAATAGGTATGTGGGAGGGACCCCGAGTTTGCTGCCTCAAGGGGAATACACAGGGAGAAGCCCTAATGTGAACGGAGGCCAGATTTCCTTGCAGTGGCTTGAATACAGGCTCGTCTTTCATCTCACAACATGAACGGATGTCTGAATCCGCTGTGGAGACTTTAGAGGAAGCCCTAGGTCCCTGCCTCATTTTGACGGAATCCTCACATCCCGCTGACACCTCGAGAGGCACGCGGAGTTCATTGCTTCAAAAGGTGACGATGCCTGACTCCTCTTGAATACTGATAGGAATCCCAAAATCCCTGTGGCTCCTGGAAAGGGTCCTTGGGTGCCCTGCCTCACCTCGATAAGCGTCCCTTTTGCCCTGCCAAGCCTCGAAGAGATTCCTGAGGTGTCCCTCGTTACTAGACAGGAGACCTGACGACACTGAAGAAACTCGTGTTTTGAAGGGCCATCCCCGCCGTAAGTCGAGAACATACCCCAGGTCCCCGCCGCAACTCGAGAAAAACCATGAGACTTCCCCCTAGAGGCGAGATGAGGCCCCATTCCCCTGCAGTGCATGCAGAGCTATTCCGTGATCCCATTTAAACAAGTCAGGAGCTTCGACTTGCTTAATGGATCTCGAGACAGTCCCCAAGAACACTGTCACCAGTCTAGATGGACCGTGAGGTCACCCCAGCAACGCAAAGCTGCTCCATGTGCCCCAAATCAACTCGAGATGAGGCCCGATTCCCCTGCATTGACTCCAGAGCCATTCCCCGTTCCCCATTCAACACGACCGGTGGCTCGATTTCCTTCAGGCAACTCCAGAGATGCCCCGAGAACACTGTCCCAAGGCTAGAGGAACACCAACTTCAGCACAGCAACTCGAGGAATGCTCCGTGCACCCCAAATCATCTCGAGATGAGAGCTGATTCCCTGGCTTAGGCTCAAGACGTATGCCAACTTTCCAGAAGCACCTCAGGAGGAGGCTTCTCTCAGCAATAGGTATGTGGGAGGGACCCCGAGTTTGCTGCCTCAAGGGGAATACACAGGGAGAAGCCCTAATGTGAACGGAGGCCAGATTTCCTTGCAGTGGCTTGAATACAGCCTCGTCTTTGATCTGACACCATGAAGGGATGTCTGAATCCCCTGTGGATCCTTAGAGGAAGCCCTAGGTCCCTGCCTCATTTTGACGGAATACCTCACATCCCCCTGACACCTCGAGAGGCACGCAGAGATCACTGCTTGAAAAGGTGACGATGCCTGACTCCTCTTGAATACTTATAGGAATCCCAAAATCCCTGTGGCTACTGGAAAGGGTCCTTGGGTGCCCTGGCTCACCTCGAGAAGCGTCCCTTTTGCCCTGCCAAGCCTCGAAGAGATTGCTGAGGTGTCCCTCATTACTAGACAGGAGTCCTGACGTCACTGAAGAAACTCGTGTTTTGAAGGGCCATCCCCGCTGTAAGTCGAGAACATACCCCAGGTCCCCGCCGCAACTCGAGAAAAACCATGAGACTTCCCCCTAGAGGCGAGATGAGGCCCCATTCCCCTGCAGTGCATGCAGAGCTATTCCGTGATCCCATTCAAACAAGTCAGGAGCTTCGACTTGCTTAATGGATCTCGAGACAGTCCCCAAGAACACTGTCACCAGTCTAGACGGACCCTGAGGTCACCCAGCAATGCAAAGCAGCTCCATGTGCCCCAAATCAACTCGAGATGAGGCCGGATTCCCCTGCATTGACTCCAGAGCCATTCCCCGTACCCCATTCAACACGACCGGTGGCTCGCCTTCCTTCAGGAAACTCCAGAGATGCCCCGAGAACACTGTCCCAAGTCTAGAGGAACACCAACTTCAGCACAGCAACTCGAGGAATGCTCCGTGTACCCCAAATCATCTCGAGATGAGAGCTGATTCCCTGGCTTAGGCTCAAGACGTATTCCAACTTTCCAGAAGCACCTCAGGAGGAGGCTTCTCTCAGCAATAGGTATGTGGGAGGGACCCCGAATTTGCTGCCTCAAGGGGAATATACAGCGAGAAGCCCTAACTTGAAAGGAGGCCGGATTTCCTTGCAGTGGCTTGAATACAGGCTCGTCTTCCATCTCACAACATGAAGTGATGTCTGAATCCCCTGTGGAGACCTTAGAGGAAGCCCTAGGTCCCTGCCTCATTTTGACGGAATCCTCACATCCCGCTGACACCTCGAGAGGCACGCGGAGTTCATTGCTTCAAAAGGTGACGATGCCTGACTCCTCTTGAATACTGATAGGAATCCCAAAATTCCTGTGGCTACTGGAAAGGGTCTTGGGTGCCCTGCCTCACCTCGAGAAGCGTCCCTTTTGCCCTGCCAAGCCCCGAAGAGATTGCTGAGGTGTCCCTCGTTACTAGGCAGGAGTCCTGACGTCACTGGAGAAACTCGTGTTTTGAGGGGCCATCCCCGCCGTAAGTCGAGAACATACCCCAGGTCCCCGCCCCAACTCGAGAAAAACCGTGAGACTTCCCCCTAGAGGCGAGATGAGGCCCCATTCCCCTGCAGTGCATGCAGAGCTATTCCGTGATCCCATTTAAACAAGTCAGGAGCTTCAACTTGCTTAATGGATCTCGAGACAGTCCCCAAGAACACTGTCACCAGTCTAGATGGACCCTGAGGTCACCCCAGCAACGCAAAGCTGCTCCATGTGCCCCAAATCAACTCGAGATGAGGCCCGATTCCCCTGCATTGACTCCAGAGCCATTCCCCGTTCCCCATTCAACACGACCGGTGGCTCGATTTCCTTCAGGCAACTCCAGAGATGCCCCGAGAACACTGTCCCAAGTCTAGAGGAACACCAACTTCAGCACAGCAACTCGAGGAATGCTCCGTGCACCCCAAATCATCTCGAGATGAGAGCTGATTCCCTGGCTTAGGCTCAAGACGTATGCCAACTTTCCAGAAGCACCTCAGGAGGAGGCTTCTCTCAGCAATAGGTATGTGGGAGGGACCCCGAGTTTGCTGCCTCAAGGGGAATACACAGGGAGAAGCCCTAATGTGAACGGAGGCCAGATTTCCTTGCAGTGGCTTGAATACAGGCTCGTCTTTGATCTGACACCATGAAGGGATGTCTGAATCCCCTGTGGAGTCCTTAGAGGAAGCCCTAGGTCCCTGCCTCATTTTGACGGAATACCTCACATCCCCCTGACACCTCGAGAGGCACGCAGAGATCACTGCTTGAAAAGGTGACGATGCCTGACTCCTCTTGAATACTTATAGGAATCCCAAAATCCCTGTGGCTACTGGAAAGGGTCCTTGGGTGCCCTGGCTCACTCGAGAGGCGTCCCTTTTGCCCTGCCAAGCCTCGAAGAGATTCCTGAGGTGTCCCTCATTACTAGACAGGAGTCCTGACGTCACTGAAGAAACTCGTGTTTTGAAGGGCCATCCCCGCCGTAAGTCGAGAACATACCCCAGGTTCCCGCCGCAACTCGAGAAAAACCATGAGACTTCCCCCTAGAGGCGAGATGAGGCCCCATTCCCCTGCAGTGCATGCAGAGCTATTCCGTGATCCCATTCAAACAAGTCAGGAGCTTCGACTTGCTTAATGGATCTCGAGACAGTCCCCAAGAACACTGTCACCAGTCTAGACGGACCGTGAGGTCACCCAGCAATGCAAAGCAGCTCCATGTGCCCCAAATCTACTCGAGATGAGGCCGGATTCCCCTGCATTGACTCCAGAGCCATTCCCCGTTCCCCATTCAACACGACCGGTGGCTCGACTTCCTTCTGGCAACTCCAGAGATGCCCCGAGAACACTGTCCCAAGTCTAGAGGACCACCAACTGAAGCACAGCTACTCGAGGAATGCGCTGTGTACCCCAAATCGTCTCGAGATGAGAGCTGATTCCCCGGCTTAGGCTCAACACGTATGCCAACTTTCCAGAAGCACCTCAGGAGGAGGCTTCTCTCAGCAATAGGTATGTGGGAGGGACCCCGAGTTTGCTGCCTCAAAGGGAATATACAGCGAGAAGCCCTAACTTGAAAGGAGGCCGGATTTCCTTGCAGTGGCTTGAATACAGGCTCGTCTTTCATCTCACAACATGAAGGGATGTCTGAATCCCCTGTGGAGACCTTAGAGGAAGCCCTAGGTCCCTGCCTCATTTTGACGGAATCCTCACATCCCGCTGACACCTCGAGAGGCACGCGGAGTTCATTGCTTCAAAAGGTGACGATGCCTGACTCCTCTTGAATACTTATAGGAATCCCAAAATCCCTGTGGCTACTGGAAAGGGTCCTTGGGTGCCCTAGCTCACCTCGAGAAGCGTCCCTTTTGCCCTGCCAAGCCTCGAAGAGATTGCTGAGGTGTCCCTCGTTACTAGACAGGAGTCCTGACGTCACTGAAGAAACTCATGTTTTGAAGGGCCATCCCCGCCGTAAGTCGAGAACATACCCCAGGTCCCCACCGCAACTCGAGAAAAACCGTGAGACTTCCCCCTAGAGGCGAGATGAGGCCCCATTCCCCTACAGTGCATGCAGAGCTATTCCGTGATCCCATTCAAACAAGTCAGGAGCTTCGACTTGCTTAATGGATCTCGAGACAGTCCCCAAGAACACTGTCACCAGTCTAGACGGACCCTGATGTCACCCAGCAATGCAAAGCTGCTCCATGTGCCCCAAATCAACTCGAGATGAGGCCGTATTCCCCTGCATTGACTCCAGAGCCATTCCCTGTTCCCCATTCAACACGACCGGTGGCTCGACTTCCTTCAGGCAACTCCAGAGATGCCCAGAGAACACTGTCCCAAGTCTAGAGGACCACCAACTTCAGCACAGCAACTCGAGGAATGCTCTGTGTACCCCAAATCGTCTCGAGATGAGAGCTGATTCCCTGGCTTAGGCTCAAGACTTATGCCAACTTTCCAGAAGCACCTCAGGAGGAGGCTTCTCTCAGCAATAGGTATGTGGGAGGGACCCCGAGTTTGCTGCCTCAAGGGGAATATACAGCGAGAAGCCCTAACTTGAAAGGAGGCCGGATTTCCTTGCAGTGGCTTGAATACAGGCTCGTCTTTCATCTCACAACATGAAGGGATGTCTGAATCCCCTGTGGAGACCTTAGAGGAAGCCCTAGGTCCCTGCCTCATTTTGACGGAATCCTCACATCCCGCTGACACCTCGAGAGGCACGCGGAGTTCATTGCTTCAAAAGGTGACGATGCCTGACTCCTCTTGAATACTTATAGGAATCCCAAAATCCCTGTGGCTACTGGAAAGGGTCCTTGGGTGCCCTAGCTCACCTCGAGAAGCGTCCCTTTTGCCCTGCCAAGCCTCGAAGAGATTGCTGAGGTGTCCCTCGTTACTAGACAGGAGTCCTGACGTCACTGAAGAAACTCATGTTTTGAAGGGCCATCCCCGCCGTAAGTCGAGAACATACCCCAGGTCCCCACCGCAACTCGAGAAAAACCGTGAGACTTCCCCCTAGAGGCGAGATGAGGCCCCATTCCCCTGCAGTGCAGGCAGAGCTATTCCGTGATCCCATTCAAACAAGTCAGGAGCTTCGACTTGCTTAATGGATCTCGAGACAGTCTCCAAGAACACTGTCACCAGTCTAGACGGACCCTGAGGTCACCCCAGCAACGCAAAGCAGCTCCATGTGCCACAAATCAACTCGAGATGAGGCCCGATTCCGCTGCATTGATTCCAGAGCCATTCCCCGTTCCCCGTTCAACACGACCGGTGGCTCACCTTCCTTCAGGCAACTCCAGAGATGCCCCGAGAACACTGTCCCAAGTCTAGAGGAACACCAACCTCAGCGCAGCAACTCGAGGAATGCTCCGTGTACCCCAAATCATCTCGAGATGAGAGCTGATTCCTTCGCTTAGGCTCAAGACGTATGCCAACTTTCCAGAAGCACCTCAGGAGGAGGCTTCTCTCAGCAATAGGTATGTGGGAGGGACCCCGAGTTTGCTGCCTCAAGGGGAATATACAGCGAGAAGCCCTAACTTGAAAGGAGGCCGGATTTCCTTGCAGTGGCTTGAATACAGGCTCATCTTTGATCTGACAACTTGAAGGGATGTCTGAATCCCCTGTGGAGACCTTAGAGAAAGCCCTAGGTCCCTGCCTCATTTTGACTGAATGCCTCACATCCCGCTGACACCTGGAGAGGCACGCGGAGTTCATTGCTTCAAAAGGTGACGATGCCTGACTCCTCTTGAATACTGATAGGAATCCCAAAATTCCTGTGGCTACTGGAAAGGGTCCTTGGGTGCCCTGCCTCACCTCGAGAAGCGTCCCTTTTGCCCTGCCAAGCCTCGAAGAGATTCCTGAGGTGTCCCTCGTTACTAGGCAGGAATCCTGACGTCACTGGAGAAACTCGTGTTTTGAAGGGCCATCCCCGCTAAGTCGAGAACATACCCCAGGGCCCCGCAGCAACTCGAGAAAAACCATGAGACTTCCCCCTAGAGGCGAGATGAGGCCCCATTCCCCTGCAGTGCATGCAGAGCTATTCCGTGATCCCATTCAAACAAGTCAGGAGCTTCGACTTGCTTAATGGATCTCGAGACAGTCCCCAAGAACACTGTCACCAGTCTAGACGGACCCTGATGTCACCCAGCAATGCAAAGCAGCTCCATGTGCCCCAAATCAACTCGAGATGAGGCCGTATTCCCCTGCATTGACTCCAGAGCCATTCCCTGTTCCCCATTCAACACGACCGGTGGCTCGACTTCCTTCAGGCAACTCCAGAGATGCCCCGAGAACACTGTCCCAAGTCTAGAGGACCACCAACTTCAGCACAGCAACTCGAGGAATGCTCTGTGTACCCCAAATCGTCTCGAGATGAGAGCTGATTCCCTGGCTTAGGCTCAAGACTTATGCCAACTTTCCAGAAGCACCTCAGGAGGAGGCTTCTCTCAGCAATAGGTATGTGGGAGGGACCCCGAGTTTGCTGCCTCAAGGGGAATATACAGCGAGAAGCCCTAACTTGAAAGGAGGCCGGATTTCCTTGCAGTGGCTTGAATACAGGCTCGTCTTTCATCTCACAACATGAAGGGATGTCTGAATCCCCTGTGGAGACCTTAGAGCAAGCCCTAGGTCCCTGCCTCATTTTGACGGAATCCTCACATCCCGCTGACACCTCGAGAGGCACGCGGAGTTCTTTGCTTCAAAAGGTGACGATGCCTGACTCCTCTTGAATACTGATAGGAATCCCAAAATCCCTGTGGCTACTGGAAAGTGTCCTTGGGTGCCCTGGCTCACCTCGAGAAGCGTCCCTTTTGCCCTGTCAAGCCTCGAAGAGATTGCTGAGGTGTCCCTCGTTACTAGACAGGAGTCCTGACGTCACTGAAGAAACTCGTTTTTTGAAGGGCCATCCCCGCCGTAAGTCGAGAACATACCCCAGGTCCCCGCCGCAACTCGAGAAAAACCATGAGACTTCCCCCTAGAGGCGAGATGAGGCCCCATTCCCCTGCAGTGCATGCAGAGCTATTCCGTGATCCCATTCAAACAAGTCAGGAGCTTCGACTTGCTTAATGGATCTCGAGACAGTCTCCAAGAACACTGTCACCAGTCTAGACGGACCCTGAGGTCACCCCAGCAACGCAAAGCAGCTCCATGTGCCACAAATCAACTCGAGATGAGGCCCGATTCCCCTGCATTGATTCCAGAGCCATTCCCCGTTCCCCGTTCAACACGACCGGTGGCTCGCCTTCCTTCAGGCAACTCCAGAGATGCCCCGAGAACACTGTCCCAAGTCTAGAGGAACACCACCCTCAGCGCAGCAACTCGAGGAATGCTCCGTGTACCCCAAATCATCTCGAGATGAGAGCTGATTCCCTGGCTTAGGGTCAAGTCGTATTCCAACTTTCCAGAAGCACCTCAGGAGGAGGCTTCTCTCAGCAATAGGTATGTGGGAGGGACCCCGAGTTTGCTGCCTCAAGGGGAATACACAGGGAGAAGCCCTAATGTGAACGGAGGCCAGATTTCCTTGCAGTGGCTTGAATACAGGCTCGTCTTTCATCTCACAACATGAACGGATGTCTGAATCCGCTGTGGAGACTTTAGAGGAAGCCCTAGGTCCCTGCCTCATTTTGACGGAATCCTCACATCCCGCTGACACCTCGAGAGGCACGCGGAGTTCATTGCTTCAAAAGGTGACGATGCCTGACTCCTCTTGAATACTGATAGGAATCCCAAAATCCCTGTGGCTCCTGGAAAGGGTCCTTGGGTGCCCTGCCTCACCTCGATAAGCGTCCCTTTTGCCCTGCCAAGCCTCGAAGAGATTCCTGAGGTGTCCCTCGTTACTAGACAGGAGACCTGACGACACTGAAGAAACTCGTGTTTTGAAGGGCCATCCCCGCCGTAAGTCGAGAACATACCCCAGGTCCCCGCCGCAACTCGAGAAAAACCATGAGACTTCCCCCTAGAGGCGAGATGAGGCCCCATTCCCCTGCAGTGCATGCAGAGCTATTCCGTGATCCCATTTAAACAAGTCAGGAGCTTCGACTTGCTTAATGGATCTCGAGACAGTCCCCAAGAACACTGTCACCAGTCTAGATGGACCGTGAGGTCACCCCAGCAACGCAAAGCTGCTCCATGTGCCCCAAATCAACTCGAGATGAGGCCCGATTCCCCTGCATTGACTCCAGAGCCATTCCCCGTTCCCCATTCAACACGACCGGTGGCTCGATTTCCTTCAGGCAACTCCAGAGATGCCCCGAGAACACTGTCCCAAGGCTAGAGGAACACCAACTTCAGCACAGCAACTCGAGGAATGCTCCGTGCACCCCAAATCATCTCGAGATGAGAGCTGATTCCCTGGCTTAGGCTCAAGACGTATGCCAACTTTCCAGAAGCACCTCAGGAGGAGGCTTCTCTCAGCAATAGGTATGTGGGAGGGACCCCGAGTTTGCTGCCTCAAGGGGAATACACAGGGAGAAGCCCTAATGTGAACGGAGGCCAGATTTCCTTGCAGTGGCTTGAATACAGCCTCGTCTTTGATCTGACACCATGAAGGGATGTCTGAATCCCCTGTGGATCCTTAGAGGAAGCCCTAGGTCCCTGCCTCATTTTGACGGAATACCTCACATCCCCCTGACACCTCGAGAGGCACGCAGAGATCACTGCTTGAAAAGGTGACGATGCCTGACTCCTCTTGAATACTTATAGGAATCCCAAAATCCCTGTGGCTACTGGAAAGGGTCCTTGGGTGCCCTGGCTCACCTCGAGAGGCGTCCCTTTTGCCCTGCCAAGCCTCGAAGAGATTCCTGAGGTGTCCCTCATTACTAGACAGGAGTCCTGACGTCACTGAAGAAACTCGTGTTTTGAAGGGCCATCCCCGCCGTAAGTCGAGAACATACCCCAGGTTCCCGCCGCAACTCGAGAAAAACCATGAGACTTCCCCCTAGAGGCGAGATGAGGCCCCATTCCCCTGCAGTGCATGCAGAGCTATTCCGTGATCCCATTCAAACAAGTCAGGAGCTTCGACTTGCTTAATGGATCTCGAGACAGTCCCCAAGAACACTGTCACCAGTCTAGACGGACCCTGAGGTCACCCAGCAATGCAAAGCAGCTCCATGTGCCCCAAATCTACTCGAGATGAGGCCGGATTCCCCGGCATTGACTCCAGAGCCATTCCCCGTTCCCCATTCAACACGACCGGTGGCTCGACTTCCTTCTGGCAACTCCAGAGATGCCCCGAGAACACTGTCCCAAGTCTAGAGGACCACCAACTGAAGCACAGCTACTCGAGGAATGCGCTGTGTACCCCAAATCGTCTCGAGATGAGAGCTGATTCCCCGGCTTAGGCTCAACACGTATGCCAACTTTCCAGAAGCACCTCAGGAGGAGGCTTCTCTCAGCAATAGGTATGTGGGAGGGACCCCGAGTTTGCTGCCTCAAGGGGAATATACAGCGAGAAGCCCTAACTTGAAAGGAGGCCGGATTTCCTTGCAGTGGCTTGAATACAGGCTCGTCTTTCATCTCACAACATGAAGGGATGTCTGAATCCCCTGTGGAGACCTTAGAGGAAGCCCTAGGTCCCTGCCTCATTTTGACGGAATCCTCACATCCCGCTGACACCTCGAGAGGCACGCGGAGTTCATTGCTTCAAAAGGTGACGATGCCTGACTCCTCTTGAATACTTATAGGAAGCCCAAAATCCCTGTGGCTACTGGAAAGGGTCCTTGGGTGCCCTAGCTCACCTCGAGAAGCGTCCCTTTTGCCCTGCCAAGCCTCGAAGAGATTGCTGAGGTGTCCCTCGTTACTAGACAGGAGTCCTGACGTCACGGAAGAAACTCATGTTTTGAAGGGCCATCCCCGCCGTAAGTCGAGAACATACCCCAGGTCCCCACCGCAACTCGAGAAAAACCGTGAGACTTCCCCCTAGAGGCGAGATGAGGCCCCATTCCCCTGCAGTGCATGCAGAGCTATTCCGTGATCCCATTCAAACAAGTCAGGAGCTTCGACTTGCTTAATGGATCTCGAGACAGTCCCCAAGAACACTGTCACCAGTCTAGACGGACCCTGATGTCACCCAGCAATGCAAAGCTGCTCCATGTGCCCCAAATCAACTCGAGATGAGGCCGTATTCCCCTGCATTGACTCCAGACCCATTCCCTGTTCCCCATTCAACACGACCGGTGGCTCGACTTCCTTCAGGCAACTCCAGAGATGCCCAGAGAACACTGTCCCAAGTCTAGAGGACCACCAACTTCAGCACAGCAACTCGAGGAATGCTCTGTGTACCCCAAATCGTCTCGAGATGAGAGCTGATTCCCTGGCTTAGGCTCAAGACTTATGCCAACTTTCCAGAAGCACCTCAGGAGGAGGCTTCTCTCAGCAATAGGTATGTGGGAGGGACCCCGAGTTTGCTGCCTCAAGGGGAATATACAGCGAGAAGCCCTAACTTGAAAGGAGGCCGGATTTCCTTGCAGTGGCTTGAATACAGGCTCGTCTTTCATCTCACAACATGAAGGGATGTCTGAATCCCCTGTGGAGACCTTAGAGGAAGCCCTAGGTCCCTGCCTCATTTTGACGGAATCCTCACATCCCGCTGACACCTCGAGAGGCACGCGGAGTTCATTGCTTCAAAAGGTGACGATGCCTGACTCCTCTTGAATACTTATAGGAATCCCAAAATCCCTGTGGCTACTGGAAAGGGTCCTTGGGTGCCCTAGCTCACCTCGAGAAGCGTCCCTTTTGCCCTGCCAAGCCTCGAAGAGATTGCTGAGGTGTCCCTCGTTACTAGACAGGAGTCCTGACGTCACTGAAGAAACTCATGTTTTGAAGGGCCATCCCCGCCGTTAGTCGAGAACATACCCCAGGTCCCCACCGCAACTCGAGAAAAACCGTGAGACTTCCCCCTAGAGGCGAGATGAGGCCCCATTCCCCTGCAGTGCAGGCAGAGCTATTCCGTGATCCCATTCAAACAAGTCAGGAGCTTCGACTTGCTTAATGGATCTCGAGACAGTCTCCAAGAACACTGTCACCAGTCTAGACGGACCCTGAGGTCACCCCAGCAACGCAAAAAAGCTCCATGTGCCACAAATCAACTCGAGATGAGGCCCGATTCCGCTGCATTGATTCCAGAGCCATTCCCCGTTCCCCGTTCAACACGACCGGTGGCTCGCCTTCCTTCAGGCAACTCCAGAGATGCCCCGAGAACACTGTCCCAAGTCTAGAGGAACACCAACCTCAGCGCAGCAACTCGAGGAATGCTCCGTGTACCCCAAATCATCTCGAGATGAGAGCTGATTCCTTCGCTTAGGCTCAAGACGTATGCCAACTTTCCAGAAGCACCTCAGGAGGAGGCTTCTCTCAGCAATAGGTATGTGGGAGGGACCCCGAGTTTGCTGCCTCAAGGGGAATATACAGCGAGAAGCCCTAACTTGAAAGGAGGCCGGATTTCCTTGCAGTGGCTTGAATACAGGCTCGTCTTTGATCTGACAACTTGAAGGGATGTCTGAATCCCCTGTGGAGACCTTAGAGAAAGCCCTAGGTCCCTGCCTCATTTTGACTGAATGCCTCACATCCCGCTGACACCTGGAGAGGCACGCGGAGTTCATTGCTTCAAAAGGTGACGATGCCTGACTCCTCTTGAATACTGATAGGAATCCCAAAATTCCTGTGGCTACTGGAAAGGGTCCTTGGGTGCCCTGCCTCACCTCGAGAAGCGTCCCTTTTGCCCTGCCAAGCCTCGAAGAGATTCCTGAGGTGTCCCTCGTTACTAGGCAGGAGTCCTGACGTCACTGGAGAAACTCGTGTTTTGAAGGGCCATCCCCGCTAAGTCGAGAACATACCCCAGGGCCCCGCAGCAACTCGAGAAAAACCGTGAGACTTCCCCCTAGAGGCGAGATGAGGCCCCATTCCCCTGCAGTGCATGCAGAGCTATTCCGTGATCCCATTCAAACAAGTCAGGAGCTTCGACTTGCTTAATGGATCTCGAGACAGTCCCCAAGAACACTGTCACCAGTCTAGACGGACCCTGATGTCACCCAGCAATGCAAAGCAGCTCCGTGTGCCCCAAATCAACTGGAGATGAGGCCGTATTCCCCTGCATTGACTCCAGAGCCATTCCCTGTTCCCCATTCAACACGACCGGTGGCTCGACTTCCTTCAGGCAACTCCAGAGATGCCCCGAGAACACTGTCCCAAGTCTAGAGGACCACCAACTTCAGCACAGCAACTCGAGGAATGCTCTGTGTACCCCAAATCGTCTCGAGATGAGAGCTGATTCCCTGGCTTAGGCTCAAGACTTATGCCAACTTTCCAGAAGCACCTCAGGAGGAGGCTTCTCTCAGCAATAGGTATGTGGGAGGGACCCCGAATTTGCTGCCTCAAGGGGAATATACAGCGAGAAGCCCTAACTTGAAAGGAGGCCGGATTTCCTTGCAGTGGCTTGAATACAGGCTCGTCTTTCATCTCACAACATGAAGGGATGTCTGAATCCCCTGTGGAGACCTTAGAGCAAGCCCTAGGTCCCTGCCTCATTTTGACGGAATCCTCACATCCCGCTGACACCTCGAGAGGCACGCGGAGTTCATTTCTTCAAAAGGTGACGATGCCTGACTCCTCTTGAATACTGATAGGAATCCCAAAGTCCCTGTGGCTCCTGGAAAGGGTCCTTGGGTGCCCTGCCTCACCTCGATAAGCGTCCCTTTTGCCCTGCCAAGCCTCGAAGAGATTCCTGAGGTGTCCCTCGTTACTAGACAGGAGACCTGACGACACTGAAGAAACTCGTGTTTTGAAGGGCCATCCCCGCCGTAAGTCGAGAACATACCCCAGGTCCCCGCCGCAACTCGAGAAAAACCATGAGACTTCCCCCTAGAGGCGAGATGAGGCCCCATTCCCCTGCAGTGCATGCAGAGCTATTCCGTGATCCCATTTAAACAAGTCAGGAGCTTCAACTTGCTTAATGGATCTCGAGACAGTCCCCAAGAACACTGTCACCAGTCTAGATGGACCGTGAGGTCACCCCAGCAACGCAAAGCTGCTCCATGTGCCCCAAATCAACTCGAGATGAGGCCCGATTCCCCTGCATTGACTCCAGAGCCATTCCCCGTTCCCCATTCAACACGACCGGTGGCTCGATTTCCTTCAGGCAACTCCAGAGATGCCCCGAGAACACTGTCCCAAGGCTAGAGGAACACCAACTTCAGCACAGCAACTTGAGGAATGCTCCGTGCACCCCAAATCATCTCGAGATGAGAGCTGATTCCCTGGCTTAGGCTCAAGACGTATGCCAACTTTCCAGAAGCACCTCAGGAGGAGGCTTCTCTCAGCAATAGGTATGTGGGAGGGACCCCGAGTTTGCTGCCTCAAGGGGAATACACAGGGAGAAGCCCTAATGTGAACGGAGGCCAGATTTCCTTGCAGTGGCTTGAATACAGGCTCGTCTTTGATGTGACACCATGAAGGGATGTCTGAATCCCCTGTGGAGTCCTTAGAGGAAGCCCTAGGTCCCTGCCTCATTTTGACGGAATACCTCACATCCCCCTGACACCTCGAGAGGCACGCAGAGATCACTGCTTGAAAAGGTGACGATGCCTGACTCCTCTTGAATACTTATAGGAATCCCAAAATCCCTGTGGCTACTGGAAAGGGTCCTTGGGTGCCCTGGCTCACCTCGAGAGGCGTCCCTTTTGCCCTGCCAAGCCTCGAAGAGATTCCTGAGGTGTCCCTCATTACTAGACAGGAGTCCTGACGTCACTGAAGAAACTCGTGTTTTGAAGGGCCATCCCCGCCGTAAGTCGAGAACATACCCCAGGTTCCCGCCGCAACTCGAGAAAAACCATGAGACTTCCCCCTAGAGGCGAGATGAGGCCCCATTCCCCTGCAGTGCATGCAGAGCTATTCCGTGATCCCATTCAAACAAGTCAGGAGCTTCGATTTGCTTAATGGATCTCGAGACAGTCCCCAAGAACACTGTCACCAGTCTAGACGGACCCTGAGGTCACCCAGCAATGCAAAGCAGCTCCATGTGCCCCAAATCTACTCGAGATGAGGCCGGATTCCCCTGCATTGACTCCAGAGCCATTCCCCGTTCCCCATTCAACACGACCGGTGGCTCGACTTCCTTCTGGCAACTCCAGAGATGTCCCGAGAACACTGTCCCAAGTCTAGAGGACCACCAACTGAAGCACAGCTACTCGATGAATGCGCTGTGTACCCCAAATCGTCTCGAGATGAGAGCTGATTCCCCGGCTTAGGCTCAACACGTATGCCAACTTTCCAGAAGCACCTCAGGAGGAGGCTTCTCTCAGCAATAGGTATGTGGGAGGGACCCCGTGTTTGCTGCCTCAAGGGGAATATACAGCGAGAAGCCCTAACTTGAAAGGAGGCCGGATTTCCTTGCAGTGGCTTGAATACAGGCTCGTCTTTCATCTCACAACATGAAGGGATGTCTGAATCCCCTGTGGAGACCTTAGAGGAAGCCCTAGGTCCCTGCCTCATTTTGACGGAATCCTCACATCCCGCTGACACCTCGAGAGGCACGCGGAGTTCATTGCTTCAAAAGGTGACGATGCCTGACTCCTCTTGAATACTTATAGGAATCCCAAAATCCCTGTGGCTACTGGAAAGGGTCCTTGGGTGCCCTAGCTCACCTCGAGAAGCGTCCCTTTTGCCCTGCCAAGCCTCGAAGAGATTGCTGAGGTGTCCCTCGTTACTAGACAGGAGTCCTGACGTCACTGAAGAAACTCATGTTTTGAAGGGCCATCCCCGCCGTAAGTCGAGAACATACCCCAGGTCCCCACCGCAACTCGAGAAAAACCGTGAGACTTCCCCCTAGAGGCGAGATGAGGCCCCATTCCCCTGCAGTGCATGCAGAGCTATTCCGTGATCCCATTCAAACAAGTCAGGAGCTTCGACTTGCTTAATGGATCTCGAGACAGTCCCCAAGAACACTGTCACCAGTCTAGACGGACCCTGATGTCACCCAGCAATGCAAAGCTGCTCCATGTGCCCCAAATCAACTCGAGATGAGGCCGTATTCCCCTGCATTGACTGCAGACCCATTCCCTGTTCCCCATTCAACACGACCGGTGGCTCGACTTCCTTCAGGCAACTCCAGAGATGCCCAGAGAACACTGTCCCAAGTCTAGAGGACCACCAACTTCAGCACAGCAACTCGAGGAATGCTCTGTGTACCCCAAATCGTCTCGAGATGAGAGCTGATTCCCTGGCTTAGGCTCAAGACTTATGCCAACTTTCCAGAAGCACCTCAGGAGGAGGCTTCTCTCAGCAATAGGTATGTGGGAGGGACCCCGAGTTTGCTGCCTCAAGGGGAATATACAGCGAGAAGCCCTAACTTGAAAGGAGGCCGGATTTCCTTGCAGTGGCTTGAATACAGGCTCGTCTTTCATCTCACAACATGAAGGGATGTCTGAATCCCCTGTGGAGACCTTAGAGGAAGCCCTAGGTCCCTGCCTCATTTTGACGGAATCCTCACATCCCGCTGACACCTCGAGAGGCACGCGGAGTTCATTGCTTCAAAAGGTGACGATGCCTGACTCCTCTTGAATACTTATAGGAATCCCAAAATCCCTGTGGCTACTGGAAAGGGTCCTTGGGTGCCCTAGCTCACCTCGAGAAGCGTCCCTTTTGCCCTGCCAAGCCTCGAAGAGATTGCTGAGGTGTCCCTCGTTACTAGACAGGAGTCCTGACGTCACTGAAGAAACTCATGTTTTGAAGGGCCATCCCCGCCGTAAGTCGAGAACATACCCCAGGTCCCCACCGCAACTCGAGAAAAACCGTGAGACTTCCCCCTAGAGGCGAGATGAGGCCCCATTCCCCTGCAGTGCAGGCAGAGCTATTCCGTGATCCCATTCAAACAAGTCAGGAGCTTCGACTTGCTTAATGGATCTCGAGACAGTCTCCAAGAACACTGTCACCAGTCTAGACGGACCCTGAGGTCACCCCAGCAACGCAAAGCAGCTCCATGTGCCACAAATCAACTCGAGATGAGGCCCGATTCCGCTGCATTGATTCCAGAGCCATTCCCCGTTCCCCGTTCAACACGACCGGTGGCTCGCCTTCCTTCAGGCAACTCCAGAGATGCCCCGAGAACACTGTCCCAAGTCTAGAGGAACACCAACCTCAGCGCAGCAACTCGAGGAATGCTCCGTGTACCACAAATCATCTCGAGATGAGAGCTGATTCCTTCGCTTAGGCTCAAGACGTATGCCAACTTTCCAGAAGCACCTCAGGAGGAGGCTTCTCTCAGCAATAGGTATGTGGGAGGGACCCCGAGTTTGCTGCCTCAAGGGGAATATACAGCGAGAAGCCCTAACTTGAAAGGAGGCCGGATTTCCTTGCAGTGGCTTGAATACAGGCTCGTCTTTGATCTGACAACTTGAAGGGATGTCTGAATCCCCTGTGGAGACCTTAGAGAAAGCCCTAGGTCCCTGCCTCATTTTGACTGAATGCCTCACATCCCGCTGACACCTGGAGAGGCACGCGGAGTTCATTGCTTCAAAAGGTGACGATGCCTGACTCCTCTTGAATACTGATAGGAATCCCAAAATTCCTGTGGCTACTGGAAAGGGTCCTTGGGTGCCCTGCCTCACCTCGAGAAGCGTCCCTTTTGCCCTGCCAAGCCTCGAAGAGATTCCTGAGGTGTCCCTCGTTACTAGGCAGGAGTCCTGACGTCACTGGAGAAACTCGTGTATTGCAGGGCCATCCCCGCTAAGTCGAGAACATACCCCAGGGCCCCGCAGCAACTCGAGAAAAACCATGAGACTTCCCCCTAGAGGCGAGATGAGGCCCCATTCCCCTGCAGTGCATGCAGAGCTATTCCGTGATCCCATTCAAACAAGTCAGGAGCTTCGACTTGCTTATTGGATCTCGAGACAGTCCCCAAGAACACTGTCACCAGTCTAGACGGACCCTGATGTCACCCAGCAATGCAAAGCAGCTCCATGTGCCCCAAATCAACTCGAGATGAGGCCGTATTCCCCTGCATTGACTCCAGAGCCATTCCCTGTTCCCCATTCAACACGACCGGTGGCTCGACTTCCTTCAGGCAACTCCAGAGATGCCCCGAGAACACTGTCCCAAGTCTAGAGGACCACCAACTTCAGCACAGCAACTCGAGGAATGCTCTGTGTACCCCAAATCGTCTCGAGATGAGAGCTGATTCCCTGGCTTAGGCTCAAGACTTATGCCAACTTTCCAGAAGCACCTCAGGAGGAGGCTTCTGTCAGCAATAGGTATGTGGGAGGGACCCCGAGTTTGCTGCCTCAAGGGGAATATACAGCGAGAAGCCCTAACTTGAAAGGAGGCCGGATTTCCTTGCAGTGGCTTGAATACAGGCTCGTCTTTCATCTCACAACATGAAGGGATGTCTGAATCCCCTGTGGAGACCTTAGAGCAAGCCCTACGTCCATGCCTCATTTTGACGGAATCCTCACATCCCGCTGACACCTCGAGAGGCACGCGGAGTTCATTGCTTCAAAAGGTGACGATGCCTGACTCCTCTTGAATACTGATAGGAATCCCAAAATCCCTGTGGCTACTGGAAAGTGTCCTTGGGTGCCCTGGCTCACCTCGAGAAGCGTCCCTTTTGCCCTGTCAAGCCTCGAAGAGATTGCTGAGGTGTCCCTCGTTACTAGACAGGAGTCCTGACGTCACTGAAGAAACTCGTGTTTTGAAGGGCCATCCCCGCCGTAAGTCGAGAACATACCCCAGGTCCCCGCCGCAACTCGAGAAAAACCATGAGACTTCCCCCTAGAGGCGAGATGAGGCCCCATTCCCGTACAGTGCATGCAGAGCTATTCCGTGATGCCATTCAAACAAGTCAGGAGCTTCGACTTGCTTAATGGATCTCGAGACAGTCTCCAAGAACACTGTCACCAGTCTAGACGGACCCTGAGGTCACCCCAGCAACGCAAAGCAGCTCCATGTGCCACAAATCAACTCGAGATGAGGCCCGATTCCCCTGCATTGATTCCAGAGCCATTCCCCGTTCCCCGTTCAACACGACCGGTGGCTCGCCTTCCTTCAGGCAACTCCAGAGATGCCCCGAGAACACTGTCCCAAGTCTAGAGGAACACCACCCTCAGCGCAGCAACTCGAGGAATGCTCCGTGTACCCCAAATCATCTCGAGATGAGAGCTGATTCCTTCGCTTAGGCTCAAGACGTATGCCAACTTTCCAGAAGCACCTCAGGAGGAGGCTTCTCTCAGCAATAGGTATGTGGGAGGGACCCCGAGTTTGCTGCCTCAAGGGGAATATACAGCGAGAAGCCCTAACTTGAAAGGAGGCCGGATTTCCTTGCAGTGGCTTGAATACAGGCTCGTCTTTGATCTGACAACATGAAGGGATGTCTGAATCCCCTGTGGAGACCTTAGAGAAAGCCCTAGGTCCCTGCCTCATTTTGACTGAATGCCTCACATCCCGCTGACACCTGGAGAGGCACGCGGAGTTCATTGCTTCAAAAGGTGACGATGCCTGACTCCTCTTGAATACTGATAGGAATCCCAAAATCCCTGTGGCTACTGGAAAGGGTCCTTGGGTGCCCTGCCTCACCTCGAGAAGCGTCCCTTTTGCCCTGCCAAGCCTCGAAGAGATTCCTGAGGTGTCCCTCGTTACTAGGCAGGAGTCCTGACGTCACTGGAGAAACTCGTGTTTTGAAGTGCCATCCCCGCTAAGTCGAAAACATACCCCAGGGCCCCGCTGCAACTCGAGAAAAACCGTGAGACTTCCCCCTAGAGGCGAGATGAGGCCCCATTCCCCTGCAGTGCATGCAGAGCTATTCCGTGATCCCATTCAAACAAGTCAGGAGCTTCGACTTGCTTAATGGATCTCGAGACAGTCCCCAAGAACACTGTCACCAGTCTAGACGGACCATAAGGTCACTCAGCAATGCAAAGCAGCTCCATGTGCCCCAAATCAACTCGAGATGAGGCCGTATTCCGCCGCATTGACTCCAGAGCCATTCCCCGTTCACCATTCAACACGACCGGTGGATCGACTTCCTTCAGGCAACTCCAGAGATGCCCCGAGAACAGTGTCCCAAGTCTAGAGGACCACCAACTTCAGCACAGCAACTCGAGGAATGCTCTGTGTACTCAAAATCGTCTCGAGATGAGAGCTGATTCCCTGGCTTAGGCTCAAGACGTATGCCAACTTTCCAGAAGCACCTCAGGAGGAGGCTTCTCTCAGCAATAGGTATGTGGGAGGGACCCCGAGTTTGCTGCCTCAAGGGGAATATACAGCGAGAAGCCCTAACTTGAAAGCAGGCCGGATTTCCTTGCAGTGGCTTGAATACAGGCTCGTCTTTCATCTCACAACATGAAGGGATGTCTGAATCCGCTGTGGAGACCTTAGAGGAAGCCCTAGGTCCCTGCCTCATTTTGACGGAATCCTCACATCCCGCTGACACCTCGAGAGGCACGCGGAGTTCAATGCTTCAAAAGGTGACGATGCCTGACTCCTCTTGAATACTGATAGGAATCCCAAAATCCCTGTGGCTACTGGAAAGGGTCCTTGGGTGCCCTGCCTCACCTCGAGAAGCGTCCCTTTTGCCCTGCCAAGCCTCGAAGAGATTGCTGAGGTGTCCCTCGTTACTAGGCAGGAGTCCTGACGTCACTGGAGAAACTCGTGTTTTGAAGGGCCATCCCCGCCGTAAGTCGAGAACATACCCCAGGTCCCCGACGCAACTCGAGAAAAACCTCGAGACTTCCCCCTAGAGGCGAGATGGGGCCCCATTCCCCTGCAGTGCATGCAGAGCTATTCCGTGATCCCATTCAAACAAGTCAGGTGCTTCGACTTGCTTAATGGATCTCGGGACAGTCCCCAAGAACACTGTCACCAGTCTAGACGGACCCTGAGGTCACCGCAGCAATGCAAAGCAGCTCCATGTGCCCCACATCAACTCGAGATGAGGCCCGATTCCCCTGCATTGACTCCAGAGCCATTCCCCGTTCCCCATTCAACACGAACGGAGGCTCGCCTTCCTTCAGGCAACTCCAGAGTTGCCCCGAGAACACTGTCCCAAGTCTAGAGGAACACCAACTTCAGCACAGCAACTCGAGGAATGCTCTGTGTACCCCAAATCGTCTCGAGATGAGAGCTGATTCCCTGGCTTAGGCTCAAGACGTATGCCAACTTTCCAGAAGCACCTCAGGAGGAGGCTTCTCAGCAATAGGTATGTGGGAGGGACTCCGAGTTTGCTGCCTCAAGGGGAATATACAGCGAGAAGCCCTAACGTGAAAGGAGGCCGGATTTCCTTGCAGTAGCTTGAATACAGGCTTGTCTTTCATCTCACAACATGAAGGGATGTCTGAATCCCCTGTGGAGACCTTAGAGGAAGCCCTAGGTCCCTGCCTCATTTTGACGGAATGCCTCACATCCCGCTGACACCTCGAGAGGCACGCGGAGTTCATTGCTTCAAAAGGTGACGATGCCTGACTCCTCTTGAATACTGATAGGAATCCCAAAATCCCTGTGGCTCCTGGAAAGGGGCCTTGGGTGCCCTGCCTCACCTCGATAAGCGTCCCTTTTGCCCTGCCAAGCCTCGAAGAGATTGCTGAGGTGTCCCTCGTTACTAGACAGGAGTCCTGACGTCACTGAAGAAACTCGTGTTTTGAAGGGCCATCCCCGCCGTAAGTCGAGAACATACCCCAGGTCCCCGCCGCAACTCGAGAAAAACCATGAGACTTCCCCCTAGAGGCGAGATGAGGCCCCATGCCCCTGCAGTGCATGCAGAGCTATTCCGTGATCCCATTCAAACAAGTCAGGAGCTTCAACTTGCTTAATGGATCTCGAGACAGTCCCCAAGAACGCTGTCACCAGTCTAGATGGACCCTGAGGTCAACCCAGCAACGCAAAGCTGCTCCATGTGCCCCAAATCAACTCGAGATGAGGCCCGATTCCCCTGCATTGACTCCAGAGCCATTCCCCGTTCCCCATTCAACACGACCGGTGGCTCGATTTCCTTCAGGCAACTCCAGAGATGCCCCGAGAACACTGTCCCAAGTCTAGAGGAACACCAACTTCAGCACAGCAACTCGAGGAATGCTCCGTGTACCCCAAATCATCTCGAGATGAGAGCTGATTCCCTGGCTTAGGCTCAAGACGTATGCCAACTTTCCAGAAGCACCTCAGGAGGAGGCTTCTCTCAGCAATAGGTATGTGGGAGGGACCCCGAGTTTGCTGCCTCAAGGGGAATACACAGGGAGAAGCCCTAATGTGAACGGAGGCCAGATTTCCTTGCAGTGGCTTGAATACAGGCTCGTCTTTGATCTGACAACATGAAGGGATGTCTGAATCCCCTGTGGAGACCTTAGAGGAAGCCCTAGCTCCCTGCCTCATTTTGACGGAATACCTCACATCCCCCTGACACCTCGAGAGGCACGCAGAGATCACTGCTTGAAAAGGTGACGATGCCTGATTCCACTTGAATACTTATAGGAATCCCAAAATCCCTGTGGCTACTGGAAAGGGTCCTTGGGTGCCCTGGCTCACCTCGAGAGGCGTCCCTTTTGCCCTGCCAAGCCTCGAAGAGATTCCTGAGGTGTCCCTCATTACTAGACAGGAGTCCTGACGTCACTGAAGAAACTCGTGTTTTGAAGGGCCATCCCCGCCGTAAGTCGAGAACATACCCCAGGTCCCCGCCGCAACTCGAGAAAAACCATGAGACTTCCCCCTAGAGGCGAGATGAGGCCCCATTCCCCTGCAGTGCATGCAGAGCTATTCCGTGATCCCATTCAAACAAGTCAGGAGCTTCGACTTGCTTAATGGATCTCGAGACAGTCCCCAAGAACACTGTCACCAGTCTAGACGGACCCTGAGGTCACCCAGCAATGCAAAGCAGCTCCATGTGCCCCAAATCAACTCGAGATGAGGCCGGATTCCCCTGCATTGACTCCAGAGCCATTCCCTGTTCCCCATTCAACACGACCGGTGGCTCGACTTCCTTCAGGCAACTCCAGAGATGCCCAGAGAACACTGTCCCAAGTCTAGAGGAACACCAACTTCAGCACAGCAACTCGAGGAATGCTCTGTGTACCCCAAATCGTCTCGAGATGAGAGCTGATTCCCTGGCTTAGGCTCAAGACGTATGCCAACTTTCCAGAAGCACCTCAGGAGGAGGCTTCTCAGCAATAGGTATGTGGGAGGGACTCCGAGTTTGCTGCCTCAAGGGGAATATACAGCGAGAAGCCCTAACGTGAAAGGAGGCCGGATTTCCTTGCAGTAGCTTGAATACAGGCTTGTCTTTCATCTCACAACATGAAGGGATGTCTGAATCCCCTGTGGAGACCTTAGAGGAAGCCCTAGGTCCCTGCCTCATTTTGACGGAATGCCTCACATCCCGCTGACACCTCGAGAGGCACGCGGAGTTCATTGCTTCAAAAGGTGACGATGCCTGACTCCTCTTGAATACTGATAGGAATCCCAAAATCCCTGTGGCTCCTGGAAAGGGGCCTTGGGTGCCCTGCCTCACCTCGATAAGCGTCCCTTTTGCCCTGCCAAGCCTCGAAGAGATTGCTGAGGTGTCCCTCGTTACTAGACAGGAGTCCTGACGTCACTGAAGAAACTCGTGTTTTGAAGGGCCATCCCCGCCGTAAGTCGAGAACATACCCCAGGTCCCCGCCGCAACTCGAGAAAAACCATGAGACTTCCCCCTAGAGGCGAGATGAGGCCCCATGCCCCTGCAGTGCATGCAGAGCTATTCCGTGATCCCATTCAAACAAGTCAGGAGCTTCAACTTGCTTAATGGATCTCGAGACAGTCCCCAAGAACGCTGTCACCAGTCTAGATGGACCCTGAGGTCAACCCAGCAACGCAAAGCTGCTCCATGTGCCCCAAATCAACTCGAGATGAGGCCCGATTCCCCTGCATTGACTCCAGAGCCATTCCCCGTTCCCCATTCAACACGACCGGTGGCTCGATTTCCTTCAGGCAACTCCAGAGATGCCCCGAGAACACTGTCCCAAGTCTAGAGGAACACCAACTTCAGCACAGCAACTCGAGGAATGCTCCGTGTACCCCAAATCATCTCGAGATGAGAGCTGATTCCCTGGCTTAGGCTCAAGACGTATGCCAACTTTCCAGAAGCACCTCAGGAGGAGGCTTCTCTCAGCAATAGGTATGTGGGAGGGACCCCGAGTTTGCTGCCTCAAGGGGAATACACAGGGAGAAGCCCTAATGTGAACGGAGGCCAGATTTCCTTGCAGTGGCTTGAATACAGGCTCGTCTTTGATCTGACAACATGAAGGGATGTCTGAATCCCCTGTGGAGACCTTAGAGGAAGCCCTAGCTCCCTGCCTCATTTTGACGGAATACCTCACATCCCCCTGACACCTCGAGAGGCACGCAGAGATCACTGCTTGAAAAGGTGACGATGCCTGATTCCACTTGAATACTTATAGGAATCCCAAAATCCCTGTGGCTACTGGAAAGGGTCCTTGGGTGCCCTGGCTCACCTCGAGAGGCGTCCCTTTTGCCCTGCCAAGCCTCGAAGAGATTCCTGAGGTGTCCCTCATTACTAGACAGGAGTCCTGACGTCACTGAAGAAACTCGTGTTTTGAAGGGCCATCCCCGCCGTAAGTCGAGAACATACCCCAGGTCCCCGCCGCAACTCGAGAAAAACCATGAGACTTCCCCCTAGAGGCGAGATGAGGCCCCATTCCCCTGCAGTGCATGCAGAGCTATTCCGTGATCCCATTCAAACAAGTCAGGAGCTTCGACTTGCTTAATGGATCTCGAGACAGTCCCCAAGAACACTGTCACCAGTCTAGACGGACCCTGAGGTCACCCAGCAATGCAAAGCAGCTCCATGTGCCCCAAATCAACTCGAGATGAGGCCGGATTCCCCTGCATTGACTCCAGAGCCATTCCCTGTTCCCCATTCAACACGACCGGTGGCTCGACTTCCTTCAGGCAACTCCAGAGATGCCCAGAGAACACTGTCCCAAGTCTAGAGGAACACCAACTTCAGCACAGCAACTCGAGGAATGCTCTGTGTACCCCAAATCGTCTCGAGATGAGAGCTGAATCCCTGGCTTAGGCTCAAGGCGTATGCCAACTTTCCAGAAGCACCTCAGGAGGAGGATTCTCTCAGCAATAGGTATGTGGGAGGGACTCCGAGTTTGCTGCCTCAAGGGGAATATACAGCGAGAAGCCCTAACTTGAAAGGAGGCCGGATTTCCTTGCAGTGGCTTGAATACAGGCTCGTCTTTCATCTCACAACATGAAGGGATGTCTGAATCCCCTGTGGAGACCTTAGAGAAAGCCCTAGGTCCCTGCCTCATTTTGACGGAATCCTCACATCCCGCTGACACCTCGAGAGGCACGCGGAGTTCATTGCTTCAAAAGGTGACGATGCCTGACTCCTCTTGAATACTGATAGGAATCTCAAAATCCCTGTGGCTACTGGAAAGGGTCCTTGGGTGCCCTGGCTCACCTCGAGAAGCGTCCCTTTTGCCCTGCCAAGCCTCGAAGTGATTGCTGAGGTGTCCCACGTTACTAGACAGTTGTCCTGACGTCACGGAAGAAACTCGTGTTTTGAAGGGCCATCCCCGCCGTAAGTCGAGAACATACCCCAGGTCCCCGCCGCAACTCGAGAAAAACCATGAGACTTCCCCCTAGAGGCGAGATGAGGCCCCATTCCCCTGCAGTGCATGCAGAGCTATTCCGTGATCCCATTCAAACAAGTCAGGAGCTTCGACTTGCTTAATGGATCTCGAGACAGTCCCCAAGAACACTGTCACCAGTCTAGACGGACCCTGAGGTCACCCCAGCAACGCAAAGCAGCTCCATGTGCCACAAATCAACTCGAGATGAGGCCCGATTCCCCTGCATTGACTCCAGAGCCATTCCCCGTTCCCCATTCAACAGGACCGGTGGCTCGGTTTCCTTCAGGCAACTCCAGAGATGCCCCGAGAACACTGTCCCAAGTCTAGAGGAACACCAACTTCAGCACAGCAACTCGAGTAATGCTCTGTGTACCCCAAATCGTCTCGAGATGAGAGCTGATTCCCTGGCTTAGGCTCAAGACGTATGCCAACTTTCCAGAAGCACCTCAGGAGGAGGCTTCTCAGCAATAGGTATGTGGGAGGGACTCCGAGTTTGCTGCCTCAAGGGGAATATACAGCGAGAAGCCCTAACTTGAAAGGAGGCCGGATTTCCTTGCAGTAGCTTGAATACAGGCATGTCTTTCATCTCACAACATGAAGGGATGTCTGAATCCCCTGTGGAGACCTTAGAGAAAGCCCTAGGTCCCTGCCTCATTTTGACGGAATGCCTCACATCCCGCTGACACCTCGAGAGGCACGCGGAGTTCATTGCTTCAAAAGGTGACGATGCCTGACTCCTCTTGAATACTGATAGGAATCCCAAAATCCATGTGGCTACTGGAAAGGTTCCTTGGGTGCCCTGCCTCACTTCGAGAAGCGTCCCTTTTGCCCTGCCAAGCCTCGAAGAGATTCCTGAGGTGTCCCTCGTTACTAGACAGGAGTCCTGACGTCACTGAAGAAACTCGTGTTTTGAAGGGCCATCCCCGCCGTAAGTCGAGAACATACCCCAGGTCCCCGCCGCAACTCGAGAAAAACCATGAGACTTCCCGCTAGAGGCGAGATGAGGCCCCATTCCCCTGCAGTGCATGCAGAGCTATTCCGTGATCCCATTCAAACAAGTCAGGAGCTTCGACGTGCTTAATGGATCTCGAGACAGTCCCCAAGAACACTGTCACCAGTCTAGACGGACCCTGAGGTCACCCCAGCAACGCAAAGCTGCTCCATGTGCCCCAAATCAACTCGAGATGAGGCCCGATTCCCCTGCATTGACTCCAGAGCCATTCCCAGTTCCCCATTCAACACGACCGGTGGCTCGACTTCCTTCAGGCAACTCCAGAGATGCCCCGAGAACACTGTCCCAAGTCTAGAGGAGCACCAATTTCAGCACAGCAACCAGCAGAATGCTCCGTGTACCCCAAATCATGTCGAGATGAGAGCTGATTCCCTGGCTTAGGCTCAAGACGTATGCCAACTTTCCAGAAGCACCGCAGGAGGAGGCTTCTCTCAGCAATAGGTATGTGGGAGGGACCCCGAGTTTGCTGCCTCAAGGGGAATACACAGGGAGAAGCCCTAATGTGAACGGAGGCCGGATTTCCTTGCAGTGGCTTGAATACAGGCTCGTCTTTGATCTGACAACATGAAGGGATGTCTGAATCCCCTGTGGAGACCTTAGAGAAAGCCCTAGGTCACTGCGTCATTTTGACTGAATGCCTCACATCCCGCTGACACCTGGAGAGGCACGCGGAGTTCATTGCTTCAAAAGGTGACGATGCCTGACTCCTCTTGAATACTGAGAGGAATCCCAAAATCACTGTGGCTACTGGAAAGGGTCCTTGGGTGCCCTGCCTTACCTCGAGAAGCGTCCCTTTTGCCCTGCCAAGCCTCGAAGAGATTCCTGAGGTGTCCCTCGTTACTAGGCAGGAGTCCTGACGTCAGTGGAGAAACTCGTGTTTTGAAGTGCCATCCCCGCTAAGTCGAGAACATACCCCAGGGCCCCGCCGCAACTCGAGAAAAACCATGAGACTTCCCCCTAGAGGCGAGATGAGGCCCCATTCCCCTGCAGTGCATGCAGAGATATTCCGTGATCCCATTCAAACAAGTCAGGAGCTTCGACTTGCTTAATGGATCTCGAGACAGTCCCCAAGAACACTGTCACCAGTCTAGACGGACCCTGAGGTCACCGCAGCAACGCAAAGCAGCTCCATATGCCCCACATCAACTCGAGATGAGGCCCGATTCCCCTGCATTGACTCCAGAGCCATTCCCCGTTCCCCGTTCAACACGAACGGAGGCTCGCCTTCCTTCAGGCAACTCCAGAGATGCCCCGAGAACAGTGTCCCAAGTCTAGAGGAACACCAACTTCAGCACAGCAACTCGAGGAATGCTCTGTGTACCCCAAATCGTCTCGAGATGAGAGCTGATTCCCTGGCTTAGGCTCAAGACGTATGCCAACTTTCCAGAAGCACCTCAGGAGGAGGCTTCTCAGCAATAGGTATGTGGGAGGGACTCCGAGTTTGCTGCCTCAAGGGGAATATACAGCGAGAAGCCCTAACGTGAAAGGAGGCCGGATTTCCTTGCAGTAGCTTGAATACAGGCTTGTCTTTCATCTCACAACATGAAGGGATGTCTGAATCCCCTGTGGAGACCTTAGAGAAAGCCCTAGGTCCCTGCCTCATTTTGCCAGAATGCCTCACATCCCGCTGACACCTCGAGAGGCACGCGGAGTTCATTGCTTCAAAAGGTGACGATGCCTGACTCCTCTTGAATACTGATAGGAATCCCAAAATCCCTGTGGCTCCTGGAAAGGGGCCTTGGGTGCCCTGCCTCACCTCGAGAAGCGTCCCTTTTTCCCTGCCAAGCCTCGAAGAGATTCCTGAGGTGTCCCTCGTTACTAGGCAGGAGTCCTGACGTCACTGAAGAAACTCGTGTTTTGAAGGGCCATCCCCGCCGTAAGTCGAGAACATACCCCAGGTCCCCGCCGCAACTCGAGAAAAACCATGAGACTTCCCCCTAGAGGCGAGATGAGGCCCCAATCACCTGCAGTGCATGCAGAGCTATTCCGTGATCCCATTCAAACAAGTCAGGAGCTTCGACTTGCTTAATGGATCTCGAGACAGTCCCCAAGAACACTGTCACCAGTCTAGATGGACCCTGAGGTCACCCCAGCAACGCAAAGCTGCTCCATGTGCCCCAAATCAACTCGAGATGAGGCCCGATTCCCCTGCATTGACTCCAGAGCCATTCCCCGTTCCCCATTCAACACGACCGGTGGCTCGATTTCCTTCAGGCAACTCCAGAGATGCCTCGAGAACACTGTCCCAAGTCTAGAGGAACACCAACTTCAGCAGAGCTACTGGAGGAATGCTCCGTGTACCACAAATCATCTCGAGATGAGAGCTGATTCCCTGGCTTAGGCTCAAGACGTATGCCAACTTTCCAGAAGCACCTCAGGAGGAGGCTTCTCTCAGCAATAGGTTTGTGGGAGGGACCCCGAGTTTGCTGCCTCAAGGGGAATACACAGGGAGAAGCCCTAATGTGTACGGAGGCCAGATTTCCTTGCAGTGGCTTGAATACATTCTCGTCTTTGATCTGACAACATGAAGGGATTTCTGAATCCCCTGTGGAGACCTTAGAGGAAGCCCTAGGTCCCTGCCTCCTTTTGACGGAATACCTCACATCCCCCTGACACCTCGAGAGGCACGCAGAGTTCATTGCTTCAAAAGGTGACGATGCCTGACTCCTCTTGAATACTTATAGGAATCCCAAAATCCCTGTACTACTGGAAAGGGTCCTTGGGTGCCCTGGCTCAGCTCGAGAAGCGTCCCTTTTGCCCTGCCAAGCCTCGAAGAGATTGCTGAGGTGTCCCTCATTACTAGACAGGAGTCCTGACGTCACTGAAGAAACTCGTGTTTTGAAGGGCCATCCCCGCCGTAAGTCGAGAACATACCCCAGGTCCCCGCCGCAACTCGAGAAAAACCATGAGATTTCCCCCTAGAGGCGAGATGAGGCCCCATTCCCATGCAGTGCATGCAGAGCTATTCCGTGATCCCATTCAAACAAGTCAGGAGCTTCGACTTGCTTAATGGATCTCGAGACAGTCCCCAAGAACACTGTCACCAGTCTAGATGGACCCTGAGGTCACCCCAGCAACGCAAAGCAGCTCCATGTGCCACAAATCAACTCGAGATGAGGCCCGATTCCCCTGCATTGACTCCAGAGCCATTCCCAGTTCCCCATTCAACACGACCGGTGGCTCGACTTCCTTCAGGCAACTCCAGAGATGCCACGAGAACACTGTCCCAAGTCTAGAGGAACACCAACTTCAGCACAGCAACTCGAGGAATGCTCCGTGTACCCCAAATCATCTCGAGATGAGAGCTGATTCCCTGGCTTAGGCTCAAGACGTATGCCAACTTTCCAGAAGCACCTCAGGAGGAGGCTTCTCTCAGCAATAGGTATGTGGGAGGGACCCCGAGTTTGCTGCCTCAAGGAGAATACACAGGGAGAAGCCCTAATGTGAACGGAGGCCAGATTTCCTTGCAGTGGCTTGAATACAGGCTCGTCTTTGGTCTGACAACATGAAGGGTTGTCTGAATCCCCTGTCGAGATCTTAGAGAAAGCCCTAGGTCCCTGCCTCATTTTGACGGAATACCTCACATCCCCCTGACACTTCGAGAGACACGCAGAGTTCATTGCTTCAAAAGGTGACTATGCCTGACTCCTCTTGAATACTTATAGGAATCCCAAAATCCCTGTGGCTACTGGAAAGGGTCCTTGGGTGCCCTGGCTCACCTCGAGAAGCGTCCCTTTTGCCCTGCCAAGCCTCGAAGAGATTGCTGACGTGTCCCTCATTACTAGACAGGAGTCCTGACGTCACTGAAGAAACTCGTGTTTTGAAGGGCCATCCCCGCCGTAAGTCGAGAACATACCCCAGGTCCCCGCCGCAACTCGAGAAAAACCATGAGACTTCCCCCTAGAAGCGAGATGAGGCCCCATTCCCCTGCAGTGCATGCAGAGCTATTCCGTGATCCCATTCAAACAAGTCAGGAGCTTCGACTTGCTTAATGGATCTCGAGACAGTCCCCAAGAACACTGTCACCAGTCTAGACGGACCCTGAGGTCTCCCAGCAATGCAAAGCAGCTCCATGTGCCCCAAATCAACTCGAGATGAGGCCGGATTCCCCTGCATTGACTCCAGAGCTATTCCCCGTTTCCCATTCAACACGACCGGTGGCTCGACTTCCTTCAGGCAACTCCAGAGATGCCCCGAGAACACTGTCCCAAGTCTAGAGGAACACCAACTTCAGCACAGCAACTCGAGGAATGCTCCGTGTACCCCAAATCATCTCGAGATGAGAGCTGATTCCCTGGCTTAGGGTCAAGACGTATTCCAACTTTCCAGAAGCACCTCAGGAGGAGGCTTCTCTCAGCAATAGGTATGTGGGAGGGACCCCGAGTTTGCTGCCTCAAGGGGAATACACAGGGAGAAGCCCTAATGTGAACGGAGGCCAGATTTCGTTGCAGTGGCTTGAATATAGGCTCGTCTTTCATCTCACAACATGAACGGATGTCTGAATCCGCTGTGGAGACTTTAGAGGAAGCCCTAGGTCCCTGCCTCATTTTGACGGAATCCTCACATCCCGCTGACACCTCGAGAGGCACGCGGAGTTCATTGCTTCAAAAGGTGACGATGCCTGACTCCTCTTGAATACTGATAGGAATCCCAAAATCCCTTTGGCTCCTGGAAAGGGTCCTTGGGTGCCCTGCCTCACCTCGATAAGCGTCCCTTTTGCCCTGCCAAGCCTCGAAGAGATTCCTGAGGTGTCCCTCGTTACTAGACAGGAGTCCTGACGACACTGAAGAAACTCGTGTTTTGAAGTGCCATCCCCGCCGTAAGTCGAGAACATACCCCAGGTCCCCGCCGCAACTCGAGAAAAACCATGAGACTTCCCCCTAGAGGCGAGATGAGGCCCCATTCCCCTGCAGTGCATGCAGAGCTATTCCGTGATCCCATTTAAACAAGTCAGGAGCTTCAACTTGCTTAATGGATCTCGAGACAGTCCCCAAGAACACTGTCACCAGTCTAGATGGACCCTGAGGTCACCCCAGCAACGCAAAGCTGCTCCATGTGCCCCAAATCAACTCGAGATGAGGCCCGATTCCCCTGCATTGACTCCAGAGCCATTCCCCGTTCCACATTCAACAGGACCTGTGGCTCGACTTCCTTCAGGCAACTCCAGAGATGCCCCGAGAACACTGTCCCAAGTCTAGAGGAACACCAACTTCAGCACAGCAACTCGAGGAATGCTCCGTGTACCCCAAATCATCTCGAGATGAGAGCTGATTCCCTGGCTTAGGCTCAAGACGTATGCCAACTTTCCAGAAGCACCTCAGGAGGAGGCTTCTCTCAGCAATAGGTATGTGGGAGGGACCCCGAGTTTGCTGCCTCAAGGGGAATACACAGGGAGAAGCCCTAATGTGAACGGAGGCCAGATTTCCTTGCAGTGGCTTGAATACAGGCTCGTCTTTGATCTGACACCATGAAGGGATGTCTGAATCCCCTGTGGAGTCCTTAGAGGAAGCCCTAGGTCCCTGCCTCATTTTGACGGAATACCTGACATCCCCCTGACACCTCGAGAGGCACGCAGAGATCACTGCTTGAAAAGGTGACGATGCCTGACTCCTCTTGAATACTTATAGGAATCCCAAAATCCCTGTGGCTACTGGAAAGGGTCCTTGGGTGCCCTGGCTCACCTCGAGAGGCGTCCCTTTTGCCCTGCCAAGCCTCGAAGAGATTCCTGAGGTGTCCCTCATTACTAGACAGGAGTCCTGACGTCACGGAAGAAACTCGTGTTTTGAAGGGCCATCCCCGCCGTAAGTCGAGAACATACCCCAGGTTCCCGCCGCAACTCGAGAAAAACCATGAGACTTCCCCCTAGAGGCGAGATGAGGCCCCATTCCCCTGCAGTGCATGCAGAGCTATTCCGTGATCCCATTCAAACAAGTCAGGAGCTTCGACTTGCTTAATGGATCTCGAGACAGTCCCCAAGAACACTGTCACCAGTCTAGACGGACCCTGAGGTCACCCAGCAATGCAAAGCAGCTCCATGTGCCCCAAATCTACTCGAGATGAGGCCGGATTCCCCTGCATTGACTCCAGAGCCATTCCCCGTTCCCCATTCAACACGACCGGTGGCTCGACTTCCTTCTGGCAACTCCAGAGATGCCCCGAGAACACTGTCCCAAGTCTAGAGGACCACCAACTGAAGCACAGCTACTCGAGGAATGCGCTGTGTACCCCAAATCGTCTCGAGATGAGAGCTGATTCCCCGGCTTAGGCTCAAGACGTATGCCAACTTTCCAGAAGCACCTCAGGAGGAGGCTTCTCTCAGCAATAGGTATGTGGGAGGGACCCCGAGTTTGCTGCCTCAAGGGGAATATACAGCGAGAAGCCCTAACTTGAAAGGAGGCCGGATTTCCTTGCAGTGGCTTGAATACAGGCTCGTCTTTGATCTGACAACTTGAAGGGATGTCTGAATCCCCTGTGGAGACCTTAGAGAAAGCCCTAGGTCCCTGCCTCATTTTGACTGAATGCCTCACATCCCGCTGACACCTGGAGAGGCACGCGGAGTTCATTGCTTCAAAAGGTGACGATGCCTGACTCCTCTTGAATACTGATAGGAATCCCAAAATTCCTGTGGTTACTGGAAAGGGTCCTTGGGTGCCCTGCCTCACCTCGAGAAGCGTCCCTTTTGCCCTGCCAAGCCTCGAAGAGATTCCTGAGGTGTCCCTCGTTACTAGGCAGGAGTCCTGACGTCACTGGAGAAACTCGTGTTTTGAAGTGCCATCCCCGCTAAGTCGAGAACATACCCCAGGGCCCCGCCGCAACTCGAGAAAAACCGTGAGACTTCCCCCTAGAGGCGAGATGAGGCCCCATTCCCCTGCAGTGCATGCAGAGCTATTCCGTGATCCCATTCAAACAAGTCAGGAGCTTCGACTTGCTTAATGGATCTCGAGACAGTCCCCAAGAACACTGTCACCAGTCTAGACGGACCCTGATGTCACCCAGCAATGCAAAGCAGCTCCATGTGCCCCAAATCAACTCGAGATGAGGCCGTATTCCCCTGCATTGACTCCAGAGCCATTCCCTGTTCCCCATTCAACACGACCGGTGGCTCGACTTCCTTCAGGCAACTCCAGAGATGCCCGGAGAACACTGTCCCAAGTCTAGAGGACCACCAACTTCAGCACAGCAACTCGAGGAATGCTCTGTGTACCCCAAATCGTCTCGAGATGAGAGCTGATTCCCTGGCTTAGGCTCAAGACTTATGCCAACTTTCCAGAAGCACCTCAGGAGGAGGATTCTCTCAGCAATAGGTATGTGGGAGGGACCCCGAGTTTGCTGCCTCAAGGGGAATATACAGCGAGAAGCCCTAACTTGAAAGGAGGCCGGATTTCCTTGCAGTGGCTTGAATACAGGTTCGTCTTTCATCTCACAACATGAAGGGATGTCTGAATCCCCTGTGGAGACCTTAGAGAAAGCCCTAGGTCCCTGCCTCATTTTGACGGAATCCTCACATCCCGCTGACACCTCGAGAGGCACGCGGAGTTCATTGCTTCAAAAGGTGACGATGCCTGACTCCTCTTGAATACTGATAGGAATCTCAAAATCCCTGTGGCTACTGGAAAGGGTCCTTGGGTGCCCTGGCTCACCTCGAGAAGCGTCCCTTTTGCCCTGCCAAGCCTCGAAGTGATTGCTGAGGTGTCCCACGTTACTAGACAGTTGTCCTGACGTCACGGAAGAAACTCGTGTTTTGAAGGGCCATCCCCGCCGTAAGTCGAGAACATACCCCAGGTCCCCGCTGCAACTCGAGAAAAACCATGAGACTTCCCCCTAGAGGCGAGATGAGGCCCCATTCCCCTGCAGTGCATGCAGAGCTATTCCGTGATCCCATTCAAACAAGTCAGGAGCTTCGACTTGCTTAATGGATCTCGAGACAGTCCCCAAGAACACTGTCACCAGTCTAGACGGACCCTGAGGTCACCCCAGCAACGCAAAGCAGCTCCATGTGCCACAAATCAACTCGAGATGAGGCCCGATTCCCCTGCATTGACTCCAGAGCCATTCCCCGTTCCCCATTCAACAGGACCGGTGGCTCGGTTTCCTTCAGGCAACTCCAGAGATGCCCCGAGAACACTGTCCCAAGTCTAGAGGAACACCAACTTCAGCACAGCAACTCGAGTAATGCTCTGTGTACCCCAAATCGTCTCGAGATGAGAGCTGATTCCCTGGCTTAGGCTCAAGACGTATGCCAACTTTCCAGAAGCACCTCAGGAGGAGGCTTCTCAGCAATAGGTATGTGGGAGGGACTCCGAGTTTGCTGCCTCAAGGGGAATATACAGCGAGAAGCCCTAACTTGAAAGGAGGCCGGATTTCCTTGCAGTAGCTTGAATACAGGCATGTCTTTCATCTCACAACATGAAGGGATGTCTGAATCCCCTGTGGAGACCTTAGAGAAAGCCCTAGGTCCCTGCCTCATTTTGACGGAATGCCTCACATCCCGCTGACACCTCGAGAGGCACGCGGAGTTCATTGCTTCAAAAGGTGACGATGCCTGACTCCTCTTGAATACTGATAGGAATCCCAAAATCCCTGTGGCTACTGGAAAGGTTCCTTGGGTGCCCTGCCTCACTTCGAGAAGCGTCCCTTTTGCCCTGCCAAGCCTCGAAGAGATTCCTGAGGTGTCCCTCGTTACTAGACAGGAGTCCTGACGTCACTGAAGAAACTCGTGTTTTGAAGGGCCATCCCCGCCGTAAGTCGAGAACATACCCCAGGTCCCCGCCGCAACTCGAGAAAAACCATGAGACTTCCCCCTAGAGGCGAGATGAGGCCCCATTCCCCTGCAGTGCATGCAGAGCTATTCCGTGATCCCATTCAAACAAGTCAGGAGCTTCGACGTGCTTAATGGATCTCGAGACAGTCCCCAAGAACACTGTCACCAGTCTAGACGGAACCTGAGGTCACCCCAGCAACGCAAAGCTGCTCCATGTGCCCCAAATCAACTCGAGATGAGGCCCGATTCCCCTGCATTGACTCCAGAGCCATTCCCAGTTCCCCATTCAACACGACCGGTGGCTCGACTTCCTTCAGGCAACTCCAGAGATGCCCCGAGAACACTGTCCCAAGTCTAGAGGAGCACCAATTTCAGCACAGCAACCAGCAGAATGCTCCGTGTACCCCAAATCATGTCGAGATGAGAGCTGATTCCCTGGCTTAGGCTCAAGACGTATGCCAACTTTCCAGAAGCACCGCAGGAGGAGGCTTCTCTCAGCAATAGGTATGTGGGAGGGACCCCGAGTTTGCTGCCTCAAGGGGAATACACAGGGAGAAGCCCTAATGTGAACGGAGGCCGGATTTCCTTGCAGTGGCTTGAATACAGGCTCGTCTTTGATCTGACAACATGAAGGGATGTCTGAATCCCCTGTGGAGACCTTAGAGAAAGCCCTAGGTCACTGCCTCATTTTGACTGAATGCCTCACATCCCGCTGACACCTGGAGAGGCACGCGGAGTTCATTGCTTCAAAAGGTGACGATGCCTGACTCCTCTTGAATACTGAGAGGAATCCCAAAATCACTGTGGCTACTGGAAAGGGTCCTTGGGTGCCCTACCTTACCTCGAGAAGCGTCCCTTTTGCCCTGCCAAGCCTCGAAGAGATTCCTGAGGTGTCCCTCGTTACTAGGCAGGAGTCCTGACGTCAGTGGAGAAACTCGTGTTTTGAAGTGCCATCCCCGCTAAGTCGAGAACATACCCCAGGGCCCCGCCGCAACTCGAGAAAAACCATGAGATTTCCCCCTAGAGGCGAGATGAGGCCCCATTCCCCTGCAGTGCATGCAGAGATATTCCGTGATCCCATTCAAACAAGTCAGGAGCTTCGACTTGCTTAATGGATCTCGAGACAGTCCCCAAGAACACTGTCACCAGTCTAGACGGACCCTGAGGTCACCGCAGCAACGCAAAGCAGCTCCATATGCCCCACATCAACTCGAGATGAGGCCCGATTCCCCTGCATTGACTCCAGAGCCATTCCCCGTTCCCCGTTCAACACGAACGGAGGCTCGCCTTCCTTCAGGCAACTCCAGAGATGCCCCGAGAACAGTGTCCCAAGTCTAGAGGAACACCAACTTCAGCACAGCAACTCGAGGAATGCTCTGTGTACCCCAAATCGTCTCGAGATGAGAGCTGATTCCCTGGCTTAGGCTCAAGACGTATGCCAACTTTCCAGAAGCACCTCAGGAGGAGGCTTCTCAGCAATAGGTATGTGGGAGGGACTCCGAGTTTGCTGCCTCAAGGGGAATATACAGCGAGAAGCCCTAACGTGAAAGGAGGCCGGATTTCCTTGCAGTAGCTTGAATACAGGCTTGTCTTTCATCTCACAACATGAAGGGATGTCTGAATACCCTGTGGAGACCTTAGAGAAAGCCCTAGGTCCCTGCCTCATTTTGCCAGAATGCCTCACATCCCGCTGACACCTCGAGAGGCACGCGGAGTTCATTGCTTCAAAAGGTGACGATGCCTGACTCCTCTTGAATACTGATAGGAATCCCAAAATCCCTGTGGCTCCTGGAAAGGGGCCTTGGGTGCCCTGCCTCACCTCGAGAAGCGTCCCTTTTGCCCTGCCAAGCCTCGAAGAGATTCCTGAGGTGTCCCTCGTTACTAGGCAGGAGTCCTGACGTCACTGAAGAAACTCGTGTTTTGAAGGGCCATCCCTGCCGTAAGTCGAGAACATACCCCAGGTCCCCGCCGCAACTCGAGAAAAACCATGAGACTTCCCCCTAGAGGCGAGATGAGGCCCCAATCCCCTGCAGTGCATGCAGAGCTATTCCGTGATCCCATTCAAACAAGTCAGGAGCTTCGACTTGCTTAATGGATCTCGAGACAGTCCCCAAGAACACTGTCACCAGTCTAGATGGACCCTGAGGTCACCCCAGCAACGCAAAGCTGCTCCATGTGCCCCAAATCAACTCGAGATGAGGCCCGATTCCCCTGCATTGACTCCAGAGCCATTCCCCGTTCCCCATTCAACACGACCGGTGGTTCGATTTCCTTCAGGCAACTCCAGAGATGCCCCGAGAACACTGTCCCAAGTCTAGAGGAACACCAACTTCAGCAGAGCAACTGGAGGAATGCTCCGTGTACCACAAATCATCTCGAGATGAGAGCTGATTCCCTGGCTTAGGCTCAAGACGTATGCCAACTTTCCAGAAGCACCTCAGGAGGAGGCTTCTCTCAGCAATAGGTTTGTGGGAGGGACCCCGAGTTTGCTGCCTCAAGGGGAATACACAGGGAGAAGCCCTAATGTGTACGGAGGCCAGATTTCCTTGCAGTGGCTTGAATACAGGCTCGTCTTTGATCTGACAACATGAAGGGATTTCTGAATCCCCTGTGGAGACCTTAGAGGAAGCCCTAGGTCCCTGCCTCATTTTGACGGAATACCTCACATCCCCCTGACACCTCGAGAGGCACGCAGAGTTCATTGCTTCAAAAGGTGACGATGCCTGACTCCTCTTGAATACTTATAGGAATCCCAAAATCCCTGTACTACTGGAAAGGGTCCTTGGGTGCCCTGGCTCAGCTCGAGAAGCGTCCCTTTTGCCCTGCCAAGCCTCGAAGAGATTGCTGAGGTGTCCCTCATTACTAGACAGGAGTCCTGACGTCACTGAAGAAACTCGTGTTTTGAAGGGCCATCCCCGCCGTAAGTCGAGAACATACCCCAGGTCCCCGCCGCAACTCGAGAAAAACCATGAGATTTCCCCCTAGAGGCGAGATGAGGCCCCATTCCCATGCAGTGCATGCAGAGCTATTCCGTGATCCCATTCAAACAAGTCAGGAGCTTCGACTTGCTTAATGGATCTCGAGACAGTCCCCAAGAACACTGTCACCAGTCTAGATGGACCCTGAGGTCACCCCAGCAACGCAAAGCAGCTCCATGTGCCACAAATCAACTCGAGATGAGGCCCGATTCCCCTGCATTGACTCCAGAGCCATTCCCAGTTCCCCATTCAACAGGACCGGTGGCTCGGTTTCCTTCAGGCAACTCCAGAGATGCCCCGAGAACACTGTCCCAAGTCTAGAGGAACAAAAACTTCAGCACAGCAACTCGAGGAATGCTCTGTGTACCCCAAATCGTCTCGAGATGAGAGCTGATTCCCTGGCTTAGGCTCAAGACGTATGCCAACTTTCCAGAAGCACCTCAGGAGGAGGCTTCTCAGCATTAGGTATGTGGGAGGGACTCCGAGTTTGCTGCCTCAAGGGGAATATACAGCGAGAAGCCCTAACTTGAAAGGAGGCCGGATTTCCTTGCAGTGGCTTGAATACAGGCTCGTCTTCCATCTCACAACATGAAGGGATGTCTGAATCCCCTGTGGAGACCTTAGAGGAAGCCCTAGGTCCCTGCGTCATTTTGACGGAATCCTCACATCCCGCTGACACCTCGAGAGGCACGCGGAGTTCATTGCTTCAAAAGGTGACAATGCCTGACTCCTCTTGAATACTGATAGGAATCCCAAAATCCCTGTGGCTACTGGAAAGGGTCTTGGGTGCCCTGCCTCACCTCGAGAAGCGTCCCTTTTGCCCTGCCAAGCCTCGAAGAGATTGCTGAGGTGTCCCTCGTTACTAGGCAGGAGTCCTGACGTCACTGGAGAAACTCGTGTTTTGAGGGGCCATCCCCGCCGTAAGTCGAGAACATACCCCAGGTCCCCGCCCCAACTCGAGAAAAACCGTGAGACTTCCCCCTAGAGGCGAGATGAGGCCCCATTCCCCTGCAGTGCATGCAGAGCTATTCCGTGATCCCATTCAAACAAGTCAGGAGCTTCGACTTGCTTAATGGATCTCGAGACAGTCCCCAAGAACACTGTCACCAGTCTAGACGGACCCTGAGGTCACACAGCAATGCAAAGCAGATCCATGTACCCCAAATCAACTCGAGATGAGGCCGGATTCCCCTGCATTGACTCCAGAGCCATTCCCAGTTCCCCATTCATCACGACCGGTGGCTCGACTTCCTTTAGGCAACTCCAGAGATGCCCCGAGAACACTGTCCCAAGTCTAGAGGAACACCAACTTCAGCACAGCAACTCGAGGAATGCTCCGTGTACCCCAAATCATCTCGAGATGAGAGCTGATTCCCTGGCTTAGGCTCAAGACGTATGCCAACTTTCCAGAAGCACCTCAGGAGGAGGCTTCTCTCAGCAATAGGTATGTGGGAGGGACCCCGAGTTTGCTGCCTCAAGGAGAATACACAGGGAGAAGCCCTAATGTGAACGGAGGCCAGATTTCCTTGCAGTGGCTTGAATACAGGCTCGTCTTTGGTCTGACAACATGAAGGGTTGTCTGAATCCCCTGTGGAGACCTTAGAGGAAGCCCTAGGTCCCTGCCTCATTTTGACGGAATACCTCACATCCCCCTGACACTTCGAGAGACACGCAGAGTTCATTGCTTCAAAAGGTGACTATGCCTGACTCCTCTTGAATACTTATAGGAATCCCAAAATCCCTGTGGCTACTGGAAAGGGTCCTTGGGTGCCCTGGCTCACCTCGAGAAGCGTCCCTTTTGCCCTGCCAAGCCTCGAAGAGATTGCTGAGGTGTCCCTCATTACTAGACAGGAGTCCTGACGTCACTGAAGAAACTCGTGTTTTGAAGGGCCATCCCCGCCGTAAGTCGAGAACATACCCCAGGTCCCCGCCGCAACTCGAGAAAAACCATGAGACTTCCCCCTAGAAGCGAGATGAGGCCCCATTCCCCTGCAGTGCATGCAGAGCTATTCCGTGATCCCATTCAAACAAGTCAGGAGCTTCGACTTGCTTAATGGATCTCGAGACAGTCCCCAAGAACACTGTCACCAGTCTAGACGGACCCTGAGGTCTCCCAGCAATGCAAAGCAGCTCCATGTGCCCCAAATCAACTCGAGATGAGGCCGGATTCCCCTGCATTGACTCCAGAGCTATTCCCCGTTTCCCATTCAACACGACCGGTGGCTCGACTTCCTTCAGGCAACTCCAGAGATGCCCCGAGAACACTGTCCCAAGTCTAGAGGAACACCAACTTCAGCACAGCAACTCGAGGAATGCTCCGTGTACCCCAAATCATCTCGAGATGAGAGCTGATTCCCTGGCTTAGGGTCAAGACGTATTCCAACTTTCCAGAAGCACCTCAGGAGGAGGCTTCTCTCAGCAATAGGTATGTGGGAGGGACCCCGAGTTTGCTGCCTCAAGGGGAATACACAGGGAGAAGCCCTAATGTGAACGGAGGCCAGATTTCGTTGCAGTGGCTTGAATATAGGCTCGTCTTTCATCTCACAACATGAACGGATGTCTGAATCCGCTGTGGAGACTTTAGAGGAAGCCCTAGGTCCCTGCCTCATTTTGACGGAATCCTCACATCCCGCTGACACCTCGAGAGGCACGCGGAGTTCATTGCTTCAAAAGGTGACGATGCCTGACTCCTCTTGAATACTGATAGGAATCCCAAAATCCATTTGGCTCCTGGAAAGGGTCCTTGGGTGCCCTGCCTCACCTCGATAAGCGTCCGTTTTGCCCTGCCAAGCCTCGAAGAGATTCCTGAGGTGTCCCTCGTTACTAGACAGGAGTCCTGACGACACTGAAGAAACTCGTGTTTTGAAGGGCCATCCCCGCCGTAAGTCGAGAACATACCCCAGGTCCCCGCCGCAACTCGAGAAAAACCATGAGACTTCCCCCTAGAGGCGAGATGAGGCCCCATTCCCCTGCAGTGCATGCAGAGCTATTCCGTGATCCCATTTAAACAAGTCAGGAGCTTCAACTTGCTTAATGGATCTCGAGACAGTCCCCAAGAACACTGTCACCAGTCTAGATGGACCCTGAGGTCACCCCAGCAACGCAAAGCTGCTCCATGTGCCCCAAATCAACTCGAGATGAGGCCCGATTCCCCTGCATTGACTCCAGAGCCATTCCCCGTTCCACATTCAACAGGACCTGTGGCTCGACTTCCTTCAGGCAACTCCAGAGATGCCCCGAGAACACTGTCCCAAGTCTAGAGGAACACCAACTTCAGCACAGCAACTCGAGGAATGCTCCGTGTACCCCAAATCATCTCGAGATGAGAGCTGATTCCCTGGCTTAGGCTCAAGACGTATGCCAACTTTCCAGAAGCACCTCAGGAGGAGGCTTCTCTCAGCAATAGGTATGTGGGAGGGACCCCGAGTTTGCTGCCTCAAGGGGAATACACAGGGAGAAGCCCTAATGTGAACGGAGGCCAGATTTCCTTGCAGTGGCTTGAATACAGGCTCGTCTTTGATCTGACACCATGAAGGGATGTCTGAATCCCCTGTGGAGTCCTTAGAGGAAGCCCTAGGTCCCTGCCTCATTTTGACGGAATACCTGACATCCCCCTGACACCTCGAGAGGCACGCAGAGATCACTGCTTGAAAAGGTGACGATGCCTGACTCCTCTTGAATACTTATAGGAATCCCAAAATCCCTGTGGCTACTGGAAAGGGTCCTTGGGTGCCCTGGCTCACCTCGAGAGGCGTCCCTTTTGCCCTGCCAAGCCTCGAAGAGATTCCTGAGGTGTCCCTCATTACTAGACAGGAGTCCTGACGTCACGGAAGAAACTCGTGTTTTGAAGGGCCATCCCCGCCGTAAGTCGAGAACATACCCCAGGTTCCCGCCGCAACTCGAGAAAAACCATGAGACTTCCCCCTAGAGGCGAGATGAGGCCCCATTCCCCTGCAGTGCATGCAGAGCTATTCCGTGATCCCATTCAAACAAGTCAGGAGCTTCGACTTGCTTAATGGATCTCGAGACAGTCCCCAAGAACACTGTCACCAGTCTAGACGGACCCTGAGGTCACCCAGCAATGCAAAGCAGCTCCATGTGCCCCAAATCTACTCGAGATGAGGCCGGATTCCCCTTCATTGACTCCAGAGCCATTCCCCGTTCCCCATTCAACACGACCGGTGGCTCGACTTCCTTCTGGCAACTCCAGAGATGCCCCGAGAACACTGTCCCAAGTCTAGAGGACCACCAACTGAAGCACAGCTACTCGAGGAATGCGCTGTGTACCCCAAATCGTCTCGAGATGAGAGCTGATTCCCCGGCTTAGGCTCAACACGTATGCCAACTTTCCAGAAGCACCTCAGGAGGAGGCTTCTCTCAGCAATAGGTATGTGGGAGGGACCCCGATTTTGCTGCCTCAAGGGGAATATACAGCGAGAAGCCCTAACTTGAAAGGAGGCCGGATTTCTTTACAGTGGCTTGAATACAGGCTCGTCTTTCATCTCACAACATGAAGGGATGTCTGAATCCCCTGTGGAGACCTTAGAGGAAGCCCTAGGTCCCTGCCTCATTTTGACGGAATCCTCACATCCCGCTGACACCTCGAGAGGCACGCGGAGTTCATTGCTTCAAAAGGTGACGATGCCTGACTCCTCTTGAATACTTATAGGAATCCCAAAATCCCTGTGGCTACTGGAAAGGGTCCTTGGGTGCCCTAGCTCACCTCGAGAAGCGTCCCTTTTGCCCTGCCAAGCCTCGAAGAGATTGCTGAGGTGTCCCTCGTTACTAGACAGGAGTCCTGACGTCACTGAAGAAACTCATGTTTTGAAGGGCCATCCCCGCCGTAAGTCGAGAACAAACCCCAGGTCCCCACCGCAACTCGAGAAAAACCGTGAGACTTCCCCCTAGAGGCGAGATGAGGCCCCATTCCCCTACAGTGCATGCAGAGCTATTCCGTGATCCCATTCAAACAAGTCAGGAGCTTCGACTTGCTTAATGGATCTCGAGACAGTCCCCAAGAACACTGTCACCAGTCTAGACGGACCCTGATGTCACCCAGCAATGCAAAGCTGCTCCATGTGCCCCAAATCAACTCGAGATGAGGCCGTATTCCCCTGCATTGACTCCAGACCCATTCCCTGTTCCCCATTCAACACGACCGGTGGCTCGACTTCCTTCAGGCAACTCCAGAGATGCCCCGAGAACACTGTCCCAAGTCTAGAGGACCACCAACTTCAGCACAGCAACTCGAGGAATGCTCTGTGTACCCCAAATCGTCTCGAGATGAGAGCTGATTCCCTGGCTTAGGCTCAAGACTTATGCCAACTTTCCAGAAGCACCTCAGGAGGAGGCTTCTCTCAGCAATAGGTATGTGGGAGGGACCCCGAGTTTGCTGCCTCAAGGGGAATATACAGCGAGAAGCCCTAACTTGAAAGGAGGCCGGATTTCCTTGCAGTGGCTTGAATACAGGCTCGTCTTTCATCTCACAACATGAAGGGATGTCTGAATCCCCTGTGGAGACCTTAGAGGAAGCCCTAGGTCCCTGCCTCATTTTGACGGAATCCTCACATCCCGCTGACACCTCGAGAGGCACGCGGAGTTCATTGCTTCAAAAGGTGACGATGCCTGACTCCTCTTGAATACTTATAGGAATCCCAAAATCCCTGTGGCTACTGGAAAGGGTCCTTGGGTGCCCTAGCTCACCTCGAGAAGCGTCCCTTTTGCCCTGCCAAGCCTCGAAGAGATTGCTGAGGTGTCCCTCGTTACTAGACAGGAGTCCTGACGTCACTGAAGAAACTCATGTTTTGAAGGGCCATCCCCGCCGTAAGTCGAGAACATACCCCAGGTCCCCACCGAAACTCGAGAAAAACCGTGAGACTTCCCCCTAGAGGCGAGATGAGGCCCCATTCCCCTGCAGTGCAGGCAGAGCTATTCCGTGATCCCATTCAAACAAGTCAGGAGCTTCGACTTGCTTAATGGATCTCGAGACAGTCTCCAAGAACACTGTCACCAGTCTAGACGGACCCTGAGGTCACCCCAGCAACGCAAAGCAGGTCCATGTGCCACAAATCAACTCGAGATGAGGCCCGATTCCCCTGCATTGATTCCAGAGCCATTCCCCGTTCCCCGTTCAACACGACCGGTGGCTCGCCTTCCTTCAGGCAACTCCAGAGATGCCCCGAGAACACTGTCCCAAGTCTAGAGGAACACCAACCTCAGCGCAGCAACTCGAGGAATGCTCCGTGTACCCCAAATCATCTCGAGATGAGAGCTGATTCCTTCGCTTAGGCTCAAGACGTATGCCAACTTTCCAGAAGCACCTCAGGAGGAGGCTTCTCTCAGCAATAGGTATGTGGGAGGGACCCCGAGTTTGCTGCCTCAAGGGGAATATACAGCGAGAAGCCCTAACTTGAAAGGAGGCCGGATTTCCTTGCAGTGGCTTGAATACAGGCTCGTCTTTGATCTGACAACTTGAAGGGATGTCTGAATCCCCTGTGGAGACCTTAGAGAAAGCCCTAGGTCCCTGCCTCATTTTGACTGAATGCCTCACATCCCGCTGACACCTGGAGAGGCACGCGGAGTTCATTGCTTCAAAAGGTGACGATGCCTGACTCCTCTTGAATACTGATAGGAATCCCAAAATTCCTGTGGCTACTGGAAAGGGTCCTTGGGTGCCCTGCCTCACCTCGAGAAGCGTCCCTTTTGCCCTGCCAAGCCTCGAAGAGATTCCTGAGGTGTCCCTCGTTACTAGGCAGGAGTCCTGACGTCACTGGAGAAACTCTTGTTTTGAAGTGCCATCCCCGCTAAGTCGAGAACATACCCCAGGGCCCCGCCGCAACTCGAGAAAAACCGTGAGACTTCCCCCTAGAGGCGAGATGAGGCCCCATTCCCCTGCAGTGCATGCAGAGCTATTCCGTGATCCCATTCAAACAAGTCAGGAGCTTCGACTTGCTTAATGGATCTCGAGACAGTCCCCAAGAACACTGTCACCAGTCTAGACGGACCCTGATGTCACCCAGCAATGCAAAGCAGCTCCATGTGCCCCAAATCAACTCGAGATGAGGCCGTATTCCCCTGCATTGACTCCAGAGCCATTCCCTGTTCCCCATTCAACACGACCGGTGGCTCGACTTCCTTCAGGCAACTCCAGAGATGCCCGGAGAACACTGTCCCAAGTCTAGAGGACCACCAACTTCAGCACAGCAACTCGAGGAATGCTCTGTGTACCCCAAATCGTCTCGAGATGAGAGCTGATTCCCTGGCTTAGGCTCAAGACTTATGCCAACTTTCCAGAAGCACCTCAGGAGGAGGCTTCTCTCAGCAATAGGTATGTGGGAGGGACCCCGAGTTTGCTGCCTCAAGGGGAATATACAGCGAGAAGCCTTAACTTGAAAGGAGGCCGGATTTCCTTGCAGTGGCTTGAATACAGGCTCGTCTTTCATCTCACAACATGAAGGGATGTCTGAATCCCCTGTGGAGACCTTAGAGCAAGCCCTAGGTCCCTGCCTCATTTTGACGGAATCCTCACATCCCGCTGACACCTCGAGAGGCACGCGGAGTTCATTGCTTCAAAAGGTGACGATGCCTGACTCCTCTTGAATACTTATAGGAATCCCAAAATCCCTGTGGCTACTGGAAAGGGTCCTTGGGTGCCCTAGCTCACCTCGAGAAGCGTCCCTTTTGCCCTGCCAAGCCTCGAAGAGATTGCTGAGGTGTCCCTCGTTACTAGACAGGAGTCCTGACGTCACTGAAGAAACTCATGTTTTGAAGGGCCATCCCCGCCGTAAGTCGAGAACATACCCCAGGTCCCCACCGAAACTCGAGAAAAACCGTGAGACTTCCCCCTAGAGGCGAGATGAGGCCCCATTCCCCTGCAGTGCAGGCAGAGCTATTCCGTGATCCCATTCAAACAAGTCAGGAGCTTCGACTTGCTTAATGGATCTCGAGACAGTCTCCAAGAACACTGTCACCAGTCTAGACGGACCCTGAGGTCACCCCAGCAACGCAAAGCAGGTCCATGTGCCACAAATCAACTCGAGATGAGGCCCGATTCCCCTGCATTGATTCCAGAGCCATTCCCCGTTCCCCGTTCAACACGATCGGTGGCTCGCCTTCCTTCAGGCAACTCCAGAGATGCCCCGAGAACACTGTCCCAAGTCTAGAGGAACACCAACCTCAGCGCAGCAACTCGAGGAATGCTTCGTGTACCCCAAATCATCTCGAGATGAGAGCTGATTCCTTCGCTTAGGCTCAAGACGTATGCCAACTTTCCAGAAGCACCTCAGGAGGAGGCTTCTCTCAGCAATAGGTATGTGGGAGGGACCCCGAGTTTGCTGCCTCAAGGGGAATATACAGCGAGAAGCCCTAACTTGAAAGGAGGCCGGATTTCCTTGCAGTGGCTTGAATACAGGCTCGTCTTTGATCTGACAACTTGAAGGGATGTCTGAATCCCCTGTGGAGACCTTAGAGAAAGCCCTAGGTCCCTGCCTCATTTTGACTGAATGCCTCACATCCCGCTGACACCTGGAGAGGCACGCGGAGTTCATTGCTTCAAAAGGTGACGATGCCTGACTCCTCTTGAATACTGATAGGAATCCCAAAATTCCTGTGGCTACTGGAAAGGGTCCTTGGGTGCCCTGCCTCACCTCGAGAAGCGTCCCTTTTGCCCTGCCAAGCCTCGAAGAGATTCCTGAGGTGTCCCTCGTTACTAGGCAGGAGTCCTGACGTCACTGGAGAAACTCGTGTTTTGAAGTGCCATCCCCGCTAAGTCGAGAACATACCCCAGGGCCCCGCCGCAACTCGAGAAAAACCGTGAGACTTCCCCCTAGAGGCGAGATGAGGCCCCATTCCCCTGCAGTGCATGCAGAGCTATTCCGTGATCCCATTCAAACAAGTCAGGAGCTTCGACTTGCTTAATGGATCTCGAGACAGTCCCCAAGAACACTGTCACCAGTCTAGACGGACCCTGATGTCACCCAGCAATGCAAAGCAGCTCCATGTGCCCCAAATCAACTCGAGATGAGGCCGTATTCCCCTGCATTGACTCCAGAGCCATTCCCTGTTCCCCATTCAACACGACCGGTGGCTCGACTTCCTTCAGGCAACTCCAGAGATGCCCGGAGAACACTGTCCCAAGTCTAGAGGACCACCAACTTCAGCACAGCAACTCGAGGAATGCTCTGTGTACCCCAAATCGTCTCGAGATGAGAGCTGATTCCCTGGCTTAGGCTCAAGACTTATGCCAACTTTCCAGAAGCACCTCAGGAGGAGGCTTCTCTCAGCAATAGGTATGTGGGAGGGACCCCGAGTTTGCTGCCTCAAGGGGAATATACAGCGAGAAGCCTTAACTTGAAAGGAGGCCGGATTTCCTTGCAGTGGCTTGAATACAGGCTCGTCTTTCATCTCACAACATGAAGGGATATCTGAATCCCCTGTGGAGACCTTAGAGCAAGCCCTAGGTCCCTGCCTCATTTTGACGGAATCCTCACATCCCGCTGACACCTCGAGAGGCACGCGGAGTTCATTGCTTCAAAAGGTGACGATGCCTGACTCCTCTTGAATACTGATAGGAATCCCAAAATCCCTGTGGCTACTGGAAAGGGTCCTTGGGTGCCCTGGCTCACCTCGAGAAGCGTCCCTTTTGCCCTGCCAAGCCTCGAAGATATTGCTGAGGTGTCCCTCGTTACTAGACAGGAGTCCTGACGTCACTGAAGAAACTCGTGTTTTGAAGGGCCATCCCCGCCGTAAGTCGAGAACATACCCCAGGTCCCCGCCGCAACTCGAGAAAAACCATGAGACTTCCCCCTAGAGGCGAGATGAGGCCCCATTCCCCTGCAGTGCATGCAGAGCTATTCCGTGATCCCATTCAAACAAGTCAGGAGCTTCGACTTGCTTAATGGATCTCGAGACAGTCTCCAAGAACACTGTCACCAGTCTAGACGGACCCTGAGGTCACCCCAGCAACGCAAAGCAGCTCCATGTGCCACAAATCAACTCGAGATGAGGCCCGATTCCCCTGCATTGATTCCAGAGCCATTCCCCGTTCCCCGTTCAACACGACCGGTGGCTCGCCTTCCTTCAGGCAACTCCAGAGATGCCCCGAGAACACTCTCCCAAGTCTAGAGGAACACCACCCTCAGCGCAGCAACTCGAGGAATGCTCCATGTACCCCAAATCATCTCGAGATGAGAGCTGATTCCTTCGCTTAGGCTCAAGACGTATGCCAACTTTCCAGAAGCACCTCAGGAGGAGGCTTCTCTCAGCAATAGGTATGTGGGAGGGACCCCGAGTTTGCTGCCTCAAGGGGAATATACAGCGAGAAGCCCTAACTTGAAAGGAGGCCGGATTTCCTTGCAGTGGCTTGAATACAGGCTCGGCTTTGATCTGACAACATGAAGGGATGTCTGAATCCCCTGTGGAGACCTTAGAGAAAGCCCTAGGTCCCTGCCTCATTTTGACGGAATCCTCACATCCCGCTGACACCTCGAGAGGCACGCGGAGTTCATTGCTTCAAAAGGTGACGATGCCTGACTCCTCTTGAATACTGATAGGAATCCCAAAATCCCTGTGGCTACTGGAAAGGGTCCTTGGGTGCCCTGGCTCACCTCGAGAAGCGTCCCTTTTGCCCTGCCAAGCCTCGAAGAGATTCCTGAGGTGTCCCTCGTTACTAGGCAGGAGTCCTGACGTCATTGGAGAAACTCGTGTTTTGAAGTGCCATCCCCGCTAAGTCGAGAACATACCCCAGGGCCCCGCCGCAACTCGAGAAAAACCGTGAGACTTCCCCCTAGAGGCGAGATGAGGCCCCATTCCCCTGCAGTGCATGCAGAGCTATTCCGTGATCCCATTCAAACAAGTCAGGAGCTTCGACTTGCTTAATGGATCTCGAGACAGTCCCCAAGAACACTGTCACCAGTCTAGACGGACCATAAGGTCACTCAGCAATGCAAAGCAGCTCCATGTGCCCCAAATCAACTCGAGATGAGGCCGTATTCCGCCGCATTGACTGCAGAGCCATTCCCCGTTCACCATTCAACACGACCGGTGGCTCGACTTCCTTCAGGCAACTCCAGAGATGCCCCGAGAACACTGTCCCAAGTCTAGAGGAACACCAACTTCAGCACAGCAACTCGAGGAATGCTCCGTGTACCCCAAATCATCTCGAGATGAGAGCTGATTCCCTGGCTTAGGCTCAAGACGTATGCCAACTTTCCAAAAGCACCTCAGGAGGAGGCTTCTCTCAGCAATAGGTATGTGGGAGGGACCCCGAGTTTGCTGCCTCAAGGGGAATACACAGGGAGAAGCCCTAATGTGAACGGAGGCCAGATTTCCTTGCAGTGGCTTGAATACAGGCTCGTCTTTGATCTGACAACATGAAGGGATGTCTGAATCCCCTGTGGAGTCCTTAGAGGAAGCCCTAGCTCCCTGCCTCATTTTGACGGAATACCTCACATCCCCCTGACACCTCGAGAGGCACGCAGAGATCACTGCTTGAAAAGGTGACGATGCCTGATTCCACTTGAATACTTATAGGAATCCCAAAATCACTGTGGCTACTGGAAAGGGTCCTTGGGTGCCCTGGCTCACCTCGAGAGGCGTCCCTTTTGCCCTGCCAAGCCTCGAAGAGATTCCTGAGGTGTCCCTCATTACTAGACAGGAGTCCTGACGTCACTGAAGAAACTCGTGTTTTGAAGGGCCATCCCCGCCGTAAGTCGAGAACATACCCCAGGTCCCCGCCGCAACTCGAGAAAAACCATGAGACTTCCCCCTAGAGGCGAGATGAGGCCCCATTCCCCTGCAGTGCATGCAGAGCTATTCCGTGATCCCATTCAAACAAGTCAGGAGCTTCGACTTGCTTAATGGATCTCGAGGCAGTCCCCAAGAACACTGTCACCAGTCTAGACGGACCCTGAGGTCACCCAGCAATGCAAAGCAGCTCCATGTGCCCCAAATCAACTCGAGATGAGGCCGGATTCCCCTGCATTGACTCCAGAGCCATTCCTTGTTCCCCGTTCAACACGACCGGTGGCTCGACTTCCTTCAGGCAACTCCAGAGATGCCCCGAGAACACTGTCCCAAGTCTAGAGGAGCACCAATTTCAGCACAGCAACCAGAGGAATGCTCCGTGTACCCCAAATCATGTCGAGATGAGAGCTGATTCCCTGGCTTAGGCTCAAGACGTATGCCACCTTTCCAGAAGAACCGCAGGAGGACGCTTCTCTCAGCAATAGGTATGTGGGAGGGACCCCGAGTTTGCTGCCTCAAGGGGAATACACAGGGAGAAGCCCTAATGTGAACGGAGGCCGGATTTCCTTGCAGTGGCTTGAATACAGGCTCGTCTTTGATCTGACAACATGAAGGGATGTCTGAATCCCCTGTGGAGACCTTAGAGAAAGCCCTAGGTCCCTGCCTCATTTTGACGGAATGCCTCACATCCCGCTGACACCTCGAGAGGCACGCGGAGTTCATTGCTTCAAAAGGTGACGATGCCTGACTCCTCTTGAATACTGATAGGAATCCCAAAATCACTGTGGCTACTGGAAAGGGTCCTTTGGTGCCCTGCCTCACCTCGAGAAGCGTCCCTTTTGCCCTGCCAAGCCTCGAAGAGATTCCTGAGGTGTCCCTCGTTACTAGGCAGGAGTCCTGACGTCAGTGGAGAAACTCGTGTTTTGAAGTGCCATCCCCGCTAAGTCGAGAACATATCCCAGGGCCCCGCCGCAACTCGAGAAAAACCATGAGACTTCCCCCTAGAGGCGAGATGAGGCCCCATTCCCCTGCAGTGCATGCAGAGCTATTCCGTGATCCCATTCAAACAAGTCAGGAGCTTCGACTTGCTTAATGGATCTCGAGACAGTCCCCAAGAACACTGTCACCAGTCTAGACGGACCCTGAGGTCACCGCAGCAACGCAAAGCAGCTCCATATGCCCCAAATCAACTCGAGATGAGGCCCGATTCCCCTGCATTGACTCCAGAGCCATTCCCCGTTCCCCGTTCAACACGAACGGAGGCTCGCCTTCCTTCAGGCAACTCCAGAGATGCCCCGAGAACAGTGTCCCAAGTCTAGAGGAACACCAACTTCAGCACAGCAACTCGAGGAATGCTCTGTGTACCCCAAATCGTCTCGAGATGAGAGCTGATTCCCTGGCTTAGGCTCAAGACGTATGCCAACTTTCCAGAAGCACCTCAGGAGGAGGCTTCTCAGCAATAGGTATGTGGGAGGGACTCCGAGTTTGCTGCCTCAAGGGGAATATACAGCGAGAAGCCCTAACGTGAAAGGAGGCCGGATTTCCCTGCAGTAGCTTGAATACAGGCTTGTCTTTCATCTCACAACATGAAGGGATGTCTGAATCCCCTGTGGAGACCTTAGAGAAAGCCCTAGGTCCCTGCCTCATTTTGCCAGAATGCCTCACATCCCGCTGACACCTCGAGAGGCACGCGGAGTTCATTGCTTCAAAAGGTGACGATGCCTGACTCCTCTTGAATACTGATAGGAATCCCAAAATCCCTGTGGCTCCTGGAAAGGGGCCTTGGGTGCCCTGCCTCACCTCGATAAGCGTCCCTTTTGCCCTGCCAAGCCTTTAAGAGATTCCTGAGGTGTCCCTCGTTACTAGACAGGAGTCCTGACGTCACTGAAGAAACTCGTGTTTTGAAGGGCCATCCCCGCCGTAAGTCGAGAACATACCCCAGGTCCCCGCCGCAACTCGAGAAAAACCATGAGACTTTCCCCTAGAGGCGAGATGAGGCCCCATTCCCCTGCAGTGCATGCAGAGCTATTCCGTGATCCCATTCAAACAAGTCAGGAGCTTCAACTTGCTTAATGGATCTCGAGACAGTCCCCAAGAACACTGTCACCAGTCTAGATGGACCCTGAGGTCACCCCAGCAACGCAAAGCTGCTCCATGTGCCCCAAATCAACTCGAGATGAGGCCCGATTCCCCTGCATTGACTCCAGAGCCATTCCCCGTTCCCCATTCAACACGACCGGTGGCTCGACTTCCTTCAGGCAACTCCAGAGATGCCCCGAGAACACTGTCCCAAGTCTAGAGGAACACCAACTTCAGCACAGCAACTCGAGGAATGCTCTGTGTACCCCAAATCGTCTCGAGATGAGAGCTGATTCCCTGGCTTAGGCTCAAGACGTATGCCAACTTTCCAGAAGCACCTCAGGAGGAGGCTTCTCTCAGCAATAGGTATGTGGGAGGGACTCCGAGATTGCTGCCTCAAGGGGAATATACAGCGAGAAGCCCTAACTTGAAAGGAGGCCGGATTTCCTTGCAGTGGCTTGAATACAGGCTCGTCTTTCATCTCACAACATGAAGGGATGTCTGAATCCCCTGTGGAGACCTTAGAGAAAGCCCTAGGTCCCTACCTCATTTTGACGGAATCCTCACATCCCGCTGACACCTCGAGAGGCACGCAGCGTTCATTGCTTCAAAAGGTGACGATGCCCGACTCCTCTTGAATACTGATAGGAATCCCAAAATCCCTGTGGCTACTGGAAATGTTCCTTGGGTGCCCTGCCTCACTTCGAGAAGCGTCCCTTTTGGCCTGCCAAGCCTCGAAGAGATTCCTGAGGTGTCCCTCGTTACTAGACAGGAGTCCTGACGTCACTGAAGAAACTCGTGTTTTGAAGGGCCATCCCCGCCGTAAGTCGAGAACATACCCCAGGTCCCCGCCGCAACTCGAGAAAAACCATGAGACTTCCCCCTAGAGGCGAGATGAGGCCCCATTCCCCTGCAGTGCATGCAGAGCTATTCCATGATCCAATTCAAACAAGTCAGGAGCTTCGACTTGCTAAATGGATCTCGAGACAGTCCCCAAGAACACTGTCACCAGTCTAGACGGACCCTGAGGTCACCCCAGCAACGCAAAGCTGCTCCATGTGCCCCAAATCAACTCGAGATGAGGCCCGATTCCCCTGCATTGACTCCAGAGCCATTCCCCGTTCCCCATTCAACACGACCGGTGGCTCGACTTCCTTCAGGCAACTCCAGAGATGCCCCGAGAACACTGTCCCAAGTCTAGAGGAGCACCAATTTCAGCACAGCAACCAGAGGAATGCTCCGTGTACCCCAAATCATCTCGAGATGAGAGCTGATTCCCTGGCTTAGGCTCAAGACGTATGCCAACTTTCCAGAAGCACCGCAGGAGGAGGCTTCTCTCAGCAATAGGTATGTGGGAGGGACCCCGAGTTTGCTGCCTCAAGGGGAATACACAGGGAGAAGCCCTAATGTGAACGGAGGCCAGATTTCCTTGCAGTGGCTTGAATACAGGCTCGTCTTTGATCTGACAACATGAAGGGATTTCTGAATCCCCTGTGGAGACCTTAGAGGAAGCCCTAGGTCCCTGCCTCATTTTGACGGAATACCTCACATCCCCCTGACACCTCGAGAGGCACGCAGCGTTCATTGCTTCAAAAGGTGACGATGCCTGACTCCTCTTGAATACTTATAGGAATTCCAAAATCCCTGTGGCTACTGGAAAGGGTCCTTGGGTGCCCTGGCTCACCTCGAGAAGCGTCCCTTTTGCCCTGCCAAGCCTCGAAGAGATTGCTGAGGTGTCCCTCATTACTAGACAGGAGTCCTGACGTCACTGAAGAAACTCGTGTTTTGAAGGGCCATCCCCGCCGTAAGTCGAGAACATACCCCAGGTCCCCGCAGCAACTCGAGAAAAACCATGAGATTTCCCCCTAGAGGCGAGATGAGGCCCCATTCCGCTGCAGTGCATGCAGAGCTATTCCATGATCCAATTCAAACAAGTCAGGAGCTTCGACTTGCTAAATGGATCTCGAGACAGTCCCCAAGAACACTGTCACCAGTCTAGACGGACCCTGAGGTCACCCCAGCAACACAAAGCAGCTCCATGTGCCCCAAATCAACTCGAGATGAGGCCCGATTCCCCTGCATTGACTCCAGAGCCATTCCCCGTTCCAAGTTCAAAACGAACGGTGGCTCGCCTTCCTTCAGGCAACTCCAGAGATGCCCCGAGAACACTGTCTCAAGTCTAGAGGACCACCAACTTCAGCACAGCAACTCGAGGAATGCTCTGTGTACCCCAAATCGTCTCGAGATGAGAGCTGATTCCCTGGCTTAGGCTCAAGACGTATGCCAACTTTCCAGAAGCACCTCAGGAGGAGGCTTCTCAGCAATAGGTATGTGGGAGGGACCCCGAGTTTTCTGCCTCAAGGGGAATACACAGGGAGAAGCCCTAACTTGAACGGAGGCCAGATTTCCTTGCAGTGGCTTGAATACAGGCTCGTCTTTGATCTGACAACATGAAGGGATTTCTGAATCCCCTGTGGAGACCTTAGAGGAAGCCCTAGGTCCCTGCCTCATTTTGACGGAATACCTCAAATCCCCCTGACACCTCGAGAGGCACGCAGAGTTCATTGCTTCAAAAGGTGACGATGCCTGACTCCTCTTGAATACTTATAGGAATCCCAAAATCCCTGTGCTACTGGAAAGGGTCCTTGGGTGCCCTGGCTCAGCTCGAGAAGCGTCCCTTTTGCCCTGCCAAGCCTCGAAGAGATTGCTGAGGTGTCCCTCATTACTAGACAGGAGTCCTGACGTCACTGAAGAAACTCGTGTTTTGAAGGGCCATCCCCGCCGTAAGTCGAGAACATACCCCAGGTCCCCGCCGCAACTCGAGAAAAACCATGAGATTTCCCCCTAGAGGCGAGATGAGGCCCCATTCCCCTGCAGTGCATGCAGAGCTATTCCGTGATCCCATTCAAACAAGTCAGGAGCTTCGACTTGCTTAATGGATCTCGAGACAGTCCCCAAGAACACTGTCACCAGTCTAGACGGACCCTGAGGTCACCCCAGCAACGCAAAGCAGCTCCATGTGCCCCAAATCAACTCGAGATGAGGCCCGATTCCCCTGCATTGACTCCAGAGCCATTCCCCGTTCCCCATTCAACAGGACCGGTGGCTCGGTTTCCTTCAGGCAACTCCAGAGATGCCCCGAGAACACTGTCCCAAGTCTAGAGGAACACAAACTTCAGCACAGCAACTCGAGGAATGCTCTGTGTACCCCAAATCGTCTCGAGATGAGAGCTGATTCCCTGGCTTAGGCTCAAGAGGTATGCCAACTTTCCAGAAGCACCTCAGGAGGAGGCTTCTCAGCAATAGGTATGTGGGAGGGACTCCGAGATTGCTGCCTCAAGGGGAATATACAGCGAGAAGCCCTAACTTGAAAGGAGGCCGGATTTCCTTGCAGTAGCTTGAATGCAGGCTTGTCTTTCATCTCACAACAGGAAGGGATGTCTGAATCCCCTGTGAAGACCTTAGAGAAAGCCCTAGGTCCCTGCCTCATTTTGACGGAATGCCTCACATCCCGCTGACAACTCGAGAGGCACGCGGAGTTCATTGTTTCAAAAGGTGACGATGCCTGACTCCTCTTGAATACTGATAGGAATCCCAAAATCCCTGTGGCTACTGGAAATGTTCCTTGGGTGCCCTGCCTCACTTCGAGAAGCGTCCCTTTTGGCCTGCCAAGCCTCGAAGAGATTCCTGAGGTGTCCCTCGTTACTAGACAGGAGTCCTGACGTCACTGAAGAAACTCGTGTTTTGAAGGGCCATCCCCGCCGTAAGTCGAGAACATACCCCAGGTCCCCGCCGCAACTCGAGAAAAACCATGAGACTTCCCCCTAGAGGCGAGATGAGGCCCCATTCCCCTGCAGTGCATGCAGAGCTATTCCGTGATCCCATTCAAACAAGTCAGGAGCTTCGACGTGCTTAATGGATCTCGAGACAGTCCCCAAGAACACTGTCACCAGTCTAGACGGACCCTGAGGTCACCCCGCAACGCAAAGCTGCTCCATGTGCCCCAAATCAACTCGAGATGAGGCCCGATTCCCCTGCATTGACTCCAGAGCCATTCCCCGTTCCCCATTCAACACGACCGGTGGCTCGACTTCCTTCAGGCAACTCCAGAGATGCCCCGAGAACACTGTCCCAAGTCTAGAGGAGCACCAATTTCAGCACAGCAACCAGAGGAATGCTCCGTGTACCCCAAATCATCTCGAGATGAGAGCTGATTCCCTGGCTTAGGCTCAAGACGTATGCCAACTTTCCAGAAACACCGCAGGAGGAGGCTTCTCTCAGCAATAGGTATGTGGGAGGGACCCCGAGTTTGCTGCCTCAAGGGGAATACACAGGGTGAAGCCCTAATGTGAACGGAGGCCAGATTTCCTTGCAGTGGCTTGAATACAGGCTCGTCTTTCATCTCACAACATGAAGGGATGTCTGAATCCCCTGTGGAGACCTTAGAGGAAGCCCTAGGTCCCTGCCTCATTTTAACGGAATACCTCACATCCCCCTGACACCTCGAGAGGCACGCAGAGTTCATTGCTTCAAAAGGTGACGATGCCTGACTGCTCTTGAATACTTATAGGAATCCCAAAATCCCTGTTGCTACTGGAAAGGGTCCTTGGGTGCCCTGGCTCACCTTGAGAAGCGTCCCTTTTGCCCTGCCAAGCCTCGAAGAGATTGCTGAGGTGTCCCTCGTTACTAGACAGGAGTCCTGACGTCACCGAAGAAACTCGTGTGTTGAAGGGCCATCCCCGCCGTAAGTCGAGAACATACCCCAGGTCCCCGCCGCAACTCGAGAAAAACCATGAGAATTCCCCCTAGAGGCGAGATGAGGCCCCATTCCCCTGCAGTGCATGCAGAGCTATTCCGTGATCCCATTCAAACAAGTCAGGAGCTTCGACTTGCTAAATGGATCTCGAGACAGTCCCCAAGAACACTGTCACCAGTCTAGACGGACCCTGAGGTCATCTCAGCAACGCAAAGCAGCTCCATGTGCCCCAAATCAACTCGAGATGAGGCCCGATTCCCCTGCGTTGACTCCAGAGCCATTCCCCGTTCCCCGTTCAACACGAACGGAGGATCGCCTTCCTTCAGGCATCTCCAGAGATGCCCCGAGAACACTGTCCCAAGTCTAGAGGAACACCAACTTCAGCACAGCAACTCGAGGAATGCTCTGTGTACCCCAAATCGTCTCGAGATGAGAGCTGATTCCCTGGCTTAGGCTCAAGACGTATGCCAACTTTCCAGAAGCACCTCAGGAGGAGGCTTCTCAGCAATAGGTATGTGGGAGGGACTCCAAGTTTGCTGCCTCAAGGGGAATATACAGCGAGAAGCCCTAACTTGAAAGGAGGCCGGATTTCCTTGCAGTAGCTTGAATACAGGCTCGTCTTTCATCTCACACATGAAGGGATGTCTGAATCCCCTGTGGAGACCTTAGAGAAAGCCCTAGGTCCCTGCCTCATTTTGACGGAATGCCTCACATCCCGCTGACACCTCGAGAGGCACGCGGAGTTCATTGCTTCAAAAGGTGACGATGCCTGACTCCTCTTGAATACTGATAGGAATCCCAAAATCCCTGTGGCTACTGGAAAGGGTCCTTGGGTGCCCTGCCTCACCTCGAGAAGCGTCCCTTTTGCCCTGCCAAGACTCGAAGAGATTCCTGAGGTGTCCCTCGTTACTAGGCAGGAGTCCTGACCTCACTGAAGAAAGTCGTGTTTTGAAGGGCCATCCCTGCCGTAAGTCGAGAACATACCCCAGGTCCCCGCCGCAACTCGAGAAAAACCATGAGACTTCCCCCTAGAGGCGAGATGAGGCCCCATTCCCCTGCAGTGCATGCAGAGCTATTCCGTGATCCCATTCAAACAAGTCAGGAGCTTCGACTTGCTTAATGGATCTCGAGACAATCCCCAAGAACACTGTCACCAGTCTAGACGGACCCTGAGGTCACCCCAGCAACGCAAAGCTGCTCCATGTGCCCCAAATCAACTCGAGATGAGGCCCGATTCCCCTGCATTGACTCCAGAGCCATTCCCCGTTCCCCATTCAACACGACCGGTGGCTCGACTTCCTTCAGGCAACTCCAGGGATGCCCCGAGAACACTGTCCCAAGTCTAGAGGAACACCAACTTCAGCACAGCAACTCGAGGAATGCTCTGTGTACCCCAAATCGTCTCGAGACGAGAGGTGATTCCCTGGCTTAGGCTCAAGACGTATGCCACCTTTCCAGAAGCACCTCAGGAGGAGGCTTCTCTCAGCAATAGGTATGTGGGAGGGACCCCGAGTTTGCTGCCTCAAGGGGAATATACAGCGAGAAGCCCTAACTTGAAAGGAGGCCGGATTTCCTTGCAGTGGCTTGAATACAGGCTCGTCTTTGATCTGACAACATGAAGGGATGTTTGAATCCCCTGTGGAGACCTTAGAGAAAGCCCTAGGTCCCTGCCTCATTTTGACGGAATCCTCACATCCCGCTGACACCTCGAGAGGCACGCGGAGTTCATTGCTTCAAAAGGTGACGATGCCTGACTCCTCTTGAATACTGATAGGAATCCCCAAATCCCTGTGGCTACTGGAAAGGGTCCTTGGGTGCCCTGCCTCACCTCGAGAAGCGTCCCTTTTGCCCTGCCAAGCCTCGAAGAGATTGCTGAGGTGTCCCTCGTTACTAGACAGGAGTCCTGACGTCACGGAAGAAACTCGTGTTTTGAAGGGCCATCCCCGCCGTAAGTCGAGAACATACCCCAGGTCCCCGCCGCAACTCGAGAAAAACCATGAGACTTCCCCCTAGAGGCGAGATGAGGCCCCATTCCCCTGCAGTGCATGCAGAGCTATTCCGTGATCCCATTCAAACAAGTCAGGAGCTTCGACTTGCTTAATGGATCTCGAGGCAGTCCCCAAGAACACTGTCACCACTCTAGACGGACCCTGAGGTCACCCCAGCAACGCAAAGCAGCTCCAGGTGCCACAAATCAACTCGAGATGAGGCCCGATTCCCCTGCATTGACTCCAGAGCCATTCCCCGTTCCCCATTCAACACGACCAGTGGCTCGACTTCCTTCAGGCAACTCCAGAGATGCCCAGAGAACACTGTCCCAAGTCTAGAGGAACACCAACTTCAGCACAGCAACTCGAGGAATGCTCTGTGTACCACAAATCGTCTCGAGATGAGAGCTGAATCCCTGGCTTAGGCTCAAGACCTATGACAACTTTCCAGAAGCACCTCAGGAGGAGGCTTCTCTCAGCAATAGGTATGTGGGAGGGACTCCGAGTTTGCTGCCTCAAGGGGAATATACAGCGAGAAGCCCTAACTCGAAAGGAGGCCGGATTTCCTTGCAGTGGCTTGAATACAGGCTCGTCTTTCATCTCACAACATGAAGGGATGTCTGAATCCCCTGTGGAGACCTTAGAGAAAGCCCTAGGTCCCTGCCTCATTTTGACGGAATCCTCACATCCCGCTGACAACTCGAGAGGCACGCGGAGTTCATTGCTTCAAAAGGTGACGATGCCTGACTCCTCTTGAATACTGATAGGAATCCCAAAATCCCTGTGGCTACTGGAAAGGGTCCTTGGGTGCCCTGGCTCACCTCGAGAAGCGTCCCTTTTGCCCTGCCAAGCCTCGAAGAGATTGCTGAGGTGTCCCTCGTTACTAGACAGGAGTCCTGACGTCACTGAAGAAACTCGTGTTTTGAAGGGCCATCCCCGCCGTAAGTCGAGAACATACCCCAGGTCCCCGCCGCAACTCGAGAAAAACCTTGAGACTTCCCCCTAGAGGCGAGATGAGGCCCCATTCCCCTGCAGTGCATGCAGAGCTATTCCGTGATCCCATTCAAACAAGTCAGGAGCTTCGACTTGCTTAATGGATCTCGAGACAGTCCCCAAGAACACTGTCACCAGTCTAGACGGACCCTGAGGTCACCCCAGCAACGCAAAGCTGCTCCATGTGCCCCAAATCAACTCGAGATGAGGCCCGATTCCCCTGCATTGACTCCAGAGCCATTCCCCGTTCCCCATTCAACACGACCGGTGGCTCGACTTCCTTCAGGCAACTCCAGGGATGCCCCGAGAACACTGTCCCAAGTCTAGAGGAACACCAACTTCAGCACAGCAACTCGAGGAATGCTCTGTGTACCCCAAATCGTCTCGAGATGAGAGCTGATTCCCTGGCTTAGGCTCAAGACGTATGCCACCTTTCCAGAAGCACCTCAGGAGGAGGCTTCTCTCAGCAATAGGTATGTGGGAGGGACCCCGAATTTGCTGCCTCAAGGGGAATATACAGCGAGAAGCCCTATCTTGAAAGGAGGCAGGATTTCCTTGCAGTGGCTTGAGTACAGGCTCGTCTTTGATCTGACAACATGAAGGGATGTCTGAATCCCCTGTGGAGACCTTAGAGAAAGCCCTAGGTCCCTGCCTCATTTTGACGGAATGCCTCACATCCCGCTGACACCTCGAGAGGCACGCGGAGTTCATTGCTTCAAAAGGTGACGATGCCTGATTCCTCTTGAATACTGATAATAATCCCAAAATCCCTGTGGCTACTGGAAAGGGTCCTTGGGTGCCCTGCCTCACCTCGAGAATCGTCCCTTTTGCCCTGCCAAGCATCGAAGAGATTCCTGAGGTGTCCCTCGTTACTAGGCAGGAGTCCTGACGTCACAGGAGAAACTCGTGTTTTGAAGGGCCATCCCCGCCGTAAGTCGAGAACATACCCCAGGGCCCCGCCGCAACTCGAGAAAAACCATGAGACTTCCCCCTAGAGGCGAGATGAGGCCCCATTCCCCTGCAGTGCATGCAGAGCTATTCCGTGATCCCATTCAAACAAGTCAGGAGCTTCGACTTGCTTAATGGATCTCGAGGCAGTCCCCAAGAACACTGTCACCAGTCTAGACGGACCCTGAGGTCACCCAGCAATGCAAAGCAGCTCCATGTGCCCCAAATCAACTCGAGATGAGGCCGGATTCCCCTGCATTGACTCCAGAGCCATTCCTTGTTCCCCATTCAACACGACCGGTGGCTCGACTTCCTTCAGGCAACTCCAGAGATGCCCCGAGAACACTGTCCCAAGTCTAGAGGACCACCAACTTCAGCACAGCAACTCGAGGAATGCTCTGTGTACCCCAAATCATCTCGAGATGAGAGCTGATTCCCTGGCTTAGGCTCAAGACGTATGCCACCTTTCCAGAAGCACCTCAGGAGGAGGCTTCTGTCAGCAATAGGTATGTGGGAGGGACCCCGAGTTTGCTGCCCCAAGGGGAATATACAGCGAGAGGCCCTAACTTGAAAGGACGCCGGATTTCCTTGCAGTGGCTTGAATACAGGCTCGTCTTTCATCTCACAACATGAAGGGATGTCTGAATCCCCTGTGGAGACCTTAGAGAAAGCCCTAGGTCCCTGCCTCATTTTGACGGAATCCTCACATCCCGCTGACACCTCGAGAGGCACGCGGAGTTCATTGCTTCAAAAGGTGACGATGCCTCACTCCTCTTGTGTACTTATAGGAATCCCCAAATGCCTGTGGCTACTGGAAAGGGTCCTTGGGTGCCCTGCCTCACCTCGAGAAGCGTCCCTTTTGCCCTGCCAAGCCTCGAAGAGATTCCTGAGGTGTCCCTCGTTACTAGGCAGGAGTCCTGACGTCACTGGAGAAACTCGTGTTTTGAAGGGCCATCCCCGCCGTAAGTCGAGAACATACCCCAGGGCCCCGCCGCAACTCGAGAAAAACCATGAGACTTCCCCCTAGAGGCGAGATGAGGCCCCATTCCCCTGCAGTGCATGCAGAGCTATTCCGTGATCCCATTCAAACAAGTCAGGAGCTTCGACTTGCTTAATGGATCTCGAGACAGTCCCCAAGAACACTGTCACCATTCTAGACGGACCCTGAGGTCACCCAGCAATGCAAAGCAGCTCCATGTGCCCCAAATCAACTCGAGATGAGGCCGGATTCCCCTGCATTGACTCCAGAGCCATTCCTTGTTCCCCATTCAACACGACCGGTGGCTCGACTTCCTTCAGGCAACTCCAGAGATGCCCCGAGAACACTGTCCCAAGTCTAGAGGACCACCAACTTCAGCACAGCAACTCGAGGAATGCTCTGTGTACCCCAAATCGTCTCGAGATGAGAGCTGATTCCCTGGCTTAGGCTCAAGACGTATGCCACCTTTCCAGAAGCACCTCAGGAGGAGGCTTCTCTCAGCAATAGGTATGTGGGAGGGACCCCGAGTTTGCTGCCTCAAGGGGAATATACAGCGAGAGGCCCTAACTTGAAAGGACGCCGGATTTCCTTGCAGTGGCTTGAATACAGGCTCGTCTTTCATCTCACAACCTGAAGGGATGTCTGAATCCCCTGTGGAGACCTTAGAGAAAGCCCTAGGTCCCTGCCTCATTTTGACGGAATCCTCACATCCCGCTGACACCTCGAGAGGCACGCGGAGTTCATTGCTTCAAAAGGTGACGATGCCTGACTCCTCTTGAATACTGATAATAATCCCAAAATCCCTGTGGCTACTGGAAAGGGTCCTTGGGTGCCCTGCCTCACCTCGAGAAGCGTCCCTTTTGCCCTGCCAAGCCTCGAAGAGATTCCTGAGGTGTCCCTCGTTACTAGGCAGGAGTCCTGACGTCACTGGAGAAACTCGTGTTTTGAAGGGCCATCCCCGCCGTAAGTCGAGAACATACCCCAGGGCCCCGCCGCAACTCGAGAAAAACCATGAGACTTCCCCCTAGAGGCGAGATGAGGCCCCATTCCCCTGCAGTGCATGCAGAGCTATTCCGTGATCCCATTCAAACAAGTCAGGAGCTTCGACTTGCTTAATGGATCTCGAGGCAGTCCCCAAGAACACTGTCACCAGTCTAGACGGACCCTGAGGTCACCCCAGCAACGCAAAGCAGCTCCAGGTGCCACAAATCAACTCGAGATGAGGCCCGATTCCCCTGCATTGACTCCAGAGCCATTCCCCGTTCCCCATTCAACACGACCGGTGGCTCGACTTCCTTCAGGCAACTCCAGAGATGCCCAGAGAACACTGTTCCAAGTCTAGAGGAACACCAACTTCAGCACAGCAACTCGAGGAATGCTCTGTGTACCACAAATCGTCTCAAGATGAGAGCTGAATCCCTGGCTTAGGCTCAAGACGTATGCCAACTTTCCAGAAGCACCTCAGGAGGAGGCTTCTCTCAGCAATAGGTATGTGGGAGGGACTCCGAGTTTGCTGCCGCAAGGGGAATATACAGCGAGAAGCCCTAACTTGAAAGGAGGCCGGATTTCCTTGCAGTGGCTTGAATACAGGCTCGTCTTTCATCTCACAACATGAAGGGATGTCTGAATCCCCTGTGGAGACCTTAGAGAAAGCTCTAGGTCCCTGCCTCATTTTGACGGAATCCTCACATCCCGCTGACACCATGAGAGGCACGCGGAGTTCATTGCTTCGAAAGGTGACGATGCCTGACTCCTCTTGAATACTGATAGCAATCCCAAAATCCCTGTGGCTACTGGAAAGGGTCCTTGGGTGCCCTGGCTCACCTCGAGAAGCGTCCCTTTTGCCCTGCCAAGCCTCGAAGAGATTGCTGAGGTGTCCCTCGTTACTAGACAGGAGTCCTAACGTCACGGAAGAAACTCGTGTTTTGAAGGGCCATCCCCGCCGTAAGTCGAGAACATACGCCAGGTCCCCGCCGCAACTCGAGAAAAACAATGAGACTTCCCCCTAGAGGCGAGATGAGGCCCCATTCCCTTGCAGTGCATGCAGAGCTATTCCGTGATCCCATTCAAACAAGTCAGCAGCTTCGACTTGCTTAATGGATCTCGAGGCAGTCCCCAAGAACACTGTCACCAGTCTAGACGGACCCTGAGGTCACCCAGCAATGCAAAGCAGCTCCATGTGCCCCAAATCAACTCGAGATGAGGCCGGATTCCCCTGCATTGACCCCAGAGCCATTCCTTGTTCCCCATTCAACACGACCGGTGGCTCGACTTCCTTCAGGCAACTCCAGAGATGCCCCGAGAACACTGTCCCAAGTCTAGAGGACCACCAACTTCAGCACAGCAACTCGAGGAATGCTCTGTGTACCTCAAATCATCTCGAGATGAGAGCTGATTCCCTGGCTTAGGCTCAAGACGTATGCCACCTTTCCAGAAGCACCTCAGGAGGAGGCTTCTCTCAGCAATAGGTATGTGGGAGGGACCCCGAGTTTGCTGCCTCAAGGGGAATATACAGCGAGAGGCCCTAACTTGAAAGGACGCCGGATTTCCTTGCAGTGGCTTGAATACAGGCTCGTCTTTCATCTCACAACATGAAGGGATGTCTGAATCCCCTGTGGAGACCTTAGAGAAAGCCCTAGGTCCCTGCCTCATTTTGACGGAATCCTCACATCCCGCTGACACCTCGAGAGGCACGCGGAGTTCATTGCTTCAAAAGGTGACGATGCCTGACTCCTCTTGTGTACTTATAGGAATCCCCAAATGCCTGTGGCTACTGGAAAGGGTCCTTGGGTGCCCTGCCTCACCTCGAGAAGCGTCCCTTTTGCCCTGCCAAGCCTCGAAGAGATTCCTGAGGTGTCCCTCGTTACTAGGCAGGAGTCCTGACGTCACTGGAGAAACTCGTGTTTTGAAGGGCCATCCCCGCCGTAAGTCGAGAACATACCCCAAGGCCCCGCCGCAACTCGAGAAAAACCATGAGACTTCCCCCTAGAGGCGAGATGAGGCCCCATTCCCCTGCAGTGCATGCAGAGCTATTCCGTGATCCCATTCAAACAAGTCAGGAGCTTCGACTTGCTTAATGGATCTCGAGGCAGTCCCCAAGAACACTGTCACCAGTCTAGACGGACCCTGAGGTCACCCAGCAATGCAAAGCAGCTCCATGTGCCCCAAATCAACTCGAGATGAGGCCGGATTCCCCTGCATTGACTCCAGAGCCATTCCTTGTTCCCCATTCAACACGACCGGTGGCTGAACTTCCTTCAGGCAACTCCAGAGATGCCCCGAGAACACTGTCCCAAGTCTAGAGGACCACCAACTTCAGCACAGCAACTCGAGGAATGCTCTGTGTACCCCAAATCATCTCGAGATGAGAGCTGATTCCCTGGCTTAGGCTCAAGACGTATGCCACCTTTCCAGAAGCACCTCAGGAGGAGGCTTCTGTCAGCAATAGGTATGTGGGAGGGACCCCGAGTTTGCTGCCTCAAGGGGAATATACAGCGAGAGGCCCTAACTTGAAAGGACGCTGGATTTCCTTGCAGTGGCTTGAATACAGGCTCGTCTTTCATCTCACAACATGAAGGGATGTCTGAATCCCCTGTGGAGACCTTAGAGAAAGCCCTAGGTCCCTGCCTCATTTTGACGGAATCCTCACATCCCGCTGACACCTCTAGAGGCACGCGGAGTTCATTGCTTCAAAAGGTGACGATGCCTGACTCCTCTTGAATACTGATAATAATCCCAAAATCCCTGTGGCTACTGGAAAGGGTCCTTGGGTGCCCTGCCTCACCTCGAGAAGCGTCCCTTTTGCCCTGCCAAGCCTCGAAGAGATTCCTGAGGTGTCCCTCGTTACTAGGCAGGAGTCCTGACGTCACTGGAGAAACTCGTGTTTTGAAGGGCCATCCCCGCCGTAAGTCGAGAACATACCCCAGGGCCCCGCCGCAACTCGAGAAAAACCATGAGACTTCCCCCTAGAGGCGAGATGAGGGCCCATTCCCCTGCAGTGCATGCAGAGCTATTCCGTGATCCCATTCAAACAAGTCAGGAGCTTCGACTTGCTTAATGGATCTCGAGGCAGTCCCCAAGAACACTGTCACCAGTCTAGACGGACCCTGAGGTCACCCCAGCAACGCAAAGCTGCTCCATGTGCCCCAAATCAACTCGAGATGAGGCCCGATTCCCCTGCATTGACTCCAGAGCCATTCCCCGTTCCCCATTCAACACGACCGGTGGCTCGACTTCCTTCAGGCAACTCCAGGGATGCCCCGAGAACACTGTCCCAAGTCTAGAGGAACACCAACTTCAGCACAGCAACTCGAGGAATGCTCTGTGTACCCCAAATCGTCTCGAGATGAGAGCTGATTCCCTGGCTTAGGCTCAAGACGTATGCCACCTTTCCAGAAGCACCTCAGGAGGAGGCTTCTCTCAGCAATAGTTATGTGGGAGGGACCCCGAATTTGCTGCCTCAAGGGGAATATACAGCGAGAAGCCCTATCTTGAAAGGAGGCCGGATTTCCTTGCAGTGGCTTGAGTACAGGCTCGTCTTTGATCTGACAACATGAAGGGATGTCTGAATCCCCTGTGGAGACCTTAGAGAAAGCCCTAGGTCCCTGCCTCATTTTGACGGAATGCCTCACATCCCGCTGACACCTCGAGAGGCACGCGGAGTTCATTGCTTCAAAAGGTGACGATGCCTGACTCCTCTTGAATACTGATAATAATCCCAAAATCCCTGTGGCTACTGGAAAGGGTCCTTGGGTGCCCTGCCTCACCTCGAGAAGCGTCCCTTTTGCCCTGCCAAGCCTCGAAGAGATTCCTGAGGTGTCCCTCGTTACTAGGCAGGAGTCCTGACGTCACTGGAGAAACTCGTGTTTTGAAGGGCCATCCCCGCCGTAAGTCGAGAACATACCCCAGGGCCCCGCCGCAACTCGAGAAAAACCATGAGACTTCCCCCTAGAGGCGAGATGAGGCCCCATTCCCCTGCAGTGCATGCAGAGCTATTCCGTGATCCCATTCAAACAAGTCAGGAGCTTCGACTTGCTTAATGGATCTCGAGGCAGTCCCCAAGAACACTGTCACCAGTCTAGACGGACCCTGAGGTCACCCAGCAATGCAAAGCAGCTCCATGTGCCCCAAATCAACAAGAGATGAGGCCGGATTCCCCTGCATTGACTCCAGAGCCATTCCTTGTTCCCCATTCAACACGACCGGTGGCTCGACTTCCTTCAGGCAACTCCAGAGATGCCCCGAGAACACTGTCCCAAGTCTAGAGGACCACCAACTTCAGCACAGCAACTCGAGGAATGCTCTGTGTACCCCAAATCATCTCGAGATGAGAGCTGATTCCCTGGCTTAGGCTCAAGACGTATGCCACCTTTCCAGAAGCACCTCAGGAGGAGGCTTCTGTCAGCAACAGGTATGTGGGAGGGACCCCGAGTTTGCTGCCGCAAGGGGAATATACAGCGAGAGGCCCTAACTTGAAAGGACGCCGGATTTCCTTGCAGTGGCTTGAATACAGGCTCGTCTTTCATCTCACAACATGAAGGGATGTCTGAATCCCCTGTGGAGACCTTAGAGAAAGCCCTAGGTCCCTGCCTCATTTTGACGGAATCCTCACATCCCGCTGACACCTCGAGAGGCACGCGGAGTTCATTGCTTCAAAAGGTGACGATGCCTCACTCCTCTTGTGTACTTATAGGAATCCCCAAATGCCTGTGGCTACTGGAAAGGGTCCTTGGGTGCCCTGCCTCACCTCGAGAAGCGTCCCTTTTGCCCTGCCAAGCCTCGAAGAGATTCCTGAGGTGTCCCTCGTTACTAGGCAGGAGTCCTGACGTCACTGGAGAAACTCGTGTTTTGAAGGGCCATCCCCGCCGTAAGTCGAGAACATACCCCAGGGCCCCGCCGCAACTCGAGAAAAACCATGAGACTTCCCCCTAGAGGCGAGATGAGGCCCCATTCCCCTGCAGTGCATGCAGAGCTATTCCGTGATCCCATTCAAACAAGTCAGGAGCTTCGACTTGCTTAATGGATCTCGAGACAGTCCCCAAGAACACTGTCACCAGTCTAGACGGACCCTGAGGTCACCCAGCAATGCAAAGCAGCTCCATGTGCCCCAAATCAACTCGAGATGAGGCCGGATTCCCCTGCATTGACTCCAGAGCCATTCCTTGTTCCCCATTCAACACGACCGGTGGCTCGACTTCCTTCAGGCAACTCCAGAGATGCCCCGAGAACACTGTCCCAAGTCTAGAGGACCACCAACTTCAGCACAGCAACTCGAGGAATGCTCTGTGTACCCCAAATCGTCTCGAGATGAGAGCTGATTCCCTGGCTTAGGCTCAAGACGTATGCCACCTTTCCAGAAGCACCTCAGGAGGAGGCTTCTCTCAGCAATAGGTATGTGGGAGGGACCCCGAGTTTGCTGCCTCAAGGGGAATATACAGCGAGAGGCCCTAACTTGAAAGGACGCCGGATTTCCTTGCAGTGGCTTGAATACAGGCTCGTCTTTCATCTCACAACATGAAGGGATGTCTGAATCCCCTGTGGAGACCTTAGAGAAAGCCCTAGGTCCCTGCCTCATTTTGACGGAATCCTCACATCCCGCTGACACCTCGAGAGGCACGCGGAGTTCATTGCTTCAAAAGGTGACGATGCCTGACTCCTCTTGAATACTGATAATAATCCCAAAATCCCTGTGGCTACTGGAAAGGGTCCTTGGGTGCCCTGCCTCACCTCGAGAAGCGTCCCTTTTGCCCTGCCATGCCTCGAAGAGATTCCTGAGGTGTCCCTCGTTACTAGGCAGGAGTCCTGACGTCACTGGAGAAACTCGTGTTTTGAAGGGCCATCCCCGCCGTAAGTCGAGAACATACCCCAGGGCCCCGCCGCAACTCGAGAAAAACCATGAGACTTCCCCCTAGAGGCGAGATGAGGCCCCATTCCCCTGCAGTGCATGCAGAGCTATTCCGTGATCCCATTCAAACAAGTCAGGAGCTTCGACTTGCTTAATGGATCTCGAGGCAGTCCCCAAGAACACTGTCACCAGTCTAGACGGACCCTGAGGTCACCCCAGCAACGCAAAGCAGCTCCAGGTGCCACAAATCAACTCGAGATGAGGCCCGATTCCCCTGCATTGACTCCAGAGCCATTCCCCGTTCCCCATTCAACACGACCGGTGGCTCGACTTCCTTCAGGCAACTCCAGAGATGCCCAGAGAACACTGTCCCAAGTCTAGAGGAACACCAACTTCAGCACAGCAACTCGAGGAATGCTCTGTGTACCACAAATCGTCTCAAGATGAGAGCTGAATCCCTGGCTTAGGCTCAAGACGTATGCCAACTTTCCAGAAGCACCTCAGGAGGAGGCTTCTCTCAGCAATAGGTATGTGGGAGGGACTCCGAGTTTGCTGCCGCAAGGGGAATATACAGCGAGAAGCCCTAACTTGAAAGGAGGCCGGATTTCCTTGCAGTGGCTTGAATACAGGCTCGTCTTTCATCTCACAACATGAAGGGATGTCTGAATCCCCTGTGGAGACCTTAGAGAAAGCTCTAGGTCCCTGCCTCATTTTGACGGAATCCTCACATCCCGCTGACACCATGAGAGGCACGCGGAGTTCATTGCTTCGAAAGGTGACGATGCCTGACTCCTCTTGAATACTGATAGCAATCCCAAAATCCCTGTGGCTACTGGAAAGGGTCCTTGGGTGCCCTGGCTCACCTCGAGAAGCGTCCCTTTTGCCTTGCCAAGCCTCGAAGAGATTGCTGAGGTGTCCCTCGTTACTAGACAGGAGTCCTAACGTCACGGAAGAAACTCGTGTTTTGAAGGGCCATCCCCGCCGTAAGTCGAGAACATACGCCAGGTCCCCGCCGCAACTCGAGAAAAACAATGAGACTTCCCCCTAGAGGCGAGATGAGGCCCCATTCCCTTGCAGTGCATGCAGAGCTATTCCGTGATCCCATTCAAACAAGTCAGCAGCTTCGACTTGCTTAATGGATCTCGAGACAGTCCCCAAGAACACTTTCACCAGTCTAGACGGACCCTGAGGTCACCCAGCAATGCAAAGCAGCTCCATGTGCCCCAAATCAACTCGAGATGAGGCCGGATTCCCCTGCATTGACCCCAGAGCCATTCCTTGTTCCCCATTCAACACGACCGGTGGCTCGACTTCCTTCAGGCAACTCCAGAGATGCCCCGAGAACACTGTCCCAAGTCTAGAGGACCACCAACTTCAGCACAGCAACTCGAGGAATGCTCTGTGTACCTCAAATCATCTCGAGATGAGAGCTGATTCCCTGGCTTAGGCTCAAGACGTATGCCACCTTTCCAGAAGCACCTCAGGAGGAGGCTTCTCTCAGCAATAGGTATGTGGGAGGGACCCCGAGTTTGCTGCCTCAAGGGGAATATACAGCGAGAGGCCCTAACTTGAAAGGACGCCGGATTTCCTTGCAGTGGCTTGAATACAGGCTCGTCTTTCATCTCACAACATGAAGGGATGTCTGAATCCCCTGTGGAGACCTTAGAGAAAGCCCTAGGTCCCTGCCTCATTTTGACGGAATCCTCACATCCCGCTGACACCTCGAGAGGCACGCGGAGTTCATTGCTTCAAAAGGTGACGATGCCTGACTCCTCTTGTGTACTTATAGGAATCCCCAAATGCCTGTGGCTACTGGAAAGGATCCTTGGGTGCCCTGCCTCACCTCGAGAAGCGTCCCTTTTGCCCTGCCAAGCCTCGAAGAGATTCCTGAGGTGTCCCTCGTTACTAGGCAGGAGTCCTGACGTCACTGGAGAAACTCGTGTTTTGAAGGGCCATCCCCGCCGTAAGTCGAGAACATACCCCAGGGCCCCGCCGCAACTCGAGAAAAACCATGAGACTTCCCCCTAGAGGCGAGATGAGGCCCCATTCCCCTGCAGTGCATGCAGAGCTATTCCGTGATCCCATTCAAACAAGTCAGGAGCTTCGACTTGCTTAATGGATCTCGAGGCAGTCCCCAAGAACACTGTCACCAGTCTAGACGGACCCTGAGGTCACCCAGCAATGCAAAGCAGCTCCATGTGCCCCAAATCAACTCGAGATGAGGCCGGATTCCCCTGCATTGACTCCAGAGCCATTCCTTGTTCCCCATTCAACACGACCGGTGGCTGAACTTCCTTCAGGCAACTCCAGAGATGCCCCGAGAACACTGTCCCAAGTCTAGAGGACCACCAACTTCAGCACAGCAACTCGAGGAATGCTCTGTGTACCCCAAATCATCTCGAGATGAGAGCTGATTCCCTGGCTTAGGCTCAAGACGTATGCCACCTTTCCAGAAGCACCTCAGGAGGAGGCTTCTGTCAGCAATAGGTATGTGGGAGGGACCCCGAGTTTGCTGCCTCAAGGGGAATATACAGAGAGAGGCCCTAACTTGAAAGGACGCCGGATTTCCTTGCAGTGGCTTGAATACAGGCTCGTCTTTCATCTCACAACATGAAGGGATGTCTGAATCCCCTGTGGAGACCTTAGAGAAAGCCCTAGGTCCCTGCCTCATTTTGACGGAATCCTCACATCCCGCTGACACCTCGAGAGGCACGCGGATTTCATTGCTTCAAAAGGTGACGATGCCTGACTCCTCTTGAATACTGATAATAATCCCAAAATCCCTGTGGCTACTGGAAAGGGTCCTTGGGTGCCCTGCCTCACCTCGAGAAGCGTCCCTTTTGCCCTGCCAAGCCTCGAAGAGATTCCTGAGGTGTCCCTCGTTACTAGGCAGGAGTCCTGACGTCACTGGAGAAACTCGTGTTTTGAAGGGCCATCCCCGCCGTAAGTCGAGAACATACCCCAGGGCCCCGCCGCAACTCGAGAAAAACCATGAGACTTCCCCCTAGAGGCGAGATGAGGGCCCATTCCCCTGCAGTGCATGCAGAGCTATTCCGTGATCCCATTCAAACAAGTCAGGAGCTTCGACTTGCTTAATGGATCTCGAGGCAGTCCCCAAGAACACTGTCACCAGTCTAGACGGACCCTGAGGTCACCCCAGCAACGCAAAGCAGCTCCAGGTGCCACAAATCAACTCGAGATGAGGCCCGATTCCCCTGCATTGACTCCAGAGCCATTCCCCGTTCCCCATTCAACACGACCGGTGGCTCGACTTCCTTCAGGCAACTCCAGAGATGCCCAGAGAACACTGTCCCAAGTCTAGAGGAACACCAACTTCAGCACAGCAACTCGAGGAATGCTCTGTGTACCACAAATCGTCTCAAGATGAGAGCTGAATCCCTGGCTTAGGCTCAAGACGTATGCCAACTTTCCAGAAGCACCTCAGGAGGAGGCTTCTGTCAGCAATAGGTATGTGAGAGGGACTCCGAGTTTGCTGCCGCAAGGGGAATATACAGCGACAAGCCCTAACTTGAAAGGAGGCCGGATTTCCTTGCAGTGGCTTGAATACAGGCTCGTCTTTCATCACACAACATGAAGGGATGTCTGAATCCCCTGTGGAGACCTTAGAGAAAGCTCTAGGTCCCTGCCTCATTTTGACGGAATCCTCACATCCCGCTGACACCATGAGAGGCACGCGGAGTTCATTGCTTCGAAAGGTGACGATGCCTGACTCCTCTTGAATACTGATAGGAATCCCAAAATCCCTGTGGCTACTGGAAAGGGTCCTTGGGTGCCCTGGCTCACCTCGAGAAGCGTCCCTTTTGCCTTGCCAAGCCTCGAAGAGATTGCTGAGATGTCCCTCGTTACTAGACAGGAGTCCTAACGTCACGGAAGAAACTCGTGTTTTGAAGGGCCATCCCCGCCGTAAGTCGAGAACATACGCCAGGTCCCCGCCGCAACTCGAGAAAAACAATGAGACTTCCCCCTAGAGGCGAGATGAGGCCCCATTCCCTTGCAGTGCATGCAGAGCTATTCCGTGATCCCATTCAAACAAGTCAGCAGCTTCGACTTGCTTAATGGATCTCGAGACAGTCCCCAAGAACACTGTCACCAGTCTAGACGGACCCTGAGGTCACCCAGCAATGCAAAGCAGCTCCATGTGCCCCAAATCAACTCGAGATGAGGCCGGATTCCCCTGCATTGACCCCAGAGCCATTCCTTGTTCCCCATTCAACACGACCGGTGGCTCGACTTCCTTCAGGCAACTCCAGAGATGCCCCGAGAACACTGTCCCAAGTCTAGAGGACCACCAACTTCAGCACAGCAACTCGAGGAATGCTCTGTGTACCCCAAATCGTCTCGAGATGAGAGCTGATTCCCTGGCTTAGGCTCAAGACGTATGCCAACTTTCCAGAAGCACCTCAGGAGGAGGCTTCTCAGCAATAGGTATGTGGGAGGGACTCCAAGTTTGCTGCCTCAAGGGGAATATACAGCGAGAAGCCCTAACTTGAAAGGAGGCCGGATTTCCTTGCAGTAGCTTGAATACAGGCTCGTCTTTCATCTCACACATGAAGGGATGTCTGAATCCCCTGTGGAGACCTTAGAGAAAGCCCTAGGTCCCTGCCTCATTTTGACGGAATGCCTCACATCCCGCTGACACCTCGAGAGGCACGCGGAGTTCATTGCTTCAAAAGGTGACGATGCCTGACTCCTCTTGAATACTGATAGGAATCCCAAAATCCCTGTGGCTACTGGAAAGGGTCCTTGGGTGCCCTGCCTCACCTCGAGAAGCGTCCCTTTTGCCCTGCCAAGACTCGAAGAGATTCCTGAGGTGTCCCTCGTTACTAGGCAGGAGTCCTGACCTCACTGAAGAAAGTCGTGTTTTGAAGGGCCATCCCTGCCGTAAGTCGAGAACATACCCCAGGTCCCCGCCGCAACTCGAAAAAAACCATGAGACTTCCCCCTAGAGGCGAGATGAGGCCCCATTCCCCTGCAGTGCATGCAGAGCTATTCCGTGATCCCATTCAAACAAGTCAGGAGCTTCGACTTGCTTAATGGATCTCGAGACAATCCCCAAGAACACTGTCACCAGTCTAGACGGACCCTGAGGTCACCCCAGCAACGCAAAGCAGCTCCAGGTGCCCCAAATCAACTCGAGATGAGGCCCGATTCCCCTGCATTGACTCCAGAGCCATTCCCCGTTCCCCATTCAACACGACCGGTGGCTCGACTTCCTTCAGGCAACTCCAGAGATGCCCAGAGAACACTGTCCCAAGTCTAGAGGAACACCAATTTCAGCACAGCAACTCGAGGAATTCTCTGTGTACCACAAATCGTCTCGAGATGAGAGCTGAATCCCTGGCTTAGGCTCAAGACGTATGCCAACTTTCCAGAAGCACCTCAGGAGGACGCTTCTCTCAGCAATAGGTATGTGGGAGGGACCCCGAGTTTGCTGCCTCAAGGGGAATACACAGGGAGAAGCCCTAATGTGAACGGAGGCCAGATTTCCTTGCAGTGGCTTGAATACAGGCTCGTCTTTGATCTGACAACATGAAGGGATTTCTGAATCCCCTGTGGAGACCTTAGAGGAAGCCCTAGGTCCCTGCCTCATTTTGACGGAATACCTCACATCCCCCTGACACCTCGAGAGGCACGCAGAGTTCATTGCTTCAAAAGGTGACGATGCCTGACTCCTCTTGAATACTGATAGGAATCCCAAAATCCCTGTGGCTACTGGAAAGGGTCCTTGGGTGCCCTGGCTCACCTCGAGAAGCGTCCCTTTTGCCCTGCCAAGCCTCGAAGAGATTGCTGAGGTGTCCCTCATTACTAGAGAGGAGTCCTGACGTCACTGAAGAAACTCGTGTTTTGAAGGGCCATCCCCGCCGTAAGTCGAGAACATACCCCAGGTCCCCGCCGCAACTCGAGAAAAACCATGAGATTTCCCCCTAGAGGCGAGATGAGGCCCCATTCCCCTGCAGTGCATGCAGAGCTATTCCATGATCCAATTCAAACAAGTCAGGAGCTTCGACTTGCTAAATGGATCTCGAGACAGTCCCCAAGAACACTGTCACCAGTCTAGACGGACCCTGAGGTCACCCCAGCAACACAAAGCAGCTCCATGTGCCCCAAATCAACTCGAGATGAGGCCCGATTCCCCTGCATTGACTCCAGAGCCATTCCCCGTTCCAAGTTCAAAACGAACGGTGGCTCGCCTTCCTTCAGGCAACTCCAGAGATGCCCCGAGAACACTGTCTCAAGTCTAGAGGACCACCAACTTCAGCACAGCAACTCGAGGAATGCTCTGTGTACCCCAAATCGTCTCGAGATGAGAGCTGATTCCCTGGCTTAGGCTCAAGACGTATGCCAACTTTCCAGAAGCACCTCAGGAGGAGGCTTCTCAGCAATAGGTATGTGGGAGGGACTCCGAGTTTGCTGCCTCAAGGGGAATATACAGCGAGAAGCCCTAACTTGAAAGGAGGCCGGATTTCCTTGCAGTGGCTTGAATACAGGCTCGTCTTTCATCTCACAACATGAAGGGACGTCTGAATCCCCTGTGGAGACCTTAGAGAAAGCCCTAGGTCCCTGCCTCATTTTGACGGAATCCTCACATCCCGCTGACACCTCGAGAGGCACGCGGAGTTCATTGCTTCAAAAGGTGACGATGCCTGACTCCTCTTGAATACTGATAGGAATCCCAAAATCCCTGTGGCTACTGGAAAGGGTCCTTGGGTGCCCTGGCTCACCTCGAGAAGCGTCCCTTTTGCCCTGCCAAGCCTCGAAGAGATTGCTGAGGTGTCCCTCGTTACTAGACAGGAGTCCTGACGTCACGGAAGAAACTCGTGTTTTGAAGGGCCATCCCCGCCGTAAGTCGAGAACATACCCCAGGTCCCCGCCGCAACTCGAGAAAAACCATGAGACTTCCCCCTAGAGGCGAGATGAGGCCCCATTCCCTTGCAGTGCATGCAGAGCTATTCCGTGATCCCATTCAAACAAGTCAGGAGCTTCGACTTGCTTAATGGATCTCGAGACAGTCCCCAAGAACACTGTCACCAGTCTAGACGGACCCTGAGGTCACCCAGCAATGCAAAGCAGCTCCATGTGCCCCAAATCAACTCGAGATGAGGACGGATTCCCCTGCATTGACTCCAGAGCCATTCCTTGTTCCCCATTCAACACGACCGGTGGCTCGACTTCCTTCAGGCAACTCCAGAGATGCCCCGAGAACACTGTCCCAAGTCTAGAGGACCACCAACTTCAGCACAGCAACTCGAGGAATGCTCTGTGTACCCCAAATCGTCTCGAGATGAGAGCTGATTCCCTGGCTTAGGCTCAAGACGTATGCCAACTTTCCAGAAGCACCTCAGGAGGAGGCTTCTCTCAGCAATAGGTATGTGGGAGGGACTCCGAGATTGCTGCCTCAAGGGGAATATACAGCGAGAAGCCCTAACTTGAAAGGAGGCCGGATTTCCTTGCAGTGGCTTGAATACAGGCTCGTCTTTCATCTCACAACATGAAGGGATGTCTGAATCCCCTGTGGAGACCTTAGAGAAAGCCCTAGGTCCCTACCTCATTTTGACGGAATCCTCACATCCCGCTGACAACTCGAGAGGCACGCGGAGTTCATTGCTTCAAAAGGTGACGATGCCTGACTCCTCTTGAATACTGATAGGAATCCCAAAATCCCTGTGGCTACTGGAAAGGGTCCTTGGGTGCCCTGGCTCACCTCGAGAAGCGTCCCTTTTGCCCTGCCAAGCCTCGAAGAGATTGCTGAGGTGTCCCTCGTTACTAGACAGGAGTCCTGACGTCACGGAAGAAACTCGTGTTTTGAAGGGCCATCCCCGCCGTAAGTCGACAACATACCCCAGGTCCCCGCCGCAACTCGAGAAAATCCGTGAGACTTCCCCCTAGAGGCGAGATGAGGCCCCATTCCCCTGCAGTGCATGCAGAGCTATTCCGTGATCCCATTCAAACAAGTCAGGAGCTTCGACTTGCTAAATGGATCTCGAGACAGTCCCCAATAACACTGTCACCAGTCTAGACGGACCCTGAGGTCATCCCAGCAACGCAAAGCAGCTCCATGTGCCCCAAATCAACTCGAGATGAGGCCCGATTCCCCTGCATTGACTCCAGAGCCATTCCCCGTTCCCCGTTCAACACGAACGGAGGATCGCCTTCCTTCAGGCATCTCCAGAGATGCCCCGAGAACACTGTCCCAAGTCTAGAGGAACACCAACTTCAGCACAGCAACTCGAGGAATGCTCTGTGTACCCCAAATCGTCTCGAGATGAGAGCTGATTCCCTGGCTTAGGCTCAAGACGTATGCCAACTTTCCAGAAGCACCTCAGGAGGAGGCTTCTCAGCAATAGGTATGTGGGAGGGACTCCAAGTTTGCTGCCTCAAGGGGAATATACAGCGAGAAGCCCTAACTTGAAAGGAGGCCGGATTTCCTTGCAGTAGCTTGAATACAGGCTCGTCTTTCATCTCACACATGAAGCGATGTCTGAATCCCCTGTGGAGACCTTAGAGAAAGCCCTAGGTCCCTGCCTCATTTTGACGGAATGCCTCACATCCCGCTGACACCTCGAGAGGCAAGCGGAGTTCATTGCTTCAAAAGGTGACGATGCCTGACTCCTCTTGAATACTGATAGGAATCCCAAAATCCCTGTGGCTACTGGAAAGGGTCCTTGGGTGCCCTGCCTCACCTCGAGAAGCGTCCCTTTTGCCCTGCCAAGACTCGAAGAGATTCCTGAGGTTTCCCTCGTTACTAGGCAGGAGTCCTGACCTCACTGAAGAAAGTCGTGTTTTGAAGGGCCATCCCTGCCGTAAGTCGAGAACATACCCCAGATCCCCGCCGCAACTCGAGAAAAACCATGAGACTTCCCCCTAGAGGCGAGATGAGGCCCCATTCCCCTGCAGTGCATGCAGAGCTATTCCGTGATCCCATTCAAACAAGTCAGGAGCTTCGACTTGCTTAATGGATCTCGAGACAATCCCCAAGAACACTGTCACCAGTCTAGACGGACCCTGAGGTCACCCCAGCAACGCAAAGCTGCTCCATGTGCCCCAAATCAACTCGAGATGAGGCCCGATTCCCCTGCATTGACTCCAGAGCCATTCCCCTTTCCCCATTCAACACGACCGGTGGCTCGACTTCCTTCAGGCAACTCCAGAGATGCCCCGAGAACACTGTCCCAAGTCTAGAGGACCACCAACTTCAGCACAGCAATTCGAGGAATGCTCTGTGTACCCCAAATCGTCTCGAGATGAGAGCTGATTCCCTGGCTTAGGCTCAAGACGTATGCCAACTTTCCAGAAGCACCTCAGGAGGAGGCTTCTCTCAGCAATAGGTATGTGGGAGGGACTCGGAGATTGCTGCCTCAAGGGGAATATACAGCGAGAAGCCCTAACTTGAAAGGAGGCCGGATTTCCTTGCAGTGGCTTCAATACAGGCTCGTCTTTCATCTCACAACATGAAGGGATGTCTGAATCCCCTGTGGAGACCTTAGAGAAAGCCCTAGGTCCCTACCTCATTTTGACGGAATCCTCACATCCCGCTGACACCTCGAGAGGCACGCGGAGTTCATTGCTTCAAAAGGTGACGATGCCTGACTCCTCTTGAATACTGATAGGAATCCCAAAATCCCTGTGGCTACTGGAAAGGGTCCTTGGGTGCCCTGGCTCACCTCGAGAAGCGTCCCTTTTGCCCTGCCAAGCCTCGAAGAGATTGCTGAGGTGTCCCTCGTTACTAGATAGGAGTCCTGACGTCACGGAAGAAACTCGTGTTTTGAAGGGCCATCCCCGCTGTAAGGCGAGAACATACCCCAGGTCCCCGCCGCAACTCGAGAAAAACCATGAGACTTCCCCCTAGAGGCGAGATGAGGCCCCATTCCCCTGCAGTGCATGCAGAGCTATTCCGTGATCCCATTCAAACAAGTCAGGAGCTTCGACTTGCTTAATGGATCTCGAGACAGTCCCCAAGAACACTGTCACCAGTCTAGACGGACCCTGAGGTCACCCAGTAATGCAAAGCAGCTCCATGTGCCCCAAATCAACTCGAAATCAGGCCGGATTCCCCTGCATTGACTCCAGAGCCATTCCTTGTTCCCCATTCAACACGACCGGTGGCTCAACTTCCTTCAGGCAACTCCAGAGATGCCCCGAGAACACTGTCCCAAGTCTAGAGGAACACCAACTTCAGCACAGCAACTCGAGGAATGCTCTGTGTACCCCAAATCGTCTCGAGACGAGAGCTGATTCCCTGGCTTAGGCTCAAGACGTATGCCACCTTTCCAGAAGCACCTCAGGAGGAGGCTTCTCTCAGCAATACGTATGTGGGAGGGACCCCGAGTTTGCTGCCTCAAGGGGAATATACAGCGAGAAGCCCTAACTTGAAAGGAGGCCGCATTTCCTTGCAGTGGCTTGAATACAGGCTCGTCTTTGATCTGACAACATGAAGGGATGTCTGAATCCCCTGTGGAGACCTTAGAGAAAGCCCTAGGTCCCTGCCTCATTTTGACGGAATGCCTCACATCCCGCTGACACCTCGAGAGGCACGCGGAGTTCATTGCTTCTAAAGGTGACGATGCCTGACTCCTCTTGAATACTGATAGGAATCCCAAAATCCCTGTGGCTACTGGAAAGGGTCCTTGGGTGCCCTGCCTCACCTCGAGAAGCGTCCCTTTTGGCCTGCCAAGCCTCGAAGAGATTCCTGAGGTGTCCCTCGTTACTAGGCAGGAGTCCTGACGTCACTGGAGAAACTCGTGTTTTGAAGGGCCATCCCCGCCGTAAGTTGAGAACATACCCCAGTTCCCCGCCGCAACTAGAGAAAAACATGAGACTTCCCCCTAGAGGCGAGATGAGGCCCCATTCCCCTGCAGTGCATGCAGAGCTATTCCTTGATCCCATTCAAACAAGTCAGGAGCTTCGACTTGCTTAATGGATCTCGAGGCAGTCCCCAAGAACACTGTCACCAGTCTAGACGGACCCTGACGTCACCCCAGCAACGCAAAGCAGCTCCAGGTGCCACAAATCAACTCGAGATGAGGCCCGATTCCCCTGCATTGACTCCAGAGCCATTCCCCGTTCCCCATTCAACACGACCGGTGGCTCGACTTCCTTCAGGCAACTCCAGAGATGCCCAGAGAACACTGTCCCAAGTCTAGAGGAACACCAACTTCAGCACAGCAACTCGAGGAATGCTCTGTGTACCCCAAATCGTCTCGAGATGAGAGCTGAATCCCTGGCTTAGGCTCAAGACGTATGCCAACTTTCCAGAAGCACCTCAGGAGGAGGCTTCTCTCAGCAATAGGTATGTGGGAGGGACTCCGAGATTGCTGCCTCAAGGGGAATATACAGCGAGAAGCCCTAACTTGAAAGGAGGCCGGATTTCCTTGCAGTGGCTTCAATACAGGCTCGTCTTTCATCTCACAACATGAAGGGATGTCTGAATCCCCTGTGGAGACCTTAGAGAAAGCCCTAGGTCCCTACCTCATTTTGACGGAATCCTCACATCCCGCTGACACCTCGAGAGGCACGCGGAGTTCATTGCTTCAAAAGGTGACGATGCCTGACTCCTCTTGAATACTGATAGGAATCCCAAAATCCCTGTGGCTACTGGAAAGGGTCCTTGGGTGCCCTGGCTCACCTCGAGAAGCGTCCCTTTTGCCCTGCCAAGCCTCGAAGAGATTGCTGAGGTGTCCCTCGTTACTAGACAGGAGTCCTGACGTCACGGAAGAAACTCGTGTTTTGAAGGGCCATCCCCGCTGTAAGGCGAGAACATACCCCAGGTCCCCGCCGCAACTCGAGAAAAACCATGAGACTTCCCCCTAGAGGCGAGATGAGGCCCCATTCCCCTGCAGTGCATGCAGAGCTATTCCGTGATCCCATTCAAACAAGTCAGGAGCTTCGACTTGCTTAATGGATCTCGAGACAGTCCCCAAGAACACTGTCACCAGTCTAGACGGACCCTGAGGTCACCCAGTAATGCAAAGCAGCTCCATGTGCCCCAAATCAACTCGAAATGAGGCCGGATTCCCCTGCATTGACTCCAGAGCCATTCCTTGTTCCCCATTCAACACGACCGGTGGCTCGACTTCCTTCAGGCAACTCCAGAGATGCCCCGAGAACACTGTCCCAAGTCTAGAGGAACACCAACTTCAGCACAGCAACTCGAGGAATGCTCTGTGTACCCCAAATCGTCTCGAGACGAGAGCTGATTCCCTGGCTTAGGCTCAAGACGTATGCCACCTTTCCAGAAGCACCTCAGGAGGAGGCTTCTCTCAGCAATAGGTATGTGGGAGGGACCCCGAGTTTGCTGCCTCAAGGGGAATATACAGCGAGAAGCCCTAACTTGAAAGGAGGCCGCATTTCCTTGCAGTGGCTTGAATACAGGCTCGTCTTTGATCTGACAACATGAAGGGATGTCTGAATCCCCTGTGGAGACCTTAGAGAAAGCCCTAGGTCCCTGCCTCATTTTGACGGAATGCCTCACATCCCGCTGACACCTCGAGAGGCACGCGGAGTTCATTGCTTCAAAAGGTGACGATGCCTGACTCCTCTTGAATACTGATAGGAATCCCAAAATCCCTGTGGCTACTGGAAAGGGTCCTTGGGTGCCCTGCCTCACCTCGAGAAGCGTCCCTTTTGGCCTGCCAAGCCTCGAAGAGATTCCTGAGGTGTCCCTCGTTACTAGGCAGGAGTCCTGACGTCACTGGAGAAACTCGTGTTTTGAAGGGCCATCCCCGCCGTAAGTTGAGAACATACCCCAGTTCCCCGCCGCAACTAGAGAAAAACATGAGACTTCCCCCTAGAGGCGAGATGAGGCCCCATTCCCCTGCAGTGCATGCAGAGCTATTCCTTGATCCCATTCAAACAAGTCAGGAGCTTCGACTTGCTTAATGGATCTCGAGGCAGTCCCCAAGAACACTGTCACCAGTCTAGACGGACCCTGAGGTCACCCCAGCAACGCAAAGCAGCTCCAGGTGCCACAAATCAACTCGAGATGAGGCCCGATTCCCCTGCATTGACTCCAGAGCCATTCCCCGTTCCCCATTCAACACGACCGGTGGCTCGACTTCCTTCAGGCAACTCCAGAGATGCCCAGAGAACACTGTCCCAAGTCTAGAGGAACACCAACTTCAGCACAGCAACTCGAGGAATGCTCTGTGTACCCCAAATCGTCTCGAGATGAGAGCTGAATCCCTGGCTTAGGCTCAAGACGTATGCCAACTTTCCAGAAGCACCTCAGGAGGAGGCTTCTCTCAGCAATAGGTATGTGGGAGGGACTCCGAGATTGCTGCCTCAAGGGGAATATACAGCGAGAAGCCCTAACTTGAAAGGAGGCCGGATTTCTTTGCAGTGGCTTGAATACAGGCTCGTCTTTCATCTCACAACATGAAGGGATGTCTGAATCCCCTGTGGAGACCTTAGAGAAAGCCCTAGGTCCCTGCCTCATTTTGACGGAATCCTCACATCCCGCTGACACCTCGAGAGGCACGCGGAGTTCATTGCTTCAAAAGGTGACGATGCCTGACTCCTCTTGAATACTGATAGGAATCCCAAAATCCCTTTGGCTAATGGAAAGGGTCCTTGGGTGCCCTGGCTCACCTCGAGAAGCGTCCCTTTTGCCCTGCCAAGCCTCGAAGAGATTGCTGAGGTGTCCCTCGTTACTAGACAGGAGTCCTGACGCCATGGAAGAAACTCGTGTTTTGAAGGGCCATCCCCGCCGTAAGTCGAGAACATACCCCAGGTCCCCGCCGCAACTCGAGAAAAACCATGAGACTTCCCCCTAGAGGCGAGATGAGGCCCCATTCCCCTGCAGTGCATGCAGAGTTATTCCGTGATCCCATTCAAACAAGTCAGGAGCTTCGACTTGCTTAATGGATCTCGAGGCAGTCCCCAAGAACACTGTCACCAGTCTAGACGGACCCTGAGGTCACCCCAGCAACGCAAAGCAGCTCCAGGTGCCACAAATCAACTCGAGATGAGGCCCGATTCCCCTGCATTGACTCCAGAGCCATTCCCCGTTCCCCATTCAACACGACCAGTGGCTCGACTTCCTTCAGGCAACTCCAGAGATGCCCAGAGAACACTGTCCCAAGTCTAGAGGAACACCAACTTCAGCACAGCAACTCGAGGAATGCTCTGTGTACCACAAATCGTCTCGAGATGAGAGCTGAATCCCTGGCTTAGGCTCAAGACCTATGACAACTTTCCAGAAGCACCTCAGGAGGAGGCTTCTCTCAGCAATAGGTATGTGGGAGGGACTCCGAGTTTGCTGCCTCAAGGGGAATATACAGCGAGAAGCCCTAACTCGAAAGGAGGCCGGATTTCCTTGCAGTGGCTTGAATACAGGCTCGTCTTTCATCTCACAACATGAAGGGATGTCTGAATCCCCTGTGGAGACCTTAGAGAAAGCCCTAGGTCCCTGCCTCATTTTGACGGAATCCTCACATCCCGCTGACAACTCGAGAGGCACGCGGAGTTCATTGCTTCAAAAGGTGACGATGCCTGACTCCTCTTGAATATTGATAGGAATCCCAAAATCCCTGTGGCTACTGGAAAGGGTCCTTGGGTGCCCTGGCTCACCTCGAGAAGCGTCCCTTTTGCCCTGCCAAGCCTCGAAGAGATTGCTGAGGTGTCCCTCGTTACTAGACAGGAGTCCTGACGTCACTGAAGAAACTCGTGTTTTGAAGGGCCATCCCCGCCGTAAGTCGAGAACATACCCCAGGTCCCCGCCGCAACTCGAGAAAAACCATGAGACTTCCCCCTAGAGGCGAGATGAGGCCCCATTCCCCTGCAGTGCATGCAGAGCTATTCCGTGATCCCATTCAAACAAGTCAGGAGCTTCGACTTGCTTAATGGATCTCGAGACAGTCCCCAAGAACACTGTCACCAGTCTAGACGGACCCTGAGGTCACCCCAGCAACGCAAAGCTGCTCCATGTGCCCCAAATCAACTCGAGATGAGGCCCGATTCCCCTGCATTGACTCCAGAGCCATTCCCCGTTCCCCATTCAACACGACCGGTGGCTCGACTTCCTTCAGGCAACTCCAGGGATGCCCCGAGAACACTGTCCCAAGTCTAGAGGAACACCAACTTCAGCACAGCAACTCGAGGAATGCTCTGTGTACCCCAAATCGTCTCGAGATGAGAGCTGAATCCCTGGCTTAGGCTCAAGACGTATGCCACCTTTCCAGAAGCACCTCAGGAGGAGGCTTCTCTCAGCAATAGGTATGTGGGAGGGACCCCGAGTTTGCTGCCTCAAGGGGAATATACAGCGAGAAGCCCTATCTTGAAAGGAGGCCGGATTTCCTTGCAGTGGCTTGAGTACAGGCTCGTCTTTGATCTGACAACATGAAGGGATGTCTGAATCCCCTGTGGAGAGCTTAGAGAAAGCCCTAGGTCCCTGCCTCATTTTGACGGAATGCCTCACATCCCGCTGACACCTCGAGAGGCACGCGGAGTTCATTGCTTCAAAAGGTGACGATGCCTGACTCCTCTTGAATACTGATAATAATCCTAAAATCCCTGTGGCTACTGGAAAGGGTCCTTGGGTGCCCTGCCTCACCTCGAGAAGCGTCCCTTTTGCCCTGCCAAGCCTCGAAGAGATTCCTGAGGTGTTCCTCGTTACTAGGCAGGAGTCCTGACGTCACTGGAGAAACTCGTGTTTTGAAGGGCCATCCCCGCCATAAGTCGAGAACATACCCCAGGGCCCCGCCGCAACTCGAGAAAAACCATGAGACTTCCCCCTAGAGGCGAGATGAGGCCCCATTCCCCTGCAGTGCATGCAGAGCTATTCCGTGATCCCATTCAAACAAGTCAGGAGCTTCGACTTGCTTAATGGATCTCGAGGCAGTCCCCAAGAACACTGTCACCAGTCTAGACGGACCCTGAGGTCACCCAGCAATGCAAAGCAGCTCCATGTGCCCCAAATCAATTCGAGATGAGGCCGGATTCCCCTGCATTGACTCCAGAGCCATTCCTTGTTCCCCATTCAACACGACCGGTGGCTCGACTTCCTTCAGGCAACTCCAGAGATGCCCCGAGAACACTGTCCCAAGTCTAGAGGACCACCAACTTCAGCACAGCAACTCAAGGAATGCTCTGTGTACCCCAAATCGTCTCGAGATGAGAGCTGATTCCCTGGCTTAGGCTCAAGACGTATGCCACCTTTCCAGAAGCACCTCAGGAGGAGGCTTCTCTCAGCAATAGGTATGTGGGAGGGACCCCGAGTTTGCTGCCTCAAGGGGAATATACAGCGAGAGGCCCTAACTTGAAAGGACGCCGGATTTCCTTGCAGTGGCTTGAATACAGGCTCGTCTTTCATCTCACAACATGAAGGGATGTCTGAATCCCCTGTGGAGACCTTAGAGAAAGCCCTAGGTCCCTGCCTCATTTTGACGGAATCCTCACATCCCGCTGACACCTCGAGAGGCACGCGGAGTTCATTGCTTCAAAAGGTGACGATGCCTGACTCCTCTTGAATACTGATAGGAATCCCAAAATCCCTGTGGCTAATGGAAAGGGTCCTTGGGTGCCCTGGCTCACCTCGAGAAGCGTCCCTTTTGCCCTGCCAAGCCTCGAAGAGATTGCTGAGGTGTCCCTCGTTACTAGACAGGAGTCCTGACGCCACGGAAGAAACTCGTGTTTTGAAGGGCCATCCCCGCCGTAAGTCGAGAACATACCCCAGGTCCCCGCCGCAACTCGAGAAAAACCATGAGACTTCCCCCTAGAGGCGAGATGAGGCCCCATTCCCCTGCAGTGCATGCAGAGCTATTCCGTGATCCCATTCAAACAAGTCAGGAGCTTCGACTTGCTTAATGGATCTCGAGGCAGTCCCCAAGAACACTGTCACCAGTCTAGACGGACCCTGAGGTCACCCCAGCAACGCAAAGCAGCTCCAGGTGCCACAAATCAACTCGAGATGAGGCCCGATTCCCCTGCATTGACTCCAGAGCCATTCCCCGTTCCCCATTCAACACGACCAGTGGCTCGACTTCCTTCAGGCAACTCCAGAGATGCCCAGAGAACACTGTCCCAAGTCTAGAGGAACACCAACTTCAGCACAGCAACTCGAGGAATGCTCTGTGTACCACAAATCGTCTCGAGATGAGAGCTGAATCCCTGGCTTAGGCTCAAGACCTATGACAACTTTCCAGAAGCACCTCAGGAGGAGGCTTCTCTCAGCAATAGGTATGTGGGAGGGACTCCGAGTTTGCTGCCTCAAGGGGAATATACAGCGAGAAGCCCTAACTCGAAAGGAGGCCGGATTTCCTTGCAGTGGCTTGAATACAGGCTCGTCTTTCATCTCACAACATGAAGGGATGTCTGAATCCCCTGTGGAGACCTTAGAGAAAGCCCTAGGTCCCTGTCTCATTTTGACGGAATCCTCACATCCCGCTGACAACTCGAGAGGCACGCGGAGTTCATTGCTTCAAAAGGTGACGATGCCTGACTCCTCTTGAATATTGATAGGAGTCCCAAAATCCCTGTGGCTACTGGAAAGGGTCCTTGGGTGCCCTGGCTCACCTCGAGAAGCGTCCCTTTTGCCCTGCCAAGCCTCGAAGAGATTGCTGAGGTGTCCCTCGTTACTAGACAGGAGTCCTGACGTCACTGAAGAAACTCGTGTTTTGAAGGGCCATCCCCGCCGTAAGTCGAGAACATACCCCAGGTCCCCGCCGCAACTCGAGAAAAACCATGAGACTTCCCCCTAGAGGCGAGATGAGGCCCCATTCCCCTGCAGTGCATGCAGAGCTATTCCGTGATCCCATTCAAACAAGTCAGGAGCTTCGACTTGCTTAATGGATCTCGAGACAGTCCCCAAGAACACTGTCACCAGTCTAGACGGACCCTGAGGTCACCCCAGCAACGCAAAGCTGCTCCATGTGCCCCAAATCAACTCGAGATGAGGCCCGATTCCCCTGCATTGACTCCAGAGCCATTCCCCGTTCCCCATTCAACACGACCGGTGGCTCGACTTCCTTCAGGCAACTCCAGGGATGCCCCGAGAACACTGTCCCAAGTCTAGAGGAACACCAACTTCAGCACAGCAACTCGAGGAATGCTCTGTGTACCCCAAATCATCTCGAGATGAGAGCTGATTCCCTGGCTTAGGCTCAAGACGTATGCCACCTTTCCAGAAGCACCTCAGGAGGAGGCTTCTCTCAGCAATAGGTATGTGGGAGGGACCCCGAGTTTGCTGCCTCAAGGGGAATATACAGCGAGAAGCCCTATCTTGAAAGGAGGCCGGATTTCCTTGCAGTGGCTTGAGTACAGGCTCGTCTTTGATCTGACAACATGAAGGGATGTCTGAATCCCCTGTGGAGACCTTAGAGAAAGCCCTAGGTCCCTGCCTCATTTTGACGGAATGCCTCACATCCCGCTGACACCTCGAGAGGCACGCGGAGTTCATTGCTTCAAAAGGTGACGATGCCTGACTCCTCTTGAATACTGATAATAATCCTAAAATCCCTGTGGCTACTGGAAAGGGTCCTTGGGTGCCCTGCCTCACCTCGAGAAGCGTCCCTTTTGCCCTGCCAAGCCTCGAAGAGATTCCTGAGGTGTTCCTCGTTACTAGGCAGGAGTCCTGACGTCACTGGAGAAACTCGTGTTTTGAAGGGCCATCCCCGCCGTAAGTCGAGAACATACCCCAGGGCCCCGCCGCAACTCGAGAAAAACCATGAGACTTCCCCCTAGAGGCGAGATGAGGCCCCATTCCCCTGCAGTGCATGCAGAGCTATTCCGTGATCCCATTCAAACAAGTCAGGAGCTTCGACTTGCTTAATGGATCTCGAGGCAGTCCCCAAGAACACTGTCACCAGTCTAGACGGACCCTGAGGTCACCCAGCAATGCAAAGCAGCTCCATGTGCCCCAAATCAACTCGAGATGAGGCCGGATTCCCCTGCATTGACTCCAGAGCCATTCCTTGTTCCCCATTCAACACGACCGGTGGCTCGACTTCCTTCAGGCAACTCCAGAGATGCCCCGAGAACACTGTCCCAAGTCTAGAGGACCACCAACTTCAGCACAGCAACTCGAGGAATGCTCTGTGTACCCCAAATCGTCACGAGATGAGAGCTGATTCCCTGGCTTAGGCTCAAGACGTATGCCACCTTTCCAGAAGCACCTCAGGAGGAGGCTTCTCTCAGCAATAGGTATGTGGGAGGGACCCCGAGTTTGCTGCCTCAAGGGGAATATACAGCGAGAGGCCCTAACTTGAAAGGACGCCGGATTTCCTTGCAGTGGCTTGAATACAGGCTCGTCTTTCATCTCACAACATGAAGGGATGTCTGAATCCCCTGTGGAGACCTTAGAGAAAGCCCTAGGTCCCTGCCTCATTTTGACGGAATCCTCACATCCCGCTGACACCTCTAGAGGCACGCGGAGTTCATTGCTTCAAAAGGTGACGATGCCTGACTCCTCTTGTGTACTCATAGGAATCCCCAAATGCCTGTGGCTACTGGAAAGGGTCCTTGGGTGCCCTGCCTCACCTCGAGAAGCGTCCCTTTTGCCCTGCCAAGCCTCGAAGAGATTCCTGAGGTGTCCCTCGTTACTAGGCAGGAGTCCTGACGTCACTGGAGAAACTCGTGTTTTGAAGGGCCATCCCCGCCGTAAGTCGAGAACATACCCCAGGGCCCCGCCGCAACTCGAGAAAAAACATGAGACTTCCCCCTAGAGGCGAGATGAGGCCCCATTCCCCTGCAGTGCATGCAGAGCTATTCCGTGATCCCATTCAAACAAGTCAGGAGCTTCGACTTGCTTAATGGATCTCGAGGCAGTCCCCAAGAACACTGTCACCAGTCTAGACGGACCCTGAGGTCACCCAGCAATGCAAAGCAGCTCCATGTGCCCCAAATCAACTCGAGATGAGGCCGGATTCCCCTGCATTGACTCCAGAGCCATTCCTTGTTCCCCATTCAACACGACCGGTGGCTCGACTTCCTTCAGGCAACTCCAGAGATGCCCCGAGAACACTGTCCCAAGTCTAGAGGACCACCAACTTCAGCACAGCAACTCGAGGAATGCTCTGTGTACCCCAAATCGTCTCGAGATGAGAGCTGATTCCCTGGCTTAGGCTCAAGACGTATGCCACCTTTCCAGAAGCACCTCAGGAGGAGGCTTCTCTCAGCAATAGGTATGTGGGAGGGACCCCGAGTTTGCTGCCTCAAGGGGAATATACAGCGAGAGGCCCTAACTTGAAAGGACGCCGGATTTCCTTGCAGTGGCTTGAATACAGGCTCGTCTTTCATCTCACAACATGAAGGGATGTCTGAATCCCCTGTGGAGACCTTAGAGAAAGCCCTAGGTCCCTGCCTCATTTTGACGGAATCCTCACATCCCGCTGACACCTCTAGAGGCACGCGGAGTTCATTGCTTCAAAAGGTGATGATGCCTGACTCCTCTTGAATACTGATAATAATCCCAAAATCCTTGTGGCTACTGGAAAGGGTCCTTGGGTGCCCTGCCTCACCTCGAGAAGCGTCCCTTTTGCCCTGCCAAGCCTCGAAGAGATTCCTGAGGTGTCCCTCGTTACTAGGCAGGAGTCCTGACGTCACTGGAGAAACTCGTGTTTTGAAGGGCCATCCCCGCCGTAAGTCGAGAACATACCCCAGGGCCCCGCCGCAACTCGAGAAAAACCATGAGACTTCCCCCTAGAGGCGAGATGAGGCCCCATTCCCCTGCAGTGCATGCAGAGCTATTCCGTGATCCCATTCAAACAAGTCAGGAGCTTCGACTTGCTTAATGGATCTCGAGGCAGTCCCCAAGAACACTGTCACCAGTCTAGACGGACCCTGAGGTCACCCCAGCAACGCAAAGCAGCTCCAGGTGCCACAAATCAACTCGAGATGAGGCCCGATTCCCCTGCATTGACTCCAGAGCCATTCCCCGTTCCCCATTCAACACGACCGGTGGCTCGACTTCCTTCAGGCAACTCCAGAGATGCCCAGAGAACACTCCCAAGTCTAGAGGAACACCAATTTCAGCACAGCAACTCGAGGAATGCTCTGTGTACCACAAATCGTCTCAAGATGAGAGCTGAATCCCTGGCTTAGGCTCAAGACGTATGCCAACTTTCCAGAAGCACCTCAGGAGGAGGCTTCTCTCAGCAATAGGTATGTGGGAGGGACCCCGAGTTTGCTGCCGCAAGGGGAATATACAGCGAGAAGCCCTAACTTGAAAGGAGGCCGGATTTCCTTGCAGTGGCTTGAATACAGGCTCGTCTTTCATCTCACAACATGAAGGGATGTCTGAATCCCCTGTGGAGACCTTAGAGAAAGCCCTAGGTCCCTGCCTCATTTTGACGGAATCCTCACATCCCGCTGACACCATGAGAGGCACGCGGAGTTCATTGCTTCGAAATGTGACGATGCCTGACTCCTCTTGAATACTGATAGGAATCCCAAAATCCCTGTGGCTACTGGAAAGGGTCCTTGGGTGCCCTGGCTCACCTCGAGAAGCGTCCCTTTTGCCCTGCCAAGCCTCGAAGAGATTCCTGAGGTGTCCCTCGTTACTAGACAGGAGTCCTGACGTCACTGAAGAAACTCGTGTTTTGAAGGGCCATCCCCGCCGTAAGTCGAGAACATACCCCAGTTCCCCACCGCAACTCGAGAAAAACATGAGACTTCCCCCTAGAGACGAGATGAGGCCCCATTCCCCTGCAGTGCATGCAGAGCTATTCCCTGATCCCATTCAAACAAGTCAGGAGCTTCGACTTGCTTAATGGATCTCGAGACAGTCCCCAAGAACACTGTCACCAGTCTAGATGGACCCTGAGGTCACCCCAGCAACGCAAAGCTGCTCCATGTGCCCCAAATCAACTCGAGATGAGGCCCGATTCCCCTGCATTGACTCCAGAGCCATTCCCCGTTCCCCATTCAACACGACCGGTGGCTCGATTTCCTTCAGGCAACTCCAGAGATGCCCGGAGAACACTGTCCCAAGTCTAGAGGAACACCAACTTCAGCAGAGCAACTGGAGGAATGCTCCGTGTACCCCAAATCATCTCGAGATGAGAGCTGATTCCCTGGCTTAGGCTCAAGACGTATGCCAACTTTCCAGAAGCACCTCAGGAGGAGGCTTCTCTCAGCAATAGGTTTGTGGGAGGGACCCCGAGTTTGCTGCCTCAAGGGGAATACACAGGGAGAAGCCCTAATGTGTACGGAGGCCAGATTTCCTTGCAGTGGCTTGAATACAGGCTCGTCTTTGATCTGACAACATGAAGGGATGTCTGAATCCCCTGTGGAGACCTTAGAGGAAGCCCTAGGTCCCTGCCTCATTTTTACGGAATACCTCACATACCCCTGACACCTCGAGAGGCACGCAGAGTTCATTGCTTCAAAAGGTGACGATGCCTGACTCCTCTTGAATACTTATAGGAATCCCAAAATCCCTGTGCTACTGGAAAGGGTCCTTGGGTGCCCTGGCTCAGCTCGAGAAGCGTCCCTTTTGCCCTGCCAAGCCTCGAAGAGATTGCTGAGGTGTCCCTCATTACTAGACAGGAGTCCTGACGTCACTGAAGAAACTCGTGTTTTGAAGGGCCATCCCCGCCGTAAGTCGAGAACATACCCCAGGTCCCCGCCGCAACTCGAGAAAAACCATGAGATTTCCCCCTAGAGGCGAGATGAGGCCCCATTCCCATGCAGTGCATGCAGAGCTATTCCGTGATCCCATTCAAACAAGTCAGGAGCTTCGACTTGCTTAATGGATCTCGAGACAGTCCCCAAGAACACTGTCACCAGTCTAGACGGACCCTGAGGTCACCCCAGCAAAGCAAAGCAGCTCCATGTGCCCCAAATCAACTCGAGATGAGGCCCGATTCCCCTGCATTGACTCCAGAGCCATTCCCCGTTCCCCATTCAACAGGACCGGTGGCTCGGTTTCCTTCAGGCAACTCCAGAGATGCCCCGAGAACACTGTCCCAAGTCTAGAGGAACAAAAACTTCAGCACAGCAACTCGAGGAATGCTCTGTGTACCCCAAATCGTCTCGAGATGAGAGCTGATTCCCTGGCTTAGGCTCAAGACTTATGCCAACTTTCCAGAAGCACCTCAGGAGGAGGCTTCTCAGCAATAGGTATGTGGGAGGGACCCCGAGTTTGCTGCCTCAAGGGGAATATACAGCGAGAAGCCCTATCTTGAAAGGAGGCCGGATTTCCTTGCAGTGGCTTGAGTACAGGCTCGTCTTTGATCTGACAACATGAAGGGATGTCTGAATCCCCTGTGGAGACCTTAGAGAAAGCCCTAGGTCCCTGCCTCATTTTGACGGAATGCCTCACATCCCGCTGACACCTCGAGAGGCACGCGGAGTTCATTGCTTCAAAAGGTGACGATGCCTGACTCCTCTTGAATACTGATAATAATCCTAAAATCCCTGTGGCTACTGGAAAGGGTCCTTGGGTGCCCTGCCTCACCTCGAGAAGCGTCCCTTTTGCCCTGCCAAGCCTCGAAGAGATTCCTGAGGTGTTCCTCGTTACTAGGCAGGAGTCCTGACGTCACTGGAGAAACTCGTGTTTTGAAGGGCCATCCCCGCCGTAAGTCGAGAACATACCCCAGGGCCCCGCCGCAACTCGAGAAAAACCATGAGACTTCCCCCTAGAGGCGAGATGAGGCCCCATTCCCCTGCAGTGCATGCAGAGCTATTCCGTGATCCCATTCAAACAAGTCAGGAGCTTCGACTTGCTTAATGGATCTCGAGGCAGTCCCCAAGAACACTGTCACCAGTCTAGACGGACCCTGAGGTCACCCAGCAATGCAAAGCAGCTCCATGTGCCCCAAATCAACTCGAGATGAGGCCGGATTCCCCTGCATTGACTCCAGAGCCATTCCTTGTTCCCCATTCAACACGACCGGTGGCTCGACTTCCTTCAGGCAACTCCAGAGATGCCCCGAGAACACTGTCCCAAGTCTAGAGGACCACCAACTTCAGCACAGCAACTCGAGGAATGCTCTGTGTACCCCAAATCGTCACGAGATGAGAGCTGATTCCCTGGCTTAGGCTCAAGACGTATGCCACCTTTCCAGAAGCACCTCAGGAGGAGGCTTCTCTCAGCAATAGGTATGTGGGAGGGACCCCGAGTTTGCTGCCTCAAGGGGAATATACAGCGAGAGGCCCTAACTTGAAAGGACGCCGGATTTCCTTGCAGTGGCTTGAATACAGGCTCGTCTTTCATCTCACAACATGAAGGGATGTCTGAATCCCCTGTGGAGACCTTAGAGAAAGCCCTAGGTCCCTGCCTCATTTTGACGGAATCCTCACATCCCGCTGACACCTCTAGAGGCACGCGGAGTTCATTGCTTCAAAAGGTGACGATGCCTGACTCCTCTTGTGTACTCATAGGAATCCCCAAATGCCTGTGGCTACTGGAAAGGGTCCTTGGGTGCCCTGCCTCACCTCGAGAAGCGTCCCTTTTGCCCTGCCAAGCCTCGAAGAGATTCCTGAGGTGTCCCTCGTTACTAGGCAGGAGTCCTGACGTCACTGGAGAAACTCGTGTTTTGAAGGGCCATCCCCGCCGTAAGTCGAGAACATACCCCAGGGCCCCGCCGCAACTCGAGAAAAAACATGAGACTTCCCCCTAGAGGCGAGATGAGGCCCCATTCCCCTGCAGTGCATGCAGAGCTATTCCGTGATCCCATTCAAACAAGTCAGGAGCTTCGACTTGCTTAATGGATCTCGAGGCAGTCCCCAAGAACACTGTCACCAGTCTAGACGGACCCTGAGGTCACCCAGCAATGCAAAGCAGCTCCATGTGCCCCAAATCAACTCGAGATGAGGCCGGATTCCCCTGCATTGACTCCAGAGCCATTCCTTGTTCCCCATTCAACACGACCGGTGGCTCGACTTCCTTCAGGCAACTCCAGAGATGCCCCGAGAACACTGTCCCAAGTCTAGAGGACCACCAACTTCAGCACAGCAACTCGAGGAATGCTCTGTGTACCCCAAATCGTCTCGAGATGAGAGCTGATTCCCTGGCTTAGGCTCAAGACGTATGCCACCTTTCCAGAAGCACCTCAGGAGGAGGCTTCTCTCAGCAATAGGTATGTGGGAGGGACCCCGAGTTTGCTGCCTCAAGGGGAATATACAGCGAGAGGCCCTAACTTGAAAGGACGCCGGATTTCCTTGCAGTGGCTTGAATACAGGCTCGTCTTTCATCTCACAACATGAAGGGATGTCTGAATCCCCTGTGGAGACCTTAGAGAAAGCCCTAGGTCCCTGCCTCATTTTGACGGAATCCTCACATCCCGCTGACACCTCTAGAGGCACGCGGAGTTCATTGCTTCAAAAGGTGATGATGCCTGACTCCTCTTGAATACTGATAATAATCCCAAAATCCTTGTGGCTACTGGAAAGGGTCCTTGGGTGCCCTGCCTCACCTCGAGAAGCGTCCCTTTTGCCCTGCCAAGCCTCGAAGAGATTCCTGAGGTGTCCCTCGTTACTAGGCAGGAGTCCTGACGTCACTGGAGAAACTCGTGTTTTGAAGGGCCATCCCCGCCGTAAGTCGAGAACATACCCCAGGGCCCCGCCGCAACTCGAGAAAAACCATGAGACTTCCCCCTAGAGGCGAGATGAGGCCCCATTCCCCTGCAGTGCATGCAGAGCTATTCCGTGATCCCATTCAAACAAGTCAGGAGCTTCGACTTGCTTAATGGATCTCGAGGCAGTCCCCAAGAACACTGTCACCAGTCTAGACGGACCCTGAGGTCACCCCAGCAACGCAAAGCAGCTCCAGGTGCCACAAATCAACTCGAGATGAGGCCCGATTCCCCTGCATTGACTCCAGAGCCATTCCCCGTTCCCCATTCAACACGACCGGTGGCTCGACTTCCTTCAGGCAACTCCAGAGATGCCCAGAGAACACTGTCCCAAGTCTAGAGGAACACCAATTTCAGCACAGCAACTCGAGGAATGCTCTGTGTACCACAAATCGTCTCAAGATGAGAGCTGAATCCCTGGCTTAGGCTCAAGACGTATGCCAACTTTCCAGAAGCACCTCAGGAGGAGGCTTCTCTCAGCAATAGGTATGTGGGAGGGACCCCGAGTTTGCTGCCGCAAGGGGAATATACAGCGAGAAGCCCTAACTTGAAAGGAGGCCGGATTTCCTTGCAGTGGCTTGAATACAGGCTCGTCTTTCATCTCACAACATGAAGGGATGTCTGAATCCCCTGTGGAGACCTTAGAGAAAGCCCTAGGTCCCTGCCTCATTTTGACGGAATCCTCACATCCCGCTGACACCATGAGAGGCACGCGGAGTTCATTGCTTCGAAATGTGACGATGCCTGACTCCTCTTGAATACTGATAGGAATGCCAAAATCCCTGTGGCTACTGGAAAGGGTCCTTGGGTGCCCTGGCTCACCTCGAGAAGCGTCCCTTTTGCCCTGCCAAGCCTCGAAGAGATTCCTGAGGTGTCCCTCGTTACTAGACAGGAGTCCTGACGTCACTGAAGAAACTCGTGTTTTGAAGGGCCATCCCCGCCGTAAGTCGAGAACATACCCCAGTTCCCCACCGCAACTCGAGAAAAACATGAGACTTCCCCCTAGAGACGAGATGAGGCCCCATTCCCCTGCAGTGCATGCAGAGCTATTCCCTGATCCCATTCAAACAAGTCAGGAGCTTCGACTTGCTTAATGGATCTCGAGACAGTCCCCAAGAACACTGTCACCAGTCTAGATGGACCCTGAGGTCACCCCAGCAACGCAAAGCTGCTCCATGTGCCCCAAATCAACTCGAGATGAGGCCCGATTCCCCTGCATTGACTCCAGAGCCATTCCCCGTTCCCCATTCAACACGACCGGTGGCTCGATTTCCTTCAGGCAACTCCAGAGATGCCCGGAGAACACTGTCCCAAGTCTAGAGGAACACCAACTTCAGCAGAGCAACTGGAGGAATGCTCCGTGTACCCCAAATCATCTCGAGATGAGAGCTGATTCCCTGGCTTAGGCTCAAGACGTATGCCAACTTTCCAGAAGCACCTCAGGAGGAGGCTTCTCTCAGCAATAGGTTTGTGGGAGGGACCCCGAGTTTGCTGCCTCAAGGGGAATACACAGGGAGAAGCCCTAATGTGTACGGAGGCCAGATTTCCTTGCAGTGGCTTGAATACAGGCTCGTCTTTGATCTGACAACATGAAGGGATGTCTGAATCCCCTGTGGAGACCTTAGAGGAAGCCCTAGGTCCCTGCCTCATTTTTACGGAATACCTCACATACCCCTGACACCTCGAGAGGCACGCAGAGTTCATTGCTTCAAAAGGTGACGATGCCTGACTCCTCTTGAATACTTATAGGAATCCCAAAATCCCTGTGCTACTGGAAAGGGTCCTTGGGTGCCCTGGCTCAGCTCGAGAAGCGTCCCTTTTGCCCTGCCAAGCCTCGAAGAGATTGCTGAGGTGTCCCTCATTACTAGACAGGAGTCCTGACGTCACTGAAGAAACTCGTGTTTTGAAGGGCCATCCCCGCCGTAAGTCGAGAACATACCCCAGGTCCCCGCCGCAACTCGAGAAAAACCATGAGATTTCCCCCTAGAGGCGAGATGAGGCCCCATTCCCATGCAGTGCATGCAGAGCTATTCCGTGATCCCATTCAAACAAGTCAGGAGCTTCGACTTGCTTAATGGATCTCGAGACAGTCCCCAAGAACACTGTCACCAGTCTAGACGGACCCTGAGGTCACCCCAGCAAAGCAAAGCAGCTCCATGTGCCCCAAATCAACTCGAGATGAGGCCCGATTCCCCTGCATTGACTCCAGAGCCATTCCCCGTTCCCCATTCAACAGGACCGGTGGCTCGGTTTCCTTCAGGCAACTCCAGAGATGCCCCGAGAACACTGTCCCAAGTCTAGAGGAACAAAAACTTCAGCACAGCAACTCGAGGAATGCTCTGTGTACCCCAAATCGTCTCGAGATGAGAGCTGATTCCCTGGCTTAGGCTCAAGACTTATGCCAACTTTCCAGAAGCACCTCAGGAGGAGGCTTCTCAGCAATAGGTATGTGGGAGGGACCCCGAGTTTGCTGCCTCAAGGGGAATATACAGCGAGAAGCCCTATCTTGAAAGGAGGCCGGATTTCCTTGCAGTGGCTTGAGTACAGGCTCGTCTTTGATCTGACAACATGAAGGGATGTCTGAATCCCCTGTGGAGACCTTAGAGAAAGCCCTAGGTCCCTGCCTCATTTTGACGGAATGCCTCACATCCCGCTGACACCTCGAGAGGCACGCGGAGTTCATTGCTTCAAAAGGTGACGATGCCTGACTCCTCTTGAATACTGATAATAATCCTAAAATCCCTGTGGCTACTGGAAAGGGTCCTTGGGTGCCCTGCCTCACCTCGAGAAGCGTCCCTTTTGCCCTGCCAAGCCTCGAAGAGATTCCTGAGGTGTTCCTCGTTACTAGGCAGGAGTCCTGACGTCACTGGAGAAACTCGTGTTTTGAAGGGCCATCCCCGCCGTAAGTCGAGAACATACCCCAGGGCCCCGCCGCAACTCGAGAAAAACCATGAGACTTCCCCCTAGAGGCGAGATGAGGCCCCATTCCCCTGCAGTGCATGCAGAGCTATTCCGTGATCCCATTCAAACAAGTCAGGAGCTTCGACTTGCTTAATGGATCTCGAGGCAGTCCCCAAGAACACTGTCACCAGTCTAGACGGACCCTGAGGTCACCCAGCAATGCAAAGCAGCTCCATGTGCCCCAAATCAACTCGAGATGAGGCCGGATTCCCCTGCATTGACTCCAGAGCCATTCCTTGTTCCCCATTCAACACGACCGGTGGCTCGACTTCCTTCAGGCAACTCCAGAGATGCCCCGAGAACACTGTCCCAAGTCTAGAGGACCACCAACTTCAGCACAGCAACTCGAGGAATGCTCTGTGTACCCCAAATCGTCACGAGATGAGAGCTGATTCCCTGGCTTAGGCTCAAGACGTATGCCACCTTTCCAGAAGCACCTCAGGAGGAGGCTTCTCTCAGCAATAGGTATGTGGGAGGGACCCCGAGTTTGCTGCCTCAAGGGGAATATACAGCGAGAGGCCCTAACTTGAAAGGACGCCGGATTTCCTTGCAGTGGCTTGAATACAGGCTCGTCTTTCATCTCACAACATGAAGGGATGTCTGAATCCCCTGTGGAGACCTTAGAGAAAGCCCTAGGTCCCTGCCTCATTTTGACGGAATCCTCACATCCCGCTGACACCTCTAGAGGCACGCGGAGTTCATTGCTTCAAAAGGTGACGATGCCTGACTCCTCTTGTGTACTCATAGGAATCCCCAAATGCCTGTGGCTACTGGAAAGGGTCCTTGGGTGCCCTGCCTCACCTCGAGAAGCGTCCCTTTTGCCCTGCCAAGCCTCGAAGAGATTCCTGAGGTGTCCCTCGTTACTAGGCAGGAGTCCTGACGTCACTGGAGAAACTCGTGTTTTGAAGGGCCATCCCCGCCGTAAGTCGAGAACATACCCCAGGGCCCCGCCGCAACTCGAGAAAAAACATGAGACTTCCCCCTAGAGGCGAGATGAGGCCCCATTCCCCTGCAGTGCATGCAGAGCTATTCCGTGATCCCATTCAAACAAGTCAGGAGCTTCGACTTGCTTAATGGATCTCGAGGCAGTCCCCAAGAACACTGTCACCAGTCTAGACGGACCCTGAGGTCACCCAGCAATGCAAAGCAGCTCCATGTGCCCCAAATCAACTCGAGATGAGGCCGGATTCCCCTGCATTGACTCCAGAGCCATTCCTTGCTCCCCATTCAACACGACCGGTGGCTCGACTTCCTTCAGGCAACTCCAGAGATGCCCCGAGAACACTGTCCCAAGTCTAGAGGACCACCAACTTCAGCACAGCAACTCGAGGAATGCTCTGTGTACCCCAAATCGTCTCGAGATGAGAGCTGATTCCCTGGCTTAGGCTCAAGACGTATGCCACCTTTCCAGAAGCACCTCAGGAGGAGGCTTCTCTCAGCAATAGGTATGTGGGAGGGACCCCGAGTTTGCTGCCTCAAGGGGAATATACAGCGAGAGGCCCTAACTTGAAAGGACGCCGGATTTCCTTGCAGTGGCTTGAATACAGGCTCGTCTTTCATCTCACAACATGAAGGGATGTCTGAATCCCCTGTGGAGACCTTAGAGAAAGCCCTAGGTCCCTGCCTCATTTTGACGGAATCCTCACATCCCGCTGACACCTCTAGAGGCACGCGGAGTTCATTGCTTCAAAAGGTGATGATGCCTGACTCCTCTTGAATACTGATAATAATCCCAAAATCCTTGTGGCTACTGGAAAGGGTCCTTGGGTGCCCTGCCTCACCTCGAGAAGCGTCCCTTTTGCCCTGCCAAGCCTCGAAGAGATTCCTGAGGTGTCCCTCGTTACTAGGCAGGAGTCCTGACGTCACTGGAGAAACTCGTGTTTTGAAGGGCCATCCCCGCCGTAAGTCGAGAACATACCCCAGGGCCCCGCCGCAACTCGAGAAAAACCATGAGACTTCCCCCTAGAGGCGAGATGAGGCCCCATTCCCCTGCAGTGCATGCAGAGCTATTCCGTGATCCCATTCAAACAAGTCAGGAGCTTCGACTTGCTTAATGGATCTCGAGGCAGTCCCCAAGAACACTGTCACCAGTCTAGACGGACCCTGAGGTCACCCCAGCAACGCAAAGCAGCTCCAGGTGCCACAAATCAACTCGAGATGAGGCCCGATTCCCCTGCATTGACTCCAGAGCCATTCCCCGTTCCCCATTCAACACGACCGGTGGCTCGACTTCCTTCAGGCAACTCCAGAGATGCCCAGAGAACACTGTCCCAAGTCTAGAGGAACACCAATTTCAGCACAGCAACTCGAGGAATGCTCTGTGTACCACAAATCGTCTCAAGATGAGAGCTGAATCCCTGGCTTAGGCTCAAGACGTATGCCAACTTTCCAGAAGCACCTCAGGAGGAGGCTTCTCTCAGCAATAGGTATGTGGGAGGGACCCCGAGTTTGCTGCCGCAAGGGGAATATACAGCGAGAAGCCCTAACTTGAAAGGAGGCCGGATTTCCTTGCAGTGGCTTGAATACAGGCTCGTCTTTCATCTCACAACATGAAGGGATGTCTGAATCCCCTGTGGAGACCTTAGAGAAAGCCCTAGGTCCCTGCCTCATTTTGACGGAATCCTCACATCCCGCTGACACCATGAGAGGCACGCGGAGTTCATTGCTTCGAAATGTGACGATGCCTGACTCCTCTTGAATACTGATAGGAATGCCAAAATCCCTGTGGCTACTGGAAAGGGTCCTTGGGTGCCCTGGCTCACCTCGAGAAGCGTCCCTTTTGCCCTGCCAAGCCTCGAAGAGATTCCTGAGGTGTCCCTCGTTACTAGACAGGAGTCCTGACGTCACTGAAGAAACTCGTGTTTTGAAGGGCCATCCCCGCCGTAAGTCGAGAACATACCCCAGTTCCCCACCGCAACTCGAGAAAAACATGAGACTTCCCCCTAGAGACGAGATGAGGCCCCATTCCCCTGCAGTGCATGCAGAGCTATTCCCTGATCCCATTCAAACAAGTCAGGAGCTTCGACTTGCTTAATGGATCTCGAGACAGTCCCCAAGAACACTGTCACCAGTCTAGATGGACCCTGAGGTCACCCCAGCAACGCAAAGCTGCTCCATGTGCCCCAAATCAACTCGAGATGAGGCCCGATTCCCCTGCATTGACTCCAGAGCCATTCCCCGTTCCCCATTCAACACGACCGGTGGCTCGATTTCCTTCAGGCAACTCCAGAGATGCCCGGAGAACACTGTCCCAAGTCTAGAGGAACACCAACTTCAGCAGAGCAACTGGAGGAATGCTCCGTGTACCCCAAATCATCTCGAGATGAGAGCTGATTCCCTGGCTTAGGCTCAAGACGTATGCCAACTTTCCAGAAGCACCTCAGGAGGAGGCTTCTCTCAGCAATAGGTTTGTGGGAGGGACCCCGAGTTTGCTGCCTCAAGGGGAATACACAGGGAGAAGCCCTAATGTGTACGGAGGCCAGATTTCCTTGCAGTGGCTTGAATACAGGCTCGTCTTTGATCTGACAACATGAAGGGATGTCTGAATCCCCTGTGGAGACCTTAGAGGAAGCCCTAGGTCCCTGCCTCATTTTTACGGAATACCTCACATACCCCTGACACCTCGAGAGGCACGCAGAGTTCATTGCTTCAAAAGGTGACGATGCCTGACTCCTCTTGAATACTTATAGGAATCCCAAAATCCCTGTGCTACTGGAAAGGGTCCTTGGGTGCCCTGGCTCAGCTCGAGAAGCGTCCCTTTTGCCCTGCCAAGCCTCGAAGAGATTGCTGAGGTGTCCCTCATTACTAGACAGGAGTCCTGACGTCACTGAAGAAACTCGTGTTTTGAAGGGCCATCCCCGCCGTAAGTCGAGAACATACCCCAGGTCCCCGCCGCAACTCGAGAAAAACCATGAGATTTCCCCCTAGAGGCGAGATGAGGCCCCATTCCCATGCAGTGCATGCAGAGCTATTCCGTGATCCCATTCAAACAAGTCAGGAGCTTCGACTTGCTTAATGGATCTCGAGACAGTCCCCAAGAACACTGTCACCAGTCTAGACGGACCCTGAGGTCACCCCAGCAAAGCAAAGCAGCTCCATGTGCCCCAAATCAACTCGAGATGAGGCCCGATTCCCCTGCATTGACTCCAGAGCCATTCCCCGTTCCCCATTCAACAGGACCGGTGGCTCGGTTTCCTTCAGGCAACTCCAGAGATGCCCCGAGAACACTGTCCCAAGTCTAGAGGAACAAAAACTTCAGCACAGCAACTCGAGGAATGCTCTGTGTACCCCAAATCGTCTCGAGATGAGAGCTGATTCCCTGGCTTAGGCTCAAGACGTATGCCAACTTTCCAGAAGCACCTCAGGAGGAGGCTTCTCAGCAATAGGTATGTGGCAGGGACTCCGAGTTTGCTGCCTCAAGGGGAATATACAGCGAGAAGCCCTAACTTGAAAGGAGGCAGGATTTCCTTGCAGTAGCTTGAATACAGGCTAGTCTTTCATCTCACAACATGAAGGGATGTCTGAATCCCCTGTGAAGACCTTAGAGAAAGCCCTAGGTCCCTGCCTCATTTTGACGGAATGCCTCACATCCCGCTGACAACTCGAGAGGCACGCGGAGTTCATTGCTTCAAAAGGTGACGATGCCCGACTACTCTTGAATACTGATAGGAATCCCAAAATCCCTGTGGCTACTGGAAATGTTCCTTGGGTGCCCTGCCTCACTTCGAGAAGCGTCCCTTTTGGCCTGCCAAGCCTCGAAGAGATTCCTGAGGTGTCCCTCGTTACTAGACAGGAGTTCTGACGTCACTGAAGAAACTCGTGTTTTGAAGGGCCATCCCCGCCGTAAGTCGAGAACATACCCCAGGTCCCCGCCGCAACTCGAGAAAAACCATGAGACTTCCCCCTAGAGGCGAGATGAGGCCCCATTCCCCTGCAGTGCATGCAGAGCTATTCCGTGATCCCATTCAAACAAGTCAGGAGCTTCGACGTGCTTAATGGATCTCGAGACAGTCCCCAAGAACACTGTCACCAGTCTAGACGGACCCTGAGGTCACCCCAGCAACGCAAAGCTGCTCCATGTGCCCCAAATCAACTCGAGATGAGGCCCGATTCCCCTGCATTGACTCCAGAGCCATTCCCCGTTCCCCATTCAACAGGACCGGTGGCTCGCTTTCCTTCAGGCAACTCCAGAGATGCCCCGAGAACACTGTCCCAAGTCTAGAGGAGCACCAATTTCAGCACAGCAACCAGAGGAATGCTCCGTGTACCCCAAATCATCTCGAGATGAGAGCTGATTCCCTGGCTTAGGCTCAAGACGTATGCCAACTTTCCAGAAGCACCGCAGGAGGAGGCTTCTCTCAGCAATAGGTATGTGGGAGGGACCCCGAGTTTGCTGCCTCAAGGGGAATACACAGGGAGAAGCCCTAATGTGAACGGAGGCCAGATTTCCTTGCAGTGGCTTGAATACAGGCTCGTCTTTGATCTGACAACATGAAGGGATTTCTGAATCCCCTGTGGAGACCTTAGAGGAAGCCCTAGGTCCCTGCCTCATTTTGACGGAATACCTCACATTCCCCTGACACCTCGAGAGGCACGCAGAGTTCATTGCTTCAAAAGGTGACGATGCCTGACTCCTCTTGAATACTTATAGGAATCCCAAAATCCCTGTGGCTACTGGAAAGGGTCCTTGGGTGCCCTGGCTCACCTCGAGAAGCGTCCCTTTTGCCCTGCCAAGCCTCGAAGAGATTGCTGAGGTGTCCCTCATTACTAGACAGGAGTCCTGACGTCACTGAAGAAACTCGTGTTTTGAAGGGCCATCCCCACCGTAAGTCGAGAACATACCCCAGGTCCCCGCCGCAACTCGAGAAAAACCATGAGATTTCCCCCTAGAGGCGAGATGAGGCCCCATTCCACTGCAGTGCATGCAGAGCTATTCCATGATCCAATTCAAACAAGTCAGGAGCTTCGACTTGCTAAATGGATCTCGAGACAGTCCCCAAGAACACTGTCACCAGTCTAGACGGACCCTGAGGTCACCCCAGCAACACAAAGCAGCTCCATGTGCCCCAAATCAACTCGAGATGAGGCCCGATTCCCCTGCATTGACTCCAGAGCCATTCCCCGTTCCAAGTTCAAAACGAACGGTGGCTCGCCTTCCTTCAGGCAACTCCAGAGATGCCCCGAGAACACTGTCTCAAGTCTAGAGGACCACCAACTTCAGCACAGCAACTCGAGGAATGCTCTGTGTACCCCAAATCGTCTCGAGATGAGAGCTGATTCCCTGGCTTAGGCTCAAGACGTATGCCAACTTTCCAGAAGCACCTCAGGAGGAGGCTTCTCAGCAATAGGTATGTGGGAGGGACCCCGAGTTTTCTGCCTCAAGGGGAATACACAGGGAGAAGCCCTAACTTGAACGGAGGCCAGATTTCCTTGCAGTGGCTTGAATACAGGCTCGTCTTTGATCTGACAACATGAAGGGATTTCTGAATCCCCTGTGGAGACCTTAGAGGAAGCCCTAGGTCCCTGCCTCATTTTGACGGAATACCTCACATCCCCCTGACACCTCGAGAGGCACGCAGAGTTCATTGCTTCAAAAGGTGACGATGCCTGACTCCTCTTGAATACTTATAGGAATCCCAAAATCCCTGTGCTACTGGAAAGGGTCCTTGGGTGCCCTGGCTCAGCTCGAGAAGCGTCCCTTTTGCCCTGCCAAGCCTCGAAGAGATTGCTGAGGTGTCCCTCATTACTAGACAGGAGTCCTGACGTCACTGAAGAAACTCATGTTTTGAAGGGCCATCCCCGCCGTAAGTCGAGAACATACCCCAGGTCCCCGCCGCAACTCGAGAAAAACCATGAGATTTCCCCCTAGAGGCGAGATGAGGCCCCATTCCCCTGCAGTGCATGCAGAGCTATTCCGTGATCCCATTCAAACAAGTCAGGAGCTTCGACTTGCTTAATGGATCTCGAGACAGTCCCCAAGAACACTGTCACCAGTCTAGACGGACCCTGAGGTCACCCCAGCAACGCAAAGCAGCTCCATGTGCCCCAAATCAACTCGAGATGAGGCCCGATTCCCCTGCATTGACTCCAGAGCCATTCCCCGTTCCCCATTCAACAGGACCGGTGGCTCGGTTTCCTTCAGGCAACTCCAGAGATGCCCCGAGAACACTGTCCCAAGTCTAGAGGAACACAAACTTCAGCACAGCAACTCGAGGAATGCTCTGTGTACCCCAAATCGTCTCGAGATGAGAGCTGATTCCCTGGCTTAGGCTCAAGACGTATGCCAACTTTCCAGAAGCACCTCAGGAGGAGGCTTCTCAGCAATAGGTATGTGGGAGGGACTCCGAGTTTGCTGCCTCAAGGGGAATTTACAGCGAGAAGCCCTCACTTGAAAGGAGGCCGGATTTCCTTGCAGTAGCTTGAATGCAGGCTTGTCTTTCATCTCACAACAGGAAGGGATGTCTGAATCCCCTGTGAAGACCTTAGAGAAAGCCCTAGGTCCCTGCCTCATTTTGACGGAATGCCTCACATCCCGCTGACAACTCGAGAGGCACGCGGAGTTCATTGTTTCAAAAGGTGACAATGCCTGACTCCTCTTGAATACTGATAGGAATCCCAAAATCCCTGTGGCTACTGGAAATGTTCCTTGGGTGCCCTGCCTCACTTCGAGAAGCGTCCCTTTTGGCCTGCCAAGCCTCGAAGAGATTCCTGAGGTGTCCCTCGTTACTAGACAGGAGTCCTGACGTCACGGAAGAAACTCGTGTTTTGAAGGGCCATCCCCGCCGTAAGTCGAGAACATACCCCAGGTCCCCGCCGCAACTCGAGAAAAACCATGAGACCCCCCTAGAGGCGAGATGAGGCCCCATTCCCCTGCAGTGCATGCAGAGCTATTCCGTGATCCCATTCAAACAAGTCAGGAGCTTCGACGTGCTTAATGGATCTCGAGACAGTCCCCAAGAACACTGTCACCAGTCTAGACGGACCCTGAGGTCACCCCAGCAACGCAAAGCTGCTCCATGTGCCCCAAATCAACTCGAGATGAGGCCCGATTCCCCTGCATTGACTCCAGAGCCATTCCCCGTTCCCCATTCAACACGACCGGTGGCTCGACTTCCTTCAGGCAACTCCAGAGATGCCCCGAGAACACTGTCCCAAGTCTAGAGGAGCACCAATTTCAGCACAGCAACCAGAGGAATGCTCCGTGTACCCCAAATCATCTCGAGATGAGAGCTGATTCCCTGGCTTAGGCTCAAGACGTATGCCAACTTGCCAGAAGCACCGCAGGAGGAGGCTTCTCTCAGCAATAGGTATGTGGGAGGGACCCCGAGTTTGCTGCCTCAAGGGGAATACACAGGGAGAAGCCCTAATGTGAACGGAGGCCAGATTTCCTTGCAGTGGCTTGAATACAGGCTCGTCTTTGATCTGACAACATGAAGGGATTTCTGAATCCCCTGTGGAGACCTTAGAGGAAGCCCTAGGTCCCTGCCTCATTTTGACGGAATAACTCACATCCCCCTGACACCTCGAGAGGCACGCAGAGTTCATTGCTTCAAAAGGTGACGATGCCTGACTCTTCTTGAATAATGATAGGAATCCCAAAATCCCTGTGGCTACTGGAAAGGGTCCTTGGGTGCCCTGGCTCACCTCGAGAAGCGTCCCTTTTGCCCTGCCAAGCCTCGAAGAGATTGCTGAGGTGTCCCTCATTACTAGACAGGAGTCCTGACGTCACTGAAGAAACTCGTGTTTTGAAGGGCCATCCCCGCCGTAAGTCGAGAACATACCCCAGGTCCCCGCCGCAACTCGAGAAAAACCATGAGATTTCCCCCTAGAGGCGAGATGAGGCCCCATTCCCCTGCAGTGCATGCAGAGCTATTCCATGATCCAATTCAAACAAGTCAGGAGCTTCGACTTGCTAAATGGATCTCGAGACAGTCCCCAAGAACACTGTCACCAGTCTAGACGGACCCTGAGGTCACCCCAGCAACACAAAGCAGCTCCATGTGCCCCAAATCAACTCGAGATGAGGCCCGATTCCCCTGCATTGACTCCAGAGCCATTCCCCGTTCCAAGTTCAAAACGAACGGTGGCTCGCCTTCCTTCAGGCAACTCCAGAGATGCCCCGAGAACACTGTCTCAAGTCTAGAGGACCACCAACTTCAGCACAGCAACTCGAGGAATGCTCTGTGTACCCCAAATCATCTCGAGATGAGAGCTGATTCCCTGGCTTAGGCTCAAGACGTATGCCAACTTTCCAGAAGCACCTCAGGAGGAGGCTTCTCAGCAATAGGTATGTGGGAGGGACTCCGAGTTTGCTGCCTCAAGGGGAATATACAGCGAGAAGCCCTAACTTGAAAGGAGGCCGGATTTCCTTGCAGTGGCTTGAATACAGGCTCGTCTTTCATCTCACAACATGAAGGGACGTCTGAATCCCCTGTGGAGACCTTAGAGAAAGCCCTAGGTCCCTGCCTCATTTTGACGGAATCCTCACATCCCGCTGACACCTCGAGAGGCACGCGGAGTTCATTGCTTCAAAAGGTGACGAAGCCTGACTCCTCTTGAATACTTATAGGAATCCCAAAATCCCTGTGGCTACTGGAAAGGGTCCTTGGGTGCCCTGGCTCACCTCGAGAAGCGTCCCTTTTGCCCTGCCAAGCCTCGAAGAGATTGCTGACGTGTCCCTCGTTACTAGACAGGAGTCCTGACGTCACTGAAGAAACTCGTGTTTTGAAGGGCCATCCCCGCCGTAAGTTGAGAACATACCCCAGTTCCCCGCCGCAACTCGAGAAAAACCATGAGACTTCCCCCTAGAGGCGAAATGAGGGCCCATTCCCCTGCAGTGCATGCAGAGCTATTCCGTGATCCCATTCAAACAAGTCAGGAGCTTCGACTTGCTTAATGGATCTCGAGGCAGTCCCCAAGAACACTGTCACCAGTCTAGACGGACCCTGAGGTCACCCCAGCAACGCAAAGCAGCTCCAGGTGCCACAAATCAACTCGAGATGAGGCCCGATTCCCCTGCATTGACTCCAGAGCCATTCCCCGTTCCCCATTCAACACGACCGGTGGCTCGACTTCCTTCAGGCAACTCCAGAGATGCGCAGAGAACACTGTCCCAAGTCTAGAGGAACACCAACTTCACCACAGCAACTCGAGGAATGCTCTGTGTACCCCAAATCGTCTCGAGATGAGAGCTGAATCCCTGGCTTAGGCTCAAGACGTATGCCAACTTTCCAGAAGCACCTCAGGAGGAGGCTTCTCTCAGCAATAGGTATGTGGGAGGGACTCCGAGTTTGCTGCCTCAAGGGGAATATACAGCGAGAAGCCCTAACTTGAAAGGAGGCCGGATTTCCTTGCAGTGGCTTGAATACAGGCTCGTCTTTCATCTCACAACATGAAGGGATGTCTGAATCCCCTGTGGAGACCTTAGAGGAAGTCCTAGGTCCCTGCCTCATTTTGACGGAATACCTCACATCCCCCTGACACCTCGAGAGGCACGCAGAGTTCATTGCTTCAAAAGGTGACGATGCCTGACTCCTCTTGAATACTTATAGGAATCCCAAAATCCCTGTTGCTACTGGAAAGGGTCCTTGGGTGCCCTGGCTCACCTCGAGAAGCGTCCCTTTTGCCCTGCCAAGCCTCGAAGAGATTGCTGAGGTGTCCCTCATTACTAGACAGGAGTCCTGACGTCACTGAAGAAACTCGTGTTTTGAAGGGCCATCCCCGCCGTAAGTCGAGAACATACCCCAGGTCCCCGCCGCAACTCGAGAAAAACCATGAGATTTCCCCCTAGAGGCGAGATGAGGCCCCATTCCCCTGCAGTGCATGCAGAGCTATTCCATGATCCAATTCAAACAAGTCAGGAGCTTCGACTTGCTAAATGGATCTCGAGACAGTCCCCAAGAACACTGTCACCAGTCTAGACGGACCCTGAGGTCACCCCAGCAACACAAAGCAGCTCCATGTGCCCCAAATCAACTCGAGATGAGGCCCGATTCCCCTGCATTGACTCCAGAGCCATTCCCCGTTCCAAGTTCAAAACGAACGGTGGCTCGCCTTCCTTCAGGCAACTCCAGAGATGCCCCGAGAACACTGTCTCAAGTCTAGAGGACCACCAACTTCAGCACAGCAACTCGAGGAATGCTCTGTGTACCCCAAATCGTCTCGAGATGAGAGCTGATTCCCTGGCTTAGGCTCAAGACGTATGCCAACTTTCCAGAAGCACCTCAGGAGGAGGCTTCTCAGCAATAGGTATGTGGGAGGGACTCCGAGTTTGCTGCCTCAAGGGGAATATACAGCGAGAAGCCCTAACTTGAAAGGAGGCCGGATTTCCTTGCAGTGGCTTGAATACAGGCTCGTCTTTCATCTCACAACATGAAGGGATGTCTGAATCCCCTGTGGAGACCTTAGAGAAAGCCCTAGGTCCCTGCCTCATTTTGACGGAATCCTCACATCCCGCTGACACCTCGAGAGGCACGCGGAGTTCATTGCTTCAAAAGGTGACGATGCCTGACTCCTCTTGAATACTGATAGGAATCCCAAAATCCCTGTGGCTACTGGAAAGGGTCCTTGGGTGCCCTGGCTCACCTCGAGAAGCGTCCCTTTTGCCCTGCCAAGCCTCGAAGAGATTGCTGAGGTGTCCCTCGTTACTAGACAGGAGTCCTGACGTCACGGAAGAAACTCGTGTTTTGAAGGGCCATCCCCGCCGTAAGTCGAGAACATACCCCAGGTCCCCGCCGCAACTCGAGAAAAACCATGAGACTTCCCCCTAGAGGCGAGATGAGGCCCCATTCCCTTGCAGTGCATGCAGAGCTATTCCGTGATCCCATTCAAACAAGTCAGGAGCTTCGACTTGCTTAATGGATCTCGAGACAGTCCCCAAGAACACTGTCACCAGTCTAGACGGACCCTGAGGTCACCCAGCAATGCAAAGCAGCTCCATGTGCCCCAAATCAACTCGAGATGAGGACGGATTCCCCTGCATTGACTCCAGAGCCATTCCTTGTTCCCCATTCAACACGACCGGTGGCTCGACTTCCTTCAGGCAACTCCAGAGATGCCCCGAGAACACTGTCCCAAGTCTAGAGGACCACCAACTTCAGCACAGCAACTCGAGGAATGCTCTGTGTACCCCAAATCGTCTCGAGATGAGAGCTGATTCCCTGGCTTAGGCTCAAGACGTATGCCACCTTTCCAGAAGCACCTCAGGAGGAGGCTTCTCTCAGCAATAGGTATGTGGGAGGGACTCCGAGATTGCTGCCTCAAGGGGAATATACAGCGAGAAGCCCTAACTTGAAAGGAGGCCGGATTTCCTTGCAGTGGCTTGAATACAGGCTCGTCTTTCATCTCACAACATGAAGGGATGTGTGAATCCCCTGTGGAGACCTTAGAGAAAGCCCTAGGTCCCTACCTCATTTTGACGGAATCCTCACATCCCGCTGACACCTCGAGAGGCACGCGGAGTTCATTGCTTCAAAAGGTGACGATGCCTGACTCCTCTTGAATACTGATAGGAATCCCAAAATCCCTGTGGCTACTGGAAAGGGTCCTTGGGTGCCCTGCCTCACTTCGAGAAGCGTCCCTTTTGCCCTGCCAAGCCTCGAAGAGATTGCTGAGGTGTCCCTCGTTACTAGACAGGAGTCCTGACGTCACGGAAGAAACTCGTGTTTTGAAGGGCCATCCCCGCCGTAAGTCGACAACATACCCCAGGTCCCCGCCGCAACTCGAGAAAATCCGTGAGACTTCCCCCTAGAGGCGAGATGAGGCCCCATTCCCCTGCAGTGCATGCAGAGCTATTCCGTGATCCCATTCAAACAAGTCAGGAGCTTCGACTTGCTAAATGGATCTCGAGACAGTCCCCAATAACACTGTCACCAGTCTAGACGGACCCTGAGGTCATCCCAGCAACGCAAAGCAGCTCCATGTGCCCCAAATCAACTCGAGATGAGGCCCGATTCCCCTGCATTGAATCCAGAGCCATTCCCCGTTCCCCGTTCAACACGAACGGAGGATCGCCTTCCTTCAGGCATCTCCAGAGATGCCCCGAGAACACTGTCCCAAGTCTAGAGGAACATCAACTTCAGCACAGCAACTCGAGGAATGCTCTGTGTACCCCAAATCGTCTCGAGATGAGAGCTGATTCCCTGGCTTAGGCTCAAGACGTATGCCAACTTTCCAGAAGCACCTCAGGAGGAGGCTTCTCAGCAATAGGTATGTGGGAGGGACTCCAAGTTTGCTGCCTCAAGGGGAATATACAGCGAGAAGCCCTAACTTGAAAGGAGGCCGGATTTCCTTGCAGTAGCTTGAATACAGGCTCGTCTTTCATCTCACACATGAAGCGATGTCTGAATCCCCTGTGGAGACCTTAGAGAAAGCCCTAGGTCCCTGCCTCATTTTGACGGAATGCCTCACATCCCGCTGACACCTCGAGAGGCAAGCGGAGTTCATTGCTTCAAAAGGTGACGATGCCTGACTCCTCTTGAATACTGATAGGAATCCCAAAATCCCTGTGGCTACTGGAAAGGGTCCTTGGGTGCCCTGCCTCACCTCGAGAAGCGTCCCTTTTGCCCTGCCAAGACTCGAAGAGATTCCTGAGGTTTCCCTCGTTACTAGGCAGGAGTCCTGACCTCACTGAAGAAAGTCGTGTTTTGAAGGGCCATCCCTGCCGTAAGTCGAGAACATACCCCAGATCCCCGCCGCAACTCGAGAAAAACCATGAGACTTCCCCCTAGAGGCGAGATGAGGCCCCATTCCCCTGCAGTGCATGCAGAGCTATTCCGTGATCCCATTCAAACAAGTCAGGAGCTTCGACTTGCTTAATGGATCTCGAGACAATCCCCAAGAACACTGTCACCAGTCTAGACGGACCCTGAGGTCACCCCAGCAACGCAAAGCTGCTCCATGTGCCCCAAATCAACTCGAGATGAGGCCCGATTCCCCTGCATTGACTCCAGAGCCATTCCCCTTTCCCCATTCAACACGACCGGTGGCTCGACTTCCTTCAGGCAACTCCAGAGATGCCCCGAGAACACTGTCCCAAGTCTAGAGGACCACCAACTTCAGCACAGCAATTCGAGGAATGCTCTGTGTACCCCAAATCGTCTCGAGATGAGAGCTGATTCCCTGGCTTAGGCTCAAGACGTATGCCAACTTTCCAGAAGCACCTCAGGAGGAGGCTTCTCTCAGCAATAGGTATGTGGGAGGGACTCGGAGATTGCTGCCTCAAGGGGAATATACAGCGAGAAGCCCTAACTTGAAAGGAGGCCGGATTTCCTTGCAGTGGCTTCAATACAGGCTCGTCTTTCATCTCACAACATGAAGGGATGTCTGAATCCCCTGTGGAGACCTTAGAGAAAGCCCTAGGTCCCTACCTCATTTTGACGGAATCCTCACATCCCGCTGACACCTCGAGAGGCACGCGGAGTTCATTGCTTCAAAAGGTGACGATGCCTGACTCCTCTTGAATACTGATAGGAATCCCAAAATCCCTGTGGCTACTGGAAAGGGTCCTTGGGTGCCCTGGCTCACCTCGAGAAGCGTCCCTTTTGCCCTGCCAAGCCTCGAAGAGATTGCTGAGGTGTCCCTCGTTACTAGACAGGAGTCCTGACGTCACGGAAGAAACTCGTGTTTTGAAGGGCCATCCCCGCTGTAAGGCGAGAACATACCCCAGGTCCCCGCCGCAACTCGAGAAAAACCATGAGACTTCCCCCTAGAGGCGAGATGAGGCCCCATTCCCCTGCAGTGCATGCAGAGCTATTCCGTGATCCCATTCAAACAAGTCAGGAGCTTCGACTTGCTTAATGGATCTCGAGACAGTCCCCAAGAACACTGTCACCAGTCTAGACGGACCCTGAGGTCACCCAGTAATGCAAAGCAGCTCCATGTGCCCCAAATCAACTCGAAATGAGGCCGGATTCCCCTGCATTGACTCCAGAGCCATTCCTTGTTCCCCATTCAACACGACCGGTGGCTCGACTTCCTTCAGGCAACTCCAGAGATGCCCCGAGAACACTGTCCCAAGTCTAGAGGAACACCAACTTCAGCACAGCAACTCGAGGAATGCTCTGTGTACCCCAAATCGTCTCGAGACGAGAGCTGATTCCCTGGCTTAGGCTCAAGACGTATGCCACCTTTCCAGAAGCACCTCAGGAGGAGGCTTCTCTCAGCAATAGGTATGTGGGAGGGACCCCGAGTTTGCTGCCTCAAGGGGAATATACAGCGAGAAGCCCTAACTTGAAAGGAGGCCGCATTTCCTTGCAGTGGCTTGAATACAGGCTCGTCTTTGATCTGACAACATGAAGGGATGTCTGAATCCCCTGTGGAGACCTTAGAGAAAGCCCTAGGTCCCTGCCTCATTTTGACGGAATGCCTCACATCCCGCTGACACCTCGAGAGGCACGCGGAGTTCATTGCTTCAAAAGGTGACGATGCCTGACTCCTCTTGAATACTGATAGGAATCCCAAAATCCCTGTGGCTACTGGAAAGGGTCCTTGGGTGCCCTGCCTCACCTCGAGAAGCGTCCCTTTTGGCCTGCCAAGCCTCGAAGAGATTCCTGAGGTGTCCCTCGTTACTAGGCAGGAGTCCTGACGTCACTGGAGAAACTCGTGTTTTGAAGGGCCATCCCCGCCGTAAGTTGAGAACATACCCCAGTTCCCCGCCGCAACTAGAGAAAAACATGAGACTTCCCCCTAGAGGCGAGATGAGGCCCCATTCCCCTGCAGTGCATGCAGAGCTATTCCTTGATCCCATTCAAACAAGTCAGGAGCTTCGACTTGCTTAATGGATCTCGAGGCAGTCCCCAAGAACACTGTCACCAGTCTAGACGGACCCTGACGTCACCCCAGCAACGCAAAGCAGCTCCAGGTGCCACAAATCAACTCGAGATGAGGCCCGATTCCCCTGCATTGACTCCAGAGCCATTCCCCGTTCCCCATTCAACACGACCGGTGGCTCGACTTCCTTCAGGCAACTCCAGAGATGCCCAGAGAACACTGTCCCAAGTCTAGAGGAACACCAACTTCAGCACAGCAACTCGAGGAATGCTCTGTGTACCCCAAATCGTCTCGAGATGAGAGCTGAATCCCTGGCTTAGGCTCAAGACGTATGCCAACTTTCCAGAAGCACCTCAGGAGGAGGCTTCTCTCAGCAATAGGTATGTGGGAGGGACTCCGAGATTGCTGCCTCAAGGGGAATATACAGCGAGAAGCCCTAACTTGAAAGGAGGCCGGATTTCTTTGCAGTGGCTTGAATACAGGCTCGTCTTTCATCTCACAACATGAAGGGATGTCTGAATCCCCTGTGGAGACCTTAGAGAAAGCCCTAGGTCCCTGCCTCATTTTGACGGAATCCTCACATCCCGCTGACACCTCGAGAGGCACGCGGAGTTCATTGCTTCAAAAGGTGACGATGCCTGACTCCTCTTGAATACTGATAGGAATCCCAAAATCCCTGTGGCTAATGGAAAGGGTCCTTGGGTGCCCTGGCTCACCTCGAGAAGCGTCCCTTTTGCCCTGCCAAGCCTCGAAGAGATTGCTGAGGTGTCCCTCGTTACTAGACAGGAGTCCTGACGCCATGGAAGAAACTCGTGTTTTGAAGGGCCATCCCCGCCGTAAGTCGAGAACATACCCCAGGTCCCCGCCGCAACTCGAGAAAAACCATGAGACTTCCCCCTAGAGGCGAGATGAGGCCCCATTCCCCTGCAGTGCATGCAGAGTTATTCCGTGATCCCATTCAAACAAGTCAGGAGCTTCGACTTGCTTAATGGATCTCGAGGCAGTCCCCAAGAACACTGTCACCAGTCTAGACGGACCCTGAGGTCACCCCAGCAACGCAAAGCAGCTCCAGGTGCCACAAATCAACTCGAGATGAGGCCCGATTCCCCTGCATTGACTCCAGAGCCATTCCCCGTTCCCCATTCAACACGACCAGTGGCTCGACTTCCTTCAGGCAACTCCAGAGATGCCCAGAGAACACTGTCCCAAGTCTAGAGGAACACCAACTTCAGCACAGCAACTCGAGGAATGCTCTGTGTACCACAAATCGTCTCGAGATGAGAGCTGAATCCCTGGCTTAGGCTCAAGACCTATGACAACTTTCCAGAAGCACCTCAGGAGGAGGCTTCTCTCAGCAATAGGTATGTGGGAGGGACTCCGAGTTTGCTGCCTCAAGGGGAATATACAGCGAGAAGCCCTAACTCGAAAGGAGGCCGGATTTCCTTGCAGTGGCTTGAATACAGGCTCGTCTTTCATCTCACAACATGAAGGGATGTCTGAATCCCCTGTGGAGACCTTAGAGAAAGCCCTAGGTCCCTGCCTCATTTTGACGGAATCCTCACATCCCGCTGACAACTCGAGAGGCACGCGGAGTTCATTGCTTCAAAAGGTGACGATGCCTGACTCCTCTTGAATATTGATAGGAATCCCAAAATCCCTGTGGCTACTGGAAAGGGTCCTTGGGTGCCCTGGCTCACCTCGAGAAGCGTCCCTTTTGCCCTGCCAAGCCTCGAAGAGATTGCTGAGGTGTCCCTCGTTACTAGACAGGAGTCCTGACGTCACTGAAGAAACTCGTGTTTTGAAGGGCCATCCCCGCCGTAAGTCGAGAACATACCCCAGGTCCCCGCCGCAACTCGAGAAAAACCATGAGACTTCCCCCTAGAGGCGAGATGAGGCCCCATTCCCCTGCAGTGCATGCAGAGCTATTCCGTGATCCCATTCAAACAAGTCAGGAGCTTCGACGTGCTTAATGGATCTCGAGACAGTCCCCAAGAACACTGTCACCAGTCTAGACGGACCCTGAGGTCACCCCAGCAACGCAAAGCTGCTCCATGTGCCCCAAATCAACTCGAGATGAGGCCCGATTCCCCTGCATTGACTCCAGAGCCATTCCCCGTTCCCCATTCAACACGACCGGTGGCTCGACTTCCTTCAGGCAACTCCAGGGATGCCCCGAGAACACTGTCCCAAGTCTAGAGGAACACCAACTTCAGCACAGCAACTCGAGGAATGCTCTGTGTACCCCAAATCGTCTCGAGATGAGAGCTGATTCCCTGGCTTAGGCTCAAGACGTATGCCACCTTTCCAGAAGCACCTCAGGAGGAGGCTTCTCTCAGCAATAGGTATGTGGGAGGGACCCCGAGTTTGCTGCCTCAAGGGGAATTTACAGCGAGAAGCCCTATCTTGAAAGGAGGCCGGATTTCCTTGCAGTGGCTTGAGTACAGGCTCGTCTTTGATCTGACAACATGAAGGGATGTCTGAATCCCCTGTGGAGACCTTAGAGAAAGCCCTAGGTCCCTGCCTCATTTTGACGGAATGCCTCACATCCCGCTGACACCTCGAGAGGCACGCGGAGTTCATTGCTTCAAAAGGTGACGATGCCTGACTCCTCTTGAATACTGATAATAATCCTAAAATCCCTGTGGCTACTGGAAAGGGTCCTTGGGTGCCCTGCCTCACCTCGAGAAGCGTCCCTTTTGCCCTGCCAAGCCTCGAAGAGATTCCTGAGGTGTTCCTCGTTACTAGGCAGGAGTCCTGACGTCACTGGAGAAACTCGTGTTTTGAAGGGCCATCCCCGCCATAAGTCGAGAACATACCCCAGGGCCCCGCCGCAACTCGAGAAAACCATGAGACTTCCCCCTAGAGGCGAGATGAGGCCCCATTCCCCTGCAGTGCATGCAGAGCTATTCCGTGATCCCATTCAAACAAGTCAGGAGCTTCGACTTGCTTAATGGATCTCGAGGCAGTCCCCAAGAACACTGTCACCAGTCTAGACGGACCCTGAGGTCACCCAGCAATGCAAAGCAGCTCCATGTGCCCCAAATCAATTCGAGATGAGGCCGGATTCCCCTGCATTGACTCCAGAGCCATTCTTTGTTCCCCATTCAACACGACCGGTGGCTCGACTTCCTTCAGGCAACTCCAGAGATGCCCCGAGAACACTGTCCCAAGTCTAGAGGACCACCAACTTCAGCACAGCAACTCAAGGAATGCTCTGTGTACCCCAAATCGTCTCGAGATGAGAGCTGATTCCCTGGCTTAGGCTCAAGACGTATGCCACCTTTCCAGAAGCACCTCAGGAGGAGGCTTCTCTCAGCAATAGGTATGTGGGAGGGACCCCGAGTTTGCTGCCTCAAGGGGAATATACAGCGAGAGGCCCTAACTTGAAAGGACGCCGGATTTCCTTGCAGTGGCTTGAATACAGGCTCGTCTTTCATCTCACAACATGAAGGGATGTCTGAATCCCCTGTGGAGACCTTAGAGAAAGCCCTAGGTCCCTGCCTCATTTTGACGGAATCCTCACATCCCGCTGACACCTCGAGAGGCACGCGGAGTTCATTGCTTCAAAAGGTGACGATGCCTGACTCCTCTTGAATACTGATAGGAATCCCAAAATCCCTGTGGCTAATGGAAAGGGTCCTTGGGTGCCCTGGCTCACCTCGAGAAGCGTCCCTTTTGCCCTGCCAAGCCTCGAAGAGATTGCTGAGGTGTCCCTCGTTACTAGACAGGAGTCCTGACGCCACGGAAGAAACTCGTGTTTTGAAGGGCCATCCCCGCCGTAAGTCGAGAACATACCCCAGGTCCCCGCCGCAACTCGAGAAAAACCATGAGACTTCCCCCTAGAGGCGAGATGAGGCCCCATTCCCCTGCAGTGCATGCAGAGCTATTCCGTGATCCCATTCAAACAAGTCAGGAGCTTCGACTTGCTTAATGGATCTCGAGGCAGTCCCCAAGAACACTGTCACCAGTCTAGACGGACCCTGAGGTCACCCCAGCAACGCAAAGCAGCTCCAGGTGCCACAAATCAACTCGAGATGAGGCCCGATTCCCCTGCATTGACTCCAGAGCCATTCCCCGTTCCCCATTCAACACGACCAGTGGCTCGACTTCCTTCAGGCAACTCCAGAGATGCCCAGAGAACACTGTCCCAAGTCTAGAGGAACACCAACTTCAGCACAGCAACTCGAGGAATGCTCTGTGTACCACAAATCGTCTCGAGATGAGAGCTGAATCCCTGGCTTAGGCTCAAGACCTATGACAACTTTCCAGAAGCACCTCAGGAGGAGGCTTCTCTCAGCAATAGGTATGTGGGAGGGACTCCGAGTTTGCTGCCTCAAGGGGAATATACAGCGAGAAGCCCTAACTCGAAAGGAGGCCGGATTTCCTTGCAGTGGCTTGAATACAGGCTCGTCTTTCATCTCACAACATGAAGGGATGTCTGAATCCCCTGTGGAGACCTTAGAGAAAGCCCTAGGTCCCTGTCTCATTTTGACGGAATCCTCACATCCCGCTGACAACTCGAGAGGCACGCGGAGTTCATTGCTTCAAAAGGTGACGATGCCTGACTCCTCTTGAATATTGATAGGAATCCCAAAATCCCTGTGGCTACTGGAAAGGGTCCTTGGGTGCCCTGGCTCACCTCGAGAAGCGTCCCTTTTGCCCTGCCAAGCCTCGAAGAGATTGCTGAGGTGTCCCTCGTTACTAGACAGGAGTCCTGACGTCACTGAAGAAACTCGTGTTTTGAAGGGCCATCCCCGCCGTAAGTCGAGAACATACCCCAGGTCCCCGCCGCAACTCGAGAAAAACCATGAGACTTCCCCCTAGAGGCGAGATGAGGCCCCATTCCCCTGCAGTGCATGCAGAGCTATTCCGTGATCCCATTCAAACAAGTCAGGAGCTTCGACTTGCTTAATGGATCTCGAGACAGTCCCCAAGAACACTGTCACCAGTCTAGACGGACCCTGAGGTCACCCCAGCAATGCAAAGCTGCTCCATGTGCCCCAAATCAACTCGAGATGAGGCCCGATTCCCCTGCATTGACTCCAGAGCCATTCCCCGTTCCCCATTCAACACGACCGGTGGCTCGACTTCCTTCAGGCAACTCCAGGGATGCCCCGAGAACACTGTCCCAAGTCTAGAGGAACACCAACTTCAGCACAGCAACTCGAGGAATGCTCTGTGTACCCCAAATCGTCTCGAGATGAGAGCTGATTCCCTGGCTTAGGCTCAAGACGTATGCCACCTTTCCAGAAGCACCTCAGGAGGAGGCTTCTCTCAGCAATAGGTATGTGGGAGGGACCCCGAGTTTGCTGCCTCAAGGGGAATATACAGCGAGAAGCCCTATCTTGAAAGGAGGCCGGATTTCCTTGCAGTGGCTTGAGTACAGGCTCGTCTTTGATCTGACAACATGAAGGGATGTCTGAATCCCCTGTGGAGACCTTAGAGAAAGCCCTAGGTCCCTGCCTCATTTTGACGGAATGCCTCACATCCCGCTGACACCTCGAGAGGCACGCGGAGTTCATTGCTTCAAAAGGTGACGATGCCTGACTCCTCTTGAATACTGATAATAATCCTAAAATCCCTGTGGCTACTGGAAAGGGTCCTTGGGTGCCCTGCCTCACCTCGAGAAGCGTCCCTTTTGCCCTGCCAAGCCTCGAAGAGATTCCTGAGGTGTTCCTCGTTACTAGGCAGGAGTCCTGACGTCACTGGAGAAACTCGTGTTTTGAAGGGCCATCCCCGCCGTAAGTCGAGAACATACCCCAGGGCCCCGCCGCAACTCGAGAAAAACCATGAGACTTCCCCCTAGAGGCGAGATGAGGCCCCATTCCCCTGCAGTGCATGCAGAGCTATTCCGTGATCCCATTCAAACAAGTCAGGAGCTTCGACTTGCTTAATGGATCTCGAGGCAGTCCCCAAGAACACTGTCACCAGTCTAGACGGACCCTGAGGTCACCCAGCAATGCAAAGCAGCTCCATGTGCCCCAAATCAACTCGAGATGAGGCCGGATTCCCCTGCATTGACTCCAGAGCCATTCCTTGTTCCCCATTCAACACGACCGGTGGCTCGACTTCCTTCAGGCAACTCCAGAGATGCCCCGAGAACACTGTCCCAAGTCTAGAGGACCACCAACTTCAGCACAGCAACTCGAGGAATGCTCTGTGTACCCCAAATCGTCACGAGATGAGAGCTGATTCCCTGGCTTAGGCTCAAGACGTATGCCACCTTTCCAGAAGCACCTCAGGAGGAGGCTTCTCTCAGCAATAGGTATGTGGGAGGGACCCCGAGTTTGCTGCCTCAAGGGGAATATACAGCGAGAGGCCCTAACTTGAAAGGACGCCGGATTTCCTTGCAGTGGCTTGAATACAGGCTCGTCTTTCATCTCACAACATGAAGGGATGTCTGAATCCCCTGTGGAGACCTTAGAGAAAGCCCTAGGTCCCTGCCTCATTTTGACGGAATCCTCACATCCCGCTGACACCTCTAGAGGCACGCGGAGTTCATTGCTTCAAAAGGTGACGATGCCTGACTCCTCTTGTGTACTCATAGGAATCCCCAAATGCCTGTGGCTACTGGAAAGGGTCCTTGGGTGCCCTGCCTCACCTCGAGAAGCGTCCCTTTTGCCCTGCCAAGCCTCGAAGAGATTCCTGAGGTGTCCCTCGTTACTAGGCAGGAGTCCTGACGTCACTGGAGAAACTCGTGTTTTGAAGGGCCATCCCCGCCGTAAGTCGAGAACATACCCCAGGGCCCCGCCGCAACTCGAGAAAAAACATGAGACTTCCCCCTAGAGGCGAGATGAGGCCCCATTCCCCTGCAGTGCATGCAGAGCTATTCCGTGATCCCATTCAAACAAGTCAGGAGCTTCGACTTGCTTAATGGATCTCGAGGCAGTCCCCAAGAACACTGTCACCAGTCTAGACGGACCCTGAGGTCACCCAGCAATGCAAAGCAGCTCCATGTGCCCCAAATCAACTCGAGATGAGGCCGGATTCCCCTGCATTGACTCCAGAGCCATTCCTTGTTCCCCATTCAACACGACCGGTGGCTCGACTTCCTTCAGGCAACTCCAGAGATGCCCCGAGAACACTGTCCCAAGTCTAGAGGACCACCAACTTCAGCACAGCAACTCGAGGAATGCTCTGTGTACCCCAAATCGTCTCGAGATGAGAGCTGATTCCCTGGCTTAGGCTCAAGACGTATGCCACCTTTCCAGAAGCACCTCAGGAGGAGGCTTCTCTCAGCAATAGGTTTGTGGGAGGGACCCCGAGTTTGCTGCCTCAAGGGGAATACACAGGGAGAAGCCCTAATGTGTACGGAGGCCAGATTTCCTTGCAGTGGCTTGAATACAGGCTCGTCTTTGATCTGACAACATGAAGGGATGTCTGAATCCCCTGTGGAGACCTTAGAGGAAGCCCTAGGTCCCTGCCTCATTGTTACGGAATACCTCACATACCCCTGACACCTCGAGAGGCACGCAGAGTTCATTGCTTCAAAAGGTGACGATGCCTGACTCCTCTTGAATACTTATAGGAATAACAAAATCCCTGTGCTACTGGAAAGGGTCCTTGGGTGCCCTGGCTCAGCTCGAGAAGCGTCCCTTTTGCCCTGCCAAGCCTCGAAGAGATTGCTGAGGTGTCCCTCATTACTAGACAGGAGTCCTGACGTCACTGAAGAAACTCGTGTTTTGAAGGGCCATCCCCGCCGTAAGTCGAGAACATACCCCAGGTCCCCGCCGCAACTCGAGAAAAACCATGAGATTTCCCCCTAGAGGCGAGATGAGGCCCCATTCCCATGCAGTGCATGCAGAGCTATTCCGTGATCCCATTCAAACAAGTCAGGAGCTTCGACTTGCTTAATGGATCTCGAGACAGTCCCCAAGAACACTGTCACCAGTCTAGACGGACCCTGAGGTCACCCCAGCAAAGCAAAGCAGCTCCATGTGCCCCAAATCAACTCGAGATGAGGCCCGATTCCCCTGCATTGACTCCAGAGCCATTCCCCGTTCCCCATTCAACAGGACCGGTGGCTCGGTTTCCTTCAGGCAACTCCAGAGATGCCCCGAGAACACTGTCCCAAGTCTAGAGGAACAAAAACTTCAGCACAGCAACTCGAGGAATGCTCTGTGTACCCCAAATCGTCTCGAGATGAGAGCTGATTCCCTGGCTTAGGCTCAAGACGTATGCCAACTTTCCAGAAGCACCTCAGGAGGAGGCTTCTCAGCAATAGGTATGTGGCAGGGACTCCGAGTTTGCTGCCTCAAGGGGAATATACAGCGAGAAGCCCTAACTTGAAAGGAGGCAGGATTTCCTTGCAGTAGCTTGAATACAGGCTTGTCTTTCATCTCACAACATGAAGGGATGTCTGAATCCCCTGTGAAGACCTTAGAGAAAGCCCTAGGTCCCTGCCTCATTTTGACGGAATGCCTCACATCCCGCTGACAACTCGAGAGGCACGCGGAGTTCATTGCTTCAAAAGGTGACGATGCCCGACTCCTCTTGAATACTGATAGGAATCCCAAAATCCCTGTGGCTACTGGAAATGTTCCTTGGGTGCCCTGCCTCACTTCGAGAAGCGTCCCTTTTGGCCTGCCAAGCCTCGAAGAGATTCCTGAGGTGTCCCTCGTTACTAGACAGGAGTCCTGACGTCACTGAAGAAACTCGTGTTTTGAAGGGCCATCCCCGCCGTAAGTCGAGAACATACCCCAGGTCCCCGCCGCAACTCGAGAAAAACCATGAGACTTCCCCCTAGAGGCGAGATGAGGCCCCATTCCCCTGCAGTGCATGCAGAGCTATTCCGTGATCCCATTCAAACAAGTCAGGAGCTTCGACGTGCTTAATGGATCTCGAGACAGTCCCCAAGAACACTGTCACCAGTCTAGACGGACCCTGAGGTCACCCCAGCAACGCAAAGCTGCTCCATGTGCCCCAAATCAACTCGAGATGAGGCCCGATTCCCCTGCATTGACTCCAGAGCCATTCCCCGTTCCCCATTCAACAGGACCGGTGGCTCGCTTTCCTTCAGGCAACTCCAGAGATGCCCCGAGAACACTGTCCCAAGTCTAGAGGAGCACCAATTTCAGCACAGCAACCAGAGGAATGCTCCGTGTACCCCAAATCATCTCGAGATGAGAGCTGATTCCCTGGCTTAGGCTCAAGACGTATGCCAACTTTCCAGAAGCACCGCAGGAGGAGGCTTCTCTCAGCAATAGGTATGTGGGAGGGACCCCGAGTTTGCTGCCTCAAGGGGAATACACAGGGAGAAGCCCTAATGTGAACGGAGGCCAGATTTCCTTGCAGTGGCTTGAATACAGGCTCGTCTTTGATCTGACAACATGAAGGGATTTCTGAATCCCCTGTGGAGACCTTAGAGGAAGCCCTAGGTCCCTGCCTCATTTTGACGGAATACCTCACATTCCCCTGACACCTCGAGAGGCACGCAGAGTTCATTGCTTCAAAAGGTGACGATGCCTGACTCCTCTTGAATACTTATAGGAATCCCAAAATCCCTGTGGCTACTGGAAAGGGTCCTTGGGTGCCCTGGCTCACCTCGAGAAGCGTCCCTTTTGCCCTGCCAAGCCTCGAAGAGATTGCTGAGGTGTCCCTCATTACTAGACAGGAGTCCTGACGTCACTGAAGAAACTCGTGTTTTGAAGGGCCATCCCCACCGTAAGTCGAGAACATACCCCAGGTCCCCGCCGCAACTCGAGAAAAACCATGAGATTTCCCCCTAGAGGCGAGATGAGGCCCCATTCCACTGCAGTGCATGCAGAGCTATTCCATGATCCAATTCAAACAAGTCAGGAGCTTCGACTTGCTAAATGGATCTCGAGACAGTCCCCAAGAACACTGTCACCAGTCTAGACGGACCCTGAGGTCACCCCAGCAACACAAAGCAGCTCCATGTGCCCCAAATCAACTCGAGATGAGGCCCGATTCCCCTGCATTGACTCCAGAGCCATTCCCCGTTCCAAGTTCAAAACGAACGGTGGCTCGCCTTCCTTCAGGCAACTCCAGAGATGCCCCGAGAACACTGTCTCAAGTCTAGAGGACCACCAACTTCAGCACAGCAACTCGAGGAATGCTCTGTGTACCCCAAATCGTCTCGAGATGAGAGCTGATTCCCTGGCTTAGGCTCAAGACGTATGCCAACTTTCCAGAAGCACCTCAGGAGGAGGCTTCTCAGCAATAGGTATGTGGGAGGGACCCCGAGTTTTCTGCCTCAAGGGGAATACACAGGGAGAAGCCCTAACTTGAACGGAGGCCAGATTTCCTTGCAGTGGCTTGAATACAGGCTCGTCTTTGATCTGACAACATGAAGGGATTTCTGAATCCCCTGTGGAGACCTTAGAGGAAGCCCTAGGTCCCTGCCTCATTTTGATGGAATACCTCACATCCCCCTGACACATCGAGAGGCACGCAGAGTTCATTGCTTCAAAAGGTGACGATGCCTGACTCCTCTTGAATACTTATAGGAATCCCAAAATCCCTGTGCTACTGGAAAGGGTCCTTGGGTGCCCTGGCTCAGCTCGAGAAGCGTCCCTTTTGCCCTGCCAAGCCTCGAAGAGATTGCTGAGGTGTCCCTCATTACTAGACAGGAGTCCTGACGTCACTGAAGAAACTCATGTTTTGAAGGGCCATCCCCGCCGTAAGTCGAGAACATACCCCAGGTCCCCGCCGCAACTCGAGAAAAACCATGAGATTTCCCCCTAGAGGCGAGATGAGGCCCCATTCCCCTGCAGTGCATGCAGAGCTATTCCGTGATCCCATTCAAACAAGTCAGGAGCTTCGACTTGCTTAATGGATCTCGAGACAGTCCCCAAGAACACTGTCACCAGTCTAGACGGACCCTGAGGTCACCCCAGCAACGCAAAGCAGCTCCATGTGCCCCAAATCAACTCGAGATGAGGCCCGATTCCCCTGCATTGACTCCAGAGCCATTCCCCGTTCCCCATTCAACAGGACCGGTGGCTCGGTTTCCTTCAGGCAACTCCAGAGATGCCCCGAGAACACTGTCCCAAGTCTAGAGGAACACAAACTTCAGCACAGCAACTCGAGGAATGCTCTGTGTACCCCAAATCGTCTCGAGATGAGAGCTGATTCCCTGGCTTAGGCTCAAGACGTATGCCAACTTTCCAGAAGCACCTCAGGAGGAGGCTTCTCAGCAATAGGTATGTGGGAGGGACTCCGAGTTTGCTGCCTCAAGGGGAATTTACAGCGAGAAGCCCTCACTTGAAAGGAGGCCGGATTTCCTTGCAGTAGCTTGAATGCAGGCTTGTCTTTCATCTCACAACAGGAAGGGATGTCTGAATCCCCTGTGAAGACCTTAGAGAAAGCCCTAGGTCCCTGCCTCATTTTGACGGAATGCCTCACATCCCGCTGACAACTCGAGAGGCACGCGGAGTTCATTGTTTCAAAAGGTGACAATGCCTGACTCCTCTTGAATACTGATAGGAATCCCAAAATCCCTGTGGCTACTGGAAATGTTCCTTGGGTGCCCTGCCTCACTTCGAGAAGCGTCCCTTTTGGCCTGCCAAGCCTCGAAGAGATTCCTGAGGTGTCCCTCGTTACTAGACAGGAGTCCTGACGTCACGGAAGAAACTCGTGTTTTGAAGGGCCATCCCCGCCGTAAGTCGAGAACATACCCCAGGTCCCCGCCGCAACTCGAGAAAAACCATGAGACCCCCCTAGAGGCGAGATGAGGCCCCATTCCCCTGCAGTGCATGCAGAGCTATTCCGTGATCCCATTCAAACAAGTCAGGAGCTTCGACGTGCTTAATGGATCTCGAGACAGTCCCCAAGAACACTGTCACCAGTCTAGACGGACCCTGAGGTCACCCCAGCAACGCAAAGCTGCTCCATGTGCCCCAAATCAACTCGAGATGAGGCCCGATTCCCCTGCATTGACTCCAGAGCCATTCCCCGTTCCCCATTCAACACGACCGGTGGCTCGACTTCCTTCAGGCAACTCCAGAGATGCCCCGAGAACACTGTCCCAAGTCTAGAGGAGCACCAATTTCAGCACAGCAACCAGAGGAATGCTCCGTGTTCCCCAAATCATCTCGAGATGAGAGCTGATTCCCTGGCTTAGGCTCAAGACGTATGCCAACTTGCCAGAAGCACCGCAGGAGGAGGCTTCTCTCAGCAATAGGTATGTGGGAGGGACCCCGAGTTTGCTGCCTCAAGGGGAATACACAGGGAGAAGCCCTAATGTGAACGGAGGCCAGATTTCCTTGCAGTGGCTTGAATACAGGCTCGTCTTTGATCTGACAACATGAAGGGATTTCTGAATCCCCTGTGGAGACCTTAGAGGAAGCCCTAGGTCCCTGCCTCATTTTGACGGAATAACTCACATCCCCCTGACACCTCGAGAGGCACGCAGAGTTCATTGCTTCAAAAGGTGACGATGCCTGACTCCTCTTGAATAATGATAGGAATCCCAAAATCCCTGTGGCTACTGGAAAGGGTCCTTGGGTGCCCTGGCTCACCTCGAGAAGCGTCCCTTTTGCCCTGCCAAGCCTCGAAGAGATTGCTGAGGTGTCCCTCATTACTAGACAGGAGTCCTGACGTCACTGAAGAAACTCGTGTTTTGAAGGGCCATCCCCGCCGTAAGTCGAGAACATACCCCAGGTCCCCGCCGCAACTCGAGAAAAACCATGAGATTTCCCCCTAGAGGCGAGATGAGGCCCCATTCCCCTGCAGTGCATGCAGAGCTATTCCATGATCCAATTCAAACAAGTCAGGAGCTTCGACTTGCTAAATGGATCTCGAGACAGTCCCCAAGAACACTGTCACCAGTCTAGACGGACCCTGAGGTCACCCCAGCAACACAAAGCAGCTCCATGTGCCCCAAATCAACTCGAGATGAGGCCCGATTCCCCTGCATTGACTCCAGAGCCATTCCCCGTTCCAAGTTCAAAACGAACGGTGGCTCGCCTTCCTTCAGGCAACTCCAGAGATGCCCCTAGAACACTGTCTCAAGTCTAGAGGACCACGAACTTCAGCACAGCAACTCGAGGAATGCTCTGTGTACCCCAAATCGTCTCGAGATGAGAGCTGATTCCCTGGCTTAGGCTCAAGACGTATGCCAACTTTCCAGAAGCACCTCAGGAGGAGGCTTCTCAGCAATAGGTATGTGGGAGGGACTCCGAGTTTGCTGCCTCAAGGGGAATATACAGCGAGAAGCCCTAACTTGAAAGGAGGCCGGATTTCCTTGCAGTGGCTTGAATACAGGCTCGTCTTTCATCTCACAACATGAAGGGACGTCTGAATCCCCTGTGGAGACCTTAGAGAAAGCCCTAGGTCCCTGCCTCATTTTGACGGAATCCTCACATCCCGCTGACACCTCGAGAGGCACGCGGAGTTCATTGCTTCAAAAGGTGACGATGCCTGACTCCTCTTGAATACTTATAGGAATCCCAAAATCCCTGTGGCTACTGGAAAGGGTCCTTGGGTGCCCTGGCTCACCTCGAGAAGCGTCCCTTTTGCCCTGCCAAGCCTCGAAGAGATTGCTGACGTGTCCCTCGTTACTAGACAGGAGTCCTGACGTCACTGAAGAAACTCGTGTTTTGAAGGGCCATCCCCGCCGTAAGTTGAGAACATACCCCAGTTCCCCGCCGCAACTCGAGAAAAACCATGAGACTTCCCCCTAGAGGCGAAATGAGGGCCCATTCCCCTGCAGTGCATGCAGAGCTATTCCGTGATCCCATTCAAACAAGTCAGGAGCTTCGACTTGCTTAATGGATCTCGAGGCAGTCCCCAAGAACACTGTCACCAGTCTAGACGGACCCTGAGGTCACCCCAGCAACGCAAAGCAGCTCCAGGTGCCACAAATCAACTCGAGATGAGGCCCGATTCCCCTGCATTGACTCCAGAGCCATTCCCCGTTCCCCATTCAACACGACCGGTGGCTCGACTTCCTTCAGGCAACTCCAGAGATGCGCAGAGAACACTGTCCCAAGTCTAGAGGAACACCAACTTCACCACAGCAACTCGAGGAATGCTCTGTGTACCCCAAATCGTCTCGAGATGAGAGCTGAATCCCTGGCTTAGGCTCAAGACGTATGCCAACTTTCCAGAAGCACCTCAGGAGGAGGCTTCTCTCAGCAATAGGTATGTGGGAGGGACTCCGAGTTTGCTGCCTCAAGGGGAATATACAGCGAGAAGCCCTAACTTGAAAGGAGGCCGGATTTCCTTGCAGTGGCTTGAATACAGGCTCGTCTTTCATCTCACAACATGAAGGGATGTCTGAATCCCCTGTGGAGACCTTAGAGGAAGTCCTAGGTCCCTGCCTCATTTTGACGGAATACCTCACATCCCCCTGACACCTCGAGAGGCACGCAGAGTTCATTGCTTCAAAAGGTGACGATGCCTGACTCCTCTTGAATACTTATAGGAATCCCAAAATCCCTGTGGCTACTGGAAAGGGTCCTTGGGTGCCCTGGCTCACCTCGAGAAGCGTCCCTTTTGCCCTGCCAAGCCTCGAAGAGATTGCTGAGGTGTCCCTCATTACTAGACAGGAGTCCTGACGTCACTGAAGAAACTCGTGTTTTGAAGGGCCATCCCCGCCGTAAGTCGAGAACATACCCCAGGTCCCCGCCGCAACTCGAGAAAAACCATGAGATTTCCCCCTAGAGGCGAGATGAGGCCCCATTCCCCTGCAGTGCATGCAGAGCTATTCCATGATCCAATTCAAACAAGTCAGGAGCTTCGACTTGCTAAATGGATCTCGAGACAGTCCCCAAGAACACTGTCACCAGTCTAGACGGACCCTGAGGTCACCCCAGCAACACAAAGCAGCTCCATGTGCCCCAAATCAACTCGAGATGAGGCCCGATTCCCCTGCATTGACTCCAGAGCCATTCCCCGTTCCAAGTTCAAAACGAACGGTGGCTCGCCTTCCTTCAGGCAACTCCAGAGATGCCCCGAGAACACTGTCTCAAGTCTAGAGGACCACCAACTTCAGCACAGCAACTCGAGGAATGCTCTGTGTACCCCAAATCGTCTCGAGATGAGAGCTGATTCCCTGGCTTAGGCTCAAGACGTATGCCAACTTTCCAGAAGCACCTCAGGAGGAGGCTTCTCAGCAATAGGTATGTGGGAGGGACTCCGAGTTTGCTGCCTCAAGGGGAATATACAGCGAGAAGCCCTAACTTGAAAGGAGGCCGGATTTCCTTGCAGTGGCTTGAATACAGGCTCGTCTTTCATCTCACAACATGAAGGGACGTCTGAATCCCCTGTGGAGACCTTAGAGAAAGCCCTAGGTCCCTGCCTCATTTTGACGGAATCCTCACATCCCGCTGACACCTCGAGAGGCACGCGGAGTTCATTGCTTCAAAAGGTGACGATGCCTGACTCCTCTTGAATACTTATAGGAATCCAAAATCCCTGTGGCTACTGGAAAGGGTCCTTGGGTGCCCTGGCTCACCTCGAGAAGCGTCCCTTTTGCCCTGCCAAGCCTCGAAGAGATTGCTGACGTGTCCCTCGTTACTAGACAGGAGTCCTGACGTCACTGAAGAAACTCGTGTTTTGAAGGGCCATCCCCGCCGTAAGTCGAGAACATACCGCAGGTCCCCGCCGCAACTCGAAAAAAACCATGAGACTTCCCCCTAGAGGCGAAATGAGGGCCCATTCCCCTGCAGTGCATGCAGAGCTATTCCGTGATCCCATTCAAACAAGTCAGGAGCTTCGACTTGCTTAATGGATCTCGAGGCAGTCCCCAAGAACACTGTCACCAGTCTAGACGGACCCTGAGGTCACCCCAGCAACGCAAAGCAGCTCCAGGTGCCACAAATCAACTCGAGATGAGGCCCGATTCCCCTGCATTGACTCCAGAGCCATTCCCCGTTCCCCATTCAACACGACCGGTGGCTCGACTTCCTTCAGGCAACTCCAGAGATGCGCAGAGAACACTGTCCCAAGTCTAGAGGAACACCAACTTCACCACAGCAACTCGAGGAATGCTCTGTGTACCCCAAATCGTCTCGAGATGAGAGCTGAATCCCTGGCTTAGGCTCAAGACGTATGCCAACTTTCCAGAAGCACCTCAGGAGGAGGCTTCTCTCAGCAATAGGTATGTGGGAGGGACTCCGAGTTTGCTGCCTCAAGGGGAATATACAGCGAGAAGCCCTAACTTGAAAGGAGGCCGGATTTCCTTGCAGTGGCTTGAATACAGGCTCGTCTTTCATCTCACAACATGAAGGGATGTCTGAATCCCCTGTGGAGACCTTAGAGGAAGTCCTAGGTCCCTGCCTCATTTTGACGGAATACCTCACATCCCCCTGACACCTCGAGAGGCACGCAGAGTTCATTGCTTCAAAAGGTGACGATGCCTGACTCCTCTTGAATACTTATAGGAATCCCAAAATCCCTGTGGCTACTGGAAAGGGTCCTTGGGTGCCCTGGCTCACCTCGAGAAGCGTCCCTTTTGCCCTGCCAAGCCTCGAAGAGATTGCTGAGGTGTCCCTCATTACTAGACAGGAGTCCTGACGTCACTGAAGAAACTCGTGTTTTGAAGGGCCATCCCCGCCGTAAGTCGAGAACATACCCCAGGTCCCCGCCGCAACTCGAGAAAAACCATGAGATTTCCCCCTAGAGGCGAGATGAGGCCCCATTCCCCTGCAGTGCATGCAGAGCTATTCCATGATCCAATTCAAACAAGTCAGGAGCTTCGACTTGCTAAATGGATCTCGAGACAGTCCCCAAGAACACTGTCACCAGTCTAGACGGACCCTGAGGTCACCCCAGCAACACAAAGCAGCTCCATGTGCCCCAAATCAACTCGAGATGAGGCCCGATTCCCCTGCATTGACTCCAGAGCCATTCCCCGTTCCAAGTTCAAAACGAACGGTGGCTCGCCTTCCTTCAGGCAACTCCAGAGATGCCCCGAGAACACTGTCTCAAGTCTAGAGGACCACCAACTTCAGCACAGCAACTCGAGGAATGCTCTGTGTACCCCAAATCGTCTCGAGATGAGAGCTGATTCCCTGGCTTAGGCTCAAGACGTATGCCAACTTTCCAGAAGCACCTCAGGAGGAGGCTTCTCAGCAATAGGTATGTGGGAGGGACTCCGAGTTTGCTGCCTCAAGGGGAATATACAGCGAGAAGCCCTAACTTGAAAGGAGGCCGGATTTCCTTGCAGTGGCTTGAATACAGGCTCGTCTTTCATCTCACAACATGAAGGGACGTCTGAATCCCCTGTGGAGACCTTAGAGAAAGCCCTAGGTCCCTGCCTCATTTTGACGGAATCCTCACATCCCGCTGACACCTCGAGAGGCACGCGGAGTTCATTGCTTCAAAAGGTGACGATGCCTGACTCCTCTTGAATACTTATAGGAATCCAAAATCCCTGTGGCTACTGGAAAGGGTCCTTGGGTGCCCTGGCTCACCTCGAGAAGCGTCCCTTTTGCCCTGCCAAGCCTCGAAGAGATTGCTGACGTGTCCCTCGTTACTAGACAGGAGTCCTGACGTCACTGAAGAAACTCGTGTTTTGAAGGGCCATCCCCGCCGTAAGTCGAGAACATACCGCAGGTCCCCGCCGCAACTCGAGAAAAACCATGAGACTTCCCCCTAGAGGCGAAATGAGGGCCCATTCCCCTGCAGTGCATGCAGAGCTATTCCGTGATCCCATTCAAACAAGTCAGGAGCTTCGACTTGCTTAATGGATCTCGAGGCAGTCCCCAAGAACACTGTCACCAGTCTAGACGGACCCTGAGGTCACCCCAGCAACGCAAAGCAGCTCCAGGTGCCACAAATCAACTCGAGATGAGGCCCGATTCCCCTGCATTGACTCCAGAGCCATTCCCCGTTCCCCATTCAACACGACCGGTGGCTCGACTTCCTTCAGGCAACTCCAGAGATGCGCAGAGAACACTGTCCCAAGTCTAGAGGAACACCAACTTCACCACAGCAACTCGAGGAATGCTCTGTGTACCCCAAATCGTCTCGAGATGAGAGCTGAATCCCTGGCTTAGGCTCAAGACGTATGCCAACTTTCCAGAAGCACCTCAGGAGGAGGCTTCTCTCAGCAATAGGTATGTGGGAGGGACTCCGAGTTTGCTGCCTCAAGGGGAATATACAGCGAGAAGCCCTAACTTGAAAGGAGGCCGGATTTCCTTGCAGTGGCTTGAATACAGGCTCGTCTTTCATCTCACAACATGAAGGGATGTCTGAATCCCCTGTGGAGACCTTAGAGGAAGTCCTAGGTCCCTGCCTCATTTTGACGGAATACCTCACATCCCCCTGACACCTCGAGAGGCACGCAGAGTTCATTGCTTCAAAAGGTGACGATGCCTGACTCCTCTTGAATACTTATAGGAATCCCAAAATCCCTGTTGCTACTGGAAAGGGTCCTTGGGTGCCCTGGCTCACCTCGAGAAGCGTCCCTTTTGCCCTGCCAAGCCTCGAAGAAATTGCTGAGGTGTCCCTCGTTACTAGACAGGAGTCCTGACGTCACTGAAGAAACTCGTGTTTTGAAGGGCCATCCCCGCCGTAAGTCGAGAACATACCCCAGGTCCCCGCCGCAACTCGAGAAAAACCATGAGATTTCCCCCTAGAGGCGAGATGAGGCCCCATTCCCCTGCAGTGCATGCAGAGCTATTCCATGATCCAATTCAAACAAGTCAGGAGCTTCGACTTGCTAAATGGATCTCGAGACAGTCCCCAAGAACACTGTCACCAGTCTAGACGGACCCTGACGTCACCCCAGCAACACAAAGCAGCTCCATGTGCCCCAAATCAACTCGAGATGAGGCCCGATTCCCCTGCATTGACTCCAGAGCCATTCCCCGTTCCAAGTTCAAAACGAACGGTGGCTCGCCTTCCTTCAGGCAACTCCAGAGATGCCCCGAGAACACTGTCTCAAGTCTAGAGGACCACCAACTTCAGCACAGCAACTCGAGGAATGCTCTGTGTACCCCAAATCGTCTCGAGATGAGAGCTGATTCCCTGGCTTAGGCTCAAGACGTATGCCAACTTTCCAGAAGCACCTCAGGAGGAGGCTTCTCAGCAATAGGTATGTGGGAGGGACTCCGAGTTTGCTGCCTCAAGGGGAATATACAGCGAGAAGCCCTAACTTGAAAGGAGGCCGGATTTCCTTGCAGTGGCTTGAATACAGGCTCGTCTTTCATCTCACAACATGAAGGGACGTCTGAATCCCCTGTGGAGACCTTAGAGAAAGCCCTAGGTCCCTGCCTCATTTTGACGGAATCCTCACATCCCGCTGACACCTCGAGAGGCACGCGGAGTTCATTGCTTCAAAAGGTGACGATGCCTGACTCCTCTTGAATACTTATAGGAATCCCAAAATCCCTGTGGCTACTGGAAAGGGTCCTTGGGTGCCCTGGCTCACCTCGAGAAGCGTCCCTTTTGCCCTGCCAAGCCTCGAAGAGATTGCTGACGTGTCCCTCGTTACTAGACAGGAGTCCTGACGTCACGGAAGAAACTCGTGTTTTGAAGGGCCATCCCCGCCGTAAGTCGGGAACATACCCCAGGTCCCCGCCGCAACTCGAGAAAAACCATGAGACTTCCCCCTAGAGGCGAGATGAGGCCCCATTCCCTTGCAGTGCATACAGAGCTATTCCGTGATCCCATTCAAACAAGTCAGGAGCTTCGACTTGCTTAATGGATCTCGAGACAGTCCCCAAGAACACTGTCACCAGTCTAGACGGACCCTGAGGTCACCCAGCAATGCAAAGCAGCTCCATGTGCCCCAAATCAACTCGAGATGAGGACGGATTCCCCTGCATTGACTCCAGAGCCATTCCTTGTTCCCCATTCAACACGACCGGTGGATCGACTTCCTTCAGGCAACTCCAGAGATGCCCCGAGAACACTGTCCCAAGTCTAGAGGACCACCAACTTCACCACAGCAACTCGAGGAATGCTCTGTGTACCCCAAATCGTCTCGAGATGAGAGCTGATTCCCTGGCTTAGGCTCAAGACGTATGCCAACTTTCCAGAAGCACCTCAGGAGGAGGCTTCTCTCAGCAATAGGTATGTGGGAGGGACTCCGAGTTTGCTGCCTCAAGGGGAATATACAGCGAGAAGCCCAAACTTGAAAGGAGGCCGGATTTCCTTGCAGTGGCTTGAATACAGGCTCGTCTTTCATCTCACAACATGAAGGGATGTCTGAATCCCCTGTGGAGACCTTAGAGAAAGCCCTAGGTCCCTACCTCATTTTGACGGAATCCTCACATCCCGCTGACACCTCGAGAGGCACGCGGAGTTCATTGCTTCAAAAGGTGACGATGCCTGACTCCTCTTGAATACTGATAGGAATCCCAAAATCCCTGTGGCTACTGGAAAGGGTCCTTGGGTGCCCTGGCTCACCTCGAGAAGCGTCCCTTTTGCCCTGCCAAGCCTCGAAGAGATTGCTGAGGTGTCCCTCGTTACTAGACAGGAGTCCTGACGTCACGGAAGAAACTCGTGTTTTGAAGGGCCATCCCCGCCGTAAGTCGACAACATACCCCAGGTCCCCGCCGCAACTCGAGAAAAACCATGAGACTTCCCCCTAGAGGCGAGATGAGGCCCCATTCCCCTGCAGTGCATGCAGAGCTATTCCGTGATCCCATTCAAACAAGTCAGGAGCTTCGACTTGCTAAATGGATCTCGAGACAGTCCCCAAGAACACTGTCACCAGTCTAGACGGACCCTGAGGTCATCCCAGCAACTCAAAGCAGCTCCATGTGCCCCAAATCAACTCGAGATGAGGCCCGATTCCCCTGCATTGACTCCAGAGCCATTCCCCGTTCCCCGTTCAACACGAACGGAGGATCGCCTTCCTTCAGGCATCTCCAGAGATGCCCCGAGAACACTGTCCCAAGTCTAGAGGAACACCAACTTCAGCACAGCAACTCGAGGAATGCTCTGTGTACACCAAATCGTCTCGAGATGAGAGCTGATTCCCTGGCTTAGGCTCAAGACGTATGCCAACTTTCCAGAAGCACCTCAGGAGGAGGCTTCTCAGCAATAGGTATGTGGGCGGGACTCCAAGTTTGCTGCCTCAAGGGGAATATACAGCGAGAAGCCCTAACTTGAAAGGAGGCCGGATTTCCTTGCAGTAGCTTGAATACAGGCTCGTCTTTCATCTCACACATGAAGGGATGTCTGAATCCCCTGTGGAGACCTTAGAGAAAGCCCTAGGTCCCTGCCTCATTTTGACGGAATGCCTCACATCCCGCTGACACCTCGAGAGGCACGCGGAGTTCATTGCTTCAAAAGGTGACGATGCCTGACTCCTCTTGAATACTGATAGGAATCCCAAAATCCCTGTGGCTACTGGAAAGGGTCCTTGGGTGCCCTGCCTCACCTCGAGAAGCGTCCCTTTTGCCCTGCCAAGCCTCGAAGAGATTCCTGAGGTGTCCCTCGTTACTAGGCAGGAGTCCTGACGTCACTGGAGAAACTCGTGTTTTGAAGGGCCATCCCCGCCGTAAGTCGAGAACATACCTCAGGGCCCCGCCGCAACTCGAGAAAAACCATGAGACTTCCCCCTAGAAGCGAGATGAGGCCCCATTCCCCTGCAGTGCATGCAGAGCTATTCCGTGATCCCATTCAAACAAGTCAGGAGCTTCGACTTGCTTAATGGATCTCGAGGCAGTCCCCAAGAACACTGTCACCAGTCTAGACGGACCCTGAGGTCACCCCAGCAACGCAAAGCAGCTCCAGGTGCCACAAATCAACTCGAGATGAGGCCCGATTCCCCTGCATTGACTCCAGAGCCATTCCCCGTTCCCCATTCAACACGACCGGTGGCTCGACTTCCTTCAGGCAACTCCAGAGATGCCCAGAGAACACTGTCCCAAGTCTAGAGGAACACCAATTTCAGCACAGCAACTCGAGGAATTCTCTGTGTACCACAAATCGTCTCGAGATGAGAGCTGAATCCCTGGCTTAGGCTCAAGACGTATGCCAACTTTCCAGAAGCACCTCAGGAGGAGGCTTCTCTCAGCAATAGGTTTGTGGGAGGGACCCCGAGTTTGCTGCCTCAAGGGGATTACACAGGGAGAAGCCCTAATGTGAACGGAGGCCAGATTTCCTTGCAGTGGCTTGAATACAGGCTCGTCTTTGATCTGACAACATGAAGGGATTTCTGAATCCCCTGTGGAGACCTTAGAGGAAGCCCTAGGTCCCTGCCTCATTTTGACGGAATACCTCACATCCCCCTGACACCTCGAGAGGCACGCAGAGTTCATTGCTTCAAAAGGTGACGATGCCTGACTCCTCTTGAATACTGATAGGAATCCCAAAATCCCTGTGGCTACTGGAAAGGGTCCTTGGGTGCCCTGGCTCACCTCGAGAAGCGTCCCTTTTGCCCTGCCAAGCCTCGAAGAGATTGCTGAGGTGTCCCACATTACTAGACAGGAGTCCTGACGTCACTGAAGAAACTCGTGTTTTGAAGGGCCATCCCCGCCGTAAGTCGAGAACATACCCCAGGGCCCCGCCGCAACTCGAGAAAAACCATGAGATTTCCCCCTAGAGGCGAGATGAGGCCCCATTCCCCTGCAGTGCATGCAGAGCTATTCCATGATCCAATTCAAACAAGTCAGGAGCTTCGACTTGCTAAATGGATCTCGAGACAGTCCCCAAGAACACTGTCACCAGTCTAGACGGACCCTGAGGTCACCCCAGCAACACAAAGCAGATCCATGTGCCCCAAATCAACTCGAGATGAGGCCCGATTCCCCTGCATTGACTCCAGAGCCATTCCCCGTTCCAAGTTCAAAACGAACGGTGGCTCGCCTTCCTTCAGGCAACTCCAGAGATGCCCCGAGAACACTGTCTCAAGTCTAGAGGACCACCAACTTCAGCACAGCAACTCGAGGAATGCTCTGTGTACCCCAAATCGTCTCGAGATGAGAGCTGATTCCCTGGCTTAGGCTCAAGACGTATGCCAACTTTCCAGAATCACCTCAGGACGAGGCTTCTCAGCAATAGGTATGTGGGCGGGACTCCAAGTTTGCTGCCTCAAGGGGAATATACAGCGAGAAGCCCTAACTTGAAAGGAGGCCGGATTTCCTTGCAGTAGCTTGAATACAGGCTCGTCTTTCATCTCACACATGAAGGGAGGTCTGAATCCCCTGTGGAGACCTTAGAGAAAGCCCTAGGTCCCTGCCTCATTTTGACGGAATGCCTCACATCCCGCTGACACCTCGAGAGGCACGCGGAGTTCATTGCTTCAAAAGGTGACGATGCCTGACTCCTCTTGAATACTGATAGGAATCCCAAAATCCCTGTGGCTACTGGAAAGGGTCCTTGGGTGCCCTGCCTCACCTCGAGAAGCGTCCCTTTTGCCCTGCCAAGCCTCGAAGAGATTCCTGAGGTGTCCCTCGTTACTAGGCAGGAGTCCTGACGTCACTGAAGAAAGTCGTGTTTTGAGGGGCCATCCCTGCCGTAAGTCGAGAACATACCCCAGGTCCCCGCCGCAACTCGAGAAAAACCATGAGACTTCCCCCTAGAGGCGAGATGAGGCCCCATTCCCCTGCAGTGCATGCAGAGCTATTCCGTGATCCCATTCAAACAAGTCAGGAGCTTCGACTTGCTTAATGGATCTCGAGGCAGTCCCCAAGAACACTGTCACCAGTCTAGACGGACCCTGAGGTCACCCCAGCAACGCAAAGCAGCTCCAGGTGCCACAAATCAACTCGAGATGAGGCCCGATTCCCCTGCATTGACTCCAGAGCCATTCCCCGTTCCCCATTCAACACGACCGGTGGCTCGACTTCCTTCAGGCAACTCCAGAGATGCCCAGAGAACACTGTCCCAAGTCTAGAGGAACACCAATTTCAGCACAGCAACTCGAGGAATGCTCTGTGTACCACAAATCATCTCGAGATGAGAGCTGAATCCCTGGCTTAGGCTCAAGACGTATGCCAACTTTCCAGAAGCACCTCAGGAGGAGGCTTCTCTCAGCAATAGGTATGTGGGAGGGACCCCGAGTTTGCTGCCTCAAGGGGAATACACAGGGAGTAGCCCTAATGTGAACGGAGGCCAGATTTCCTTGCAGTGGCTTGAATACAGGCTCGTCTTTGATCTGACAACATGAAGGGATTTCTGAATCCCCTGTGGAGACCTTAGAGGAAGCCCTAGGTCCCTGCCTCATTTTGACGGAATACCTCACATCCCCCTGACACCTCGAGAGGCACGCAGAGTTCATTGCTTCAAAAGGTGACGATGCCTGACTCCTCTTGAATACTGATAGGAATCCCAAAATCCCTGTGGCTACTGGAAAGGGTCCTTGGGTGCCCTGGCTCACCTCGAGAAGCGTCCCTTTTGCCCTGCCAAGCCTCGAAGAGATTGCTGAGGTGTCCCTCATTACTAGACAGGAGTCCTGACGTCACTGAAGAAACTCGTGTTTTGAAGGGCCATCCCCGCCGTAAGTCGAGAACATACCCCAGGTCCCCGCCGCAACTCGAGAAAAACCATGAGATTTCCCCCTAGAGGCGAGATGAGGCCCCATTCCCCTGCAGTGCATGCAGAGCTATTCCGTGATCCAATTCAAACAAGTCAGGAGCTTCGACTTGCTAAATGGATCTCGAGATAGTCCCCAAGAACACTGTCACCAGTCTAGACGGACCCTGAGGTCACCCCAGCAACGCAAAGCAGCTCCATGTGCCCCAAATCAACTCGAGATGAGGCCCGATTCCCCTGCATTGACTCCAGAGCCATTCCCCGTTCCAAGTTCAAAAAGAACGGTGGCTCGCCTTCCTTCAGGCAACTCCAGAGATGCCCCGAGAACACTGTCTCAAGTCTAGAGGACCACCAACTTCAGCACAGCAACTCGAGGAATGCTCTGTGTACCCCAAATCGTCTCGAGATGAGAGCTGATTCCCTGGCTTAGGCTCAAGACGTATGCCAACTTTCCAGAAGCACCTCAGGAGGAGGCTTCTCAGCAATAGGTATGTGGGAGGGACTCCGAGTTTGCTGCCTCAAGGGGAATATACAGCGAGAAGCCCTAACTTGAAAGGAGGCCGGATTTCCTTGCAGTGGCTTGAATACAGGCTCGTCTTTCATCTCACAACATGAAGGGACGTCTGAATCCCCTGTGGAGACCTTAGAGAAAGCCCTAGGTCCCTGCCTCATTTTGACGGAATCCTCACATCCCGCTGACACCTCGAGAGGCACGCGGAGTTCATTGCTTCAAAAGGTGACGATGCCTGACTCCTCTTGAATACTTATAGGAATCCCAAAATCCCTGTGGCTACTGGAAAGGGTCCTTGGGTGCCCTGGCTCACCTCGAGAAGCGTCCCTTTTGCCCTGCCAAGCCTCGAAGAGATTGCTGACGTGTCCCTCGTTACTAGACAGGAGTCCTGACGTCACTGAAGAAACTCTTGTTTTGAAGGGCCATCCCCGCCGTAAGTTGAGAACATACCCCAGTTCCCCGCCGCAACTCGAGAAAAACCATGAGACTTCCCCCTAGAGGCGAGATGAGGGCCCATTCCCCTGCAGTGCATGCAGAGCTATTCCGTGATCTCATTCAAACAAGTCAGGAGCTTCGACTTGCTTAATGGATCTCGAGGCAGTCCCCAAGAACACTGTCACCAGTCTAGACGGACCCTGAGGTCACCCCAGCAACGCAATGCAGCTCCAGGTGCCACAAATCAACTCGAGATGAGGCCCGATTCACCTGCATTGACTCCAGAGCCATTCCCCGTTCCCCATTCAACACGACCGGTGGTTCGACTTCCTTCAGGCAACTCCAGAGATGCCCAGAGAACACTGTCCCAAGTCTAGATGAACACCAACTTCAGCACAGCAACTCGAGGAATGCTCTGTGTACCCCAAATCGTCTCGAGATGAGAGCTGAATCCCTGGCTTAGGCTCAAGACGTATGCCAACTTTCCAGAAGCACCTCAGGAGGAGGCTTCTCTCAGCAATAGGTATGTGGGAGGGACTCCGAGTTTGCTGCCTCAAGGGGAATATACAGCGAGAAGCCCTAACTTGAAAGGAGGCCGGATTTCCTTGCAGTGGCTTGAATACAGGCTCGTCTTTCATCTCACAACATGAAGGGATGTCTGAATCCCCTGTGGAGACCTTAGAGAAAGCCCTAGGTCCCTGCCTCATTTTGACGGAATCCTCACATCCCCCTGACACCTCGAGAGGCACGCGGAGTTCATTGCTTCGAAAGGTGACGATGCCTGACTCCTCTTGAATACTTATAGGAATCCCCAAATCCCTGTGGCTACTGGAAAGGGTCCTTGGGTGCCCTGGCTCACCTCGAGAAGCGTCCCTTTTGCCCTGCCAAGCCTCGAAGAGATTGCTGAGGTGTCCCTCGTTACTAGACAGGAGTCCTGACGTCACGGAAGAAACTCGTGTTTTGAAGGGCCATCCCCGCCGTAAGTCGAGAACATACCCCAGGTCCCCGCCGCAACTCGAGAAAAACCATGAGACTTCCCCCTAGAGGCGAGATGAGGCCCCATTCCCCTGCAGTGCATGCAGAGCTATTCCGTGATCCCATTCAAACAAGTCAGGAGCTTCGACTTGCTTAATGGATCTCGAGACAGTCCCCAAGAACACTGTCACCAGTCTAGACGGACCCTGAGGTCACCCAGCAATGCAAAGCAGCTCCATGTGCCCCAAATCAACTCGAAATGAGGCCGGATTCCCCTGCATTGACTCCAGAGCCATTCCTTGTTCCCCATTCAACACGACCGGTGGCTCGACTTCCTTCAGGCAACTCCAGAGATGCCCCGAGAACACTGTCCCAAGTCTAGAGGACCACCAACTTCAGCACAGCAACTCGAGGAATGCTCTGTGTACCCCAAATCATCTCGAGATGAGAGCTGATTCCCTGGCTTAGGCTCAAGACGTATGCCACCTTTCCAGAAGCACCTCAGGAGGAGGCTTCTCTCAGCAATAGGTATGTGGGAGGGACCCCGAGTTTGCTGCCTCAAGGGGAATATACAGCGAGAAGCCCTAACTTGAAAGGAGGCCGGATTTCCTTGCAGTGGCTTGAATACAGGCTCGTCTTTCATCTCACAACATGAAGGGATGTCTGAATCCCCTGTGGAGACCTTAGAGGAAGCCCTAGGTCCCTGCCTCATTTTGACGGAATACCTCACATCCCCCTGACACCTCGAGAGGCACGCAGAGTTCATTGCTTCAAAAGGTGACGATGCCTGACTCCTCTTGAATACTTATAGGAATCCCAAAATCCCTGTTGCTACTGGAAAGGGTCCTTGGGTGCCCTGGCTCACCTCGAGAAGCGTCCCTTTTGCCCTGCCAAGCCTCGAAGAAATTGCTGAGGTGTCCCTCGTTACTAGACAGGAGTCCTGACGTCACCGAAGAAACTCGTGTGTTGAAGGGCCATCCCCGCCGTAAGTCGAGAACATACCCCAGGTCCCCGCCGCAACTCGAGAAAAACCATGAGACTTCCCCCTAGAGGCGAGATGAGGCCCCATTCCCCTGCAGTGCATGCAGAGCTATTCCGTGATCCCATTCAAACAAGTCAGGAGCTTCGACGTGCTAAATGGATCTCGAGACAATCCCCAAGAACACTGTCACCAGTCTAGACGGACCCTGAGGTCATCCCAGCAACGCAAAGCAGCTCCATGTGCCCCAAATCAACTCGAGATGAGGCCCGATTCCCCTGCATTGACTCCAGAGCCATTCCCCGTTCCCCGTTCAACACGAACGGAGGATCGCCTTCCTTCAGGCATCTCCAGAGATGCCCCGAGAACACTGTCCCAAGTCTAGAGGAACACCAACTTCAGCACAGCAACTCGAGGAATGCTCTGTGTACCCCAAATCGTCTCGAGATGAGAGCTGATTCCCTGGCTTAGGCTCAAGACGTATGCCAACTTTCCAGAAGCACCTCAGGAGGAGGCTTCTCAGCAATAGGTATGTGGGAGGGACTCCAAGTTTGCTGCCTCAAGGGGAATATACAGCGAGAAGCCCTAACTTGAAAGGAGGCCGGATTTCCTTGCAGTAGCTTGAATACAGGCTCGTCTTTCATCTCACACATGAAGGGATGTCTGAATCCCCTGTGGAGACCTTAGAGAAAGCCCTAGGTCCCTGCCTCATTTTGACGGAATGCCTCACATCCCGCTGACACCTCGAGAGGCACGCGGAGTTCATTGCTTCAAAAGGTGACGATGCCTGACTCCTCTTGAATACTGATAGGAATCCCAAAATCCCTGTGGCTACTGGAAAGGGTCCTTGGGTGCCCTGCCTCACCTCGAGAAGCGTCCCTTTTGCCCTGCCAAGCCTCGAAGAGATTCCTGAGGTGTCCCTCGTTACTAGGCAGGAGTCCTGACGTCACTGGAGAAACTCGTGTTTTGAAGGGCCATCCCCGCCGTAAGTCGAGAACATACCCCAGGTCCCCGCCGCAACTCGAGAAAAACCATGAGACTTCCCCCTAGAGGCGAGATGAGGCCCCATTCCCCTGCAGTGCATGCAGAGCTATTCCGTGATCCCATTCAAACAAGTCAGGAGCTTCGACTTGCTTAATGGATCTCGAGACAATCCCCAAGAACACTGTCACCAGTCTAGACGGACCCTGAGGTCACCCCAGCAACGCAAAGCTGCTCCATGTGCCCCAAATCAACTCGAGATGAGGCCCGATTCCCCTGCATTGACTCCAGAGCCATTCCCCGTTCCCCATTCAACACGACCGGTGGCTCGACTTCCTTCAGGCAACTCCAGGGATGCCCCGAGAACACTGTCCCAAATCTAGAGGAACACCAACTTCAGCACAGCAACTCGAGGAATGCTCTGTGTACCCCAAATCGTCTCGAGATGAGAGCTGATTCCCTGGCTTAGGCTCAAGACGTATGCCACCTTTCCAGAAGCACCTCAGGAGGAGGCTTCTCTCAGCAATAGGTATGTGGGAGGGACCCCGAATTTGCTGCCTCAAGGGGAATATACAGCGAGAAGCCCTAACTTGAAAGCAGGCCGGATTTCCTTGCAGTGGCTTGAATACAGGCTCGTCTTTGATCTGACAACATGAAGGGATGTCTGAATCCCCTGTGGAGACCTTAGAGAAAGCCCTAGGTCCCTGCCTCATTTTGACGGAATGCCTCACATCCCGCTGACACCTCGAGAGGCACGCGGAGTTCATTGCTTCAAAAGGTGACGATGCCTGACTCCTCTTGAATACTGATAGGAATCCCAAAATCCCTGTGGCTACTGGAAAGGGTCCTTGGGTGCCCTGCCTCACCTCGAGAAGCGTCCCTTTTGCCCTGCCAAGCCTCGAAGAGATTCCTGAGGTGTCCCTCGTTACTAGGCAGGAGTCCTGACGTCACTGGAGAAACTCGTGTTTTGAAGGGCCATCCCCGCCGTAAGTCGAGAACATACCCCAGGGCCCCGCCGCAACTCGAGAAAAACCATGAGACTTCCCCCTAGAAGCGAGATGAGGCCCCATTCCCCTGCAGTGCATGCAGAGCTATTCCGTGATCCCATTCAAACAAGTCAGGAGCTTCGACTTGCTTAATGGATCTCGAGGCAGTCCCCAAGAACACTGTCACCAGTCTAGACGGACCCTGAGGTCACCCCAGCAACGCAAAGCAGCTCCAGGTGCCACAAATCAACTCGAGATGAGGCCCGATTCCCCTGCATTGACTCCAGAGCCATTCCCCATTCCCCATTCAACACGACCGGTGGCTCGACTTCCTTCAGGCAACTCCAGAGATGCCCAGAGAACACTGTCCCAAGTCTAGAGGAACACCAATTTCAGCACAGCAACTCGAGGAATGCTCTGTGTACCACAAATCGTCTCGAGATGAGAGCTGAATCCCTGGCTTAGGCTCAAGACGTATGCCAACTTTCCAGAAGCACCTCAGGAGGAGGCTTCTCTCAGCAATAGGTATGTGGGAGGGACTCCGAGTTTGCTGCCTCAAGGGGAATATACAGCGAGAAGCCCTAACTTGAAAGGAGGCCGGATTTCCTTGCAGTGGCTTGAATACAGGCTCGTCTTTCATCTCACAACATGAAGGGATGTCTGAATCCTCTGTGGAGACCTTAGAGAAAGCTCTAGGTCCCTGCCTCATTTTGACGGAATCCTCACATCCCGCTGACACCTCGAGAGGCACGCGGAGTTCATTGCTTCGAAAGGTGACGATGCCTGACTCCTCTTGAATACTGATAGGAATCCCAAAATCCCTGTGGCTACTGGAAAGGGTCCTTGGGTGCCCTGGCTCACCTCCAGAAGCGTCCCTTTTGCCCTGCCAAGCCTCGAAGAGATTGCTGAGGTGTCCCTCGTTACTAGACAGGAGTCCTGACATCACGGAAGAAACTCGTGTTTTGAAGGGCCATCCCCGCCGTAAGTCGAGAACATACCCCAGGTCCCCGCCGCAACTCGAGAAAAACAATGAGACTTCCCCCTAGAGGCGAGATGAGGCCCCATTCCCTTGCAGTGCATGCAGAGCTATTCCGTGATCCCATTCAAACAAGTCAGCAGCTTCGACTTGCTTAATGGATCTCGAGACAGTCCCCAAGAACACTGTCACCAGTCTAGACGGACCCAGAGGTCACCCAGCAATGCAAAGCAGCTCCATGTGCCCCAAATCAACTCGAGATGAGGCCGGATTCCCCTGCATTGACTCCAGAGCCATTCCTTGTTCCCCATTCAACACGACCGGTGGCTCGACTTCCTTCAGGCAACTCCAGAGATGCCCCGAGAACACTGTCCCAAGTCTAGAGGACCACCAACTTCAGCACAGCAACTCGAGGAATGCTCTCTGTACCCCAAATCGTCTCGAGACGAGAGCTGATTCCCTGGCTTAGGCTCAAGACGTATGCCACCTTTCCAGAAGCACCTCAGGAGGAGGCTTCTCTCAGCAATAGGTATGTGGGAGGGACCCCGAGTTTGCTGCCTCAAGGGGAATATACAGCGAGAAGCCCTAACTTGAAAGGAGGCCGGATTTCCTTGCAGTGGCTTGAATACAGGCTCGTCTTTGATCTGACAACATGAAGGGATGTTTGAATCCCCTGTGGAGACCTTAGAGAAAGCCCTAGGTCCCTGCCTCATTTTGACGGAATCCTCACATCCCGCTGACACCTCGAGAGGCACGCGGAGTTCATTGCTTCAAAAGGTGACGATGCCTGACTCCTCTTGAATACTTATAGGAATCCCCAAATGCCTGTGGCTACTGGAAAGGGTCCTTGGGTGCCCTGGCTCACCTCGAGAAGCGTCCCTTTTGCCCTGCCAAGCCTCGAAGAGATTGCTGACGTGTCCCTCGTTACTAGACAGGAGTCCTGACGTCACTGAAGAAACTCGTGTTTTGAAGGGCCATCCCCGCCGTAAGTTGAGAACATACCCCAGGTCCCCACCGCAACTCGAGAAAAACATGAGACTTCCCCCTAGAGGCGAGATGAGGCCCCATTCCCCTGCAGTGCATGCAGAGCTATTCCTTGATCCCATTCAAACAAGTCAGGAGCTTCGACTTGCTTAATGGATCTCGAGGCAGTCCCCAAGAACACTGTCACCAGTCTAGACGGACCCTGAGGTCACCCCAGCAACGCAAAGCAGCTCCAGGTGCCACAAATCAACTCGAGATGAGGCCCGATTCCCCTGCATTGACTCCAGAGCCATTCCCCGTTCCCCATTCAACACGACCGGTGGCTCGACTTCCTTCAGGCAACTCCAGAGATGCCCAGAGAACACTGTCCCAAGTCTAGAGGAACACCAACTTCAGCACAGCAACTCGAGGAATGCTCTGTGTACCACAAATCGTCTCGAGATGAGAGCTGAATCCCTGGCTTAGGCTCAAGACGTATGCCAACTTTCCAGAAGCACCTCAGGAGGAGGCTTCTCTCAGCAATAGGTATGTGGGAGGGACTCCGAGTTTGCTGCCTCAAGGGGAATATACAGCGAGAAGCCCTAACTTGAAAGGAGGCCGGATTTCCTTGCAGTGGCTTGAATACAGGCTCGTCTTTCATCTCACAACATGAAGGGATGTCTGAATCCTCTGTGGAGACCTTAGAGAAAGCTCTAGGTCCCTGCCTCATTTTGACGGAATCCTCACATCCCGCTGACACCTCGAGAGGCACGCGGAGTTCATTGCTTCGAAAGGTGACGATGCCTGACTCCTCTTGAATACTGATAGGAATCCCAAAATCCCTGTGGCTACTGGAAAGGGTCCTTGGGTGCCCTGGCTCACCTCCAGAAGCGTCCCTTTTGCCCTGCCAAGCCTCGAAGAGATTGCTGAGGTGTCCCTCGTTACTAGACAGGAGTCCTGACATCACGGAAGAAACTCGTGTTTTGAAGGGCCATCCCCGCCGTAAGTCGAGAACATACCCCAGGTCCCCGCCGCAACTCGAGAAAAACAATGAGACTTCCCCCTAGAGGCGAGATGAGGCCCCATTCCCTTGCAGTGCATGCAGAGCTATTCCGTGATCCCATTCAAACAAGTCAGCAGCTTCGACTTGCTTAATGGATCTCGAGACAGTCCCCAAGAACACTGTCACCAGTCTAGACGGACCCAGAGGTCACCCAGCAATGCAAAGCAGCTCCATGTGCCCCAAATCAACTCGAGATGAGGCCGGATTCCCCTGCATTGACTCCAGAGCCATTCCTTGTTCCCCATTCAACACGACCGGTGGCTCGACTTCCTTCAGGCAACTCCAGAGATGCCCCGAGAACACTGTCCCAAGTCTAGAGGACCACCAACTTCAGCACAGCAACTCGAGGAATGCTCTCTGTACCCCAAATCGTCTCGAGACGAGAGCTGATTCCCTGGCTTAGGCTCAAGACGTATGCCACCTTTCCAGAAGCACCTCAGGAGGAGGCTTCTCTCAGCAATAGGTATGTGGGAGGGACCCCGAGTTTGCTGCCTCAAGGGGAATATACAGCGAGAAGCCCTAACTTGAAAGGAGCCCGGATTTCCTTGCAGTGGCTTGAATACAGGCTCGTCTTTGATCTGACAACATGAAGGGATGTTTGAATCCCCTGTGGAGACCTTAGAGAAAGCCCTAGGTCCCTGCCTCATTTTGACGGAATCCTCACATCCCGCTGACACCTCGAGAGGCACGCGGAGTTCATTGCTTCAAAAGGTGACGATGCCTGACTCCTCTTGAATACTTATAGGAATCCCCAAATGCCTGTGGCTACTGGAAAGGGTCCTTGGGTGCCCTGGCTCACCTCGAGAAGCGTCCCTTTTGCCCTGCCAAGCCTCGAAGAGATTGCTGACGTGTCCCTCGTTACTAGACAGGAGTCCTGACGTCACTGAAGAAACTCGTGTTTTGAAGGGCCATCCCCGCCGTAAGTTGAGAACATACCCCAGGTCCCCACCGCAACTCGAGAAAAACATGAGACTTCCCCCTAGAGGCGAGATGAGGCCCCATTCCCCTGCAGTGCATGCAGAGCTATTCCTTGATCCCATTCAAACAAGTCAGGAGCTTCGACTTGCTTAATGGATCTCGAGGCAGTCCCCAAGAACACTGTCACCAGTCTAGACGGACCCTGAGGTCACCCCAGCAACGCAAAGCAGCTCCAGGTGCCACAAATCAACTCGAGATGAGGCCCGATTCCCCTGCATTGACTCCAGAGCCATTCCCCGTTCCCCATTCAACACGACCGGTGGCTCGACTTCCTTCAGGCAACTCCAGAGATGCCCAGAGAACACTGTCCCAAGTCTAGAGGAACACCAACTTCAGCACAGCAACTCGAGGAATGCTCTGTGTACCCCAAATCGTCTCGAGATGAGAGCTGAATCCCTGGCTTAGGCTCAAGACGTATGCCAACTTTCCAGAAGCACCTCAGGAGGAGGCTTCTCTCAGCAATAGGTATGTGGGAGGGACTCCGAGATTGCTGCCTCAAGGGGAATATACAGCGAGAAGCCCTAACTTGAAAGGAGGCCGGATTTCTTTGCAGTGGCTTGAATACAGGCTCGTCTTTCATCTCACAACATGAAGGGATGTCTGAATCCCCTGTGGAGACCTTAGAGAAAGCCCTAGGTCCCTGCCTCATTTTGACGGAATCCTCACATCCCGCTGACACCTCGAGAGGCACGCGGAGTTCATTGCTTCAAAAGGTGACGATGCCTGACTCCTCTTGAATACTGATAGGAATCCCAAAATCCCTGTGGCTAATGGAAAGGGTCCTTGGGTGCCCTGGCTCACCTCGAGAAGCGTCCCTTTTGCCCTGCCAAGCCTCGAAGAGATTGCTGAGGTGTCCCTCGTTACTAGACAGGAGTCCTGACGTCACGGAAGAAACTCGTGTTTTGAAGGGCCATCCCCGCCGTAAGTCGAGAACATACCCCAGGGCCCCGCCGCAACTCGAGAAAAACCATGAGACTTCCCCCTAGAAGCGAGATGAGGCCCCATTCCCCTGCAGTGCATGCAGAGCTATTCCGTGATCCCATTCAAACAAGTCAGGAGCTTCGACTTGCTTAATGGATCTCGAGGCAGTCCCCAAGAACACTGTCACCAGTCTAGACGGACCCTGAGGTCACCCCAGCAACGCAAAGCAGCTCCAGGTGCCACAAATCAACTCGAGATGAGGCCCGATTCCCCTGCATTGACTCCAGAGCCATTCCCCATTCCCCATTCAACACGACCGGTGGCTCGACTTCCTTCAGGCAACTCCAGAGATGCCCAGAGAACACTGTCCCAAGTCTAGAGGAACACCAATTTCAGCACAGCAACTCGAGGAATGCTCTGTGTACCACAAATCGTCTCGAGATGAGAGCTGAATCCCTGGCTTAGGCTCAAGACGTATGCCAACTTTCCAGAAGCACCTCAGGAGGAGGCTTCTCTCAGCAATAGGTATGTGGGAGGGACTCCGAGTTTGCTGCCTCAAGGGGAATATACAGCGAGAAGCCCTAACTTGAAAGGAGGCCGGATTTCCTTGCAGTGGCTTGAATACAGGCTCGTCTTTCATCTCACAACATGAAGGGATGTCTGAATCCTCTGTGGAGACCTTAGAGAAAGCTCTAGGTCCCTGCCTCATTTTGACGGAATCCTCACATCCCGCTGACACCTCGAGAGGCACGCGGAGTTCATTGCTTCGAAAGGTGACGATGCCTGACTCCTCTTGAATACTGATAGGAATCCCAAAATCCCTGTGGCTACTGGAAAGGGTCCTTGGGTGCCCTGGCTCACCTCCAGAAGCGTCCCTTTTGCCCTGCCAAGCCTCGAAGAGATTGCTGAGGTGTCCCTCGTTACTAGACAGGAGTCCTGACATCACGGAAGAAACTCGTGTTTTGAAGGGCCATCCCCGCCGTAAGTCGAGAACATACCCCAGGTCCCCGCCGCAACTCGAGAAAAACAATGAGACTTCCCCCTAGAGGCGAGATGAGGCCCCATTCCCTTGCAGTGCATGCAGAGCTATTCCGTGATCCCATTCAAACAAGTCAGCAGCTTCGACTTGCTTAATGGATCTCGAGACAGTCCCCAAGAACACTGTCACCAGTCTAGACGGACCCAGAGGTCACCCAGCAATGCAAAGCAGCTCCATGTGCCCCAAATCAACTCGAGATGAGGCCGGATTCCCCTGCATTGACTCCAGAGCCATTCCTTGTTCCCCATTCAACACGACCGGTGGCTCGACTTCCTTCAGGCAACTCCAGAGATGCCCCGAGAACACTGTCCCAAGTCTAGAGGACCACCAACTTCAGCACAGCAACTCGAGGAATGCTCTCTGTACCCCAAATCGTCTCGAGACGAGAGCTGATTCCCTGGCTTAGGCTCAAGACGTATGCCACCTTTCCAGAAGCACCTCAGGAGGAGGCTTCTCTCAGCAATAGGTATGTGGGAGGGACCCCGAGTTTGCTGCCTCAAGGGGAATATACAGCGAGAAGCCCTAACTTGAAAGGAGCCCGGATTTCCTTGCAGTGGCTTGAATACAGGCTCGTCTTTGATCTGACAACATGAAGGGATGTTTGAATCCCCTGTGGAGACCTTAGAGAAAGCCCTAGGTCCCTGCCTCATTTTGACGGAATCCTCACATCCCGCTGACACCTCGAGAGGCACGCGGAGTTCATTGCTTCAAAAGGTGACGATGCCTGACTCCTCTTGAATACTTATAGGAATCCCCAAATGCCTGTGGCTACTGGAAAGGGTCCTTGGGTGCCCTGGCTCACCTCGAGAAGCGTCCCTTTTGCCCTGCCAAGCCTCGAAGAGATTGCTGACGTGTCCCTCGTTACTAGACAGGAGTCCTGACGTCACTGAAGAAACTCGTGTTTTGAAGGGCCATCCCCGCCGTAAGTTGAGAACATACCCCAGGTCCCCACCGCAACTCGAGAAAAACATGAGACTTCCCCCTAGAGGCGAGATGAGGCCCCATTCCCCTGCAGTGCATGCAGAGCTATTCCTTGATCCCATTCAAACAAGTCAGGAGCTTCGACTTGCTTAATGGATCTCGAGGCAGTCCCCAAGAACACTGTCACCAGTCTAGACGGACCCTGAGGTCACCCCAGCAACGCAAAGCAGCTCCAGGTGCCACAAATCAACTCGAGATGAGGCCCGATTCCCCTGCATTGACTCCAGAGCCATTCCCCGTTCCCCATTCAACACGACCGGTGGCTCGACTTCCTTCAGGCAACTCCAGAGATGCCCAGAGAACACTGTCCCAAGTCTAGAGGAACACCAACTTCAGCACAGCAACTCGAGGAATGCTCTGTGTACCCCAAATCGTCTCGAGATGAGAGCTGAATCCCTGGCTTAGGCTCAAGACGTATGCCAACTTTCCAGAAGCACCTCAGGAGGAGGCTTCTCTCAGCAATAGGTATGTGGGAGGGACTCCGAGATTGCTGCCTCAAGGGGAATATACAGCGAGAAGCCCTAACTTGAAAGGAGGCCGGATTTCTTTGCAGTGGCTTGAATACAGGCTCGTCTTTCATCTCACAACATGAAGGGATGTCTGAATCCCCTGTGGAGACCTTAGAGAAAGCCCTAGGTCCCTGCCTCATTTTGACGGAATCCTCACATCCCGCTGACACCTCGAGAGGCACGCGGAGTTCATTGCTTCAAAAGGTGACGATGCCTGACTCCTCTTGAATACTGATAGGAATCCCAAAATCCCTGTGGCTAATGGAAAGGGTCCTTGGGTGCCCTGGCTCACCTCGAGAAGCGTCCCTTTTGCCCTGCCAAGCCTCGAAGAGATTGCTGAGGTGTCCCTCGTTACTAGACAGGAGTCCTGACGTCACGGAAGAAACTCGTGTTTTGAAGGGCCATCCCCGCCGTAAGTCGAGAACATACCCCAGGGCCCCGCCGCAACTCGAGAAAAACCATGAGACTTCCCCCTAGAAGCGAGATGAGGCCCCATTCCCCTGCAGTGCATGCAGAGCTATTCCGTGATCCCATTCAAACAAGTCAGGAGCTTCGACTTGCTTAATGGATCTCGAGGCAGTCCCCAAGAACACTGTCACCAGTCTAGACGGACCCTGAGGTCACCCCAGCAACGCAAAGCAGCTCCAGGTGCCACAAATCAACTCGAGATGAGGCCCGATTCCCCTGCATTGACTCCAGAGCCATTCCCCATTCCCCATTCAACACGACCGGTGGCTCGACTTCCTTCAGGCAACTCCAGAGATGCCCAGAGAACACTGTCCCAAGTCTAGAGGAACACCAATTTCAGCACAGCAACTCGAGGAATGCTCTGTGTACCACAAATCGTCTCGAGATGAGAGCTGAATCCCTGGCTTAGGCTCAAGACGTATGCCAACTTTCCAGAAGCACCTCAGGAGGAGGCTTCTCTCAGAAATAGGTATGTGGGAGGGACTCCGAGTTTGCTGCCTCAAGGGGAATATACAGCGAGAAGCCCTAACTTGAAAGGAGGCCGGATTTCCTTGCAGTGGCTTGAATACAGGCTCGTCTTTCATCTCACAACATGAAGGGATGTCTGAATCCTCTGTGGAGACCTTAGAGAAAGCTCTAGGTCCCTGCCTCATTTTGACGGAATCCTCACATCCCGCTGACACCTCGAGAGGCACGCGGAGTTCATTGCTTCGAAAGGTGACGATGCCTGACTCCTCTTGAATACTGATAGGAATCCCAAAATCCCTGTGGCTACTGGAAAGGGTCCTTGGGTGCCCTGGCTCACCTCCAGAAGCGTCCCTTTTGCCCTGCCAAGCCTCGAAGAGATTGCTGAGGTGTCCCTCGTTACTAGACAGGAGTCCTGACATCACGGAAGAAACTCGTGTTTTGAAGGGCCATCCCCGCCGTAAGTCGAGAACATACCCCAGGTCCCCGCCGCAACTCGAGAAAAACAATGAGACTTCCCCCTAGAGGCGAGATGAGGCCCCATTCCCTTGCAGTGCATGCAGAGCTATTCCGTGATCCCATTCAAACAAGTCAGCAGCTTCGACTTGCTTAATGGATCTCGAGACAGTCCCCAAGAACACTGTCACCAGTCTAGACGGACCCAGAGGTCACCCAGCAATGCAAAGCAGCTCCATGTGCCCCAAATCAACTCGAGATGAGGCCGGATTCCCCTGCATTGACTCCAGAGCCATTCCTTGTTCCCCATTCAACACGACCGGTGGCTCGACTTCCTTCAGGCAACTCCAGAGATGCCCCGAGAACACTGTCCCAAGTCTAGAGGACCACCAACTTCAGCACAGCAACTCGAGGAATGCTCTCTGTACCCCAAATCGTCCCGAGACGAGAGCTGATTCCCTGGCTTAGGCTCAAGACGTATGCCACCTTTCCAGAAGCACCTCAGGAGGAGGCTTCTCTCAGCAATAGGTATGTGGGAGGGACCCCGAGTTTGCTGCCTCAAGGGGAATATACAGCGAGAAGCCCTAACTTGAAAGGAGCCCGGATTTCCTTGCAGTGGCTTGAATACAGGCTCGTCTTTGATCTGACAACATGAAGGGATGTTTGAATCCCCTGTGGAGACCTTAGAGAAAGCCCTAGGTCCCTGCCTCATTTTGACGGAATCCTCACATCCCGCTGACACCTCGAGAGGCACGCGGAGTTCATTGCTTCAAAAGGTGACGATGCCTGACTCCTCTTGAATACTTATAGGAATCCCCAAATGCCTGTGGCTACTGGAAAGGGTCCTTGGGTGCCCTGGCTCACCTCGAGAAGCGTCCCTTTTGCCCTGCCAAGCCTCGAAGAGATTGCTGACGTGTCCCTCGTTACTAGACAGGAGTCCTGACGTCACTGAAGAAACTCGTGTTTTGAAGGGCCATCCCCGCCGTAAGTTGAGAACATACCCCAGGTCCCCACCGCAACTCGAGAAAAACATGAGACTTCCCCCTAGAGGCGAGATGAGGCCCCATTCCCCTGCAGTGCATGCAGAGCTATTCCTTGATCCCATTCAAACAAGTCAGGAGCTTCGACTTGCTTAATGGATCTCGAGGCAGTCCCCAAGAACACTGTCACCAGTCTAGACGGACCCTGAGGTCACCCCAGCAACGCAAAGCAGCTCCAGGTGCCACAAATCAACTCGAGATGAGGCCCGATTCCCCTGCATTGACTCCAGAGCCATTCCCCGTTCCCCATTCAACACGACCGGTGGCTCGACTTCCTTCAGGCAACTCCAGAGATGCCCAGAGAACACTGTCCCAAGTCTAGAGGAACACCAACTTCAGCACAGCAACTCGAGGAATGCTCTGTGTACCACAAATCGTCTCGAGATGAGAGCTGAATCCCTGGCTTAGGCTCAAGACGTATGCCAACTTTCCAGAAGCACCTCAGGAGGAGGCTTCTCTCAGCAATAGGTATGTGGGAGGGACTCCGAGTTTGCTGCCTCAAGGGGAATATACAGCGAGAAGCCCTAACTTGAAAGGAGGCCGGATTTCCTTGCAGTGGCTTGAATACAGGCTCGTCTTTCATCTCACAACATGAAGGGATGTCTGAATCCTCTGTGGAGACCTTAGAGAAAGCTCTAGGTCCCTGCCTCATTTTGACGGAATCCTCACATCCCGCTGACACCTCGAGAGGCACGCGGAGTTCATTGCTTCGAAAGGTGACGATGCCTGACTCCTCTTGAATACTGATAGGAATCCCAAAATCCCTGTGGCTACTGGAAAGGGTCCTTGGGTGCCCTGGCTCACCTCCAGAAGCGTCCCTTTTGCCCTGCCAAGCCTCGAAGAGATTGCTGAGGTGTCCCTCGTTACTAGACAGGAGTCCTGACATCACGGAAGAAACTCGTGTTTTGAAGGGCCATCCCCGCCGTAAGTCGAGAACATACCCCAGGTCCCCGCCGCAACTCGAGAAAAACAATGAGACTTCCCCCTAGAGGCGAGATGAGGCCCCATTCCCTTGCAGTGCATGCAGAGCTATTCCGTGATCCCATTCAAACAAGTCAGCAGCTTCGACTTGCTTAATGGATCTCGAGACAGTCCCCAAGAACACTGTCACCAGTCTAGACGGACCCAGAGGTCACCCAGCAATGCAAAGCAGCTCCATGTGCCCCAAATCAACTCGAGATGAGGCCGGATTCCCCTGCATTGACTCCAGAGCCATTCCTTGTTCCCCATTCAACACGACCGGTGGCTCGACTTCCTTCAGGCAACTCCAGAGATGCCCCGAGAACACTGTCCCAAGTCTAGAGGACCACCAACTTCAGCACAGCAACTCGAGGAATGCTCTCTGTACCCCAAATCGTCTCGAGACGAGAGCTGATTCCCTGGCTTAGGCTCAAGACGTATGCCACCTTTCCAGAAGCACCTCAGGAGGAGGCTTCTCTCAGCAATAGGTATGTGGGAGGGACCCCGAGTTTGCTGCCTCAAGGGGAATATACAGCGAGAAGCCCTAACTTGAAAGGAGCCCGGATTTCCTTGCAGTGGCTTGAATACAGGCTCGTCTTTGATCTGACAACATGAAGGGATGTTTGAATCCCCTGTGGAGACCTTAGAGAAAGCCCTAGGTCCCTGCCTCATTTTGACGGAATCCTCACATCCCGCTGACACCTCGAGAGGCACGCGGAGTTCATTGCTTCAAAAGGTGACGATGCCTGACTCCTCTTGAATACTTATAGGAATCCCCAAATGCCTGTGGCTACTGGAAAGGGTCCTTGGGTGCCCTGGCTCACCTCGAGAAGCGTCCCTTTTGGCCTGCCAAGCCTCGAAGAGATTGCTGACGTGTCCCTCGTTACTAGACAGGAGTCCTGACGTCACTGAAGAAACTCGTGTTTTGAAGGGCCATCCCCGCCGTAAGTTGAGAACATACCCCAGGTCCCCACCGCAACTCGAGAAAAACATGAGACTTCCCCCTAGAGGCGAGATGAGGCCCCATTCCCCTGCAGTGCATGCAGAGCTATTCCTTGATCCCATTCAAACAAGTCAGGAGCTTCGACTTGCTTAATGGATCTCGAGGCAGTCCCCAAGAACACTGTCACCAGTCTAGACGGACCCTGAGGTCACCCCAGCAACGCAAAGCAGCTCCAGGTGCCACAAATCAACTCGAGATGAGGCCCGATTCCCCTGCATTGACTCCAGAGCCATTCCCCGTTCCCCATTCAACACGACCGGTGGCTCGACTTCCTTCAGGCAACTCCAGAGATGCCCAGAGAACACTGTCCCAAGTCTAGAGGAACACCAACTTCAGCACAGCAACTCGAGGAATGCTCTGTGTACCCCAAATCGTCTCGAGATGAGAGCTGAATCCCTGGCTTAGGCTCAAGACGTATGCCAACTTTCCAGAAGCACCTCAGGAGGAGGCTTCTCTCAGCAATAGGTATGTGGGAGGGACTCCGAGATTGCTGCCTCAAGGGGAATATACAGCGAGAAGCCCTAACTTGAAAGGAGGCCGGATTTCTTTGCAGTGGCTTGAATACAGGCTCGTCTTTCATCTCACAACATGAAGGGATGTCTGAATCCCCTGTGGAGACCTTAGAGAAAGCCCTAGGTCCCTGCCTCATTTTGACGGAATCCTCACATCCCGCTGACACCTCGAGAGGCACGCGGAGTTCATTGCTTCAAAAGGTGACGATGCCTGACTCCTCTTGAATACTGATAGGAATCCCAAAATCCCTGTGGCTAATGGAAAGGGTCCTTGGGTGCCCTGGCTCACCTCGAGAAGCGTCCCTTTTGCCCTGCCAAGCCTCGAAGAGATTGCTGAGGTGTCCCTCGTTACTAGACAGGAGTCCTGACGTCACGGAAGAAACTCGTGTTTTGAAGGGCCATCCCCGCCGTAAGTCGAGAACATACCCCAGGTCCCCGCCGCAACTCGAGAAAAACCATGAGACTTCCCCCTAGAGGCGAGATGAGGCCCCATTCCCCTGCAGTGCATGCAGAGCTATTCCGTGATCCCATTCAAACAAGTCAGGAGCTTCGACTTGCTTAATGGATCTCGAGACAGTCCCCAAGAACACTGTCACCAGTCTAGACGGACCCTGAGGTCACCCAGCAATGCAAAGCAGCTCCATGTGCCCCAAATCAACTCGAGATGAGGCCGGATTCCCCTGCATTGACTCCAGAGCCATTCCTTGTTCCCCATTCAACACGACCGGTGGCTCGACTTCCTTCAGGCAACTCCAGAGATGCCCCGAGAACACAGTCCCAAGTCTAGAGGACCACCAACTTCAGCACAGCAACTCGAGGAATGCTCTGTGTACCCCAAATCGTCTCGAGATGAGAGCTGATTCCCTGGCTTAGGCTCAAGACGTATGCCACCTTTCCAGAAGCACCTCAGGAGGAGGCTTCTCTCAGCAATAGATATGTGGGAGGGACCCCGAGTTTGCTGCCTCAAGGGGAATATACAGCGAGAAGCCCTAACTTGAAAGGAGGCCGGATTTCCTTGCAGTGGCTTGAATACAGGCTCGTCTTTGATCTGACAACATGAAGGGATGTCTGAATCCCCTGTGGAGACCTTAGAGAAAGCCCTAGGTCCCTGCCTCATTTTGACGGAATGCCTCACATCCCGCTGACACCTCGAGAGGCACGCAGAGTTCATTGCTTCAAAAGGTGACGATGCCTGACTCCTCTTGAATACTTATAGGAATCCCAAAATCCCTGTTGCTACTGGAAAGGGTCCTTGGGTGCCCTGGCTCACCTCGAGAAGCGTCCCTTTTGCCCTGCCAAGCCTCGAAGAAATTGCTGAGGTGTCCCTCGTTACTAGACAGGAGTCCTGACGTCACCGAAGAAACTCGTGTGTTGAAGGGCCATCCCCGCCGTAAGTCGAGAACATACCCCAGGTCCCCGCCGCAACTCGAGAAAAACCATGAGACTTCCCCCTAGAGGCGAGATGAGGCCCCATTCCCCTGCAGTGCATGCAGAGCTATTCCGTGATCCCATTCAAACAAGTCAGGAGCTTCGACTTGCTAAATGGATCTCGAGACAATCCCCAAGAACACTGTCACCAGTCTAGACGGACCCTGAGGTCATCCCAGCAACGCAAAGCAGCTCCATGTGCCCCAAATCAACTCGAGATGAGGCCCGATTCCCCTGCATTGACTCCAGAGCCATTCCCCGTTCCCCGTTCAACACGAACGGAGGATCGCCTTCCTTCAGGCATCTCCAGAGATGCCCCGAGAACACTGTCCCAAGTCTAGAGGAACACCAACTTCAGCACAGCAACTCGAGGAATGCTCTGTGTACCCCAAATCGTCTCGAGATGAGAGCTGATTCCCTGGCTTAGGCTCAAGACGTATGCCAACTTTCCAGAAGCACCTCAGGAGGAGGCTTCTCAGCAATAGGTATGTGGGAGGGACTCCAAGTTTGCTGCCTCAAGGGGAATATACAGCGAGAAGCCCTAACTTGAAAGGAGGCCGGATTTCCTTGCAGTAGCTTGAATACAGGCTCGTCTTTCATCTCACACATGAAGGGATGTCTGAATCCCCTGTGGAGACCTTAGAGAAAGCCCTAGGTCCCTGCCTCATTTTGACGGAATGCCTCACATCCCGCTGACACCTCGAGAGGCACGCGGAGTTCATTGCTTCAAAAGGTGACGATGCCTGACTCCTCTTGAATACTGATAGGAATCCCAAAATCCCTGTGGCTACTGGAAAGGGTCCTTGGGTGCCCTGCCTCACCTCGAGAAGCGTCCCTTTTGCCCTGCCAAGCCTCGAAGAGATTCCTGAGGTGTCCCTCGTTACTAGGCAGGAGTCCTGACGTCACTGGAGAAACTCGTGTTTTGAAGGGCCATCCCCGCCGTAAGTCGAGAACATACCCCAGGTCCCCGCCGCAACTCGAGAAAAACCATGAGACTTCCCCCTAGAGGCGAGATGAGGCCCCATTCCCCTGCAGTGCATGCAGAGCTATTCCGTGATCCCATTCAAACAAGTCAGGAGCTTCGACTTGCTTAATGGATCTCGAGACAATCCCCAAGAACACTGTCACCAGTCTAGACGGACCCTGAGGTCACCCCAGCAACGCAAAGCTGCTCCATGTGCCCCAAATCAACTCGAGATGAGGCCCGATTCCCCTGCATTGACTCCAGAGCCATTCCCCGTTCCCCATTCAACACGACCGGTGGCTCGACTTCCTTCAGGCAACTCCAGGGATGCCCCGAGAACACTGTCCCAAATCTAGAGGAACACCAACTTCAGCACAGCAACTCGAGGAATGCTCTGTGTACCCCAAATCGTCTCGAGATGAGAGCTGATTCCCTGGCTTAGGCTCAAGACGTATGCCACCTTTCCAGAAGCACCTCAGGAGGAGGCTTCTCTCAGCAATAGGTATGTGGGAGGGACCCCGAATTTGCTGCCTCAAGGGGAATATACAGCGAGAAGCCCTAACTTGAAAGCAGGCCGGATTTCCTTGCAGTGGCTTGAATACAGGCTCGTCTTTGATCTGACAACATGAAGGGATGTCTGAATCCCCTGTGGAGACCTTAGAGAAAGCCCTAGGTCCCTGCCTCATTTTGACGGAATGCCTCACATCCCGCTGACACCTCGAGAGGCACGCGGAGTTCATTGCTTCAAAAGGTGACGATGCCTGACTCCTCTTGAATACTGATAGGAATCCCAAAATCCCTGTGGCTACTGGAAAGGGTCCTTGGGTGCCCTGCCTCACCTCGAGAAGCGTCCCTTTTGCCCTGCCAAGCCTCGAAGAGATTCCTGAGGTGTCCCTCGTTACTAGGCAGGAGTCCTGACGTCACTGGAGAAACTCGTGTTTTGAAGGGCCATCCCCGCCGTAAGTCGAGAACATACCCCAGGGCCCCGCCGCAACTCGAGAAAAACCATGAGACTTCCCCCTAGAAGCGAGATGAGGCCCCATTCCCCTGCAGTGCATGCAGAGCTATTCCGTGATCCCATTCAAACAAGTCAGGAGCTTCGACTTGCTTAATGGATCTCGAGGCAGTCCCCAAGAACACTGTCACCAGTCTAGACGGACCCTGAGGTCACCCCAGCAACGCAAAGCAGCTCCAGGTGCCACAAATCAACTCGAGATGAGGCCCGATTCCCCTGCATTGACTCCAGAGCCATTCCCCATTCCCCATTCAACACGACCGGTGGCTCGACTTCCTTCAGGCAACTCCAGAGATGCCCAGAGAACACTGTCCCAAGTCTAGAGGAACACCAATTTCAGCACAGCAACTCGAGGAATGCTCTGTGTACCACAAATCGTCTCGAGATGAGAGCTGAATCCCTGGCTTAGGCTCAAGACGTATGCCAACTTTCCAGAAGCACCTCAGGAGGAGGCTTCTCTCAGCAATAGGTATGTGGGAGGGACTCCGAGTTTGCTGCCTCAAGGGGAATATACAGCGAGAAGCCCTAACTTGAAAGGAGGCCGGATTTCCTTGCAGTGGCTTGAATACAGGCTCGTCTTTCATCTCACAACATGAAGGGATGTCTGAATCCTCTGTGGAGACCTTAGAGAAAGCTCTAGGTCCCTGCCTCATTTTGACGGAATCCTCACATCCCGCTGACACCTCGAGAGGCACGCGGAGTTCATTGCTTCGAAAGGTGACGATGCCTGACTCCTCTTGAATACTGATAGGAATCCCAAAATCCCTGTGGCTACTGGAAAGGGTCCTTGGGTGCCCTGGCTCACCTCCAGAAGCGTCCCTTTTGCCCTGCCAAGCCTCGAAGAGATTGCTGAGGTGTCCCTCGTTACTAGACAGGAGTCCTGACATCACGGAAGAAACTCGTGTTTTGAAGGGCCATCCCCGCCGTAAGTCGAGAACATACCCCAGGTCCCCGCCGCAACTCGAGAAAAACAATGAGACTTCCCCCTAGAGGCGAGATGAGGCCCCATTCCCTTGCAGTGCATGCAGAGCTATTCCGTGATCCCATTCAAACAAGTCAGCAGCTTCGACTTGCTTAATGGATCTCGAGAGAGTCCCCAAGAACACTGTCACCAGTCTAGACGGACCCAGAGGTCACCCAGCAATGCAAAGCAGCTCCATGTGCCCCAAATCAACTCGAGATGAGGCCGGATTCCCCTGCATTGACTCCAGAGCCATTCCTTGTTCCCCATTCAACACGACCGGTGGCTCGACTTCCTTCAGGCAACTCCAGAGATGCCCCGAGAACACTGTCCCAAGTCTAGAGGACCACCAACTTCAGCACAGCAACTCGAGGAATGCTCTCTGTACCCCAAATCGTCTCGAGACGAGAGCTGATTCCCTGGCTTAGGCTCAAGACGTATGCCACCTTTCCAGAAGCACCTCAGGAGGAGGCTTCTCTCAGCAATAGGTATGTGGGAGGGACCCCGAGTTTGCTGCCTCAAGGGGAATATACAGCGAGAAGCCCTAACTTGAAAGGAGGCCGGATTTCCTTGCAGTGGCTTGAATACAGGCTCGTCTTTGATCTGACAACATGAAGGGATGTTTGAATCCCCTGTGGAGACCTTAGAGAAAGCCCTAGGTCCCTGCCTCATTTTGACGGAATCCTCACATCCCGCTGACACCTCGAGAGGCACGCGGAGTTCATTGCTTCAAAAGGTGACGATGCCTGACTCCTCTTGAATACTTATAGGAATCCCCAAATGCCTGTGGCTACTGGAAAGGGTCCTTGGGTGCCCTGGCTCACCTCGAGAAGCGTCCCTTTTGCCCTGCCAAGCCTCGAAGAGATTGCTGACGTGTCCCTCGTTACTAGACAGGAGTCCTGACGTCACTGAAGAAACTCGTGTTTTGAAGGGCCATCCCCGCCGTAAGTTGAGAACATACCCCAGGTCCCCGCCGCAACTCGAGAAAAACATGAGACTTCCCCCTAGAGGCGAGATGAGGCCCCATTCCCCTGCAGTGCATGCAGAGCTATTCCTTGATCCCATTCAAACAAGTCAGGAGCTTCGACTTGCTTAATGGATCTCGAGGCAGTCCCCAAGAACACTGTCACCAGTCTAGACGGACCCTGAGGTCACCCCAGCAACGCAAAGCAGCTCCAGGTGCCACAAATCAACTCGAGATGAGGCCCGATTCCCCTGCATTGACTCCAGAGCCATTCCCCGTTCCCCATTCAACACGACCGGTGGCTCGACTTCCTTCAGGCAACTCCAGAGATGCCCAGAGAACACTGTCCCAAGTCTAGAGGAACACCAACTTCAGCACAGCAACTCGAGGAATGCTCTGTGTACCCCAAATCGTCTCGAGATGAGAGCTGAATCCCTGGCTTAGGCTCAAGACGTATGCCAACTTTCCAGAAGCACCTCAGGAGGAGGCTTCTCTCAGCAATAGGTATGTGGGAGGGACTCCGAGATTGCTGCCTCAAGGGGAATATACAGCGAGAAGCCCTAACTTGAAAGGAGGCCGGATTTCTTTGCAGTGGCTTGAATACAGGCTCGTCTTTCATCTCACAACATGAAGGGATGTCTGAATCCCCTGTGGAGACCTTAGAGAAAGCCCTAGGTCCCTGCCTCATTTTGACGGAATCCTCACATCCCGCTGACACCTCGAGAGGCACGCGGAGTTCATTGCTTCAAAAGGTGACGATGCCTGACTCCTCTTGAATACTGATAGGAATCCCAAAATCCCTGTGGCTAATGGAAAGGGTCCTTGGGTGCCCTGGCTCACCTCGAGAAGCGTCCCTTTTGCCCTGCCAAGCCTCGAAGAGATTGCTGAGGTGTCCCTCGTTACTAGACAGGAGTCCTGACGTCACGGAAGAAACTCGTGTTTTGAAGGGCCATCCCCGCCGTAAGTCGAGAACATACCCCAGGTCCCCGCCGCAACTCGAGAAAAACCATGAGACTTCCCCCTAGAGGCGAGATGAGGCCCCATTCCCCTGCAGTGCATGCAGAGCTATTCCGTGATCCCATTCAAACAAGTCAGGAGCTTCGACTTGCTTAATGGATCTCGAGACAGTCCCCAAGAACACTGTCACCAGTCTAGACGGACCCTGAGGTCACCCAGCAATGCAAAGCAGCTCCATGTGCCCCAAATCAACTCGAGATGAGGCCGGATTCCCCTGCATTGACTCCAGAGCCATTCCTTGTTCCCCATTCAACACGACCGGTGGCTCGACTTCCTTCAGGCAACTCCAGAGATGCCCCGAGAACACAGTCCCAAGTCTAGAGGACCACCAACTTCAGCACAGCAACTCGAGGAATGCTCTGTGTACCCCAAATCGTCTCGAGATGAGAGCTGATTCCCTGGCTTAGGCTCAAGACGTATGCCACCTTTCCAGAAGCACCTCAGGAGGAGGCTTCTCTCAGCAATAGATATGTGGGAGGGACCCCGAGTTTGCTGCCTCAAGGGGAATATACAGCGAGAAGCCCTAACTTGAAAGGAGGCCGGATTTCCTTGCAGTGGCTTGAATACAGGCTCGTCTTTGATCTGACAACATGAAGGGATGTCTGAATCCCCTGTGGAGACCTTAGAGAAAGCCCTAGGTCCCTGCCTCATTTTGACGGAATGCCTCACATCCCGCTGACACCTCGAGAGGCACGTGGAGTTCATTGCTTCAAAAGGTGACGATGCCTGAATCCTCTTGAATACTGATAGGAATCCCAAAATCCCTGTGGCTACTGGAAAGGGTCCTTGGGTGCCCTGCCTCACCTCGAGAAGCGTCCCTTTTGCCCTGCCAAGCCTCGAAGAGATTCCTGAGGTGTCCCTCGTTACTAGGCAGGAGTCCTGACGTCACTGGAGAAACTCGTGTTTTGAAGGGCCATCCCCGCCGTAAGTCGAGAACGTACCCCAGGGCCCAGCCGCAACTCGAGAAAAACCATGAGACTTCCCCCTAGAGGCGAGATGAGGCCCCATTCCCCTGCAGTGCATGCAGAGCTATTCCGTGATCCCATTCAAACAAGTCAGGAGCTTCGACTTGCTTAATGGATCTCGAGGCAGTCCCCAAGAACACTGTCACCAGTCTAGACGGACCCTGAGGTCACCCCAGCAACGCAAAGCAGCTCCAGGTGCCACAAATCAACTCGAGATGAGGCCCGATTCCCCTGCATTGACTCCAGAGCCATTCCCCGTTCCCCATTCAACACGACCCGTGGCTCGACTTCCTTCAGGCAACTCCAGAGATGCCCAGAGAACACTGTCCCAAGTCTAGAGGAACACCAACTTCAGCACAGCAACTCGAGGAATGCTCTGTGTACCACAAATCGTCTCGAGATGAGAGCTGAATCCCTGGCTTAGGCTCAAGACGTATGCCAACTTTCCAGAAGCACCTCAGGAGGAGGCTTCTCTCAGCAATAGGTATGTGGGAGGGACTCCGAGTTTGCTGCCTCAAGGGGAATATACAGCGAGAAGCCCTAACTTGAAAGGAGGCCGGATTTCCTTGCAGTGGCTTGAATACAGGTTCGTCTTTCATCTCACAACATGAAGGGATGTCTGAATCCCCTGTGGGGACCTTAGAGAAAGCCCTAGGTCCCTGCCTCATTTTGACGGAATCCTCACATCCCGCTGACAACTCGAGAGGCACGCAGAGTTCATTGCTTCAAAAGGTGACGATGCCTGACTCCTCTTGAATACTGATAGGAATCCCAAAATCCCTGTGGCTACTGGAAAGGGTCCTTGGGTGCCCTGGCTCACCTCGAGAAGCGTCCCTTTTGCCCTGCCAAGCCTCGAAGAGATTGCTGAGGTGTCCCTCGTTACTAGACAGGAGTCCTGACGTCACCGAAGAAACTCGTGTTTTGAAGGGCCATCCCCGCCGTAAGTTGAGAACATACCCCAGGTCCCCGCCGCAACTCGAGAAAAACATGAGACTTCCCCCTAGAGGCGAGATGAGGCCCCATTCCCCTGCAGTGCATGCAGAGCTATTCCTTGATCCCATTCAAACAAGTCAGGAGCTTCGACTTGCTTAATGGATCTCGAGGCAGTCCCCAAGAACACTGTCACCAGTCTAGACGGACCCTGAGGTCACCCCAGCAACGCAAAGCAGCTCCAGGTGCCACAAATCAACTCGAGATGAGGCCCGATTCCCCTGCATTGACTCCAGAGCCATTCCCCGTTCCCCGTTCAACACGACCGGTGGCTCGCCTTCCTTCAGGCAACTCCAGAGATGCCCCGAGAGCACTGTTCCAAGTCTAGAGGACCACCAACTTCAGCACAGCAACTCGAGGAATGCTCTGTGTACCCCAAATCGTCTCGAGATGAGAGCTGAATCCCTGGCTTAGGTTCAAGACGTATGCCAACTTTCCAGAAGCACCTCAGGAGGAGGCTTCTCTCAGCAAGAGGTATGTGGGAGGGACCCCGAGTTTGCTGCCTCAACGGGAATATACAGCGAGAAGCCCTAACTTGAAAGGAGGCCGGATTTCCTTGCAGTAGCTTGAATACAGGCTCGTCTTTCATCTCACAACATGAAGGGATGTCTGAATCCCCTGTGGAGACCTTAGAGGTAGCCCTAGGTCCCTGCCTCATTTTGACGGAATGCCTCACATCCAGCTGACACCTCGAGAGGCACGCGGAGTTCATTGCTTCAAAAGGTGACGATGCCTGACTCCTCTTGAATACTGATAGGAATCCCAAAATCCCTGTGGCTACTGGAAAGGGTCCTTGGGTTCCCTGGCTCACCTCGAGAAGCGTCCCTTTTGCCCTGCCAAGCATCGAAGAGATTCCTGAGGTGTCCCTCGTTACTAGACAGGAGTCCTGACGTCACTGAAGAAACTCGTGTTTTGAAGGGCCATCCCCGCCGTAAGTCGAGAACATCCCCCAGGTCCCCGCCGCAACTCTAGAAAAACCATGATACTTCCCCCTAGAGGCGAGATGAGGCCCCATTCCCCTGCAGTGCATGCAGAGCTATTCCGTGATCCCATTCAAACAAGTCAGGAGCTTCGACTTGCTTAATGGATCTCGAGACAGTCCCCAAGAACACTGTCACCAGTCTAGACAGACCCTGAGGTCCCCCCAGCAACGCAAAGCTGCTCCATGTGCCCCAAATCAACTCGAGATGAGGCCCGATTCCCCTACATTGACTCCAGAGCCATTCCCTGTTCCCCATTCAACACGACCGGTGGCTCGACTTCCTTCAGGCAACTCCAAGGATTCCCTGAGAACACTGTCCCAAGTCTAGAGGAACACCAACTTCAGCACAGCAACTCGAGGAATGCTCCGTGTACCCCAAATCATCTCGAGATGAGAGCTGATTCCCTGGCTTAGGCTCAAGACGTATGCCAACTTTCCAGAAGCACCTCAGGAGGAGGCTTCTCTCAGCAATAGGTATGTGGGAGGGACCCCGAGTTTGCTGCCTCAAGGGGAATACACAGGGAGAAGCCCTAATGTGAAAGAAGGCCAGATTTCCTTGCAGTGGCTTGAATACCGGCTCGTCTTTGATCTCACAACATGAAGGGATGTCTGAATCCCCTGTGGAGACCTTAGAGAAAGCCCTAGGTCCCTGCCTCATTTTGACGGAATCCTCACATCCCGCTGACACCTCGAGAGGCACGCGGAGTTCATTGCTTCAAAAGGTGACGATGCCTGACTCCTCTTGAATACTGATAGGAATCCCAAAATCCCTGTGGCTAATGGAAAGGGTCCTTGGGTGCCCTGGCTCACCTCGAGAAGCGTCCCTTTTGCCCTGCCAAGCCTCGAAGAGATTGCTGAGGTGTCCCTCGTTACTAGACAGGAGTCCTGACGTCACGGAAGAAACTCGTGTTTTGAAGGGCCATCCCAGCCGTAAGTCGAGAACATACCCCAGGTCCCCGCCGCAACTCGAGAAAAACCATGAGACTTCCCCCTAGAGGCGAGATGAGGCCCCATTCCCCTGCAGTGCATGCAGAGCTATTCCGTGATCCCATTCAAACAAGTCAGGAGCTTCGACTTGCTTAATGGATCTCGAGACAGTCCCCAAGAACACTGTCACCAGTCTAGACGGACCCTGAGGTCACCCAGCAATGCAAAGCAGCTCCATGTGCCCCAAATCAACTCGAGATGAGGCCGGATTCCCCTGCATTGACTCCAGAGCCATTCCTTGTTCCCCATTCAACACGACCGGTGGCTCGACTTCCTTCAGGCAACTCCAGAGATGCCCCGAGAACACAGTCCCAAGTCTAGAGGACCACCAACTTCAGCACAGCAACTCGAGGAATGCTCTGTGTACCCCAAATCGTCTCGAGATGAGAGCTGATTCCCTGGCTTAGGCTCAAGACGTATGCCACCTTTCCAGAAGCACCTCAGGAGGAGGCTTCTCTCAGCAATAGATATGTGGGAGGGACCCCGAGTTTGCTGCCTCAAGGGGAATATACAGCGAGAAGCCCTAACTTGAAAGGAGGCCGGATTTCCTTGCAGTGGCTTGAATACAGGCTCGTCTTTGATCTGACAACATGAAGGGATGTCTGAATCCCCTGTGGAGACCTTAGAGAAAGCCCTAGGTCCCTGCCTCATTTTGACGGAATGCCTCACATCCCGCTGACACCTCGAGAGGCACGTGGAGTTCATTGCTTCAAAAGGTGACGATGCCTGACTCCTCTTGAATACTGATAGGAATCCCAAAATCCCTGTGGCTACTGGAAAGGGTCCTTGGGTGCCCTGCCTCACCTCGAGAAGCGTCCCTTTTGCCCTGCCAAGCCTCGAAGAGATTCCTGAGGTGTCCCTCGTTACTAGGCAGGAGTCCTGACGTCACTGGAGAAACTCGTGTTTTGAAGGGCCATCCCCGCCGTAAGTCGAGAACGTACCCCAGGGCCCAGCCGCAACTCGAGAAAAACCATGAGACTTCCCCCTAGAGGCGAGATGAGGCCCCATTCCCCTGCAGTGCATGCAGAGCTATTCCGTGATCCCATTCAAACAAGTCAGGAGCTTCGACTTGCTTAATGGATCTCGAGGCAGTCCCCAAGAACACTGTCACCAGTCTAGACGGACCCTGAGGTCACCCCAGCAACGCAAAGCAGCTCCAGGTGCCACAAATCAACTCGAGATGAGGCCCGATTCCCCTGCATTGACTCCAGAGCCATTCCCCGTTCCCCATTCAACACGACCCGTGGCTCGACTTCCTTCAGGCAACTCCAGAGATGCCCAGAGAACACTGTCCCAAGTCTAGAGGAACACCAACTTCAGCACAGCAACTCGAGGAATGCTCTGTGTACCACAAATCGTCTCGAGATGAGAGCTGAATCCCTGGCTTAGGCTCAAGACGTATGCCAACTTTCCAGAAGCACCTCAGGAGGAGGCTTCTCTCAGCAATAGGTATGTGGGAGGGACTCCGAGTTTGCTGCCTCAAGGGGAATATACAGCGAGAAGCCCTAACTTGAAAGGAGGCCGGATTTCCTTGCAGTGGCTTGAATACAGGTTCGTCTTTCATCTCACAACATGAAGGGATGTCTGAATCCCCTGTGGGGACCTTAGAGAAAGCCCTAGGTCCCTGCCTCATTTTGACGGAATCCTCACATCCCGCTGACAACTCGAGAGGCACGCAGAGTTCATTGCTTCAAAAGGTGACGATGCCTGACTCCTCTTGAATACTGATAGGAATCCCAAAATCCCTGTGGCTACTGGAAAGGGTCCTTGGGTGCCCTGGCTCACCTCGAGAAGCGTCCCTTTTGCCCTGCCAAGCCTCGAAGAGATTGCTGAGGTGTCCCTCGTTACTAGACAGGAGTCCTGACGTCACCGAAGAAACTCGTGTTTTGAAGGGCCATCCCCGCCGTAAGTTGAGAACATACCCCAGGTCCCCGCCGCAACTCGAGAAAAACATGAGACTTCCCCCTAGAGGCGAGATGAGGCCCCATTCCCCTGCAGTGCATGCAGAGCTATTCCTTGATCCCATTCAAACAAGTCAGGAGCTTCGACTTGCTTAATGGATCTCGAGGCAGTCCCCAAGAACACTGTCACCAGTCTAGACGGACCCTGAGGTCACCCCAGCAACGCAAAGCAGCTCCAGGTGCCACAAATCAACTCGAGATGAGGCCCGATTCCCCTGCATTGACTCCAGAGCCATTCCCCGTTCCCCGTTCAACACGACCGGTGGCTCGCCTTCCTTCAGGCAACTCCAGAGATGCCCCGAGAGCACTGTTCCAAGTCTAGAGGACCACCAACTTCAGCACAGCAACTCGAGGAATGCTCTGTGTACCCCAAATCGTCTCGAGATGAGAGCTGAATCCCTGGCTTAGGTTCAAGACGTATGCCAACTTTCCAGAAGCACCTCAGGAGGAGGCTTCTCTCAGCAAGAGGTATGTGGGAGGGACCCCGAGTTTGCTGCCTCAACGGGAATATACAGCGAGAAGCCCTAACTTGAAAGGAGGCCGGATTTCCTTGCAGTAGCTTGAATACAGGCTCGTCTTTCATCTCACAACATGAAGGGATGTCTGAATCCCCTGTGGAGACCTTAGAGGTAGCCCTAGGTCCCTGCCTCATTTTGACGGAATGCCTCACATCCAGCTGACACCTCGAGAGGCACGCGGAGTTCATTGCTTCAAAAGGTGACGATGCCTGACTCCTCTTGAATACTGATAGGAATCCCAAAATCCCTGTGGCTACTGGAAAGGGTCCTTGGGTTCCCTGGCTCACCTCGAGAAGCGTCCCTTTTGCCCTGCCAAGCATCGAAGAGATTCCTGAGGTGTCCCTCGTTACTAGACAGGAGTCCTGACGTCACTGAAGAAACTCGTGTTTTGAAGGGCCATCCCCGCCGTAAGTCGAGAACATCCCCCAGGTCCCCGCCGCAACTCTAGAAAAACCATGATACTTCCCCCTAGAGGCGAGATGAGGCCCCATTCCCCTGCAGTGCATGCAGAGCTATTCCGTGATCCCATTCAAACAAGTCAGGAGCTTCGACTTGCTTAATGGATCTCGAGACAGTCCCCAAGAACACTGTCACCAGTCTAGACAGACCCTGAGGTCCCCCCAGCAACGCAAAGCTGTCCATGTGCCCCAAATCAACTCGAGATGAGGCCCGATTCCCCTACATTGACTCCAGAGCCATTCCCTGTTCCCCATTCAACACGACCGGTGGCTCGACTTCCTTCAGGCAACTCCAAGGATTCCCTGAGAACACTGTCCCAAGTCTAGAGGAACACCAACTTCAGCACAGCAACTCGAGGAATGCTCCGTGTACCCCAAATCATCTCGAGATGAGAGCTGATTCCCTGGCTTAGGCTCAAGACGTATGCCAACTTTCCAGAAGCACCTCAGGAGGAGGCTTCTCTCAGCAATAGGTATGTGGGAGGGACCCCGAGTTTGCTGCCTCAAGGGGAATACACAGGGAGAAGCCCTAATGTGAAAGAAGGCCAGATTTCCTTGCAGTGGCTTGAATACCGGCTCGTCTTTGATCTCACAACATGAAGGGATGTCTGAATCCCCTGTGGAGACCTTAGAGGTAGCCCTAGGTCCCTGCCTCATTTTGACGGAATACCTCACATCCCCCTGACACCTCGAGAGGCACGCAGAGTTCATTGCTTCAAAAGGTGACGATGCCTGACTCCTCGTGAATACTTATAGGAATCCCAAAATCCCTGTGGCTACTGGAAAGGGTCCTTTGGTGCCCTGGCTCACCTCGAGAAGCGTCCCTTTTGCCCTGCCAAGCCTCGAAGAGATTGCTGAGGTGTCCCTCGTTACTAGACTGGAGTCCTGACGTCACTGAAGAAACTCGTGTTTTGAAGGGCCATCCCCGCCGTAAGTCGAGAACATACCCCAGGTCCCCGCCGCAACTCGAGAAAAACCATGAGACTTCCCCCTAGAGGCGAGATGAGGCCCCATTCCCCTGCAGTGCATGCAGAGCTATTCCGTGATCCCATTCAAACAAGTCAGGAGCTTCGACTTGCTTAATGGATCTCGAGACAGTCCCCAAGAACACTGTCACCAGTCTAGACGGACCCTGAGGTCACCCCAGCAACGCAAAGCAGCTCCATGTGACCCAAATCAACTCGAGATGAGGCCCGATTCCCCTGCATTGACTCCAGAGCCATTCCCTGTTCCCCATTCAACACGACCGGTGGCTCGACTTCCTTCAGGCAACTCCAGAGATGCCCCGAGAACACTGTCCCAAGTCTAGAGGACCACCAACTTGAGCACAGCAACTCGAGGAATGCTCTGTGTACCCCAAATCGCCTCGAGATGAGAGCTGATTCCCTGGCTTAGGCTCAAGACGTATGCCAATTTTCCAGAAGCACCTCAGGAGGAGGCTTCTCTCAGCAATAGGTATGTGGGAGGGACCCCGAGTTTGCTGCCTCAAGGGGAATATACAGCGAGAAGCCCTAACTTGAAAGGAGGCCGGATTTCCTTGCAGTGGCTTGAATACAGGCTCGTCTTTCATCTCACAACATGAAGGGATGTCTGAATCCCCTGTTGAGACCTTAGAGAAAGCCCTAGGTCCCTGCCTCATTTTGACGGAATCCTCACATCCCGCTGACACCTCGAGAGGCACGCGGAGTTCATTGCTTCAAAAGGTGACGATGCCTGACTCCTCTTGAATACTGATAGGAATCCCAAAATCCCTGTGGCTACTGGAAAGGTTCCTTGGGTGCCCTGCCTCACCTCGAGAAGCGTCCCTTTTGCCCTGCCAAGCCTCGAAGAGATTCCTGAGGTGTCCCTCGTTACTAGGCAGGAGTCCTGACGTCACTGGAGAAACTCGTGTTTTGAAGGGCCATCCCTGCCGTAAGTCGAGAACATACCCCAGGGCCCCGCCGCAACTCGAGAAAAACCATGAGACTTCCCCCTAGAGGCGAGATGAGGCCCCATTCCCCTGCAGTGCATGCAGAGCTATTCCGTGATCCCATTCAAACAAGTCAGGAACTTCGACTTGCTTAATGGATCTCGAGGCAGTCCCCAAGAACACTGTCACCAGTCTAGACGGACCCTGAGGTCACCCAGCAATGCAAAGCAGCTCCATGTGCCCCAAATCAACTCGAGATGAGGCCGGATTCCCCTGCATTGACTCCAGAGCCATTCCTTGTTCCCCATTCAACACGACCGGTGGCTCGACTTCCTTCAGGCAACTCCAGAGATGCCCCGAGAACACTGTCCCAAGTCTAGAGGACCACCAACTTCAGCACAGCAACTCGAGGAATGCTCTGTGTACCCCAAATCATCTCGAGATGAGAGCTGATTCCCTGGCTTAGGCTCAAGACGTATGCCACCTTTCCAGAAGCACCTCAGGAGGAGGCTTCTCTCAGCAATAGGTATGTGGGAGGGACCCCGAGTTTGCTGCCTCAAGGGGAATATACAGCGAGAAGCCCTAACTTGAAAGGACGCCGGATTTCCTTGCAGTGGCTTGAATACAGGCTCGTCTTTCATCTCACAACATGAAGGGATGTCTGAATCCCCTGTGGAGACCTTAGGGAAAGCCCTAGGTCCCTGCCTCATTTTGACGGAATCCTCACATCCCGCTGACACCTCGAGAGGCACGCGGAGTTCATTGCTTCAAAAGGTGACGATGCCTGACTCCTCTTGTGTACTTATAGGAATCCCCAAATGCCTGTGGCTACTGGAAAGGGTCCTTGGGTGCCCTGCCTCACCTCAAGAAGCGTCCCTTTTGCCCTGCCAAGCCTCGAAGAGATTGCTGAGGTGTCCCTCGTTACTAGGCAGGAGTCCTGACGTCACTGGAGAAACTCGTGTTTTGAAGGGCCATCCCCGCCGTAAGTCGAGAACATACCCCAGGGCCCCGCCGCAACTCGAGAAAAACCATGAGACTTCCCCCTAGAGGCGAGATGAGGCCCCATTCCCCTGCAGTGCATGCAGAGCTATTCCGTGATCCCATTCAAACAAGTCAGGAGCTTCGACTTGCTTAATGGATCTCGAGGCAGTCCCCAAGAACACTGTCACCAGTCTAGACGGACCCTGAGGTCACCCAGCAATGCAAAGCAGCTCCATGTGCCCCAAATCAACTCGAGATGAGGCCGGATTCCCCTGCATTGACTCCAGAGCCATTCCTTGTTCCCCGTTCAACACGACCGGTGGCTCGACTTCCTTCAGGCAACTCCAGAGATGCCCCGAGAACACTGTCCCAAGTCTAGAGGACCACCAACTTCAGCACAGCAACTCAAGGAATGCTCTGTGTACCCCAAATCGTCTCGAGATGAGAGCTGATTCCCTGGCTTAGGCTCAAGACGTATGCCACCTTTCCAGAAGCACCTCAGGAGGAGGCTTCTCTCAGCAATAGGTATGTGGGAGGGACCCCGAGTTTGCTGCCTCAAGGGGAATATACAGCGAGAGGCCCTAACTTGAAAGGACGCCGGATTTCCTTGCAGTGGCTTGAATACAGGCTCGTCTTTCATCTCACAACATGAAGGGATGTCTGAATCCCCTGTGGAGACCTTAGAGAAAGCCCTAGGTCCCTGCCTCATTTTGACGGAATCCTCACATCCCGCTGACACCTCGAGAGGCACGCGGAGTTCATTGCTTCAAAAGGTGACGATGCCTGACTCCTCTTGAATACTGATAATAATCCCAAAATCCCTGTGGCTATTGGAAAGGGTCCTTGGGTGCCCTGCCTCACCTCGAGAAGCGTCCCTTTTGCCCTGCCAAGCCTCGAAGAGATTCCTGAGGTGTCCCTCGTTACTAGGCAGGAGTCCTGACGTCACTGGAGAAACTCGTGTTTTGAAGGGCCATCCCCGCCGTAAGTCGAGAACATACCCCAGGTCCCCGCCGCAACTCGAGAAAAACCATGAGACTTCCCCCTAGAGGCGAGATGAGGCCCCATTCCCCTGCAGTGCATGCAGAGCTATTCCGTGATCCCATTCAAACAAGTCAGGAGCTGCGACTTGCTTAATGGATCTCGAGGCAGTCCCCAAGAACACTGTCACCAGTCTAGACGGACCCTGAGGTCACCCCAGCAACGCAAAGCAGCTCCAGGTGCCACAAATCAACTCGAGATGAGGCCCGATTCCCCTGCATTGACTCCAGAGCCATTCCACGTTCCCCATTCAACACGACCGGTGGCTCGACTTCCTTCAGGCATCTCCAGAGATGCCCAGAGAACACTGTCCCAAGTCTAGAGGAACACCAATTTTAGCACAGCAACTCGAGGAATGCTCTGTGTACCACAAATCGTCTCAAGATGAGAGCTGAATCCCTGGCTTAGGCTCAAGACGTATGCCAACTTTCCAGAAGCACCTCAGGAGGAGGCTTCTCTCAGCAATAGGTATGTGGGAGGGACTCCGAGTTTGCTGCCGCAAGGGGAATATACAGCGAGAAGCCCTAACTTGAAAGGAGGCCGGATTTCCTTGCAGTGGCTTGAATACAGGCTCGTCTTTCATCTCACAACATGAAGGGATGTCTGAATCCCCTGTGGAGACCTTAGAGAAAGCCCTAGGTCCCTGCCTCATTTTGACGGAATCCTCACATCCCGCTGACACCTCGAGAGGCACGCGGAGTTCATTGCTTCAAAAGGTGACGATGCCTGACTCCTCTTGAATACTGATAATAATCCCAAAATCCCTGTGGCTACTGGAAAGGGTCCTTGGGTGCCCTGGCTCACCTCGAGAAGCGTCCCTTTTGCCCTGCCAAGCCTCGAAGAGATTGCTGAGGTGTCCCTCGTTACTAGACAGGAGTCCTGACGTCACGGAAGAAACTCGTGTTTTGAAGGGCCATCCCCGCCGTAAGTCGAGAACATACCCCAGGTCCCCGCCGCAACTCGAGAAAAACCATGAGACTTCCCCCTAGAGGCGAGATGAGGCCCCATTCCCTTGCAGTGCATGCAGAGCTATTCCGTGATCCCATTCAAACAAGTCAGGAGCTTCGACTTGCTTAATGGATCTCGAGAGAGTCCCCAAGAACACTGTCACCAGTCTAGACGGACCCTGAGGTCACCCAGCAATGCAAAGCAGCTCCATGTGCCCCAAATCAACTCGAGATGAGGACGGATTCCCCTGCATTGACTCCAGAGCCATTCCTTGTTCCCCATTCAACACGACCGGTGGCTCGACTTCCTTCAGGCAACTCCAGAGATGCCCCGAGAACACTCTCCCAAGTCTAGAGGACCACCAACTTCAGCACAGCAACTCGAGGTATGCTCTGTGTACCCCAAATCGTCTCGAGATGAGAGCTGATTCCCTGGCTTAGGCTCAAGACGTATGCCAACTTTCCAGAAGCACCTCAGGAGGAGGCTTCTCTCAGCAATAGGTATGTGGGAGGGACTCCGAGATTGCTGCCTCAAGGGGAATATACAGCGAGAAGCCCTAACTTGAAAGGAGGCCGGATTTCCTTGCAGTGGCTTGAATACAGGCTCGTCTTTCATCTCACAACATGAAGGGATGTCTGAATCCCCTGTGGAGACCTTAGAGAAAGCCCTAGGTCCCTACCTCATTTTGACGGAATCCTCACATCCCGCTGACACCTCGAGAGGCACGCGGAGTTCATTGCTTCAAAAGGTGACGATGCCTGACTCCTCTTGAATACTGATAGGAATCCCAAAATCCCTGTGGCTAATGGAAAGGGTCCTTGGGTGCCCTGGCTCACCTCGAGAAGCGTCCCTTTTGCCCTGCCAAGCCTCGAAGAGATTCCTGAGGTGTCCCTCGTTACTAGACAGGAGTCCTGACGTCACGAAAGAAACTCGTGTTTTGAAGGGCCATCCCCGCCGTAAGTCGAGAACATACCCCAGGTCCCCGCCGCAACTCGAGAAAAACCATGAGACTTCCCCCTAGAGGCGAGATGAGGCCCCATTCCCCTGCAGTGCATGCAGAGCTATTCCGTGATCCCATTCAAACAAGTCAGGAGCTTCGACTTGCTTAATGGATCTCGAGACAGTCCCCAAGAACACTGTCACCAGTCTAGACGGACCCTGAGGTCACCCAGCAATGCAAAGCAGCTCCATGTGCCCCAAATCAACTCGAGATGAGGCCGGATTCCCCTGCATTGACTCCAGAGCCATTCCTTGTTCCCCATTCAACACGACCGGTGGCTCGACTTCCTTCAGGCAACTCCAGAGATGCCCCGAGAACACTGTCCCAAGTCTAGAGGACCACCAACTTCAGCACAGCAACTCGAGGAATGCTCTGTGTACCTCAAATCATCTCGAGATGAGAGCTGATTCCCTGGCTTAGGCTCAAGACGTATGCCACCTTTCCAGAAGCACCTCAGGAGGAGGCTTCTCTCAGCAATAGGTATGTGGGAGGGACCCCGAGTTTGCTGCCTCAAGGGGAATATACAGCGAGAAGCCCTAACTTGAAAGGAGGCCGGATTTCCTTGCAGTGGCTTGAATACAGGCTCGTCTTTCATCTCACAACATGAAGGGATGTCTGAATCCCCTGTGGAGACCTTAGAGGAAGCCCTAGGTCCCTGCCTCATTTTGACGGAATACCTCACATCCCCCTGACACCTCGAGAGGCACGCAGAGTTCATTGCTTCAAAAGGTGACGATGCCTGACTCCTCTTGAATACTTATAGGAATCCCAAAATCCCTGTTGCTACTGGAAAGGGTCCTTGGGTGCCCTGGCTCACCTCGAGAAGCGTCCCTTTTGCCCTGCCAAGCCTCGAAGAAATTGCTGAGGTGTCCCTCGTTACTAGACAGGAGTCCTGACGTCACCGAAGAAACTCGTGTGTTGAAGGGCCATCCCCGCCGTAAGTCGAGAACATACCCCAGGTCCCCGCCGCAACTCGAGAAAAACCATGAGAATTCCCCCTAGAGGCGAGATGAGGCCCCATTCCCCTGCAGTGCATGCAGAGCTATTCCGTGATCCCATTCAAACAAGTCAGGAGCTTCGACTTGCTAAATGGATCTCGAGACAGTCCCCAAGAACACTGTCACCAGTCTAGACGGACCCTGAGGTCATCCCAGCAACGCAAAGCAGCTCCATGTGCCCCAAATCAACTCGAGATGAGGCCCGATTCCCCTGCATTGACTCCAGAGCCATTCCCCGTTCCCCGTTCAACACGAACGGAGGATCGCCTTCCTTCAGGCATCTCCAGAGATGCCCCGAGAACACTGTCCCAAGTCTAGAGGAACACCAACTTCAGCACAGCAACTCGAGGAATGCTCTGTGTACCCCAAATCGTCTCGAGATGAGAGCTGATTCTCTGGCTTAGGCTCAAGACGTATGCCAACTTTCCAGAAGCACCTCAGGAGGAGGCTTCTCAGCAATAGGTATGTGGGAGGGACTCCAAGTTTGCTGCCTCAAGGGGAATATACAGCGAGAAGCCCTAACTTGAAAGGAGGCCGGATTTCCTTGCAGTAGCTTGAATACAGGCTCGTCTTTCATCTCACACATGAAGGGATGTCTGAATCCCCTGTGGAGACATTAGAGAAAGCCCTAGGTCCCTGCCTCATTTTGACGGAATGCCTCACATCCCGCTGACACCTCGAGAGGCACGCGGAGTTCATTGCTTCAAAAGGTGACGATGCCTGACTCCTCTTGAATACTGATAGGAATCCCAAAATCCCTGTGGCTACTGGAAAGGGTCCTTGGGTGCCCTGCCTCACCTCGAGAAGCGTCCCTTTTGCCCTGCCAAGACTCGAAGAGATTCCTGAGGTGTCCCTCGTTACTAGGCAGGAGTCCTGACCTCACTGAAGAAAGTCGTGTTTTGAAGGGCCATCCCCGCCGTAAGTCGAGAACATACCCCAGGTCCCCGCCGCAACTCGAGAAAAACCATGAGACTTCCCCCTAGAAGCGAGATGAGGCCCCATTCCCCTGCAGTGCATGCAGAGCTATTCCGTGATCCCATTCAAACAAGTCAGGAGCTTCGACTTGCTTAATGGATCTCGAGACAATCCCCAAGAACACTGTCACCAGTCTAGACGGACCCTGAGGTCACCCCAGCAACGCAAAGCTGCTCCATGTGCCCCAAATCAACTCGAGATGAGGCCCAATTCCCCTGGATTGACTCCAGAGCCATTCCCCGTTCCCCATTCAACACGACCGGTGGCTCGACTTCCTTCAGGCAACTCCAGGGATGCCCCGAGAACACTGTCCCAAGTCTAGAGGAACACCAACTTCAGCACAGCAACTCGAGGAATGCTCTGTGTACCCCAAATCGTCTCGAGATGAGAGCTGATTCCCTGGCTTAGGCTCAAGACGTATGCCACCTTTCCAGAAGCACCTCAGGAGGAGGCTTCTCTCAGCAATAGGTATGTGGGAGGGACCCCGAGTTTGCTGCCTCAAGGGGAATATACAGCGAGAAGCCCTAACTTGAAAGGAGGCCGGATTTCCTTGCAGTGGCTTGAATACAGGCTCGTCTTTGATCTGACAACATGAAGGGATGTCTGAATCCCCTGTGGAGACCTTAGAGAAAGCCCTAGGTCCCTGCCTCATTTTGACGGAATGCCTCACATCCCGCTGACACCTCGATAGGCACGCGGAGTTCATTGCTTCAAAAGGTGACGATGCCTGACTCCTCTTGAATACTGATAGGAATCCCAAAATCACTGTGGCTACTGGAAAGGGTCCTTGGGTGCCCTGCCTCACCTCGAGAAGCGTCCCTTTTGCCCTGCCAAGCCTCGAAGAGATTCCTGAGGTGTCCCTCGTTACTAGGCAGGAGTCCTGACGTCACTGGAGAAACTCGTGTTTTGAAGGGCCATCCCCGCCGTAAGTCGAGAACATACCCCAGGGCCCCGCCGCAACTCGAGAAAAACCATGAGACTTCCCCCTAGAGGCGAGATGAGGCCCCATTCCCCTGCAGTGCATGCAGAGCTATTCCGTGATCCCATTCAAACAAGTCAGGAGCTTCGACTTGCTTAATGGATCTCGAGGCAGTCCCCAAGAACACTGTCACCAGTCTAGACGGACCCTGAGGTCACCCAGCAATGCAAAGCAGCTCCATGTGCCCCAAATCAACTCGAGATGAGGCCGGATTCCCCTGCATTGACTCCAGAGCCATTCCTTGTTCCCCGTTCAACACGACCGGTGGCTCGACTTCCTTCAGGCAACTCCAGAGATGCCCCGAGAACACTGTCCCAAGTCTAGAGGACCACCAACTTCAGCACAGCAACTCGAGGAATGCTCTGTGTACCCCAAATCGTCTCGAGATGAGAGCTGATTCCCTGGCTTAGGCTCAAGACGTATGCCACCTTTCCAGAAGCACCTCAGGAGGAGGCTTCTCTCAGCAATAGGTATGTGGGAGGGACCCCGAGTTTGCTGCCTCAAGGGGAATATACAGCGAGAGGCCCTAACTTGAAAGGACGCCGGATTTCCTTGCAGTGGCTTGAATACAGGCTCGTCTTTCATCTCACAACATGAAGGGATGTCTGAATCCCCTGTGGAGACCTTAGAGAAAGCCCTAGGTCCCTGCCTCATTTTGACGGAATCCTCACATCCCGCTGACACCTCGAGAGGCACGCGGAGTTCATTGCTTCAAAAGGTGACGATGCCTGACTCCTCTTGAATACTGATAATAATCCCAAAATCCCTGTGGCTACTGGAAAGGGTCCTTGGGTGCCCTGGCTCACCTCGAGAAGCGTCCCTTTTGCCCTGCCAAGCCTCGAAGAGATTGCTGAGGTGTCCCTCGTTACTAGACAGGAGTCCTGACGTCACGGAAGAAACTCGTGTTTTGAAGGGCCATCCCCGCCGTAAGTCGAGAACATACCCCAGGTCCCCGCCGCAACTCGAGAAAAACCATGAGACTTCCCCCTAGAGGCGAGATGAGGCCCCATTCCCTTGCAGTGTATGCAGAGCTATTCCGTGATCCCATTCAAACAAGTCAGGAGCTTCGACTTGCTTAATGGATCTCGAGACAGTCCCCAAGAACACTGTCACCAGTCTAGACGGACCCTGAGGTCACCCAGCAATGCAAAGCAGCTCCATGTGCCCCAAATCAACTCGAGATGAGGACGGATTCCCCTACATTGACTCCAGAGCCATTCCTTGTTCCCCATTCAACACGACCGGTGGCTCGACTTCATTCAGGCAACTCCAGAGATGCCCCGAGAACACTGTCCCAAGTCTAGAGGACCACCAACTTCAGCACAGCAACTCGAGGTATGCTCTGTGTACCCCAAATCGTCTCGAGATGAGAGCTGATTCCCTGGCTTAGGCTCAAGACGTATGCCACCTTTCCAGAAGAACCTCAGGAGGAGGCTTCTCTCAGCAATAGGTATGTGGGAGGGACCCCGAGTTTGCTGCCTCAAGGGGAATATACAGCGAGAAGCCCTAACTTGAAAGGAGGCCGGATTTCCTTGCAGTGGCTTGAATACAGGCTCGTCTTTCATCTCACAACATGAAGGGATGCCTGAATCCCCTGTGGAGACCTTAGAGGAAGCCCTAGGTCCCTGCCTCATTTTTACGGAATACCTCACATCCCCCTGACACCTCGAGAGGCACGCAGAGTTCATTGCTTCAAAAGGTGACGATGCCTGACTCCTCTTGAATACTTATAGGAATCCCAAAATCCCTGTTGCTTCTGGAAAGGGTCCTTGGGTGCCCTGGCTCACCTCGAGAAGCGTCCCTTTTGCCCTGCCAAGCCTCGAAGAAATTGCTGAGGTGTCCCTCGTTACTAGAGAGGAGTCCTGACGTCACCGAAGAAACTCGTGTGTTGAAGGGCCATCCCCGCCGTAAGTCGAGAACATACCCCAGGTCCCCGCCGCAACTCGAGAAAAACCATGAGAATTCCCCCTAGAGGCGAGATGAGGCCCCATTCCCCTGCAGTGCATGCAGAGCTATTCCGTGATCCCATTGAAACAAGTCAGGAGCTTCGACTTGCTTAATGGATCTCGAGACAGTCCCCAAGAACACTGTCACCAGTCTAGACGGACCCTGAGGTCATCCCAGCAACGCAAAGCAGCTCCATGTGCCCCAAATCAACTCGAGATGAGGCCCGATTCCCCTGCATTGACTCCAGAGCCATTCCACGTTCCCCGTTCAACACGAACGGAGGATCGCCTTCCTTCAGGCATCTCCAGAGATGCCCCGAGAACACTGTCCCAAGTCTAGAGGAACACCAACTTCAGCACAGCAACTCGAGGAATGCTCTGTGTACCCCAAATCGTCTCGAGATGAGAGCTGAATCCCTGGCTTAGGCTCAAGACGTATGCCAACTTTCCAGAAGCACCTCAGGAGGAGGCTTCTCTCAGCAATAGGTATGTGGGAGGGACTCCGAGTTTGCTGCCTCAAGGGGAATATACAGCGAGAAGCCCTAACTTGAAAGGAGGAAGGATTTCCTTGCAGTGGCTTGAATACAGGCTCGTCTTTCATCTCACAACATGAAGGGATGTCTGAATCCTCTGTGGAGACCTTAGAGAAAGCTCTAGGTCCCTGCCTCATTTTGACCGAATCCTCACATCCCGCTGACACCTCGAGAGGCACGCGGAGTTCATTGCTTCGAAAGGTGACGATGCCTGACTCCTCTTGAATACTGATAGGAATCCCAAAATCCCTGTGGCTACTGGAAAGGGTCCTTGGGTGCCCTGGCTCACCTCCAGAAGCGTCCCTTTTGCCCTGCCAAGCCTCGAAGAGATTGCTGAGGTGTCCCTCGTTACTAGACAGGAGTCCTGACGTCACGGAAGAAACTCGTGTTTTGAAGGGCCATCCCCGCCGTAAGTCGAGAACATACCCCAGGTCCCCGCCGCAACTCGAGAAAAACCATGAGACTTCCCCCTAGAGGCGAGATGAGGCCCCATTCCCTTGCAGTGTATGCAGAGCTATTCCGTGATCCCATTCAAACAAGTCAGGAGCTTCGACTTGCTTAATGGATCTCGAGACAGTCCCCAAGAACACTGTCACCAGTCTAGACGGACCCTGAGGTCACCCAGCAATGCAAAGCAGCTCCATGTGCCCCAAATCAACTCGAGATGAGGACGGATTCCCCTGCATTGACTCCAGAGACATTCCTTGTTCCCCATTCAACACGACCGGTGGCTCGACTTCATTCAGGCAACTCCAGAGATGCCCCGAGAACACTGTCCCAAGTCTAGAGGACCACCAACTTCAGCACAGCAACTCGAGGTATGCTCTGTGTACCCCAAATCGTCTCGAGATGAGAGCTGATTCCCTGGCTTAGGCTCAAGACGTATGCCAACTTTCCAGAAGCACCTCAGGAGGAGGCTTCTCTCAGCAATAGGTATGTGGGAGGGACTCCGAGATTGCTGCCTGAAGGGGAATATACAGCGAGAAGCCCTAACTTGAAAGGAGGCCGGATTTCCTTGCAGTAGCTTGAATACAGGCTCGTCTTTCATCTCACAACATGAAGGGATGTCTGAATCCCCTGTGGAGACCTTAGAGAAAGCCCTAGGTCCCTACCTCATTTTGACGGAATCCTCACATCCCGCTGACACCTCGAGAGGCACGCGGAGTTCATTGCTTCAAAAGGTGACGATTCCTGACTCCTCTTGAATACTGATAGGAATCCCAAAATCCCTGTGGCTACTGGAAAGGGTCCTTGGGTGCCCTGGCTCACCTCGAGAAGCGTCCCTTTTGCCCTGCCAAGCCTCGAAGAGATTCCTGAGGTGTCCCTCGTTACTAGACAGGAGTCCTGACGTCACGAAAGAAACTCGTGTTTTGAAGGGCCATCCCCGCCGTAAGTCGAGAACATACCCCAGGTCCCCGCCGCAACTCGAGAAAAACCATGAGACTTCCCCCTAGAGGCGAGATGAGGCCCCATTCCCCTGCAGTGCATGCAGAGCTATTCCGTGATCCCATTCAAACAAGTCAGGAGCTTCGACTTGCTTAATGGATCTCGAGACAGTCCCCAAGAACACTGTCACCAGTCTAGACGGACCCTGAGGTCACCCAGCAATGCAAAGCAGCTCCATGTGCCCCAAATCAACTCGACATGAGGCCGGATTCCCCTGCATTGACTCCAGAGCCATTCCTTGTTCCCCATTCAACACGACCGGTGGCTCGACTTCCTTCAGGCAACTCCAGAGATGCCCCGAGAACACTGTCCCAAGTCTAGAGGACCACCAACTTCAGCACAGCAACTCGAGGAATGCTCTGTGTACCTCAAATCATCTCGAGTTGAGAGCTGATTCCCTGGCTTAGGCTCAAGACGTATGCCACCTTTCCAGAAGAACCTCAGGAGGAGGCTTCTCTCAGCAATAGGTATGTGGGAGGGACCCCGAGTTTGCTGCCTCAAGGGGAATATACAGCGAGAAGCCCTAACTTGAAAGGAGGCCGGATTTCCTTGCAGTGGCTTGAATACAGGCTCGTCTTTCATCTCACAACATGAAGGGATGTCTGAATCCCCTGTGGAGACCTTAGAGGAAGCCCTAGGTCCCTGCCTCATTTTTACGGAATACCTCACATCCCCCTGACACCTCGAGAGGCACGCAGAGTTCATTGCTTCAAAAGGTGACGATGCCTGACTCCTCTTGAATACTGATAGGAATCCCAAAATCCCTGTGGCTACTGGAAAGGGTCCTTGGGTGCCCTGGCTCACCTCCAGAAGCGTCCCTTTTGCCCTGCCAAGCCTCGAAGAGATTGCTGAGGTGTCCCTCGTTACTAGACAGGAGTCCTGACGTCACGGAAGAAACTCGTGTTTTGAAGGGCCATCCCCGCCGTAAGTCGAGAACATACCCCAGGTCCCCGCCGCAACTCGAGAAAAACAATGAGACTTCCCCCTAGAGGCGAGATGAGGCCCCATTCCCTTGCAGTGCATGCAGAGCTATTCCGTGATCCCATTCAAACAAGTCAGCAGCTTCGACTTGCTTAATGGATCTCGAGACAGTCCCCAAGAACACTGTCACCAGTCTAGACGGACCCAGAGGTCACCCAGCAATGCAAAGCAGCTCCATGTGCCCCAAATCAACTCGAGATGAGGCCGGATTCCCCTGCATTGACTCCAGAGCCATTCCTTGTTCCCCATTCAACACGACCGGTGGCTCGACTTCCTTCAGGCAACTCCAGAGATGCCCCGAGAACACTGTCCCAAGTCTAGAGGACCACCAACTTCAGCACAGCAACTCGAGGAATGCTCTGTGTACCCCAAATCGTCTCGAGACGAGAGCTGATTCCCTGGCTTAGGCTCAAGACGTATGCCACCTTTCCAGAAGCACCTCAGGAGGAGGCTTCTCTCAGCAATAGGTATGTGGGAGGGACCCCGAGTTTGCTGCCTCAAGGGGAATATACAGCGAGAAGCCCTAACTTGAAAGGATGCCGGATTTCCTTGCAGTGGCTTGAATACAGGCTCGTCTTTGATCTGACAACATGAAGGGATGTTTGAATCCCCTGTGGAGACCTTAGAGAAAGCCCTAGGTCCCTGCCTCATTTTGACGGAATCCTCACATCCCGCTGACACCTCGAGAGGCACGCGGAGTTCATTGCTTCAAAAGGTGACGATGCCTGACTCCTCTTGAATACTTATAGGAATCCCAAAATCCCTGTTGCTACTGGAAAGGGTCCTTGGGTGCCCTGGCTCACCTCGAGAAGCGTCCCTTTTGCCCTGCCAAGCCTCGAAGAGATTGCTGAGGTGTCCCTCGTTACTAGACAGGAGTCCTGACGTCACTGAAGAAACTCGTGTTTTGAAGGGCCATCCCCGCCGTAAGTCGAGAACATACCCCAGTTCCCCGCCGCAACTCGAGAAAAACATGAGACTTCCCCCTAGAGGCGAGATGAGGCCCCATTCCCCTGCAGTGCATGCATAGCTATTCCGTGATCCCATTCAAACAAGTCAGGAGCTTCGACTTGCTTAATGGATCTCGAGGCAGTCCCCAAGAACACTGTCACCAGTCTAGACGGACCCTGAGGTCACCCCAGCAACGCAAAGCAGCTCCAGGTGCCCCAAATCAACTCGAGATGAGGCCCGATTCCCCTGCATTGAATCCAGAGCCATTCCCCGTTCCCCATTCAACACGACCGGTGGCTCGACTTCCTTCAGGCAACTCCAGAGATGCCCAGAGAACACTGTCCCAAGTCTAGAGGAACACCAACTTCAGCACAGCAACTCGAGGAATGCTCTGTGTACCCCAAATCGTCTCGAGATGAGAGCTGAATCCCTGGCTTAGGCTCAAGACGTATGCCAACTTTCCAGAAGCACCTCAGGAGGAGGCTTCTCTCAGCAATAGGTATGTGGGAGGGACTCCGAGATTGCTGCCTCAAGGGGAATATACAGCGAGAAGCCCTAACTTGAAAGGAGGCCGGATTTCTTTGCAGTGGCTTGAATACAGGCTCGTCTTTCATCTCACAACATGAAGGGATGTCTGAATCCCCTGTGGAGACCTTAGAGAAAGCCCTAGGTCCCTGCCTCATTTTGACGGAATCCTCACATCCCGCTGACACCTCGAGAGGCACGCAGAGTTCATTGCTTCAAAAGGTGACGATGCCTGACTCCTCTTGAATACTGATAGGAATCCCAAAATCCCTGTGGCTACTGGAAAGGGTCCTTGGGTGCCCTGGCTCACCTCGAGAAGCGTCCCTTTTGCCCTGCCAAGCCTCGAAGAGATTGCTGAGGTGTCCCTCGTTACTAGACAGGAGTCCTGACGTCACTGGAGAAACTCGTGTTTTGAAGGGCCATCCCCGCCGTAAGTCGAGAACATACCCCAGGTCCCCGCCGCAACTCGAGAAAAACAATGAGACTTCCCCCTAGAGGCGAGATGAGGCCCCATTCCCCTGCAGTGCATGCAGAGCTATTCCGTGATCCCATTCAAACAAGTCAGGAGCTTCGACTTGCTTAATGGATCTCGAGACAGTCCCCAAGAACACTGTCACCAGTCTAGACGGACCCTGAGGTCACCCAGCAATGCAAAGCAGCTCCATGTTCCCCAAATCAACTCGAGATGAGGCCGGATTCCCCTGCATTGACTCCAGAGCCATTCCTTGTTCCCCATTCAACACGACCGGTGGCTCAACTTCCTTCAGGCAACTCCAGAGATGCCCCGAGAACACTGTCCCAAGTCTAGAGGACCACCAACTTCAGCACAGCAACTCGAGGAATGCTCTGTGTACCCCAAATCGTCTCGAGATGAGAGCTGATTCCCTGGCTTAGGCTCAAGACGTATGCCACCTTTCCAGAAGCACCTCAGGAGGAGGCTTCTCTCAGCAATAGGTATGTGGGAGGGACCCCGAGTTTGCTGCCTCAAGGGGAATATACAGCGAGAAGCCCTAACTTGAAAGGAGGCCGGATTTCCTTGCAGTGGCTTGAATACAGGCTCGTCTTTGATCTGACAACATGAAGGGATGTCTGAATCCCCTGTGGAGACCTTAGAGAAAGCCCTAGGTCCCTGCCTCATTTTGACGGAATCCTCACATCCCGCTGACACCTCGAGAGGCACGCGGAGTTCATTGCTTCAAAAGGTGACGATGCCTGACTCCTCTTGAATACTTATAGGAATCCAAAAATCCCTGTTGCTACTGGAAAGGGTCCTTGGGTGCCCTGGCTCACCTCGAGAAGCGTCCCTTTTGCCCTGCCAAGCCTCGAAGAGATTGCTGACGTGTCCCTCGTTACTAGACAGGAGTCCTGACGTCACTGAAGAAACTCTTGTTTTGAAGGGCCATCCCCGCCGTAAGTTGAGAACATACCCCAGTTCCCCGCCGCAACTCGAGAAAAACATGAGACTTCCCCCTAGAGGCGAGATGAGGCCCCATTCCCCTGCAGTGCATGCAGAGCTATTCCTTGATCCCATTCAAACAAGTCAGGAGCTTCGACTTGCTTAATGGATCTCGAGGCAGTCCCCAAGAACACTGTCACCAGTCTAGACGGACCCTGAGGTCATCCCAGCAACGCAAAGCAGCTCCAGGTGCCACAAATCAACTCGAGATGAGGCCCGATTCCCCTGCATTGACTCCAGAGCCATTCCCCGTTCCCCATTCAACACGACCGGTGGCTCGACTTCCTTCAGGCAACTCCAGAGATGCCCAGAGAACACTGTCCCAAGTCTAGAGGAACACCAACTTCAGCACAGCAACTCGAGGAATGCTCTGTGTACCCCAAATCGTCTCGAGATGAGAGCTGAATCCCTGGCTTAGGCTCAAGACGTATGCCAACTTTCCAGAAGCACCTCAGGAGGAGGCTTCTCTCAGCAATAGGTATGTGGGAGGGACTCCAAGATTGCTGCCTCAAGGGGAATATACAGCGAGAAGCCCTAACTTGAAAGGAGGCCGGATTTCTTTGCAGTGGCTTGAATACAGGCTCGTCTTTCATCTCACAACATGAAGGGATGTCTGAATCCCCTGTGGAGACCTTAGAGAAAGCCCTAGGTCCCTGCCTCATTTTGACGGAATCCTCACATCCCGCTGACACCTCGAGAGGCACGCACAGTTCATTGCTTCAAAAGGTGACGATGCCTGACTCCTCTTGAATACTGATAGGAATCCCAAAATCCCTGTGGCTAATGGAAAGGGTCCTTGGGTGCCCTGGCTCACCTCGAGAAGTGTCCCTTTTGCCCTGCCAAGCCTCGAAGAGATTGCTGAGGTGTCCCTCGTTACTAGACAGGAGTCCTGACGTCACGGAAGAAACTCGTGTTTTGAAGGGCCATCCCCGCCGTAAGTCGAGAACATACCCCAGGTCCCCGCCGCAACTCGAGAAAAACCATGAGACTTCCCCCTAGAGGCGAGATGAGGCCCCATTCCCCTGCAGTGCATGCAGAGCTATTCCGTGATCCCATTCAAACAAGTCAGGAGCTTCGACTTGCTTAATGGATCTCGAGACAGTCCCCAAGAACACTGTCACCAGTCTAGACGGACCCTGAGGTCACCCAGCAATGCAAAGCAGCTCCATGTGCCCCAAATCAACTCGAGATGAGGCCGGATTCCCCTGCATTGACTCCAGAGCCATTCCTTGTTCCCCATTCAACACGACCGGTGGCTCGACTTCCTTCAGGCAACTCCAGAGATGCCCCGAGAACACTGTCCCAAGTCTAGAGGACCACCAACTTCAGCACAGCAACTCGAGGAATGCTCTGTGTACCCCAAATCGTCTCGAGATGAGAGCTCATTCCCTGGCTTAGGCTCAAGACGTATGCCACCTTTCCAGAAGCACCTCAGGAGGAGGCTTCTCTCAGCAATAGGTATGTGGGAGGGACCCCGAGTTTGCTGCCTCAAGGGGAATATACAGCGAGAAGCCCTAACTTGAAAGGAGGCCGGATTTCCTTGCAGTGGCTTGAATACAGGCTCGTCTTTGATCTGACAACATGAAGGGATGTCTGAATCCCCTGTGGAGACCTTAGAGAAAGCCCTAGGTCCCTGCCTCATTTTGACGGAATGCCTCACATCCCGCTGACACCTCGAGAGGCACGTGGAGTTCATTGCTTCAAAAGGTGACGATGCCTGACTCCTCTTGAATACTGATAGGAATCCCAAAATCCCTGTGGCTACTGGAAAGGGTCCTTGGGTGCCCTGCCTCACCTCGAGAAGCGTCCCTTTTGCCCTGCCAAGCCTCGAAGAGATTCCTGAGGTGTCCCTCGTTACTAGGCAGGAGTCCTGACGTCACTGGAGAAACTCGTGTTTTGAAGGGCCATCCCCGCCGTAAGTCGAGAACGTACCCCAGGGCCCAGCCGCAACTCGAGAAAAACCATGAGACTTCCCCCTAGAGGCGAGATGAGGCCCCATTCCCCTGCAGTGCATGCAGAGCTATTCCGTGATCCCATTCAAACAAGTCAGGAGCTTCGACTTGCTTAATGGATCTCGAGGCAGTCCCCAAGAACACTGTCACCAGTCTAGACGGACCCTGAGGTCACCCCAGCAACGCAAAGCAGCTCCAGGTGCCACAAATCAACTCGAGATGAGGCCCGATTCCCCTGCATTGACTCCAGAGCCATTCCCCGTTCCCCATTCAACACGACCAGTGGCTCGACTTCCTTCAGGCAACTCCAGAGATGCCCAGAGAACACTGTCCCAAGTCTAGAGGAACACCAACTTCAGCACAGCAACTCGAGGAATGCTCTGTGTACCCCAAATCGTCTCGAGATGAGAGCTGAATCCCTGGCTTAGGCTCAAGACGTATGCCAACTTTCCAGAAGCACCTCAGGAGGAGGCTTCTCTCAGCAATAGGTATGTGGGAGGGACTCCGAGTTTGCTGTCTCAAGGGGAATATACAGCGAGAAGCCCTAACTTGAAAGGAGGCCGGATTTCCTTGCAGTGGCTTGAATACAGGCTCGTCTTTCATCTCACAACATGAAGGGATGTCTGAATCCCCTGTGGAGACCTTAGAGAAAGCCCTAGGTCCCTGCCTCATTTTGACGGAATCCTCACATCCCGCTGACAACTCGAGAGGCACGCGGAGTTCATTGCTTCAAAAGGTGACGATGCCTGACTCCTCTTGAATACTGATAGGAATCCCAAAATCCCTGTGGCTACTGGAAAGGGTCCTTGGGTGCCCTGGCTCACCTCGAGAAGCGTCCCTTTTGCCCTGCCAAGCCTCGAAGAGATTGCTGAGGTGTCCCTCGTTACTAGACAGGAGTCCTGACGTCACTGAAGAAACTCGTGTTTTGAAGGGCCATCCCCGCCGTAAGTCGAGAACATACCCCAGGTCCCCGCCGCAACTCGAGAAAAACCATGAGACTTCCCCCTAGAAGCGAGATGAGGCCCCATTCCCCTGCAGTGCATGCAGAGCTATTCCGTGATCCCATTCAAACAAGTCAGGAGCTTCGACTTGCTTAATGGATCTCGAGGCAGTCCCCAAGAACACTGTCACCAGTCTAGACGGACCCTGAGGTCACCCAGCAATGCAAAGCAGCTCCATGTGCCCCAAATAAACTCGAGATGAGGCCGGATTCCCCTGCATTGACTCCAGAGCCATTCCTTGTTCCCCATTCAACACGACCGGTGGCACGACTTCCTTCAGGCAACTCCAGAGATGCCCCGAGAACACTGTCCCAAGTCTAGAGGACCACCAACTTCAGCACAGCAACTCGAGGAATGCTCTGTGTACCCCAAATCATCTCGAGATGAGAGCTGATTCCCTGGCTTAGGCTCAAGACGTATGCCACCTTTCCAGAAGCACCTCAGGAGGAGGCTTCTCTCAGCAATAGGTATGTGGGAGGGACCCCGAGTTTGTTGCCTCAAGGGGAATATACAGCGAGAGGCCCTAACTTGAAAGGACGCCGGATTTCCTTGCAGTGGCTTGAATACAGGCTCGTCTTTCATCTCACAACATGAAGGGATGTCTGAATCCCCTGTGGAGACCTTAGAGAAAGCCCTAGGTCCCTGCCTCATTTTGACGCAATGCCTCACATCCCGCTGACACCTCGAGAGGCACGCGGAGTTCATTGCTTCAAAAGGTGACAATGCCTGACTCCTCTTGAATACTGATAGGAATCCCAAAATCCCTGTGGCTACTGGAAAGGGTCCTTGGGTGCCCTGCCTCACCTCGAGAAGCGTCCCTTTTGCCCTGCCAAGCCTCGAAGAGATTCCTGCGGTGTCCCTCGTTACTAGGCAGGAGTCCTGACGTCACTGGAGAAACTCGTGTTTTGAAGGGCCATCCCCGCCTTAAGTCGAGAATATACACCAGGTCCCCGCCGCAACTCGAGAAAAACCATGAGACTTCCCCCTAGAGGCGAGATGAGGCCCCATTCCCCTGCAGTGCATGCAGAGCTATTCCGTGATCCCATTCAAACAAGTCAGGAGCTTCGACTTGCTTAATGGATCTCGAGGCAGTCCCCAAGAACACTGTCACCAGTCTAGACGGACACTGAGGTCACCCCAGCAACGCAAAGCAGCTCCAGGTGCCACAAATCAACTCGAGATGAGGCCCGAATCCCCTGCATTGACTCCAGAGCCATTCCCCGATCCCCATTCAACACGACCGGTGGCTCGACTTCCTTCAGGCAACTCCAGAGATGCCCCGAGAACACTGTCCCAAGTCTAGAGGAACACCAACTTCAGCACAGCAACTCGAGGAATGCTCTGTGTACCACAAATCGTCTCGAGATGAGAGCTGAATCCCTGGCTTAGGCTCAAGACCTATGCCAACTTTCCAGAAGCACCTCAGGAGGAGGCTTCTCTCAGCAATAGGTATGTGGGAGGGACTCCAGTTTGCTGCCTCAAGGGGAATATACAGCGAGAAGCCCTAACTTGAAAGGAGGCCGGATTTCCTTGCAGTGGCTTGAATACAGGCTCGTCTTTCATCTCACAACATGAAGGGATGTCTGAATCCCCTGTGGAGACCTTAGAGAAAGCCCTAGGTCCCTGCCTCATTTTGACGGAATCCTCACATCCCGCTGACACCTCGAGAGGCATGCGGAGTTCATTGCTTCAAAAGGTGACGATGCCTGACTCCTCTTGAATACTTATAGGAATCCCAAAATCCCTGTGGCTACTGGAAAGGGTCCTTGGGTGCCCTGGCTCACATCGAGAAGCGTCCCTTTTGCCCTGCCAAGCCTCGAAGAGATTATTGACGTGTCCCTCGTTACTAGACAGGAGTCCTGACATCACTGAAGAAACTCGTGTTTTGAAGGGCCATCCCCGCCGTAAGTTGAAAACATACCCCAGTTCCCCGCCGCAACTCTAGAAAAACCATGAGACTTCCCCCTAGAGGCGAGATGAGGCCCCATTCCCCTGCAGTGCATGCAGAGCTATTCCGTGATCCCATTCAAACAAGTCAGGAGCTTCGACTTGCTTAATGGATCTCGAGGCAGTCCCCAAGAACACTGTCACCAGTCTAGACGGACCCTGAGGTAACCCAGCAATGCAAAGCAGCTCCATGTGCCCCAAATCAACTCGAGATGAGGCCGGATTCTCCTGCATTGACTCCAGAGCCATTCCTTGTTCCCCATTCAACACGACCGGTGGCTCGACTTCCTTCAGGCAACTCCAGAGATGCCCCGAGAACACTGTCCCAAGTCTAGAGGACCACCAACTTCAGCACAGCAACTCGAGGAATGCTCTGTGTACCCCAAATCGTCTCGAGATGAGAGCTGATTCCCTGGCTTAGGCTCAAGACGTATGCCACCTTTCCAGAAGCACCTCAGGAGGAGGCTTCTCTCAGCAATAGGTATGTGGGAGGGACCCCGAGTTTGCTGCCTCAAGGGGAATATACAGCGAGAAGCCCTAACTTGAAAGGAGGCCGGATTTCCTTGCAGTGGCTTGAATACAGGCTCGTCTTTCATCTCACAACATGAAGGGATGTCTGAATCCCCTGTGGAGACCTTAGAGAAAGCCCTAGGTCCCTGCCTCATTTTGACGGTATCCTCACATCCCGCTGACACCTGGAGAGGCACGCAGAGTTCATTGCTTCAAAAGGTGACGATGCCTGACTCCTCTTGAATACTTATAGGAATCCCAAAATCCCTGTGGCTACTGGAAAGGGTCCTTGGGTGCCCTGGCTCACATCGAGAAGCGTCCCTTTTGCCCTGCCAAGCCTCGAAGAGATTCCTGACGTGTCCCTCGTTACTAGACAGGAGTCCTGACGTCACTGAAGAAACTCGTGTTTTGAAGGGCCATCCCTGCCGTAAGTCGAGAACATACCCCAGTTCCCCGACGCAACTCGAGAAAAACCATGAGACTTCCCCCTAGAGGCGAGATGAGGCCCCATTCCCCTGCAGTGCATGCAGAGCTATTCCGTGATCCCATTCAAACAAGTCCGGAGCTTCGACTTGCTTAATGGATCTCGAGGCAGTCCCCAAGAACACTGTCACCAGTCTAGACGGACCCTGAGGTAACCCAGCAATGCAAAGCAGCTCCATGTGCCCCAAATCAACTCGAGATGAGGCCGGATTCCGCTGCATTGACTCCAGAGCCATTCCTTGTTCCCCATTCAACACGACCGGTGGCTCGACTTCCTTCAGGCAACTCCAGAGATGCCCCGAGAACACTGTCCCTAGTCTAGAGGACCACCAACTTCAGCACAGCAATTCGAGGAATGCTCTTTGTACCCCAAATCGTCTCGAGATGAGAGCTGATTCCCCGGCTTAGGCTCAAGAGGTATGCCACCTTTCCAGAAGCACCTCAGGAGGAGGCTTCTCTCAGCAATAGGTATGTGGGAGCGACCCCGAGTTTGCTGCCTCAAGGGGAATATACAGCGTGAAGCCCTAACTTGAAAGGAGGCCGGATTTCCTTGCAGTGGCTTGAATACAGGCTCGTCTTCCATTTCACAACATGAAGGGATGTCTGAATCCCCTGTGGAGACTTTAGAGAAAGCCCTAGGTCCCTGCCTCATTTTGACGGAATCCTCACATCCCGCTGACACCTCGAGAGGCACGCGGAGTTCATTGCTTCAAAAGGTGACGATGCCTGACTCGTCTTGAATATTTATAGGAATCCCAAAATCCCTGTGGCTACTGGAAAGGGTCCTTGGGTTCCCTGGCTCACCTCGAGAAGCGTCCCTTTTGCCCTGCCAAGCCTCGAAGAGATTGCTGAGGTGTCCCTCGTTACTAGACAGGAGTCCTGACGTCACTGAAGAAACTCGTGTTTTGAAGGGCCATCCCCGCCGTAAGTCGAGAACATACCCCAGGTCCCCGCCGCAACTCGAGAAAAACCATGAGACTTCCCCCTAGAGGCGAGATGAGGCCCCATTCCCCTGCAGTGCATGCAGAGCTATTCCGTGATCCCATTCAAACAAGTCAGGAGCTTCGACTTGCTTAATGGATCTCGAGACAGTCCCCAAGAACACTGTCACCAGTCTAGGCGGACCCTGAGGTCACCCCAGCAACGCAAAGCTGCTCCATGTGCCCCAAATCAACTCGAGATGAGGCCCGATTCCCCTGCATTGACTCCAGAGCCATTCCCTGTTCCCCATTCAACAGGACCGGTGGCTCGCTTTCCTTCAGGCAACTCCAGAGATGCCCGGAGAACACTCTCCCAAGTCTAGAGGAACACCAACTTCAGCACAGCAACTCGAGGAATGCTCTGTGTACCCCAAATCGTCTCGAGATGAGAGCTGATTCCCTGGCTTAGGCTCAAGACGTATGCCACCTTTCCAGAAGCACCTCAGGAGGAGGCTTCTCTCAGCAATAGGTATGTGGGACGGACCCCGAGTTTGCTGCCCCAAGGGGAATATACAGCGAGAAGCCCTAACTTGAAAGGAGGCCGGATTTCCTTGCAGTGGCTTGAATACAGGCTCGTCTTTCATCTCACAACATGAAGGGATGTCTGAATCCCCTGTGGAGACCTTAGAGAAAGCCCTAGGTCACTGCCTCATTTTGACGGAATCCTCACATCCCGCTGACACCTCGAGAGGCACGCGGAGTTCATTGCTTCAAAAGGTGACGATGCCTGACTCCTCTTGAATACTGATAGGAATCCCAAAATCCCTGTGGCTACTGGAAAGGGTCCTTGGGTGCCCTGGCTCACCTCGAGAAGCGTCCCTTTTGCCCTGCCAAGCCTCGAAGAGATTGCTGAGGTGTCCCTCGTTACTAGACAGGAGTCCTGACGTCACTGAAGAAACTCGTGTTTTGAGGGCCATCCCCGCCGTAAGTCGAGAACATACCCCAGGTCCCCGCCGCAACTCGAGAAAAACCATGAGACTTCCCCCTAGAGGCGAGATGAGGCCCCATTCCCCTGCAGTGCATGCAGAGCTATTCCGTGATCCCATTCAAACAAGTCAGGAGCTTCGACTTGCTTAATGGATCTCGAGACAGACCCAAGAACAATGTCACCAGTCTAGACGGATCCTGAGGTCACCCCAGCAACGCAAAGCTGCTCCATGTGCCCCAAATCAACTCGAGATGAGGCCCGATTCCCCTGCATTGACTCCAGAGCCATTCCCCGTTCCCCATTCAACACGACCGGTGGCTCGACTTCCTTCAGGCAACTGAGGAGGTGCCCCGAGAACACTGCCCCAAGTCTAGAGGAACACCAACTTCAGCACAGCAACTCGAGGAATGCTCCGTGTACCCCAAATCATCTCGAGATGAGAGCTGATTCTCTGGCTTAGGCTCAAGATGTATGCCAACTTTCCAGAAGCACCTCAGGAGGAGGCTTCTCTCAGCAATAGGTATGTGGGAGCGACCCCGAGTTTGCTGCCTCAAGGGGAATACACAGGGAGAAGCCCTAACTTGAAAGGAGGCCGGATTTCCTTGCAGTAGCATGAATACAGGCTCGTCTTCCATCTCACAACATGAAGGGATGTCTGAATCCCCTGTGGAGACCTTAGAGAAAGCCCTAGGTCCCTGCCTCATTTTGACGGAATGCCTCACATCCCGCTGACACCTCGAGAGGCACGCGGAGTTCATTGCTTCAAAAGGTGACGATGCCTGACTCCTCTTGCATACTGATAGGAATCCCAAAATCCCTGTGGCTACTGGAAAGGGTCCTTGGGTGCCCTGCCTCACCTCGAGAAGCATCCCTTTTGCCCTGCCAAGACTCGAAGAGATTCCTGAGGTGTCCCTCGTTACTAGGCAGGAGTCCTGACCTCACTGAAGAAAGTCGTGTTTTGAAGGGCCATCCCTGCCGTAAGTCGAGAACATACCGCAGGTCCCCGCCGCAACTCGAGAAAAACCATGAGACTTCCCCCTAGAGGCGAGATGAGGCCCCATTCCCCTGCAGTGCATGCAGAGCTATTCCGTGATCCCATTCAAACAAGTCAGGAGCTTCGACTTGCTTAATGGATCTCGAGACAGTCCCCAAGAACACTGTCACCAGTCTAGACGGACCCTGAGGTCACCCCAGTAACGCAAAGCTGCTCCATGTGCCCCAAATCAACTCGAGATGAGGCCCGATTCCCCTGCATTGACTCCAGAGCCATTCCTTGTTCCCCATTCAACACGACCGGTGGCTCGACTTCCTTCAGGCAACTCCAGGGATGCCCCGAGAACACTGTCCAAAGTCTAGAGGAACACCAACTTCAGCACAGCAACTCGAGGAATGCTCTGTGTACCCCAAATCGTCTCGAGATGAGAGCTGATAACCTGGCTTAGGCTCAAGACGTATGCCACCTTTTCAGAACCACCTCAGGAGGAGGCTTCTCTCAGCAATAGGTATGTGGGAGGGACCCCGAGTTTGCTGCCTCAAGGGGAATATACAGCGAGAAGCCCTAACTTGAAAGGAGGCCGGATTTCCTTGCAGTGGCTTGAGTACAGGCTCGTCTTTGATCTGACAACATGAAGGGATGTCTGAATCCCCTGTGGAGACCTTAGAGGAAGCCCTAGGTCCCTGCCTCATTTTGACGGAATGCCTCACATCCCGCTGACACCTCGAGAGGCACACGGAGTTCATTGCTTCAAAAGGTGACGATGCCTGACTCCTCTTGAATACTGATAGGAATCCCAAAATCCCTGTGGCTACTGGAAAGGGTCCTTGGGTGCCCTGGCTCACCTCGAGAAGCGTCCCTTTTGCCCTGCCAAGCCTCGAAGAGATTCCTGAGGTGTCCCTCGTTACTAGGCAGGAGTCCTGACGTCACTGGAGAAACTCGTGTTTTGAAGGGCCATCCCCGCCGTAAGTCGAGAACATACCCCAGGTCCCCGCCGCAACTCGAGAAAAACCATGAGACTTCCCCCTAGAGGCGAGATGAGGCCCCATTCCCCTGCAGTGCATGCAGAGCTATTCCGTGATCCCATTCAAACAAGTCAGGAGCTTCGACTTGCATAATGGATCTCGAGGCAGTCCCCAAGAACACTGTCACCAGTCTAGACGGACCCTGAGGTCACCCCAGCAACGCAAAGCAGCTCCAGGTGCCACAAATCAACTCGAGATGAGGCCCGATTCCCCTGCATTGACTCCAGAGCCAATCCCCGTTCCCCATTCAACACGACCGGTGGCTCGACTTCCTTCAGGCAACTCCAGAGATGCCCAGAGAACACTGTCCCAAGTCTACAGGAACACCAACTTCAGCACAGCAACTCGAGGAATGCTCTGTGTACCCCAAATCGTCTCGAGATGAGAGCTGACTCCCTGGCTTAGGCTCAAGACGTATGCCAACTTTCCAGAAGCACCTCAGGAGGAGGCTTCTCTCAGCAATAGGTATGTGGGAGGGACTCCGAGATTGCTGCCTCAAGGGGAATATACAGCGAGAAGCCCTAACTTGAAAGGAGGCCGGATTTCCTTGCAGTGGCTTGAATACAGGCTCGTCTTTCATCTCACAACATGAAGGGATGTCTGAATCCCCTGTGGAGACCTTAGAGAAAGCCCTAGGTCCCTGCCTCATTTTGACGGAATCCTCACATCCCGCTGACACCTCGAGAGGCACGCGGAGTTCATTGCTTCAAAAGGTGACGATCCCTGACTCCTCTTGAATACTGATAGGAATCCCAAAATCCCTGTGGCTACTGGAAAGGGTCCTTGGGTGCCCTGGCTCACCTCGAGAAGCGTCCCTTTTGCCCTGCCAAGCCTCGAAGAGATTGCTGAGGTGTCCCTCGTTACTAGACAGGAGTCCTGACGTCACGGAAGAAACTCGTGTTTTGAAGGGCCATCCCCGCCGTAAGTCGAGAACATACCCCAGGTCCCCGCCGCAACTCGAGAAAAACCATGAGACTTCCCCCTAGAGGCGAGATGAGGCCCCATTCCCCTGCAGTGCATGCAGAGCTATTCCGTGATCCCATTCAAACAAGTCAGGAGCTTCGACTTGCTTAATGGATCTCGAGACAGTCCCCAAGAACACTGTCACCAGTCTAGACGGACCCTGAGGTCACCCAGCAATGCAAAGCAGCTCCATGTGCCCCAAATCAACTCGAGATGAGGCCGGATTCCCCTGCATTGACTCCAGAGCCATTCCTTGTTCCCCATTCAACACGACCGGTGGCTCGACTTCCTTCAGGCAACTCCAGAGATGCCCCGAGAACACTGTCCCAAGTCTAGAGGACCACCAACTTCAGCACAGCAACTCGAGGAATGCTCTGTGTACCCCAAATCGTCTCGAGATGAGAGCTGATTCCCTGGCTTAGGCTCAAGACGTATGCCACCTTTCCAGAAGCACCTCAGGAGGAGGCTTCTCTCAGAAATAGGTATGTGGGAGGGACCCCGAGTTTGCTGCCTCAAGGGGAATATACAGCGAGAAGCCCTAACTTGAAAGGAGGCCGGATTTCCTTGCAGTGGCTTGAATACAGGCTCGTCTTTCATCTCACAACATGAAGGGATGTCTGAATCCCCTGTGGAGACCTTAGAGAAAGCCCTAGGTCCCTGCCTCATTTTGACGGAATGCCTCACATCCCGCTGACACCTCGAGAGGCACGCGGAGTTCATTGCTTCATAAGGTGACGATGCCTGACTCCTCTTGAATACTGATAGGAATCCCAAAATCCCTGTGGCTACTGGAAAGGGTCCTTGGGTGCCCTGCCTCACCTCGAGAAGCGTCCCTTTTGCCCTGCCAAGCCTCGAAGAGATTCCTGAGGTGTCCCTCGTTACTAGACAGGAGTCCTGACGTCACGGAAGAAACTCGTGTTTTGAAGGGCCATCCCCGCCGTAAGTCGAGAACATACCCCAGGTCCCCGCCGCAACTCGAGAAAAACCATGAGACTTCCCCCTAGAGGCGAGATGAGGCCCCATTCCCCTGCAGTGCATGCAGAGCTATTCCGTGATCCCATTCAAACAAGTCAGGAGCTTCGACTTGCTTAATGGATCTCGAGACAGTCCCCAAGAACACTGTCACCAGTCTAGACGGACCCTGAGGTCACCCCAGCAACGCAAAGCAGCTCCATGTGCCCCAAATCAACTCGAGATGAGGCCCGATTCCCCTGCATTGACTCCAGAGCCATTCCCCGTTAACCATTCAACAGGACCGGTGGCTCGCTTTCCTTCAGGCAACTCCAGAGATGCCCCGAGAACACTGTCCCAAGTCTAGAGGACCACCAACTTCAGCACAGCAACTCGAGGAATGCTCTGTGTACCCCAAATCGTCTCGAGATGAGAGCTGATTCCCTGGCTTAGGCTCAAGACGTATGCCAACTTTCCAGAAGCACCTCAGGAGGAGGCTTCTCTCAGCAATAGGTATGTGGGAGGGACCCCGAGTTTGCTGCCTCAGGGGAATATACAGCGAGAAGCCCTAACTTGAAAGGAGGCCGGATTTCCTTGCAGTGGCTTGAATACAGGCTCGTCTTTCATCTCACAACATGAAGGGATGTCTGAATCCCCTGTGGAGACCTTAGAGAAAGCCCTAGGTCCCTGCCTCATTTTGACGGAATCCTCACATCCCCCTGACACCTCGAGAGGAACGCAGAGTTCATTGCTTCAAAAGGTGACGATGCCTGACTCCTCTTGAATACTTATAGGAATCCCAAAATCCCTGTGGCTACTGGAAAGGGTCCTTGGGTGCCCTGGCTCACCTCGAGAAGCGTCCCTTTTGCCCTGCCAAGCCTCGAAGAGATTGCTGAGGTGTCCCTCGTTACTAGACAGGAGTCCTGACGTCACTGAAGAAACTCGTGTTTTGAAGGGCCATCCCCGCCGTAAGTCGAGAACATACCCCAGGTCCCCGCCGCAACTCGAGAAAAACCATGAGACTTCCCCCTAGAGGCGAGATGAGGCCCCATTCCCCTGCAGTGCATGCAGAGCTATTCCGTGATCCCATTCAAACAAGTCAGGAGCTTCGACTTGCTTAATGGATCTCGAGACAGTCCCCAAGAACACTGTCACCAGTCTAGACGGACCCTGAGGTCACCCCAGCAACGCAAAGCAGCTCCATGTGCCCCAAATCAACTCGAGATGAGGCCCGATTCCCCTGCATTGACTCCAGAGCCATTCCCCGTTCCCCATTCAGCAGGACCGGTGGCTCGCTTTCCTTCAGGCAACTCCAGAGATGCCCCGAGAACACTCTCCCAAGTCTAGAGGAACACCAACTTCAGCACAGCAACTCGAGGAATGCTCTGTGTACCCCAAATCATCTCGAGATGAGAGCTGATTCCCTGGCTTAGGCTCAAGACGTATGCCAACTTTCCAGAAGCACCTCAGGAGGAGGCTTCTCTCAGCAATAGGTATGTGGGAGGGACCCCGAGTTTGCTGCCCCAAGGGGAATATACAGCGAGAAGCCCTAACTTGAAAGGAGGCCGGATTTCCTTGCAGTGGCTTGAATACAGGCTCGTCTTTCATCTCACAACATGAAGGGATGTCTGAATCCCCTGTGGAGACCTTAGAGAAAGCCCTAGGTCACTGCCTCATTTTGACGGAATCCTCACATCCCGCTGACACCTCGAGAGGCACGCGGAGTTCATTGCTTCAAAAGGTGACGATGCCTGACTCCTCTTGAATACTGATAGGAATCCCAAAATCCCTGTGGCTACTGGAAAGGGTCCTTGGGTGCCCTGGCTCACCTCGAGAAGCGTCCCTTTTGCCCTGCCAAGCCTCGAAGAGATTGCTGAGGTGTCCCTCGTTACTAGACAGGAGTCCTGACGTCACTGAAGAAACTCGTGTTTTGAGGGCCATCCCCGCCGTAAGTCGAGAACATACCCCAGGTCCCCGCCGCAACTCGAGAAAAACCATGAGACTTCCCCCTAGAGGCGAGATGAGGCCCCATTCCCCTGCAGTGCATGCAGAGCTATTCCGTGATCCCATTCAAACAAGTCAGGAGCTTCGACTTGCTTAATGGATCTCGAGACAGTCCCCAAGAACAATGTCACCAGTCTAGACGGACCCTGAGGTCACCCCAGCAACGCAAAGCTGCTCCATGTGCCCAAAATCAACTCGAGATGAGGCCCGATTCCCCTGCATTGACTCCAGAGCCATTCCCCGTTCCCCATTCAACACGACCGGTGGCTCGACTTCCTTCAGGCAACTGCAGAGATGCCCGAGAACACTGCCCCAAGTCTAGAGGAACACCAACTTCAGCACAGCAACTCGAGGAATGCTCCGTGTACCTCAAATCATCTCGAGATGAGAGCTGATTCTCTGGCTTAGGCTCAAGATGTATGCCAACTTTCCAGAAGCACCTCAGGAGGAGGCTTCTCTCAGCAATAGTTATGTGGGAGCGACCCCGAGTTTGCTGCCTCAAGGGGAATACACAGGGAGAAGCCCTAACGTGAACGGAGGCCAGATTTCCTTGCAGTGGGTTGAATAAAGGCTCGTCTTCGATCTGAAAACATGAAGGGATGTCTGAATCCCCGGTGGAGACCTTAGAGGAAGCCCTAGGTCCCTGCCTCATTTTGACGGAATACCTCACATCCCCCTGACACCTCGAGAGGCACGCAGAGTTCATTGCTTCAAAAGGTGACGATGCCTGACTCCTCTTGAATACTGATAGGAATCCCAAAATCCCTGTGGCTAATGGAAAGGGTCCTTGGGTGCCCTGGCTCACCTCGAGAAGCGTCCCTTTTGCCCTGCCAAGCCTCGCAGAGATTGCTGAGGTGTCCCTCGTTACTAGACACGAGTCCTGACGTCACGGAAGAAACTCGTGTTTTGAAGGGCCATCCCCGCCGTAAGTCGAGAACATACCCCAGGTCCCCGCCCCAACTCGAGAAAAACCATGAGACTTCCCCCTATAGGCGAGATGAGGCCCCATTCCCCTGCAGTGCATGCAGAGCTATTCCGTGATCCCATTCAAACAAGTCAGGAGCTTCGACTTGCTTAATGGATCTCGAGACAGTCCCCAAGAACACTGTCACCAGTCTAGACGGACCCTGAGGTCACCCCAGCAACGCAAAGCAGCTCCATGTGCCCCAAATCAACTCGAGATGAGGCCCGATTCCCCTGCATTGACTCCAGAGCCATTCCCCGTTCCCCGTTCAACACGAACGGAGGCTCGCCTTCCTTCAGGCAACTCCAGAGATGCCCCGAGAACACTGTCCCAAGTCTAGAGGAACACCAACTTCAGCACAGCAACTCGAGGAATGCTCTGTGTACCCCAAGTCGTCTCGAGATGAGAGCTGATTCCCTGGCTTAGGCTCAAGACGTATGCCAACTTTCCAGAAGCACCTCAGGAGGAGGCTTCTCAGCAATAGGTATGTGGGAGGGACTCCGAGTTTGCTGCCTCAAGGGGAATATACAGCGAGAAGCCCTAACTTGAAAGGAGGCCGGATTTCCTTGCAGTAGCTTGAATACAGGCTCGTCTTTCATCTCACAACATGAAGGGATGTCTGAATCCCCTGTGGAGACCTTAGAGAAAGCCCTAGGTCCCTGCCTCATTTTGACGGAATGCCTCACATCCCGCTGACACCTTGAGAGGCACGCGGAGTTCATTGCTTCAAAAGGTGACGATGCCTGACTCCTCTTGAATACTGATAGGAATCCCAAAATCCCTGTGGCTACTGGAAAGGGTCCTTGGGTGCCCTGCCTCACCTCGAGAAGCGTCCCTTTTGCCCTGCCAAGCCTCGAAGAGATTCCTGAGGTGTCCCTCGTTACTAGACAGGAGTCCTGACGTCACGGAAGAAACTCGTGTTTTGAAGGGCCATCCCCGCCGTAAGTCGAGAACATACCCCAGGTCCCCGCCGCAACTCGAGAAAAACCATGAGACTTCCCCCTAGAGGCGAGATGAGGCCCCATTCCCCTGCAGTGCATGCAGAGCTATTCCGTGATCCCATTCAAACAAGTCAGGAGCTTCGACTTGCTTAATGGATCTCGAGACAGTCCCCAAGAACACTGTCACCAGTCTAGACGGACCCTGAGGTCACCCCAGCAACGCAAAGCAGCTCCATGTGCCCCAAATCAACTCGAGATGAGGCCCGATTCCCCTGCATTGACTCCAGAGCCATTCCCCGTTAACCATTCAACAGGACCGGTGGCTCGCTTTCCTTCAGGCAACTCCAGAGATGCCCCGAGAACACTGTCCCAAGTCTAGAGGACCACCAACTTCAGCACAGCAACTCGAGGAATGCTCTGTGTACCCCAAATCGTCTCGAGATGAGAGCTGATTCCCTGGCTTAGGCTCAAGACGTATGCCAACTTTCCAGAAGCACCTCAGGAGGAGGCTTCTCTCAGCAATAGGTATGTGGGAGGGACCCCGAGTTTGCTGCCTCAGGGGAATATACAGCGAGAAGCCCTAACTTGAAAGGAGGCCGGATTTCCTTGCAGTGGCTTGAATACAGGCTCGTCTTTCATCTCACAACATGAAGGGATGTCTGAATCCCCTGTGGAGACCTTAGAGAAAGCCCTAGGTCCCTGCCTCATTTTGACGGAATCCTCACATCCCCCTGACACCTCGAGAGGAACGCAGAGTTCATTGCTTCAAAAGGTGACGATGCCTGACTCCTCTTGAATACTTATAGGAATCCCAAAATCCCTGTGGCTACTGGAAAGGGTCCTTGGGTGCCCTGGCTCACCTCGAGAAGCGTCCCTTTTGCCCTGCCAAGCCTCGAAGAGATTGCTGAGGTGTCCCTCGTTACTAGACAGGAGTCCTGACGTCACTGAAGAAACTCGTGTTTTGAAGGGCCATCCCCGCCGTAAGTCGAGAACATACCCCAGGTCCCCGCCGCAACTCGAGAAAAACCATGAGACTTCCCCCTAGAGGCGAGATGAGGCCCCATTCCCCTGCAGTGCATGCAGAGCTATTCCGTGATCCCATTCAAACAAGTCAGGAGCTTCGACTTGCTTAATGGATCTCGAGACAGTCCCCAAGAACACTGTCACCAGTCTAGACGGACCCTGAGGTCACCCCAGCAACGCAAAGCAGCTCCATGTGCCCCAAATCAACTCGACATGAGGCCCGATTCCCCTGCATTGACTCCAGAGCCATTCCCCGTTCCCCATTCAGCAGGACCGGTGGCTCGCTTTCCTTCAGGCAACTCCAGAGATGCCCCGAGAACACTCTCCCAAGTCTAGAGGAACACCAACTTCAGCACAGCAACTCGAGGAATGCTCTGTGTACCCCAAATCATCTCGAGATGAGAGCTGATTCCCTGGCTTAGGCTCAAGACGTATGCCAACTTTCCAGAAGCACCTCAGGAGGAGGCTTCTCTCAGCAATAGGTATGTGGGAGGGACCCCGAGTTTGCTGCCCCAAGGGGAATATACAGCGAGAAGCCCTAACTTGAAAGGAGGCCGGATTTCCTTGCAGTAGCTTGAATACAGGCTCTCTTTCATCTCACAACATGAAGGGATGTCTGAATCCCCTGTGGAGACCTTAGAGAAAGCCCTAGGTCCCTGCCTCATTTTGACGGAATGCCTCACATCCCGCTGACACCTTGAGAGGCACGCGGAGTTCATTGCTTCAAAAGGTGACGATGCCTGACTCCTCTTGAATACTGATAGGAATCCCAAAATCCCTGTGGCTACTGGAAAGGGTCCTTGGGTGCCCTGCCTCACCTCGAGAAGCGTCCCTTTTGCCCTGCCAAGACTCGAAGAGATTCCTGAGGTGTCCCTCGTTACTAGGCAGGAGTCCTGACCTCACTGAAGAAAGTCGTGTTTTGAAGGGCCATCCCTGCCATAAGTCGAGAACATACCGCAGGTCCCCGCCGCAACTCGAGAAAAACCATGAGACTTCCCCCTAGAGGCGAGATGAGGCCCCATTCCCCTGCAGTGCATGCAGAGCTATTCCGTGATCCCATTCAAACAAGTCAGGAGCTTCGACTTGCTTAATGGATCTCGAGACAGTCCCCAAGAACACTGTCACCAGTCTAGACGGACCCTGAGGTCACCCCAGCAACGCAAAGCTGCTCCATGTGCCCCAAATCAAGTCGAGATGAGGCCCGATTCCCCTGCATTGACTCCAGAGCCATTCCTTGTTCCCCATTCAACACGACCGGTGGCTCGACTTCCTTCAGGCAACACCAGGGATGCCCCGAGAACACTGTCCCAAGTCTAGAGGAACACCAACTTCAGCACAGCAACTCGAGGAATGCTCTGTGTACCCCAAATCGTCTCGAGATGAGAGCTGATTCCCTGGCTTAGGCTCAAGACGTATGCCACCTTTCCAGAAGCACCTCAGGAGGAAGCTTCTCTCAGCAATAGGTATGTGGGAGGGACCCCGAGTTTGCTGCCTCAAGGGGAATATACAGCAAGAAGCCCTAACTTGAAAGGAGGCCGGATTTCCTTGCAGTGGCTTGAGTACAGGCTCGTCTTTGATCTGACAACATGAAGGGATGTCTGAATCCCCTCTGCAGACCTTAGAGAAAGCCCTAGGTCCCTGCCTCATTTTGACGGAATGCCTCACATCCCACTGACACCTCGAGAGGCACGCGGAGTTCATTGCTTCAAAAGGTGACGATGCCTGACTCCTCTTGAATACTGATAGGAATCCCAAAATCCCTGTGGCTACTGGAAAGGGTCCTTGGGTGCCCTGCCTCACCTCGAGAAGCGTCCCTTTTGCCCTGCCAAGCCTCGAAGAGATTGCTGAGGTGTCCCTCGTTACTAGGCAGGAGTCCTGACGTCACTGGAGAAACTCGTGTTTTGAAGGGCCATCCCCGCCGTAAGTCGAGAACATACCCCAGGTCCCCGCCGCAACTCGAGAAAAACCATGAGACTTCCCCCTAGAGGCGAGATGAGGCCCCATTCCCCTGCAGGGCATGCAGAGCTATTCCGTGATCCCATTCAAACAAGTCAGGAGCTTCGACTTGCCTAATGGATCTCGAGGTAGTCCCCAAGAACACTGTCACCAGTCTAGACGGACCCTGAGGTCAACCCAGCAACGCAAAGCAGCTCCAGGTGCCACAAATCAACTCGAGATGATGCCCGATTCCCCTGCATTGACTCCAGAGCCAATTCCCGTTCCCCATTCAACACGACCGGTGGCTCGACTTCCTTCAGGCAACTCCAGAGATGCCCAGAGAACACTGTCCCAAGTCTACAGGAACACCAACTTCAGCACAGCAACTCGAGGAATGCTCTGTGTACCCCAAATCGTCTCGAGATGAGAGCTGAATCACTGGCTTACGCTCAAGACGTATTCCAACTTTCCAGAAGCACCTCAGGAGGAGGCTTCTCTCAGCAATAGGTATGTGGGAGGGACTCCGAGATTGCTGCCTCAAGGGGAATATACAGCGAGAAGCCCTAACTTGAAAGGAGGCCGGATTTCCTTGCAGTGGCTTGAATACAGGCTCGTCTTACATCTCACAACATGAAGGGATGTCTGAATCCCCTGTGGAGACCTTAGAGAAAGCCCTAGGTCCCTGCCTCATTTTGACGTAATCTTCACATCCCGCTGACACCTCGAGAGGCACGCGGAGTTCATTGCTTCAAAAGGTGACGATGCCTGACTCCTCTTGAATACTGATAGGAATCCCAAAATCCCTGTGGCTAATGGAAAGGGTCCTTGGGTGCCCTGGCTCACCTCGAGAAGCGTCCCTTTTGCCCTGCCAAGCCTCGAAGAGATTGCTGAGGTGTCCCTCGTTACTAGACAGGAGTCCTGACGTCACGGAAGAAACTCGTGTTTTGAAGGGCCATCCCCGCCGTAAGTCGAGAACATACCCCAGGTCCCCGCCGCAACTCGAGAAAAACCATGAGACTTCCCCCGAGAGGCGAGATGAGGCCCCATTCCCCTGCAGTGCATGCAGAGCTATTCCGTGATCCCATTCAAACAAGTCAGGAGCTTCGACTTGCTTAATGGATCTCGAGACAGTCCCCAAGAACACTGTCACCAGTCTAGACGGACCCTGAGGTCACCCAGCAATGCAAAGCAGCTCCATGTGCCCCAAATCAACTCGAGATGAGGCCGGATTCCCCTGCATTGACTCCAGAGCCATTCCTTGTTCCCCATTCAACACGACCGGTGGCTCGACTTCCTTCAGGCAACTCCAGAGATGCCCCGAGAACACTGTCCCAAGTCTAGAGGACCACCAACTTCAGCACAGCAACTCGAGGAATGCTCTGTGTACCCCAAATCGTCTCGAGATGAGAGCTGATTCCCTGGCTTAGGCTCAAGACGTATGCCACCTTTCCAGAAGCACCTCAGGAGGAGGCTTCTCTCAGCAATAGGTATGTGGGAGGGACCCCGAGTTTGCTGCCTCAAGGGGAATATACAGCGAGAAGCCCTAACTTGAAAGGAGGCCGGATTTCCTTGCAGTGGCTTGAATACAGGCTCGTCTTTCATCTCACAACATGAAGGGATGTCTGAATCCCCTGTGGAGACCTTAGAGAAAGCCGTAGGTCCCTGCCTCATTTTGACGGAATGCCTCACATCCCGCTGACACCTCGAGAGGCACGCGGAGTTCATTGCTTCAAAAGGTGACCATGCCTGACTCCTCTTGAATACTGATAGGAATCCCAAAATCCCTGTGGCTACTGGAAAGGGTCCTTGGGTGCCCTGCCTCACCTCGAGAAGCGTCCCTTTTGCCCTGCCAAGACTCGAAGAGATTCCTGAGGTGTCCCTCGTTACTAGGCAGGAGTCCTGACCTCACTGAAGAAAGTCGTGTTTTGAAGGGCCATCCCTGCCGTAAGTCGAGAACATACCCCAGGTCCCCGCCGCAACTCGAGAAAAACCATGAGACTTCCCCCTAGAGGCGAGATGAGGCCCCATTCCCCTGCAGTGCATGCAGAGCTATTCCGTGATCCCATTCAAACAAGTCAGGAGCTTCGACTTGCTTAATGGATCTCGAGGCAGTCCCCAAGAACACTGTCACCAGTCTAGACGGCCCCTGAGGTCACCCCAGCAACGCAAAGCAGCTCCAGGTGCCACAAATCAACTCGAGATGAGACCCGATTCCCCTGCATTGACTCCAGAGCCATTCCCCGTTCCCCATTCAACACGACCGGTGGCTCGACTTCCTTCAGGCAACTCCAGAGATGCCCAGAGAACACTGTCCCAAGTCTAGAGGAACACCAACTTCAGCACAGCAACTCGAGGAATGCTCTGTGTACCCCAAATCGTCTCGAGATGAGAGCTGACTCCCTGGCTTAGGCTCAAGACGTATGCCAACTTTCCAGAAGCACCTCATGAGGAGGATTCTCTCAGCAATAGGTATGTGGGAGGGACCCCGAGATTGCTGCCTCAAGGGGAATATACAGCGAGAAGCCCTAACTTGAAAGGAGGCCGGATTTCCTTGCAGTGGCTTGAATACAGGCTCGTCTTTCATCTCACACATGAAGGGATGTCTGAATCCCCTGTGGAGACCTTAGAGAAAGCCCTAGGTCCCTGCCTCATTTTGACGGAATCCTCACATCCCGCTGACACCTCGAGAGGCACACGGAGTTCATTGCTTCAAAAGGTGACGATGCCTGACTCCTCTTGAATACTGATAGGAATCCCAAAATCCCTGTGGCTACTGGAAAGGGTCCTTGGGTGCCCTGGCTCACCTCGAGAAGCGTCCCTTTTGCCCTGCCAAGCCTCGAAGAGATTGCTGACGTGTCCCTCGTTACTAGACAGGAGTCCTGACGTCACGGAAGAAACTCGTGTTTTGAAGGGCCATCCCCGCCGTAAGTCGAGAACATACCGCAGGTCCCCGCCGCAACTCGAGAAAAACCATGAGACTTCCCCCTAGAGGCGAGATGAGGCCCCATTCCCCTGCAGTGCATGCAGAGCTATTCCGTGATCCCATTCAAACAAGTCAGGAGCTTCGACTTGCTTAATGGATCTCGAGAGAGTCTCCAAGAACACTGTCACCAGTCTAGACGGACCCTGAGGTCATCCAGCAATGCAAAGCAGCTCCATGTGCCCCAAGTCAACTCGAGATGAGGCCGGATTCCCCTGCATTGACTCCAGAGCCATTCCTTGTTCCCCATTCAACACGACCGGTGGCTCGACTTCCTTCAGGCAACTCCAGAGATGCCCCGAGAACACTGTCCCAAGTCTAGAGGACCACCAACTTCAGCACAGCAACTCGAGGAATGCTCTGTGTACCCCAAATCTTCTCGAGATGAGAGCTGATTCCCTGGCTTAGGCTCAAGACGTATGCCACCTTTCCAGAAGCACCTCAGGAGGAGGCTTCTCTCAGCAATAGGTATGTGGGAGGGACCCCGAGTTTGCTGCCTCAAGGGGAATATACAGCGTGAAGCCCTAACTTGAAAGGAGGCCGGATTTCCTTGCAGTGGCTTGAATACAGGCTCGTCTTTCATTTCACAACATGAAGGGATGTCTGAATCCCCTGTGGAGACCTTAGAGAAAGCCCTAGGTCCCTGCCTCATTTTGACGGAATCCTCACATCCCGCTGACACCTCGAGAGGCACGCGGAGTTCATTGCTTCAAAAGGTGACGATGCCTGACTCCTCTTGAATACTTATAGGAATCCCCAAATGCCTGTGGCTACTGGAAAGGGTCCTTGGGTGCCCTGCCTCACCTCGAGAAGCGTCCCTTTTGCCCTGCCAAGCCTCGAAGAGATTGCTGAGGTGTCCCTCGTTACTAGGCAGGAGTCCTGACGTCACTGGAGAAACTCGTGTTTTGAAGGGCCATCCCCGCCGTAAGTCGAGAACATACCCCAGGTCCCCGCCGCAACTCGAGAAAAACCATGAGACTTCCCCCTAGAGGCGAGATGAGGCCCCATTCCCCTGCAGGGCATGCAGAGCTATTCCGTGATCCCATTCAAACAAGTCAGGAGCTTCGACTTGCCTAATGGATCTCGAGGTAGTCCCCAAGAACACTGTCACCAGTCTAGACGGACCCTGAGGTCAACCCAGCAACGCAAAGCAGCTCCAGGTGCCACAAATCAACTCGAGATGATGCCCGATTCCCCTGCATTGACTCCAGAGCCAATTCCCGTTCCCCATTCAACACGACCGGTGGCTCGACTTCCTTCAGGCAACTCCAGAGATGCCCAGAGAACACTGTCCCAAGTCTACAGGAACACCAACTTCAGCACAGCAACTCGAGGAATGCTCTGTGTACCCCAAATCGTCTCGAGATGAGAGCTGAATCACTGGCTTACGCTCAAGACGTATTCCAACTTTCCAGAAGCACCTCAGGAGGAGGCTTCTCTCAGCAATAGGTATGTGGGAGGGACTCCGAGATTGCTGCCTCAAGGGGAATATACAGCGAGAAGCCCTAACTTGAAAGGAGGCCGGATTTCCTTGCAGTGGCTTGAATACAGGCTCGTCTTACATCTCACAACATGAAGGGATGTCTGAATCCCCTGTGGAGACCTTAGAGAAAGCCCTAGGTCCCTGCCTCATTTTGACGTAATCTTCACATCCCGCTGACACCTCGAGAGGCACGCGGAGTTCATTGCTTCAAAAGGTGACGATGCCTGACTCCTCTTGAATACTGATAGGAATCCCAAAATCCCTGTGGCTAATGGAAAGGGTCCTTGGGTGCCCTGGCTCACCTCGAGAAGCGTCCCTTTTGCCCTGCCAAGCCTCGAAGAGATTGCTGAGGTGTCCCTCGTTACTAGACAGGAGTCCTGACGTCACGGAAGAAACTCGTGTTTTGAAGGGCCATCCCCGCCGTAAGTCGAGAACATACCCCAGGTCCCCGCCGCAACTCGAGAAAAACCATGAGACTTCCCCCGAGAGGCGAGATGAGGCCCCATTCCCCTGCAGTGCATGCAGAGCTATTCCGTGATCCCATTCAAACAAGTCAGGAGCTTCGACTTGCTTAATGGATCTCGAGACAGTCCCCAAGAACACTGTCACCAGTCTAGACGGACCCTGAGGTCACCCAGCAATGCAAAGCAGCTCCATGTGCCCCAAATCAACTCGAGATGAGGCCGGATTCCCCTGCATTGACTCCAGAGCCATTCCTTGTTCCCCATTCAACACGACCGGTGGCTCGACTTCCTTCAGGCAACTCCAGAGATGCCCCGAGAACACTGTCCCAAGTCTAGAGGACCACCAACTTCAGCACAGCAACTCGAGGAATGCTCTGTGTACCCCAAATCGTCTCGAGATGAGAGCTGATTCCCTGGCTTAGGCTCAAGACGTATGCCACCTTTCCAGAAGCACCTCAGGAGGAGGCTTCTCTCAGCAATAGGTATGTGGGAGGGACCCCGAGTTTGCTGCCTCAAGGGGAATATACAGCGAGAAGCCCTAACTTGAAAGGAGGCCGGATTTCCTTGCAGTGGCTTGAATACAGGCTCGTCTTTCATCTCACAACATGAAGGGATGTCTGAATCCCCTGTGGAGACCTTAGAGAAAGCCGTAGGTCCCTGCCTCATTTTGACGGAATGCCTCACATCCCGCTGACACCTCGAGAGGCACGCGGAGTTCATTGCTTCAAAAGGTGACCATGCCTGACTCCTCTTGAATACTGATAGGAATCCCAAAATCCCTGTGGCTACTGGAAAGGGTCCTTGGGTGCCCTGCCTCACCTCGAGAAGCGTCCCTTTTGCCCTGCCAAGACTCGAAGAGATTCCTGAGGTGTCCCTCGTTACTAGGCAGGAGTCCTGACCTCACTGAAGAAAGTCGTGTTTTGAAGGGCCATCCCTGCCGTAAGTCGAGAACATACCCCAGGTCCCCGCCGCAACTCGAGAAAAACCATGAGACTTCCCCCTAGAGGCGAGATGAGGCCCCATTCCCCTGCAGTGCATGCAGAGCTATTCCGTGATCCCATTCAAACAAGTCAGGAGCTTCGACTTGCTTAATGGATCTCGAGGCAGTCCCCAAGAACACTGTCACCAGTCTAGACGGCCCCTGAGGTCACCCCAGCAACGCAAAGCAGCTCCAGGTGCCACAAATCAACTCGAGATGAGACCCGATTCCCCTGCATTGACTCCAGAGCCATTCCCCGTTCCCCATTCAACACGACCGGTGGCTCGACTTCCTTCAGGCAACTCCAGAGATGCCCAGAGAACACTGTCCCAAGTCTAGAGGAACACCAACTTCAGCACAGCAACTCGAGGAATGCTCTGTGTACCCCAAATCGTCTCGAGATGAGAGCTGACTCCCTGGCTTAGGCTCAAGACGTATGCCAACTTTCCAGAAGCACCTCATGAGGAGGATTCTCTCAGCAATAGGTATGTGGGAGGGACCCCGAGATTGCTGCCTCAAGGGGAATATACAGCGAGAAGCCCTAACTTGAAAGGAGGCCGGATTTCCTTGCAGTGGCTTGAATACAGGCTCGTCTTTCATCTCACACATGAAGGGATGTCTGAATCCCCTGTGGAGACCTTAGAGAAAGCCCTAGGTCCCTGCCTCATTTTGACGGAATCCTCACATCCCGCTGACACCTCGAGAGGCACACGGAGTTCATTGCTTCAAAAGGTGACGATGCCTGACTCCTCTTGAATACTGATAGGAATCCCAAAATCCCTGTGGCTACTGGAAAGGGTCCTTGGGTGCCCTGGCTCACCTCGAGAAGCGTCCCTTTTGCCCTGCCAAGCCTCGAAGAGATTGCTGACGTGTCCCTCGTTACTAGACAGGAGTCCTGACGTCACGGAAGAAACTCGTGTTTTGAAGGGCCATCCCCGCCGTAAGTCGAGAACATACCGCAGGTCCCCGCCGCAACTCGAGAAAAACCATGAGACTTCCCCCTAGAGGCGAGATGAGGCCCCATTCCCCTGCAGTGCATGCAGAGCTATTCCGTGATCCCATTCAAACAAGTCAGGAGCTTCGACTTGCTTAATGGATCTCGAGAGAGTCTCCAAGAACACTGTCACCAGTCTAGACGGACCCTGAGGTCATCCAGCAATGCAAAGCAGCTCCATGTGCCCCAAGTCAACTCGAGATGAGGCCGGATTCCCCTGCATTGACTCCAGAGCCATTCCTTGTTCCCCATTCAACACGACCGGTGGCTCGACTTCCTTCAGGCAACTCCAGAGATGCCCCGAGAACACTGTCCCAAGTCTAGAGGACCACCAACTTCAGCACAGCAACTCGAGGAATGCTCTGTGTACCCCAAATCTTCTCGAGATGAGAGCTGATTCCCTGGCTTAGGCTCAAGACGTATGCCACCTTTCCAGAAGCACCTCAGGAGGAGGCTTCTCTCAGCAATAGGTATGTGGGAGGGACCCCGAGTTTGCTGCCTCAAGGGGAATATACAGCGTGAAGCCCTAACTTGAAAGGAGGCCGGATTTCCTTGCAGTGGCTTGAATACAGGCTCGTCTTTCATTTCACAACATGAAGGGATGTCTGAATCCCCTGTGGAGACCTTAGAGAAAGCCCTAGGTCCCTGCCTCATTTTGACGGAATCCTCACATCCCGCTGACACCTCGAGAGGCACGCGGAGTTCATTGCTTCAAAAGGTGACGATGCCTGACTCCTCTTGAATACTTATAGGAATCCCCAAATGCCTGTGGCTACTGGAAAGGGTCCTTGGGTGCCCTGCCTCACCTCGAGAAGCGTCCCTTTTGCCCTGCCAAGCCTCGAAGAGATTGCTGAGGTGTCCCTCGTTACTAGGCAGGAGTCCTGACGTCACTGGAGAAACTCGTGTTTTGAAGGGCCATCCCCGCCGTAAGTCGAGAACATACCCCAGGTCCCCGCCGCAACTCGAGAAAAACCATGAGACTTCCCCCTAGAGGCGAGATGAGGCCCCATTCCCCTGCAGGGCATGCAGAGCTATTCCGTGATCCCATTCAAACAAGTCAGGAGCTTCGACTTGCCTAATGGATCTCGAGGTAGTCCCCAAGAACACTGTCACCAGTCTAGACGGACCCTGAGGTCAACCCAGCAACGCAAAGCAGCTCCAGGTGCCACAAATCAACTCGAGATGATGCCCGATTCCCCTGCATTGACTCCAGAGCCAATTCCCGTTCCCCATTCAACACGACCGGTGGCTCGACTTCCTTCAGGCAACTCCAGAGATGCCCAGAGAACACTGTCCCAAGTCTACAGGAACACCAACTTCAGCACAGCAACTCGAGGAATGCTCTGTGTACCCCAAATCGTCTCGAGATGAGAGCTGAATCACTGGCTTACGCTCAAGACGTATTCCAACTTTCCAGAAGCACCTCAGGAGGAGGCTTCTCTCAGCAATAGGTATGTGGGAGGGACTCCGAGATTGCTGCCTCAAGGGGAATATACAGCGAGAAGCCCTAACTTGAAAGGAGGCCGGATTTCCTTGCAGTGGCTTGAATACAGGCTCGTCTTACATCTCACAACATGAAGGGATGTCTGAATCCCCTGTGGAGACCTTAGAGAAAGCCCTAGGTCCCTGCCTCATTTTGACGTAATCTTCACATCCCGCTGACACCTCGAGAGGCACGCGGAGTTCATTGCTTCAAAAGGTGACGATGCCTGACTCCTCTTGAATACTGATAGGAATCCCAAAATCCCTGTGGCTAATGGAAAGGGTCCTTGGGTGCCCTGGCTCACCTCGAGAAGCGTCCCTTTTGCCCTGCCAAGCCTCGAAGAGATTGCTGAGGTGTCCCTCGTTACTAGACAGGAGTCCTGACGTCACGGAAGAAACTCGTGTTTTGAAGTGCCATCCCCGCCGTAAGTCGAGAACATACCCCAGGTCCCCGCCGCAACTCGAGAAAAACCATGAGACTTCCCCCGAGAGGCGAGATGAGGCCCCATTCCCCTGCAGTGCATGCAGAGCTATTCCGTGATCCCATTCAAACAAGTCAGGAGCTTCGACTTGCTTAATGGATCTCGAGACAGTCCCCAAGAACACTGTCACCAGTCTAGACGGACCCTGAGGTCACCCAGCAATGCAAAGCAGCTCCATGTGCCCCAAATCAACTCGAGATGAGGCCGGATTCCCCTGCATTGACTCCAGAGCCATTCCTTGTTCCCCATTCAACACGACCGGTGGCTCGACTTCCTTCAGGCAACTCCAGAGATGCCCCGAGAACACTGTCCCAAGTCTAGAGGACCACCAACTTCAGCACAGCAACTCGAGGAATGCTCTGTGTACCCCAAATCGTCTCGAGATGAGAGCTGATTCCCTGGCTTAGGCTCAAGACGTATGCCACCTTTCCAGAAGCACCTCAGGAGGAGGCTTCTCTCAGCAATAGGTATGTGGGAGGGACCCCGAGTTTGCTGCCTCAAGGGGAATATACAGCGAGAAGCCCTAACTTGAAAGGAGGCCGGATTTCCTTGCAGTGGCTTGAATACAGGCTCGTCTTTCATCTCACAACATGAAGGGATGTCTGAATCCCCTGTGGAGACCTTAGAGAAAGCCGTAGGTCCCTGCCTCATTTTGACGGAATGCCTCACATCCCGCTGACACCTCGAGAGGCACGCGGAGTTCATTGCTTCAAAAGGTGACCATGCCTGACTCCTCTTGAATACTGATAGGAATCCCAAAATCCCTGTGGCTACTGGAAAGGGTCCTTGGGTGCCCTGCCTCACCTCGAGAAGCGTCCCTTTTGCCCTGCCAAGACTCGAAGAGATTCCTGAGGTGTCCCTCGTTACTAGGCAGGAGTCCTGACCTCACTGAAGAAAGTCGTGTTTTGAAGGGCCATCCCTGCCGTAAGTCGAGAACATACCCCAGGTCCCCGCCGCAACTCGAGAAAAACCATGAGACTTCCCCCTAGAGGCGAGATGAGGCCCCATTCCCCTGCAGTGCATGCAGAGCTATTCCGTGATCCCATTCAAACAAGTCAGGAGCTTCGACTTGCTTAATGGATCTCGAGGCAGTCCCCAAGAACACTGTCACCAGTCTAGACGGCCCCTGAGGTCACCCCAGCAACGCAAAGCAGCTCCAGGTGCCACAAATCAACTCGAGATGAGACCCGATTCCCCTGCATTGACTCCAGAGCCATTCCCCGTTCCCCATTCAACACGACCGGTGGCTCGACTTCCTTCAGGCAACTCCAGAGATGCCCAGAGAACACTGTCCCAAGTCTAGAGGAACACCAACTTCAGCACAGCAACTCGAGGAATGCTCTGTGTACCCCAAATCGTCTCGAGATGAGAGCTGACTCCCTGGCTTAGGCTCAAGACGTATGCCAACTTTCCAGAAGCACCTCATGAGGAGGATTCTCTCAGCAATAGGTATGTGGGAGGGACCCCGAGATTGCTGCCTCAAGGGGAATATACAGCGAGAAGCCCTAACTTGAAAGGAGGCCGGATTTCCTTGCAGTGGCTTGAATACAGGCTCGTCTTTCATCTCACACATGAAGGGATGTCTGAATCCCCTGTGGAGACCTTAGAGAAAGCCCTAGGTCCCTGCCTCATTTTGACGGAATCCTCACATCCCGCTGACACCTCGAGAGGCACACGGAGTTCATTGCTTCAAAAGGTGACGATGCCTGACTCCTCTTGAATACTGATAGGAATCCCAAAATCCCTGTGGCTAATGGAAAGGGTCCTTGGGTGCCCTGGCTCACCTCGAGAAGCGTCCCTTTTGCCCTGCCAAGCCTCGAAGAGATTGCTGACGTGTCCCTCGTTACTAGACAGGAGTCCTGACGTCACGGAAGAAACTCGTGTTTTGAAGGGCCATCCCCGCCGTAAGTCGAGAACATACCGCAGGTCCCCGCCGCAACTCGAGAAAAACCATGAGACTTCCCCCTAGAGGCGAGATGAGGCCCCATTCCCCTGCAGTGCATGCAGAGCTATTCCGTGATCCCATTCAAACAAGTCAGGAGCTTCGACTTGCTTAATGGATCTCGAGAGAGTCTCCAAGAACACTGTCACCAGTCTAGACGGACCCTGAGGTCATCCAGCAATGCAAAGCAGCTCCATGTGCCCCAAGTCAACTCGAGATGAGGCCGGATTCCCCTGCATTGACTCCAGAGCCATTCCTTGTTCCCCATTCAACACGACCGGTGGCTCGACTTCCTTCAGGCAACTCCAGAGATGCCCCGAGAACACTGTCCCAAGTCTAGAGGACCACCAACTTCAGCACAGCAACTCGAGGAATGCTCTGTGTACCCCAAATCTTCTCGAGATGAGAGCTGATTCCCTGGCTTAGGCTCAAGACGTATGCCACCTTTCCAGAAGCACCTCAGGAGGAGGCTTCTCTCAGCAATAGGTATGTGGGAGGGACCCCGAGTTTGCTGCCTCAAGGGGAATATACAGCGTGAAGCCCTAACTTGAAAGGAGGCCGGATTTCCTTGCAGTGGCTTGAATACAGGCTCGTCTTTCATTTCACAACATGAAGGGATGTCTGAATCCCCTGTGGAGACCTTAGAGAAAGCCCTAGGTCCCTGCCTCATTTTGACGGAATCCTCACATCCCGCTGACACCTCGAGAGGCACGCGGAGTTCATTGCTTCAAAAGGTGACGATGCCTGACTCCTCTTGAATACTTATAGGAATCCCCAAATGCCTGTGGCTACTGGAAAGGGTCCTTGGGTGCCCTAGCTCACCTCGAGAAGCGTCCCTTTTGCCCTGCCAAGCCTCGAAGAGATTGCTGAGATGTCCCTCGTTACTAGACAGGAGTCCTGACGTCACTGAAGAAACTCGTGTTTTGAAGTGCCATCCCCGCCGTAAGTCGAGAACATACCCCAGGTCCCCGCCGCAACTCGAGAAAAACCATGAGACTTCCCCCTAGAGGCGAGATGAGGCCCCATTCCCCTGCAGTGCATGCAGAGCTATTCCGTGATCCCATTCAAACAAGTCAGGAGCTTCGACTTGCTTAATGGATCTCGAGACAGTCCCCAAGAACACTGTCACCAGTCTAGACGGACCCTGAGGTCACCCCAGCAACGCAAAGCAGCTCCATGTGCCCCAAATCAACTCGAGATGAGGCCCGATTCCCCTGCATTGATTCCAGAGCCATTCCCCGTTCCCCATTCAACAGGACCGGTCGCTCGCTTTCCTTCAGGCTACTCCAGAGATGCCCCGAGAACACTGTCCCAAGTCTAGAGGAACACCAACTTCAGCACAGCAACTCGAGGAATGCTCTGTGTACCACAAGTCGTCTCGAGATGAGAGCTGATTCCCTGGCTTAGGCTCAAGACGTATGCCAACTTTCCAGAAGCACCTCAGGAGGAGGCTTCTCTCAGCAATAGGTATGTGGGAGGGACCCCGAGTTTGCTGCCTCAAGGGGAATATACAGCGAGAAGCCCTAACTTGAAAGGAGGCCGGATTTCCTTGCAGTGGCTTGAATACAGGCTCGTCTTTCATCTCACAACATGAAGGGATGTCTGAATCCCCTGTGGAGACCTTAGAGAAAGCCCTAGGTCACTGCCTCATTTTGACGGAATCCTCACATCCCGCTGACACCTCGAGAGGCACGCGGAGTTCATTGCTTCAAAAGGTGACGATGCCTGACTCCTCTTGAATACTGATAGGAATCCCAAAATCCCTGTGGCTACTGGAAAGGGTCCTTGGGTGCCCTGGCTCACCTCGAGAAGCGTCCCTTTTGCCCTGCCAAGCCTCGAAGAGATTGCTGAGGTGTCCCTCGTTACTAGACAGGAGTCCTGACGTCACCGAAGAAACTCGTGTTTTGAAGGGCCATCCCCGCCGTAAGTCGAGAACATACCCCAGGTCCCCGCCGCAACTCGAGAAAAACCATGAGACTTCCCCCTAGAGGCGAGATGAGGCCCCATTCCCCTGCAGTGCATGCAGAGCTATTCCGTGATCCCATTCAAACAAGTCAGGAGCTTCGACTTGCTTAATGGATCTCGAGAGAGTCCCCAAGAACACTGTCACCAGTCTAGACGGACCCTGAGGTCACCCCAGCAATGCAAAGCAGCTCCATGTGCCCCAAAATCAACTCGAGATGAGGCCCGATTACCCTGCATTGACTCCAGAGCCATTCCCCGTTCCCCGTTCAACACGAACGGAGGCTCGCCTTCCTTCAGGCAACTCCAGAGATGCCCCGAGAACACTGTCCCAAGTCTAGAGGAACACCAACTTCAGCACAGCAACTCGAGGAATGCTCTGTGTACCCCAAGTCGTCTCAAGATGAGAGCTGATTCCCTGGCTTAGGCTCAAGACGTATGCCACCTTTCCAGAAGCACCTCAGGAGGAGGCTTCTCTCAGCAATAGGTATGTGGGAGGGACCCCGTGTTTGCTGCCTCAAGGGGAATATACAGCGAGAAGCCCTAACTTGAAAGGAGGCCGGATTTCCTTGCAGTGGCTTGAATACAGGCTCGTCTTTCATCTCACAACATGAAGGGATGTCTGAATCCCCTGTGGAGAACTTAGAGAAAGCCCTAGGTCCCTGCCTCATTTTGACGGAATCCTCACATCCCGCTGACACCTCGAGAGGCACGCGGAGTTCATTGCTTCAAAAGGTGACGATGCCTGACTCCTCTTGAATACTTATAGGAATCCCCAAATCCCTGTGGCTACTGGAAAGGGTCCTTGGGTGCCCTGGCTCACCTCGAGAAGCGTCCCTTTTGCCCTGCCAAGCCTCGAAGAGATTGCTGACGTGTCCCTCGTTACTAGACAGGAGTCCTGACGTCACTGAAGAAACTCGTGTTTTGAAGGGCCATCCCCGCCGTAAGTTGAGAACATACCCCAGTTCCCCGCCGCAACTCGAGAAAAACATGAGACTTCCCTCTAGAGGCGAGATGAGGCCCCATTCCCCTGCAGTGCATGCAGAGCTATTCCGTGATCCCATTCAAACAAGTCAGGAGCTTCGACTTGCTTAATGGATCTCGAGGCAGTCCCCAAGAACACTGTCACCAGTCTAGACGGACCCTGAGGTCACCCCAGCAACGCAAAGCAGCTCCAGGTGCCACAAATCAACTCGAGATGAGGCCCGATTCCCCTGCATTGACTCCAGAGCCATTCCCCGTTCCCCATTCAACACGACCGGTGGCTCGACTTCCTTCAGGCAACTCCAGAGATGCCCTGAGAACACTGTCCCAAGTCTACAGGAACACCAACTTCAGCACAGCAACTCGAGGAATGCTCTGTGTACCCCAAATCGTCTCGAGATGAGAGCTGAATCACTGGCTTACGCTCAAGACGTATGCCAACTTTCCAGAAGCACCTCAGGAGGAGGCTTCTCTCAGCAATAGGTATGTGGGAGGGACTCCGAGATTGCTGCCTCAAGGGGAATATACAGCGAGAAGCCCTAACTTGAAAGGAGGCCGGATTTCCTTGCAGTGGCTTGAATACAGGCTCGTCTTACATCTCACAACATGAAGGGATGTCTGAATCCCCTGTGGAGACCTTAGAGAAAGCCCTAGGTCCCTGCCTCATTTTGACGGAATCTTCACATCCCGCTGACACCTCGAGAGGCACGCGGAGTTCATTGCTTCAAAAGGTGACGATGCCTGACTCCTCTTGAATACTGATAGGAATCCCAAAATCCCTGTGGCTAATGGAAAGGGTCCTTGGGTGCCCTGGCTCACCTCGAGAAGCGTCCCTTTTGCCCTGCCAAGCCTCGAAGAGATTGCTGAGGTGTCCCTCGTTACTAGACAGGAGTCCTGACGTCACGGAAGAAACTCGTGTTTTGAAGGGCCATCCCCGCCGTAAGTCGAGAACATACCCCAGGTGCCCGCCGCAACTCGAGAAAAACCATGAGACTTCCCCCGAGAGGCGAGATGAGGCCCCATTCCCCTGCAGTGCATGCAGAGCTATTCCGTGATCCCATTCAAACAAGTCAGGAGCTTCGACTTGCTTAATGGATCTCGAGACAGTCCCCAAGAACACTGTCACCAGTCTAGACGGACCCTGAGGTCACCCAGCAATGCAAAGCAGCTCCATGTGCCCCAAATCAACTCGAGATGAGGCCGGATTCCCCTGCATTGACTCCAGAGCCATTCCTTGTTCCCCATTCAACACGACCGGTGGCTCGACTTCCTTCAGGCAACTCCAGAGATGCCCCGAGAACACTGTCCCAAGTCTAGAGGACCACCAACTTCAGCACAGCAACTCGAGGAATGCTCTGTGTACCCCAAATCGTCTCGAGATGAGAGCTGATTCCCTGGCTTAGGCTCAAGACGTATGCCACCTTTCCAGAAGCACCTCAGGAGGAGGCTTCTCTCAGCAATAGGTATGTGGGAGGGACCCCGAGTTTGCTGCCTCAAGGGGAATATACAGCGAGAAGCCCTAACTTGAAAGGAGGCCGGATTTCCTTGCAGTGGCTTGAATACAGGCTCGTCTTTCATCTCACAACATGAAGGGATGTCTGAATCCCCTGTGGAGACCTTAGAGAAAGCCGTAGGTCCCTGCCTCATTTTGACGGAATGCCTCACATCCCGCTGACACCTCGAGAGGCACGCGGAGTTCATTGCTTCAAAAGGTGACCATGCCTGACTCCTCTTGAATACTGATAGGAATCCCAAAATCCCTGTGGCTACTGGAAAGGGTCCTTGGGTGCCCTGCCTCACCTCGAGAAGCGTCCCTTTTCCCCTGCCAAGACTCGAAGAGATTCCTGAGGTGTCCCTCGTTACTAGGCAGGAGTCCTGACCTCACTGAAGAAAGTCGTGTTTTGAAGGGCCATCCCTGCCGTAAGTCGAGAACATACCCCAGGTCCCCGCCGCAACTCGAGAAAAACCATGAGACTTCCCCCTAGAGGCGAGATGAGGCCCCATTCCCCTGCAGTGCATGCAGAGCTATTCCGTGATCCCATTCAAACAAGTCAGGAGCTTCGACTTGCTTAATGGATCTCGAGGCAGTCCCCAAGAACACTGTCACCAGTCTAGACGGCCCCTGAGGTCACCCCAGCAACGCAAAGCAGCTCCAGGTGCCACAAATCAACTCGAGATGAGACCCGATTCCCCTGCATTGACTCCAGAGCCATTCCCCGTTCCCCATTCAACACGACCGGTGGCTCGACTTCCTTCAGGCAACTCCAGAGATGCCCAGAGAACACTGTCCCAAGTCTAGAGGAACACCAACTTCAGCACAGCAACTCGAGGAATGCTCTGTGTACCCCAAATCGTCTCGAGATGAGAGCTGACTCCCTGGCTTAGGCTCAAGACGTATGCCAACTTTCCAGAAGCACCTCATGAGGAGGATTCTCTCAGCAATAGGTATGTGGGAGGGACCCCGAGATTGCTGCCTCAAGGGGAATATACAGCGAGAAGCCCTAACTTGAAAGGAGGCCGGATTTCCTTGCAGTGGCTTGAATACAGGCTCGTCTTTCATCTCACACATGAAGGGATGTCTGAATCCCCTGTGGAGACCTTAGAGAAAGCCCTAGGTCCCTGCCTCATTTTGACGGAATCCTCACATCCCGCTGACACCTCGAGAGGCACACGGAGTTCATTGCTTCAAAAGGTGACGATGCCTGACTCCTCTTGAATACTGATAGGAATCCCAAAATCCCTGTGGCTAATGGAAAGGGTCCTTGGGTGCCCTGGCTCACCTCGAGAAGCGTCCCTTTTGCCCTGCCAAGCCTCGAAGAGATTGCTGACGTGTCCCTCGTTACTAGACAGGAGTCCTGACGTCACGGAAGAAACTCGTGTTTTGAAGGGCCATCCCCGCCGTAAGTCGAGAACATACCGCAGGTCCCCGCCGCAACTCGAGAAAAACCATGAGACTTCCCCCTAGAGGCGAGATGAGGCCCCATTCCCCTGCAGTGCATGCAGAGCTATTCCGTGATCCCATTCAAACAAGTCAGGAGCTTCGACTTGCTTAATGGATCTCGAGAGAGTCTCCAAGAACACTGTCACCAGTCTAGACGGACCCTGAGGTCATCCAGCAATGCAAAGCAGCTCCATGTGCCCCAAGTCAACTCGAGATGAGGCCGGATTTCCCTGCATTGACTCCAGAGCCATTCCTTGTTCCCCATTCAACACGACCGGTGGCTCGACTTCCTTCAGGCAACTCCAGAGATGCCCCGAGAACACTGTCCCAAGTCTAGAGGACCACCAACTTCAGCACAGCAACTCGAGGAATGCTCTGTGTACCCCAAATCTTCTCGAGATGAGAGCTGATTCCCTGGCTTAGGCTCAAGACGTATGCCACCTTTCCAGAAGCACCTCAGGAGGAGGCTTCTCTCAGCAATAGGTATGTGGGAGGGACCCCGAGTTTGCTGCCTCAAGGGGAATATACAGCGTGAAGCCCTAACTTGAAAGGAGGCCGGATTTCCTTGCAGTGGCTTGAATACAGGCTCGTCTTTCATTTCACAACATGAAGGGATGTCTGAATCCCCTGTGGAGACCTTAGAGAAAGCCCTAGGTCCCTGCCTCATTTTGACGGAATCCTCACATCCCGCTGACACCTCGAGAGGCACGCGGAGTTCATTGCTTCAAAAGGTGACGATGCCTGACTCCTCTTGAATACTTATAGGAATCCCAAAATCCCTGTGGCTACTGGAAAGGGTCCTTGGGTGCCCTAGCTCACCTCGAGAAGCGTCCCTTTTGCCCTGCCAAGCCTCGAAGAGATTGCTGAGGTGTCCCTCGTTACTAGACAGGAGTCCTGACGTCACTGAAGAAACTCGTGTTTTGAAGTGCCATCCCCGCCGTAAGTCGAGAACATACCCCAGGTCCCCGCCGCAACTCGAGAAAAACCATGAGACTTCCCCCTAGAGGCGAGATGAGGCCCCATTCCCCTGCAGTGCATGCAGAGCTATTCCGTGATCCCATTCAAACAAGTCAGGAGCTTCGACTTGCTTAATGGATCTCGAGACAGTCCCCAAGAACACTGTCACCAGTCTAGACGGACCCTGAGGTCACCCCAGCAACGCAAAGCAGCTCCATGTGCCCCAAATCAACTCGAGATGAGGCCCGATTCCCCTGCATTGACTCCAGAGCCATTCCCCGTTCCCCATTCAACAGGACCGGTCGCTCGCTTTCCTTCAGGCTACTCCAGAGATGCCCCGAGAACACTGTCCCAAGTCTAGAGGAACACCAACTTCAGCACAGCAACTCGAGGAATGCTCTGTGTACCACAAGTCGTCTCGAGATGAGAGCTGATTCCCTGGCTTAGGCTCAAGACGTATGCCAACTTTCCAGAAGCACCTCAGGAGGAGGCTTCTCTCAGCAATAGGTATGTGGGAGGGACCCCGAGTTTGCTGCCTCAAGGGGAATATACAGCGAGAAGCCCTAACTTGAAAGGAGGCCGGATTTCCTTGCATTGGCTTGAATACAGGCTCGTCTTTCATCTCACAACATGAAGGGATGTCTGAATCCCCTGTGGAGACCTTAGAGAAAGCCCTAGGTCACTGCCTCATTTTGACGGAATCCTCACATCCCGCTGACACCTCGAGAGGCACGCGGAGTTCATTGCTTCAAAAGGTGACGATGCCTGACTCCTCTTGAATACTGATAGGAATCCCAAAATCCCTGTGGCTACTGGAAAGGGTCCTTGGGTGCCCTGGCTCACCTCGAGAAGCGTCCCTTTTGCCCTGCCAAGCCTCGAAGAGATTGCTGAGGTGTCCCTCGTTACTAGACAGGAGTCCTGACGTCACCGAAGAAACTCGTGTTTTGAAGGGCCATCCCCGCCGTAAGTCGAGAACATACCCCAGGTCCCCGCCGCAACTCGAGAAAAACCATGAGACTTCCCCCTAGAGGCGAGATGAGGCCCCATTCCCCTGCAGTGCATGCAGAGCTATTCCGTGATCCCATTCAAACAAGTCAGGAGCTTCGACTTGCTTAATGGATCTCGAGAGAGTCCCCAAGAACACTGTCACCAGTCTAGACGGACCCTGAGGTCACCCCAGCAATGCAAAGCAGCTCCATGTGCCCCAAAATCAACTCGAGATGAGGCCCGATTCCCCTGCATTGACTCCAGAGCCATTCCCCGTTCCCCGTTCAACACGAATGGAGGCTCGCCTTCCTTCAGGCAACTCCAGAGATGCCCCGAGAACACTGTCCCAAGTCTAGAGGAACACCAACTTCAGCACAGCAACTCGAGGAATGCTCTGTGTACCCCAAGTCGTCTCAAGATGAGAGCTGATTCCCTGGCTTAGGCTCAAGACGTATGCCACCTTTCCAGAAGCACCTCAGGAGGAGGCTTCTCTCAGCAATAGGTATGTGGGAGGGACCCCGTGTTTGCTGCCTCAAGGGGAATATACAGCGAGAAGCCCTAACTTGAAAGGAGGCCGGATTTCCTTGCAGTGGCTTGAATACAGGCTCGTCTTTCATCTCACAACATGAAGGGATGTTTGAATCCCCTGTGGAGACCTTAGAGAAAGCCCTAGGTCCCTGCCTCATTTTGACGGAATCCTCACATCCCGCTGACACCTCGAGAGGCACGCGGAGTTCATTGCTTCAAAAGGTGACGATGCCTGACTCCTCTTGAATACTTATAGGAATCCCCAAATCCCTGTGGCTACTGGAAAGGGTCCTTGGGTGCCCTGGCTCACCTCGAGAAGCGTCCCTTTTGCCCTGCCAAGCCTCGAAGAGATTGCTGACGTGTCCCTCGTTACTAGACAGGAGTCCTGACGTCACTGAAGAAACTCGTGTTTTGAAGGGCCATCCCCGCCGTAAGTTGAGAACATACCCCAGTTCCCCGCCGCAACTCGAGAAAAACATGAGACTTCCCTCTAGAGGCGAGATGAGGCCCCATTCCCCTGCAGTGCATGCAGAGCTATTCCGTGATCCCATTCAAACAAGTCAGGAGCTTCGACGTGCTTAATGGATCTCGAGGCAGTCCCCAAGAACACTGTCACCAGTCTAGACGGACCCTGAGGTCACCCCAGCAACGCAAAGCAGCTCAAGGTGACACAAATCAACTCGAGATGAGGCCCGATTCCCCTGCATTGACTCCAGAGCCATTCCCCGTTCCCCATTCAACACGACCGGTGGCTCGACTTCCTTCAGGCAACTCCAGAGATGCCCTGAGAACACTGTCCCAAGTCTACAGGAACACCAACTTCAGCACAGCAACTCGAGGAATGCTCTGTGTACCACAAATCGTCTCGAGATGAGAGCTGAATCCCTGGCTTAGGCTCAAGACCTATGCCAACTTTCCAGAAGCACCTCAGGAGGAGGCTTCTCTCAGCAATAGGTATGTGGGAGGGACTCCGAGATTGCTGCCTCAAGGGGAATATACAGCGAGAAGCCCTAACTTGAAAGGAGGCCGGATTTCCTTGCAGTGGCTTGAATACAGGCTCGTCTTTCATCTCACAACATGAAGGGATGTCTGAATCCCCTGTGGAGACCTTAGAGAAAGCCCTAGGTCCCTGCCTCATTTTGACGGAATCCTCACATCCCGCTGACACCTCGAGAGGCACGCGGAGTTCATTGCTTCAAAAGGTGACGATGCCTGACTCCTCTTGAATACTTATAGGAATCCCCAAATCCCTGTGGCTACTGGAAAGGGTCCTTGGGTGCCCTGGCTCACCTGGAGAAGCGTCCCTTTTGCCCTGCCAAGCCTCGAAGAGATTGCTGACGTGTCCCTCGTTACTAGACAGGAGTCCTGACGTCACGGAAGAAACTCGTGTTTTGAAGGGCCATCCCCGCCGTAAGTTGAGAACATACACCAGTTCCCCGCTGCAACTCGAGAAAAACATGAGACTTCCCCCTAGAGGCGAGATGAGGCCCCATTCCCCTGCAGTGCATGCAGAGCTATTCCGTGATCCCATTCAAACAAGTCAGGAGCTTCGACTTGCTTAATGGATCTCGAGACAGTCCCCAAGAACACTGTCACCAGTCCAGACGGACCCTGAGGTCACCCCAGCAACGCAAAGCTTCTCCATGTGCCCCAAATCAACTCGAGATGAGGCCCGATTCCCCTGCATTGACTCCAGAGCCATTCCCCGTTCCCCATTCAACACGACCGGTGGCTCGACTTCCTTCAGGCAACTCCAGAGATGCCCAGAGAACACTGTCCCAAGTCTAGAGGAACACCAACTTCAGCACAGCAACTCGAGGAATGCTCTGTGTACCCCAAATCGTCTCGAGATGAGAGCTGAATCCCTGGCTTAGGCTCAAGACCTATGCCAACTTTCCAGAAGCACCTCAGGAGGAGGCTTCTCTCAGCAATAGGTATGTGGGAGGGACTCCGAGATTGCTGCCTCAAGGGGAATATACAGCGAGAAACCCTAACTTGAAAGGAGGCCGGATTTCCTTGCAGTGGCTTGAATACAGGCTCGTCTTTCATCTCACAACATGAAGGGATGTCTGAATCCCCTGTGGAGACCTTAGAGAAAGCCCTAGGTCCCTGCCTCATTTTGACGGAATCCTCACATCCCGCTGACACCTCGAGAGGCACGCGGAGTTCATTGCTTCAAAAGGTGACGATGCCTGACTCCTCTTGAATACTGATAGGAATCCCAAAATCCCTGTGGCTAATGGAAAGGGTCCTTGGGTGCCCTGGCTCACCTCGAGAAGCGTCCCTTTTGCCCTGCCAAGACTCGAAGAGATTGCTGAGGTGTCCCTCGTTACTAGACAGGAGTCCTGACGTCACTGAAGAAACTCGTGTTTTGAAGGGCCATCCCCGCCGTAAGTCGAGAACATACCCCAGGTCCCCGCCGCAACTCGAGAAAAACCATGAGACTTCCCCCTAGAGGCGAGATGAGGCCCCATTCCCCTGCAGTGCATGCAGAGCTATTCCGTGATCCCATTCAAACAAGTCAGGAGCTTCGACTTGCTTAATGGATCTCGAGACAGTCCCCAAGAACACTGTCACCAGTCTAGACGGACCCTGAGGTCACCCCAGCAACGCAAAGCTGCTCCATGTGCCTCAAATCAACTCGAGATGAGTCCGATTCCCCTGCATTGACTCCAGAGCCATTCCCCGTTCCCCATTCAACACGACCGGTGGCTCGACTTCCTTCAGGCAACTACAGAGATGCCCCGAGAACACTGCCCCAAGTCTAGAGGAACGCCAACTTCAGCACAGCAACTCGAGGAATGCTCCGTGTACCCCAAATCATCTCGAGATGAGAGCTGATTCTCTGGCTTAGGCTCAAGACGTATGCCAACTTTCCAGAAGCACCTCAGGAGGAGGCTTCTCTCAGCAATAGGTATGTGGGAGCGACCCCGAGTTTGCTGCCTCAAGGGGAATACACAGGGAGAAGCCCTAGTGTGAACGGAGGCCAGATTTCCATGCAGTGGGTTGAATAAAGGCTCGTCTTCGATCTGAAAACATGAAGGGATGTCTGAATCCCCTGTGGAGACCTTAGAGGAAGCCCTAGGTCCCTGCCTCATTTTGACGGAGTACCTCACATCCCCCTGACACCTCGAGAGGCACGCAGAGTTCATTGCTTCAAAAGGTGACGATGCCTGACTCCTCTTGAATACTTATAGGAATCCCAAAATCCCTGTTGCTACTGGAAAAGGTCCTTGGGTGCCGTGGCTCACCTCGAGAAGCGTCCCTTTTGCCCTGCCAAGCGTCGAAGAAATTGCTGAGGTGTCCCTCGTTACTAGACAGGAGTCCTGACGTCACCGAAGAAACTCGTGTTTTGAAGGGCCATCCCCGCCGTAAGTCGAGAACATACCCCAGGTCCCCGCCGCAACTCGAGAAAAACCATGAGACTTCCCCCTAGAGGCGAGATGAGGCCCCATTCCCCTGCAGTGCATGCAGAGCTATTCCGTGATCCCATTCAAACAAGTCAGGAGCTTCGACTTGCTTAATGGATCTCGAGAGAGTCCCCAAGAACACTGTCACCAGTCTAGACGGACCCTGAGGTCACCCCAGCAATGCAAAGCAGCTCCATGTGCCCCAAATCAACTCGAGATGAGGCCCGATTCCCCTGCATTGACTCCAGAGCCATTCCCCGTTCCCCGTTCAACACGACCGGTGGCTCGACTTCCTTCAGGCAACTCCAGAGATGCCCTGAGAACACTGTCCCAAGTCTAGAGGAACACCAATTTCAGCACAGCAACTCGAGGAATGCTCTGTGTACCACAAATCGTCTCGAGATGAGAGCTGAATCCCTGGCTTAGGCTCAAGACGTATGCCAACTTTCCAGAAGCACCTCAGGAGGAGGCTTCTCTCAGCAATAGGTATGTGGGAGGGACTCCGAGTTTGCTGCCTCAAGGGGAATATACAGCGAGAAGCCCTAACTTGAAAGGAGGCCGGATTTCCTTGCAGTGGCTTGAATACAGGCTCGTCTTTCATCTCACAACATGAAGGGATGTCTGAATCCTCTGTGGAGACCTTAGAGAAAGCTCTAGGTCCCTGCCTCATTTTGACGGAATCCTCACATCCCGCTGACACCTCGAGAGGCATGCGGAGTTCATTGCTTCGAAAGGTGACGATGCCTGACTCCTCTTGAATACTGATAGGAATCCCAAAATCCCTGTGGCTACTGGAAAGGGTCCTTGGGTTCCCTGGCTCACCTCGAGAAGCGTCCCTTTTGCCCTGCCAAGCCTCGAAGAGATTGCTGAGGTGTCCCTCGTTACTAGACAGGAGTCCTGACGTCACGGAAGAAACTCGTGTTTTGAAGGGCCATCCCCGCCGTAAGTCGAGAACATACCCCAGGTCCCCGCCGCAACTCGAGAAAAACAATGAGACTTCCCCCTAGAGGCGAGATGAGGCCCCATTCCATTGCAGTGCATGCAGAGCTATTCCGTGATCCCATTCAAACAAGTCAGGAGCTTCGACTTGCTTAATGGATCTCGAGACAGTCCCCAAGAACACTGTCACCAGTCTAGACGGACCCTGAGGTCACCCAGCAATGCAAAGCAGCTCCATGTGCCCCAAATCAACTCGAGATGAGGCCGGATTCCCCTGCATTGACTCCAGAGCCATTCCTTGTTCCCCATTCAACACGACCGGTGGCTCGACTTCCTTCAGACAACTCCAGAGATGCCCCGAGAACACTGTCCCAAGTCTAGAGGACCACCAACTTCAGCACAGCAACTCGAGGAATGCTCTGTGTACCCCAAATCGTCTCGAGACGAGAGCTGATTCCCTGGCTTAGGCTCAAGACGTATGCCACCTTTCCAGAAGCACCTCAGGAGGAGGCTTCTCTCAGCAATATGTATGTGGGAGGGACCCCGAGTTTGATGCCTCAAGGGGAATATACAGCGAGAAGCCCTAACTTGAAAGGAGGCCGGATTTCCTTGCAGTGGCTTGAATACAGGCTCGTCTTTGATCTGACAACATGAAGGGATGTTTGAATCCCCTGTGGAGACCTTAGAGAAAGCCCTAGGTCCCTGCCTCATTTTGACGGAATCCTCACATCCCGCTGACACCTCGAGAGGCACGCGGAGTTCATTGCTTCAAAAGGTGACGATGCCTGACTCCTCTTGAATACTTATAGGAATCCCCAAATGCCTGTGGCTACTGGAAAGGGTCCTTGGGTGCCCTGGCTCACCTCGAGAAGCGTCCCTTTTGCCCTGCCAAGCCTCGAAGAGATTGCTGACGTGTCCCTCGTTACTAGACAGGAGTCCTGACGTCACTGAAGAAACTCGTGTTTTGAAGGGCCATCCCCGCCGTAAGTTGAGAACATACCCCAGGTCCCCGCCGCAACTCGAGAAAAACATGAGACTTCCCCCTAGAGGCGAGATGAGGCCCCATTCCCCTGCAGTGCATGCAGAGCTATTCCGTGATCCCATTCAAACAAGTCAGGAGCTTCGACTTGCTTAATGGATCTCGAGGCAGTCCCCAAGAACACTGTCACCAGTCTAGACGGACCCTGAGGTCACCCCAGCAACGCAAAGCTTCTCCATGTGCCCCAAATCAACTCGAGATGAGGCCCGATTCCCCTGCATTGACTCCAGAGCCATTCCCCGTTCCCCATTCAACACGACCGGTGGCTCGACTTCCTTCAGGCAACTCCAGAGATGCCCAGAGAACACTGTCCCAAGTCTAGAGGAACACCAACTTCAGCACAGCAACTCGAGGAATGCTCTGTGTACCCCAAATCGTCTCGAGATGAGAGCTGAATCCCTGGCTTAGGCTCAAGACCTATGCCAACTTTCCAGAAGCACCTCAGGAGGAGGCTTCTCTCAGCAATAGGTATGTGGGAGAGACTCCGAGATTGCTGCCTCAAGGGGAATATACAGCGAGAAACCCTAACTTGAAAGGAGGCCGGATTTCCTTGCAGTGGCTTGAATACAGGCTCGTCTTTCATCTCACAACATGAAGGGATGTCTGAATCCCCTGTGGAGACCTTAGAGAAAGCCCTAGGTCCCTGCCTCATTTTGACGGAATCCTCACATCCCGCTGACACCTCGAGAGGCACGCGGAGTTCATTGCTTCAAAAGGTGACGATGCCTGACTCCTCTTGAATACTGATAGGAATCCCAAAATCCCTGTGGCTAATGGAAAGGGTCCTTGGGTGCCCTGGCTCACCTCGAGAAGCGTCCCTTTTGCCCTGCCAAGCCTCGAAGAGATTGCTGAGGTGTCCCTCATTACTAGACAGGAGTCCTGACGTCACGGAAGAAACTCGTGTTTTGAAGGGCCATCCCCGCCGTAAGTCGAGAACATACCCCAGGTCCCCGCCGCAACTCGAGAAAAACCATGAGACTTCCCCCTAGAGGCGAGATGAGGCCCCATTCCCCTGCAGTGCATGCAGAGCTATTCCGTGATCCCATTCAAACAAGTCAGGAGCTTCGACTTGCTTAATGGATCTCGAGACAGTCCCAAGAACACTGTCACCAGTCTAGACGGACCCTGAGGTCACCCCAGCAAAGCAAAGCTGCTCCATGTGCCCCAAATCAACTCGAGATGAGGCCCGATTCCCCTGCATTGACTCCAGAGCCATTCCTTGTTCCCCATTCAACACGACCGGTGGCTCGACTTCCTTCAGGCAACTCCAGGGATGCCACGAGAACACTGTCCCAAGTCTAGAGGAACACCAACTTCAGCACAGCAACTCGAGGAATGCTCTGTGTACCCCAAATCGTCTCGAGATGAGAGCTGATTCCCTGGCTTAGGCTCAAGACGTATGCCACCTTTCCAGAAGCACCTCAGGAGGAGGCTTCTCTCAGCAATAGGTATGTGGGAGGGACCCCGAGTTTGCTGCCTCAAGGGGAATATACAGCGAGAAGCCCTAACTTGAAAGGAGGCCGGATTTCCTTGCAGTGGCTTGAGTACAGGCTCGTCTTTGATCTGACAACATGAAGGGATGTCTGAATCCCCTGTGGAGACCTTAGAGAAAGCCCTAGGTCCCTGCCTCATTTTAACGGAATGCCTCACATCCCACTGACACCTCGAGAGGCACGCGGAGTTCATTGCTTCAAAAGGTGACGATGCCTGACTTCTCTTGAATACTGATAGGAATCCCAAAATCCCTGTGGCTACTGGAAAGGGTCCTTGGGTGCCCTGCCTCACCTCGAGAAGCGTCCCTTTTGCCCTGCCAAGCCTCGAAGAGATTCCTGAGGTGTCCCTCGTTACCAGGCAGGAGTCCTGACGTCACTGGAGAAACTCGTGTTTTGAAGGGCCATCCCCGCCGTAAGTCGAGATCATACCCCAGGTCCCCGCCGCAACTCGAGAAAAACCATGAGACTTCCCCCTAGAGGCGAGATGAGGCCCCATTCCCCTGCAGTGCATGCAGAGCTATTCCGTGATCCCATTCAAACAAGTCAGGAGCTTCGACTTGCTTAATGGATCTCGAGGCAGTCCCCAAGAACACTGTCACCAGACTAGACGGACCCTGAGGTCACCCCAGCAACGCAAAGCAGCTCCAGGTGCCACAAATCAACTCGAGATGAGGCCCGATTCCCCTGCATTGACTCCAGAGCCATTCCCCGTTCCCCATTCAACACGACCGGTGGCTCGACTTCCTTCAGGCAACTCCAGAGATGCCCTGAGAACACTGTCCCAAGTCTAGAGGAACACCAATTTCAGCACAGCAACTCGAGGAATGCTCTGTGTACCACAAATCGTCTCGAGATGAAAGCTGAATCCCTGGCTTAGGCTCAAGACGTATGCCAACTTTCCAGAAGCACCTCAGGAGGAGGCTTCTCTCAGCAATAGGTATGTGGGAGGGACTCCGAGTTTGCTGCCTCAAGGGGAATATACAGCGAGAAGCCCTAACTTGAAAGGAGGCCGGATTTCCTTGCAGTGGCTTGAATACAGGCTCGTCTTTCATCTCACAACATGAAGGGATGTCTGAATCCTCTGTGGAGACCTTAGAGAAAGCTCTAGGTCCCTGCCTCATTTTGACGGAATCCTCACATCCCGCTGACACCTCGAGAGGCACGCGGAGTTCATTGCTTCGAAAGGTGACGATGCCTGACTCCTCTTGAATACTGATAGGAATCCCAAAATCCCTGTGGCTACTGGAAAGGGTCCTTGGGTTCCCTGGCTCACCTCGAGAAGCGTCCCTTTTGCCCTGCCAAGCCTCGAAGAGATTGCTGAGGTGTCCCTCGTTACTAGACAGGAGTCCTGACGTCACGGAAGAAACTCGTGTTTTGAAGGGCCATCCCCGCCGTAAGTCGAGAACATACCCCAGGTCCCCGCCGCAACTCGAGAAAAACAATGAGACTTCCCCCTAGAGGCGAGATGAGGCCCCATTCCATTGCAGTGCATGCAGAGCTATTCCGTGATCCCATTCAAACAAGTCAGGAGCTTCGACTTGCTTAATGGATCTCGAGACAGTCCCCAAGAACACTGTCACCAGTCTAGACGGACCCTGAGGTCACCCAGCAATGCAAAGCAGCTCCATGTGCCCCAAATCAACTCGAGATGAGGCCGGATTCCCCTGCATTGACTCCAGAGCCATTCCTTGTTCCCCATTCAACACGACCGGTGGCTCGACTTCCTTCAGACAACTCCAGAGATGCCCCGAGAACACTGTCCCAAGTCTAGAGGACCACCAACTTCAGCACAGCAACTCGAGGAATGCTCTGTGTACCCCAAATCGTCTCGAGACGAGAGCTGATTCCCTGGCTTAGGCTCAAGACGTATGCCACCTTTCCAGAAGCACCTCAGGAGGAGGCTTCTCTCAGCAATATGTATGTGGGAGGGACCCCGAGTTTGATGCCTCAAGGGGAATATACAGCGAGAAGCCCTAACTTGAAAGGAGGCCGGATTTCCTTGCAGTGGCTTGAATACAGGCTCGTCTTTGATCTGACAACATGAAGGGATGTTTGAATCCCCTGTGGAGACCTTAGAGAAAGCCCTAGGTCCCTGCCTCATTTTGACGGAATCCTCACATCCCGCTGACACCTCGAGAGGCACGCGGAGTTCATTGCTTCAAAAGGTGACGATGCCTGACTCCTCTTGAATACTTATAGGAATCCCCAAATGCCTGTGGCTACTGGAAAGGGTCCTTGGGTGCCCTGGCTCACCTCGAGAAGCGTCCCTTTTGCCCTGCCAAGCCTCGAAGAGATTGCTGACGTGTCCCTCGTTACTAGACAGGAGTCCTGACGTCACTGAAGAAACTCGTGTTTTGAAGGGCCATCCCCGCCGTAAGTTGAGAACATACCCCAGGTCCCCGCCGCAACTCGAGAAAAACATGAGACTTCCCCCTAGAGGCGAGATGAGGCCCCATTCCCCTGCAGTGCATGCAGAGCTATTCCGTGATCCCATTCAAACAAGTCAGGAGCTTCGACTTGCTTAATGGATCTCGAGGCAGTCCCCAAGAACACTGTCACCAGTCTAGACGGACCCTGAGGTCACCCCAGCAACGCAAAGCAGCTCCAGGTGCCACAAATCAACTCGAGATGAGGCCCGATTCCCCTGCATTGACTCCAGAGCCATTCCCCGTTCCCCATTCAACACGACCGGTGGCTCGACTTCCTTCAGGCAACTCCAGAGATGCCCAGAGAACACTGTCCCAAGTCTAGAGGAACACCAACTTCAGCACAGCAACTCGAGGAATGCTCTGTGTACCCCAAATCGTCTCGAGATGAGAGCTGAATCCCTGGCTTAGGCTCAAGACGTATGCCAACTTTCCAGAAGCACCTCAGGAGGAGGCTTCTCTCAGCAATAGGTATGTGGGAGGGACTCCGAGATTGCTGCCTCAAGGGGAATATACAGCGAGAAGCCCTAACTTGAAAGGAGGCCGGATTTCTTTGCAGTGGCTTGAATACAGGCTCGTCTTTCATCTCACAACATGAAGGGATGTCTGAATCCCCTGTGGAGACCTTAGAGAAAGCCCTAGGTCCCTGCCTCATTTTGACGGAATCCTCACATCCCGCTGACACCTCGAGAGGCACGCGGAGTTCATTGCTTCGAAAGGTGACGATGCCTGACTCCTCTTGAATACTGATAGGAATCCCAAAATCCCTGTGGCTACTGGAAAGGGTCCTTGGGTGCCCTGGCTCACCTCCAGAAGCGTCCCTTTTGCCCTGCCAAGCCTCGAAGAGATTGCTGAGGTGTCCCTCGTTACTAGACAGGAGTCCTGACGTCACGGAAGAAACTCGTGTTTTGAAGGGCCATCCCCGCCGTAAGTCGAGAACATACCCCAGGTCCCCGCCGCAACTCGAGAAAAACAATGAGACTTCCCCCTAGAGGCGAGATGAGGCCCCATTCCCTTGCAGTGCATGCAGAGCTATTCCGTGATCCCATTCAAACAAGTCAGCAGCTTCGACTTGCTTAATGGATCTCGAGACAGTCCCCAAGAACACTGTCACCAGTCTAGACGGACCCTGAGGTCACCCAGCAATGCAAAGCAGCTCCATGTGCCCCAAATCAACTCGAGATGAGGCCGGATTCCCCTGCATTGACTCCAGAGCCATTCCTTGTTCCCCATTCAACACGACCGGTGGCTCGACTTCCTTCAGGCAACTCCAGAGATGCCCCGAGAACACTGTCCCAAGTCTAGAGGACCACCAACTTCAGCACAGCAACTCGAGGAATGCTCTGTGTACCCCAAATCGTCTCGAGACGAGAGCTGATTCCCTGGCTTAGGCTCAAGACGTATGCCACCTTTCCAGAAGCACCTCAGGAGGAGGCTTCTCTCAGCAATATGTATGTGGGAGGGACCCCGAGTTTGCTGCCTCAAGGGGAATATACAGCGAGAAGCCCTAACTTGAAAGGAGGCCGGATTTCCTTGCAGTGGCTTGAATACAGGCTCGTCTTTGATCTGACAACATGAAGGGATGTTTGAATCCCCTGTGGAGACCTTAGAGAAAGCCCTAGGTCCCTGCCTCATTTTGACGGAATCCTCACATCCCGCTGACACCTCGAGAGGCACGCGGAGTTCATTGCTTCAAAAGGTGACGATGCCTGACTCCTCTTGAATACTTATAGGAATCCCCAAATGCCTGTGGCTACTGGAAAGGGTCCTTGGGTGCCCTGGCTCACCTCGAGAAGCGTCCCTTTTGCCCTGCCAAGCCTCGAAGTGATTGCTGACGTGTCCCTCGTTACTAGACAGGAGTCCTGACGTCACTGAAGAAACTCGTGTTTTGAAGGGCCATCCCCGCCGTAAGTTGAGAACATACCCCAGGTCCCCGCCGCAACTCGAGAAAAACATGAGACTTCCCCCTAGAGGCGAGATGAGGCCCCATTCCCCTGCAGTGCATGCAGAGCTATTCCTTGATCCCATTCAAACAAGTCAGGAGCTTCGACTTGCTTAATGGATCTCGAGGCAGTCCCCAAGAACACTGTCACCAGTCTAGACGGACCCTGAGGTCACCCCAGCAACGCAAAGCAGCTCCAGGTGCCACAAATCAACTCGAGATGAGGCCCGATTCCCCTGCATTGACTCCAGAGCCATTCCCCGTTCCCCATTCAACACGACCGGTGGCTCGACTTCCTTCAGGCAACTCCAGAGATGCCCAGAGAACACTGTCCCAAGTCTAGAGGAACAACAACTTCAGCACAGCAACTCGAGGAATGCTCTGTGTACCCCAAATCGTCTCGAGATGAGAGCTGAATCCCTGGCTTAGGCTCAAGACGTATGCCAACTTTCCAGAAGCACCTCAGGAGGAGGCTTCTCTCAGCAATAGGTATGTGGGAGGGACTCCGAGATTGCTGCCTCAAGGGGAATATACAGCGAGAAGCCCTAACTTGAAAGGAGGCCGGATTTCTTTGCAGTGGCTTGAATACAGGCTCGTCTTTCATCTCACAACATGAAGGGATGTCTGAATCCCCTGTGGAGACCTTAGAGAAAGCCCTAGGTCCCTGCCTCATTTTGACGGAATCCTCACATCCCGCTGACACCTCGAGAGGCACGCGGAGTTCATTGCTTCAAAAGGTGATGATGCCTGACTCCTCTTGAATACTGATAGGAATCCCAAAATCCCTGTGGCTAATGGAAAGGGTCCTTGGGTGCCCTGACTCACCTCGAGAAGCGTCCCTTTTGCCCTGCCAAGCCTCGAAGAGATTGCTGAGGTGTCCCTCGTTACTAGACAGGAGTCCTGACGTCACGGAAGAAACTCGTGTTTTGAAGGGCCATCCCCGCCGTAAGTCGAGAACATACCCCAGGTCCCCGCCGCAACTCGAGAAAAACCATGAGACTTCCCCCTAGAGGCGAGATGAGGCCCCATTCCCCTGCAGTGCATGCAGAGCTATTCCGTGATCCCATTCAAACAAGTCAGGAGCTTCGACTTGCTTAATGGATATCGAGAGAGTCCCCAAGAACACTGTCACCAGTCTAGACGGACCCTGAGGTCACCCAGCAATGCAAAGCAGCTCCATGTGCCCCAAATCAACTCGAGATGAGGCCGGATTCCCCTGCATTGACTCCAGAGCCATTCCTTGTTCCCCATTCAACACGACCGGTGGCTCGACTTCCTTCAGGCAACTCCAGAGATGCCCAGAGAACACTGTCCCAAGTCTAGAGGAACACCAACTTCAGCACAGCAACTCGAGGAATGCTCTGTGTACCACAAATCGTCTCGAGATGAGAGCTGAATCCCTGGCTTAGGCTCAAGACCTATGCCAACTTTCCAGAAGCACCTCAGGAGGAGGTTTCTCTCAGCAATAGGTATGTGGGAGTGACTCCGAGTTTGCTGCCTCAAGGGGAATATACAGCGAGAAGCCCTAACTTGAAAGGAGGCCGGATTTCCTTGCAGTGGCTTGAATACAGGCTCGTCTTTCATCTCACAACATGAAGGGATGTCTGAATCCCCTGTGGAGACCTTAGAGAAAGCCCTAGGTCCCTGCCTCATTTTGACGGAATCCTCACATCCCGCTGACAACTCGAGAGGCACGCGGAGTTCATTGCTTCAAAAGGTGACGATGCCTGACTCCTCTTGAATACTGATAGGAATCCCAAAATCCCTGTGGCTACTGGAAAGGGTCCTTGGGTGCCCTGCCTCACCTCGAGAAGCGTCCCTTTTGCCCTGCCAAGCCTCGAAGAGTTTGCTGAGGTGTCCCTCGTTACTAGACAGGAGTCCTGACGTCACTGAAGAAACTCGTGTTTTGAAGGGCCATCCCCGCCGTAAGTCGAGAACATACCCCAGGTCCCCGCCGCAACTCGAGAAAAACCATGAGACTTCCCCCTAGAGGCGAGATGAGGCCCCATTCCCCTGCAGTGCATGCAGAGCTATTCCGTGATCCCATTCAAACAAGTCAGGAGCTTCGACTTGCTTAATGGATCTCGAGACAGTCCCCAAGAACACTGTCACCAGTCTAGACGGACCCTGAGGTCACCCCAGCAACGCAAAGCTGCTCCATGTGCCCCAAATCAACTCGAGATGAACCCCGATTCCCCTGCATTGACTCCAGAGCCATTCCCCGTTCCCCATTCAACACGACCGGTGGCTCGACTTCCTTCAGGCAACTCCAGGGATGCCCCGAGAACACTCTCCCAAGTCTAAAGGAATACCAACTTCAGCACAGCAACTCGAGGAATGCTCTGTGTACCGCAAATCGTCTCGAGATGAGAGCTGATTCCCTGGCTTAGGCTCAAGACGTATGCCACCTTTCCAGAAGCACCTCAGGAGGAGGCTTCTCTCAGCAATAGGTATGTGGGAGGGACCCCGAGTTTGCTGCCTCAAGGGGAATATACAGCGAGAAGCCCTATCTTGAAAGGAGGCCGGATTTCCTTGCAGTGGCTTGAGTACAGGCTCGTCTTTGATCTGACAACATGAAGGGATGTCTGAATCACCTGTGGAGACCTTAGAGAAAGCCCTAGGTCCCTGCCTCATTTTGACGGAATGCCTCACATCCCGCTGACACCTCGAGAGGCACGCGGAGTTCATTGCTTCAAAAGGTGACGATGCCTGACTCCTCTTGAATACTGATAATAATCCCAAAATCCCTGTGGCTACTGGAAAGGGTCCTTGGGTGCCCTGCCTCACCTCGAGAAGCGTCCCTTTTGCCCTGCCAAGCCTTGAAGAGATTCCTGAGGTGTCCCTCGTTACTAGGCAGGAGTCCTGACGTCACTGGAGAAACTCGTGTTTTGAAGGGCCATCCCTGCCGTAAGTCGAGAACATACCCCAGGTCCCCGCCGCAACTCGAGAAAAACCATGAGACTTCCCCCTAGAGGCGAGATGAGGCCCCATTCCCCTGCAGTGCATGCAGAGCTATTCCGTGATCCCATTCAAACAAGTCAGGAGCTTCGACTTGCTTAATGGATCTCGAGGCAGTCCCCAAGAACACTGTCACCAGTCTAGACGGACCCTGAGGTCACCCAGCAATGCAAAGCAGCTCCATGTGCCCCAAATCAACTCGAGATGAGGCCGGATTCCCCTGCATTGACTCCAGAGCCATTCCTTGTTCCCCATTCAACACGACCGGTGGCTCGACTTCCTTCAGGCAACTCCAGAGATGCCCCGAGAACACTGTCCCAAGTCTAGAGGACCACCAACTTCAGCACAGCAACTCGAGGAATGCTCTGTGTACCCCAAATCATCTCGAGATGAGAGCTGATTCCCTGGCTTAGGCTCAAGACGTATGCCACCTTTCCAGAAGCACCTCAGGAGGAGGCTTCTCTCAGCAATAGGTATGTGGGAGGGACCCCGAGTTTGCTGCCTCAAGGGGAATATACAGCGAGAGGCCCTAACTTGAAAGGACGCCGGATTTCCTTGCAGTGGCTTGAATACAGGCTCGTCTTTCATCTCACAACATGAAGGGATGTCTGAATCCCCTGTGGAGACCTTAGAGAAAGCCCTAGGTCCCTGCCTCATTTTGACGGAATCCTCACATCCCGCTGACACCTCGAGAGGCACGCGGAGTTCATTGCTTCAAAAGGTGACGATGCCTGACTCCTCTTGTGTACTTATAGGAATCCCCAAATGCCTGTGGCTACTGGAAAGGGTCCTTGGGTGCCCTGGCTCACCTCGAGAAGCGTCCCTTTTGCCCTGCCAAGGCTCGAAGAGATTCCTGAGGTGTCCCTCGTTACTAGGCAGGAGTCCTGACGTCACTGGAGAAACTCGTGTTTTGAAGGGCCATCCCCGCCGTAAGTCGAGAACATACCCCAGGGCCCCGCCGCAACTCGAGAAAAACCATGAGACTTCCCCCTAGAGGCGAGATGAGGCCCCATTCCCCTGCAGTGCATGCAGAGCTATTCCGTGATCCCATTCAAACAAGTCAGGAGCTTCGACTTGCTTAATGGATCTCGAGGCAGTCCCCAAGAACAATGACACCAGTCTAGACGGACCCTGAGGTCACCCAGCAATGCAAAGCAGCTCCATGTGCCCCAAATCAACTCGAGATGAGGCCGGATTCCCCTGCATTGACTCCAGAGCCATTCCTTGTTCCCCATTCAACACGACCGGTGGCTCGACTTCCTTCAGGCAACTCCAGAGATGCCCCGAGAACACTGTCCCAAGTCTAGAGGACCACCAACTTCAGCACAGCAACTCGAGGAATGCTCTGTGTACCCCAAATCGTCTCGAGATGAGAGCTGATTCCCTGGCTTAGGCTCAAGACGTATGCCACCTTTCCAGAAGCACCTCAGGAGGAGGCTTCTCTCAGCAATAGGTATGTGGGAGGGACCCCGAGTTTGCTGCCTCAAGGGGAATATACAGCGAGAGGCCCTAACTTGAAAGGACGCCGGATTTCCTTGCAGTGGCTTGAATACAGGCTCGTCTTTCATCTCACAACATGAAGGGATGTCTGAATCCCCTGTGGAGACCTTAGAGAAAGCCCTAGGTCCCTGCCTCATTTTGACGGAATCCTCACATCCCGCTGACACCTCGAGAGGCACGCGGAGTTCATTGCTTCAAAAGGTGACGATGCCTGACTCCTCTTGAATACTGATAATAATCCCAAAATCCCTGTGGCTACTGGAAAGGGTCCTTGGGTGCCCTGCCTCACCTCGAGAAGCGTCCCTTTTGCCCTGCCAAGCCTCGAAGAGATTCCTGAGGTGTCCCTCGTTACTAGGCAGGAGTCCTGACGTCACTGGAGAAACTCGTGTTTTGAAGGGCCATCCCCGCCGTAAGTCGAGAACATACCCCAGGGCCCCGCCGCAACTCGAGAAAAACCATGAGACTTCCCCCTAGAGGCGAGATGAGGCCCCATTCCCCTGCAGTGCATGCAGAGCTATTCCGTGATCCCATTCAAACAAGTCAGGAGCTTCGACTTGCTTAATGGATCTCGAGGCAGTCCCCAAGAACACTGTCAACAGTCTAGACGGACCCTGAGGTCACCCCAGCAACGCAAAGCAGCTCCAGGTGCCACAAATCAACTCGAGATGAGGCCCGATTCCCCTGCATTGACTCCAGAGCCATTCCCCGTTCCCCATTCAACACGACCGGTGGCTCGACTTCCTTCAGGCATCTCCAGAGATGCCCAGAGAACACTGTCCCAAGTCTAGAGGAACACCAATTTCAGCACAGCAACTCGAGGAATGCTCTGTGTACCACAAATCGTCTCAAGATGAGAGCTGAATCCCTGGCTTAGGCTCAAGACGTATGCCAACTTTCCAGAAGCACCTCAGGAGGAGGCTTCTCTCAGCAATAGGTATGTGGGAGGGACTCCGAGTTTGCTGCCTCAAGGGGAATATACAGCGAGAAGCCCTAACTTGAAAGGAGGCCGGATTTCCTTGCAGTGGCTTGAATACAGGCTCGTCTTTCATCTCACAACATGAAGGGATGTCTGAATCCCCTGTGGAGACCTTAGAGAAAGCCCTAGGTCCCTGCCTCATTTTGACGGAATCCTCACATCCCGCTGACACCTCGAGAGGCCCGCGGAGTTCATTGCTTCAAAAGGTGACGATGCCTGACTCCTCTTGAATACTGATAGGAATCCCAAAATCCCTGTGGCTACTGGAAAGGGTCCTTGGGTGCCCTGCCTCACCTCGAGAAGCGTCCCTTTTGCCCTGCCAAGCCTCGAAGAGATTGCTGAGGTGTCCCTCGTTACTAGACAGGAGTCCTGACGTCACGGAAGAAACTCGTGTTTTGAAGGGCCATCCCCGCCGTAAGTCGAGAACATACCCCAGGTCCCCGCCGCAACTCGAGAAAAACCATGAGACTTCCCCCTAGAGGCGAGATGAGGCCCCATTCCCTTGCAGTGCATGCAGAGCTATTCCGTGATCCCATTCAAACAAGTCAGGAGCTTCGAATTGCTTAATGGATCTCGAGACAGTCCCCAAGAACACTGTCACCAGTCTAGACGGACACTGAGGTCACCCAGCAATGCAAAGCAGCTCCATGTGCCCCAAATCAACTCGAGATGAGGACGGATTCCCCTGCATTGACTCCAGAGCCATTCCTTGTTCCCCATTCAACACGACCGGTGGCTCGACTTCCTTCAGGCAACTCCAGAGATGCCCCGAGAACACTGTCCCAAGTCTAGAGGACCACCAACTTCAGCACAGCAACTCGAGGAATGCTCTGTGTACCCCAAATCTTCTCGAGATGAGAGCTGATTCCCTGGCTTAGGCTCAAGACGTATGCCAACTTTCCAGAAGCACCTCAGGAGGAGGCTTCTCTCAGCAATAGGTATGTGGGAGGGACTCCGAGATTGCTGCCTCAAGGGGAATATACAGCGAGAAGCCCTAACTTGAAAGGAGGCCGGATTTCCTTGCAGTGGCTTGAATACAGGCTCGTCTTTCATCTCACAACATGAAGGGATGTCTGAATCCCCTGTGGAGACCTTAGAGAAAGCCCTAGGTCCCTACCTCATTTTGACGGAATCCTCACATCCCGATGACACCTCGAGAGGCACGCGGAGTTCATTGCTTCAAAAGGTGACGATGCCTGACTCCTCTTGAATACTGATAGGAATCCCAAAATCCCTGTGGCTACTGGAAAGGGTCCTTGGGTGCCCTGGCTCACCTCGAGAAGCGTCCCTTTTGCCCTGCCAAGCCTCGAAGAGATTGCTGAGGTGTCCCTCGTTACTAGACAGGAGTCCTGACGTCACGGAAGAAACTCGTGTTTTGAAGGGCCATCTCCGCCGTAAGTCGAGAACATACCCCAGGTCCCCGCCGCAACTCGAGAAAAACCATGAGACTTCCCCCTAGAGGCGAGATGAGGCCCCATTCCCCTGCAGTGCATGCAGAGCTATTCCGTGATCCCATTCAAACAAGTCAGGAGCTTCGACTTGCTTAATGGATCTCGAGACAGTCCCCAAGAACACTGTCACCAGTCTAGACGGACCCTGAGGTCACCCAGCAATGCAAAGCAGCTCCATGTGCCCCAAATCAACTCGACATGAGGCCGGATTCCCCTGCATTGACTCCAGAGCCATTCCTTGTTCCCCATTCAACACGACCGGTGGCTCGACTTCCTTCAGGCAACTCCAGAGATGCCCCGAGAACACTGTCCCAAGTCTAGAGGACCACCAACTTCAGCACAGCAACTCGAGGAATGCTCTGTGTACCTCAAATCATCTCGAGATGAGAGCTGATTCCCTGGCTTAGGCTCAAGACGTATGCCACCTTTCCAGAAGCACCTCAGGAGGAGGCTTCTCTCAGCAATAGGTATGTGGGAGGGACCCCGAGTTTGCTGCCTCAAGGGGAATATACAGCGAGAAGCCCTAACTTGAAAGGAGGCCGGATTTCCTTGCAGTGGCTTGAATACAGGCTCGTCTTTGATCTGACAACATGAAGGGATGTTTGAATCCCCTGTGGAGACCTTAGAGAAAGCCCTAGGTCCCTGCCTCATTTTGACGGAATCCTCACATCCCGCTGACACCTCGAGAGACACGCGGAGTTCATTGCTTCAAAAGGTGACGATGCCTGACTCCTCTTGAATACTTATAGGAATCCCCAAATGCCTGTGGCTACTGGAAAGGGTCCTTGGGTGCCCTGGCTCACCTCGAGAAGCGTCCCTTTTGCCCTGCCAAGCCTCGAAGTGATTGCTGACGTGTCCCTCGTTACTAGACAGGAGTCCTGACGTCACTGAAGAAACTCGTGTTTTGAAGGGCCATCCCCGCCGTAAGTTGAGAACATACCCCAGGTCCCCGCCGCAACTCGAGAAAAACATGAGACTTCCCCCTAGAGGCGAGATGAGGCCCCATTCCCCTGCAGTGCATGCAGAGCTATTCCTTGATCCCATTCAAACAAGTCAGGAGCTTCGACTTGCTTAATGGATCTCGAGGCAGTCCCCAAGAACACTGTCACCAGTCTAGACGGACCCTGAGGTCACCCCAGCAACGCAAAGCAGCTCCAGGTGCCACAAATCAACTCGAGATGAGGCCCGATTCCCCTGCATTGACTCCAGAGCCATTCCCCGTTCCCCATTCAACACGACCGGTGGCTCGACTTCCTTCAGGCAACTCCAGAGATGCCCAGAGAACACTGTCCCAAGTCTAGAGGAACAACAACTTCAGCACAGCAACTCGAGGAATGCTCTGTGTACCCCAAATCGTCTCGAGATGAGAGCTGAATCCCTGGCTTAGGCTCAAGACGTATGCCAACTTTCCAGAAGCACCTCAGGAGGAGGCTTCTCTCAGCAATAGGTATGTGGGAGGGACTCCGAGATTGCTGCCTCAAGGGGAATATACAGCGAGAAGCCCTAACTTGAAAGGAGGCCGGATTTCTTTGCAGTGGCTTGAATACAGGCTCGTCTTTCATCTCACAACATGAAGGGATGTCTGAATCCCCTGTGGAGACCTTAGAGAAAGCCCTAGGTCCCTGCCTCATTTTGACGGAGTCCTCACATCCCGCTGACACCTCGAGAGGCACGCGGAGTTCATTGCTTCAAAAGGTGATGATGCCTGACTCCTCTTGAATACTGATAGGAATCCCAAAATCCCTGTGGCTAATGGAAAGGGTCCTTGGGTGCCCTGGCTCACCTCGAGAAGCGTCCCTTTTGCCCTGCCAAGCCTCGAAGAGATTGCTGAGGTGTCCCTCGTTACTAGACAGGAGTCCTGACGTCACGGAAGAAACTCGTGTTTTGAAGGGCCATCCCCGCCGTAAGTCGAGAACATACCCCAGGTCCCCGCCGCAACTCGAGAAAAACCATGAGACTTCCCCCTAGAGGCGAGATGAGGCCCCATTCCCCTGCAGTGCATGCAGAGCTATTCCGTGATCCCATTCAAACAAGTCAGGAGCTTCGACTTGCTTAATGGATATCGAGACAGTCCCCAAGAACACTGTCACCAGTCTAGACGGACCCTGAGGTCACCCAGCAATGCAAAGCAGCTCCATGTGCCCCAAATCAACTCGAGATGAGGCCGGATTCCCCTGCATTGACTCCAGAGCCATTCCTTGTTCCCCATTCAACACGACCGGTGGCTCGACTTCCTTCAGGCAACTCCAGAGATGCCCAGAGAACACTGTCCCAAGTCTAGAGGAACACCAACTTCAGCACAGCAACTCGAGGAATGCTCTGTGTACCACAAATCGTCTCGAGATGAGAGCTGAATCCCTGGCTTAGGCTCAAGACCTATGCCAACTTTCCAGAAGCACCTCAGGAGGAGGTTTCTCTCAGCAATAGGTATGTGGGAGTGACTCCGAGTTTGCTGCCTCAAGGGGAATATACAGCGAGAAGCCCTAACTTGAAAGGAGGCCGGATTTCCTTGCAGTGGCTTGAATACAGGCTCGTCTTTCATCTCACAACATGAAGGGATGTCTGAATCCCCTGTGGAGACCTTAGAGAAAGCCCTAGGTCCCTGCCTCATTTTGACGGAATCCTCACATCCCGCTGACAACTCGAGAGGCACGCGGAGTTCATTGCTTCAAAAGGTGACGATGCCTGACTCCTCTTGAATACTGATAGGAATCCCAAAATCCCTGTGGCTACTGGAAAGGGTCCTTGGGTGCCCTGCCTCACCTCGAGAAGCGTCCCTTTTGCCCTGCCAAGCCTCGAAGAGTTTGCTGAGGTGTCCCTCGTTACTAGACAGGAGTCCTGACGTCACTGAAGAAACTCGTGTTTTGAAGGGCCATCCCCGCCGTAAGTCGAGAACATACCCCAGGTCCCCGCCGCAACTCGAGAAAAACCATGAGACTTCCCCCTAGAGGCGAGATGAGGCCCCATTCCCCTGCAGTGCATGCAGAGCTATTCCGTGATCCCATTCAAACAAGTCAGGAGCTTCGACTTGCTTAATGGATCTCGAGACAGTCCCTAAGAACACTGTCACCAGTCTAGACGGACCCTGAGGTCACCCCAGCAACGCAAAGCTGCTCCATGTGCCCCAAATCAACTCGAGATGAACCCCGATTCCCCTGCATTGACTCCAGAGCCATTCCCCGTTCCCCATTCAACACGACCGGTGGCTCGACTTCCTTCAGGCAACTCCAGGGATGCCCCGAGAACACTGTCCCAAGTCTAGAGGAATACCAACTTCAGCACAGCAACTCGAGGAATGCTCTGTGTACCGCAAATCGTCTCGAGATGAGAGCTGATTCCCTGGCTTAGGCTCAAGACGTATGCCACCTTTCCAGAAGCACCTCAGGAGGAGGCTTCTCTCAGCAATAGGTATGTGGGAGGGACCCCGAGTTTGCTGCCTCAAGGGGAATATACAGCGAGAAGCCCTATCTTGAAAGGAGGCCGGATTTCCTTGCAGTGGCTTGAGTACAGGCTCGTCTTTGATCTGACAACATGAAGGGATGTCTGAATCCCCTGTGGAGACCTTAGAGAAAGCCCTAGGTCCCTGCCTCATTTTGACGGAATGCCTCACATCCCGCTGACACCTCGAGAGGCACGCGGAGTTCATTGCTTCAAAAGGTGACGATGCCTGACTCCTCTTGAATACTGATAATAATCCCAAAATCCCTGTGGCTACTGGAAAGGGTCCCTGGGTGCCCTGCCTCACCTCGAGAAGCGTCCCTTTTGCCCTGCCAAGCCTTGAAGAGATTCCTGAGGTGTCCCTCGTTACTAGGCAGGAGTCCTGACGTCACTGGAGAAACTCGTGTTTTGAAGGGCCATCCCTGCCGTAAGTCGAGAACATACCCCAGGTCCCCGCCGCAACTCGAGAAAAACCATGAGACTTCCCCCTAGAGGCGAGATGAGGCCCCATTCCCCTGCAGTGCATGCAGAGCTATTCCGTGATCCCATTCAAACAAGTCAGGAGCTTCGACTTGCTTAATGGATCTCGAGGCAGTCCCCAAGAACACTGTCACCAGTCTAGACGGACCCTGAGGTCACCCAGCAATGCAAAGCAGCTCCATGTGCCCCAAACCAACTCGAGATGAGGCCGGATTCCCCTGCATTGACTCCAGAGCCATTCCTTGTTCCCCATTCAACACGACCGGTGGCTCGACTTCCTTCAGGCAACTCCAGAGATGCCCCGAGAACACTGTCCCAAGTCTAGAGGACCACCAACTTCAGCACAGCAACTCGAGGAATGCTCTGTGTACCCCAAATCATCTCGAGATGAGAGCTGATTCCCTGGCTTAGGCTCAAGACGTATGCCACCTTTCCAGAAGCACCTCAGGAGGAGGCTTCTCTCAGCAATAGGTATGTGGGAGGGACCCCGAGTTTGCTGCCTCAAGGGGAATGTACAGCGAGAGGCCCTAACTTGAAAGGACGCCGGATTTCCTTGCAGTGGCTTGAATACAGGCTCGTCTTTCATCTCACAACATGAAGGGATGTCTGAATCCCCTGTGGAGACCTTAGAGAAAGCCCTAGGTCCCTGCCTCATTTTGACGGAATCCTCACATCCCGCTGACACCTCGAGAGGCACGCGGAGTTCATTGCTTCAAAAGGTGACGATGCCTGACTCCTCTTGTGTACTTATAGGAATCCCCAAATGCCTGTGGCTACTGGAAAGGGTCCTTGGGTGCCCTGGCTCACCTCGAGAAGCGTCCCTTTTGCCCTGCCAAGGCTCGAAGAGATTCCTGAGGTGTCCCTCGTTACTAGGCAGGAGTCCTGACGTCACTGGAGAAACTCGTGTTTTGAAGGGCCATCCCCGCCGTAAGTCGAGAACATACCCCAGGGCCCCGCCGCAACTCGAGAAAAACCATGAGACTTCCCCCTAGAGGCGAGATGAGGCCCCATTCCCCTGCAGTGCATGCAGAGCTATTCCGTGATCCCATTCAAACAAGTCAGGAGCTTCGACTTGCTTAATGGATCTCGAGGCAGTCCCCAAGAACAATGACACCAGTCTAGACGGACCCTGAGGTCACCCAGCAATGCAAAGCAGCTCCATGTGCCCCAAATCAACTCGAGATGAGGCCGGATTCCCCTGCATTGACTCCAGAGCCATTCCTTGTTCCCCATTCAACACGACCGGTGGCTCGACTTCCTTCAGGCAACTCCAGAGATGCCCCGAGAACACTGTCCCAAGTCTAGAGGACCACCAACTTCAGGACAGCAACTCGAGGAATGCTCTGTGTACCCCAAATCGTCTCGAGATGAGAGCTGATTCCCTGGCTTAGGCTCAAGACGTATGCCACCTTTCCAGAAGCACCTCAGGAGGAGGCTTCTCTCAGCAATAGGTATGTGGGAGGGACCCCGAGTTTGCTGCCTCAAGGGGAATATACAGCGAGAGGCCCTAACTTGAAAGGACGCCGGATTTCCTTGCAGTGGCTTGAATACAGGCTCGTCTTTCATCTCACAACATGAAGGGATGTCTGAATCCCCTGTGGAGACCTTAGAGAAAGCCCTAGGTCCCTGCCTCATTTTGACGGAATCCTCACATCCCGCTGACACCTCGAGAGGCACGCGGAGTTCATTGCTTCAAAAGGTGACGATGCCTGACTCCTCTTGAATACTGATAATAATCCCAAAATCCCTGTGGCTACTGGAAAGGGTCCTTGGGTGCCCTGCCTCACCTCGAGAAGCGTCCCTTTTGCCCTGCCAAGCCTCGAAGAGATTCCTGAGGTGTCCCTCGTTACTAGGCAGGAGTCCTGACGTCACTGGAGAAACTCGTGTTTTGAAGGGCCATCCCCGCCGTAAGTCGAGAACATACCCCAGGGCCCCGCCGCAACTCGAGAAAAACCATGAGACTTCCCCCTAGAGGCGAGATGAGGCCCCATTCCCCTGCAGTGCATGCAGAGCTATTCCGTGATCCCATTCAAACAAGTCAGGAGCTTCGACTTGCTTAATGGATCTCGAGGCAGTCCCCAAGAACACTGTCAACAGTCTAGACGGACCCTGAGGTCACCCCAGCAACGCAAAGCAGCTCCAGGTGCCACAAATCAACTCGAGATGAGGCCCGATTCCCCTGCATTGACTCCAGAGCCATTCCCCGTTCCCCATTCAACACGACCGGTGGCTCGACTTCCTTCAGGCATCTCCAGAGATGCCCAGAGAACACTGTCCCAAGTCTAGAGGAACACCAATTTCAGCACAGCAACTCGAGGAATGCTCTGTGTACCACAAATCGTCTCAAGATGAGAGCTGAATCCCTGGCTTAGGCTCAAGACGTATGCCAACTTTCCAGAAGCACCTCAGGAGGAGGTTTCTCTCAGCAATAGGTATGTGGGAGGGACTCCGAGTTTGCTGCCGCAAGGGGAATATACAGCGAGAAGCCCTAACTTGAAAGGAGGCCGGATTTCCTTGCAGTGGCTTGAATACAGGCTCGTCTTTCATCTCACAACATGAAGGGATGTCTGAATCCCCTGTGGAGACCTTAGAGAAAGCCCTAGGTCCCTGCCTCATTTTGACGGAATCCTCACATCCCGCTGACACCTCGAGAGGCCCGCGGAGTTCATTGCTTCAAAAGGTGACGATGCCTGACTCCTCTTGAATACTGATAGGAATCCCAAAATCCCTGTGGCTACTGGAAAGGGTCCTTGGGTGCCCTGGCTCACCTCGAGAAGCGTCCCTTTTGCCCTGCCAAGCCTCGAAGAGATTGCTGAGGTGTCCCTCGTTACTAGACAGGAGTCCTGACGTCACGGAAGAAACTCGTGTTTTGAAGGGCCATCCCCGCCGTAAGTCGAGAACATACCCCAGGTCCCCGCCGCAACTCGAGAAAAATCATGAGACTTCCCCCTAGAGGCGAGATGAGGCCCCATTCCCTTGCAGTGCATGCAGAGCTATTCCGTGATCCCATTCAAACAAGTCAGGAGCTTCGACTTGCTTAATGGATCTCGAGACAGTCCCCAAGAACACTGTCACCAGTCTAGACGGACCCTGAGGTCACCCAGCAATGCAAAGCAGCTCCATGTGCCCCAAATCAACTCGAGATGAGGACGGATTCCCCTGCATTGACTCCAGAGCCATTCCTTGTTCCCCATTCAACACGACCGGTGGCTCGACTTCCTTCAGGCAACTCCAGAGATGCCCGGAGAACACTGTCCCAAGTCTAGAGGACCACCAACTTCAGCACAGCAACTCGAGGAATGCTCTGTGTACCCCAAATCTTCTCGAGATGAGAGCTGATTCCCTGGCTTAGGCTCAAGACGTATGCCAACTTTCCAGAAGCACCTCAGGAGGAGGCTTCTCTCAGCAATAGGTATGTGGGAGGGACTCCGAGATTGCTGCCTCAAGGGGAATATACAGCGAGAAGCCCTAACTTGAAAGGAGGCCGGATTTCCTTGCAGTGGCTTGAATACAGGCTCGTCTTTCATCTCACAACATGAAGGGATGTCTGAATCCCCTGTGGAGACCTTAGAGAAAGCCCTAGGTCCCTACCTCATTTTGACGGAATCCTCACATCCCGATGACACCTCGAGAGGCACGCGGAGTTCATTGCTTCAAAAGGTGACGATGCCTGACTCCTCTTGAATACTGATAGGAATCCCAAAATCCCTGTGGCTACTGGAAAGGGTCCTTGGGTGCCCTGGCTCACCTCGAGAAGCGTCCCTTTTGCCCTGCCAAGCCTCGAAGAGATTGCTGAGGTGTCCCTCGTTACTAGACAGGAGTCCTGACGTCACGGAAGAAACTCGTGTTTTGAAGGGCCATCTCCGCCGTAAGTCGAGAACATACCCCAGGTCCCCGCCGCAACTCGAGAAAAACCATGAGACTTCCCCCTAGAGGCGAGATGAGGCCCCATTCCCCTGCAGTGCATGCAGAGCTATTCCGTGATCCCATTCAAACAAGTCAGGAGCTTCGACTTGCTTAATGGATCTCGAGACAGTCCCCAAGAACACTGTCACCAGTCTAGACGGACCCTGAGGTCACCCAGCAATGCAAAGCAGCTCCATGTGCCCCAAATCAACTCGACATGAGGCCGGATTCCCCTGCATTGACGCCAGAGCCATTCCTTGTTCCCCATTCAACACGACCGGTGGCTCGACTTCCTTCAGGCAACTCCAGAGATGCCCCGAGAACACTGTCCCAAGTCTAGAGGACCACCAACTTCAGCACAGCAACTCGAGGAATGCTCTGTGTACCTCAAATCATCTCGAGATGAGAGCTGATTCCCTGGCTTAGGCTCAAGACGTATGCCACCTTTCCAGAAGCACCTCAGGAGGAGGCTTCTCTCAGCAATAGGTATGTGGGAGGGACCCCGAGTTTGCTGCCTCAAGGGGAATATACAGCGAGAAGCCCTAACTTGAAAGGAGGCCGGATTTCCTTGCAGTGGCTTGAGTACAGGCTCGTCTTTGATCTGACAACATGAAGGGATGTCTGAATCCCCTGTGGAGACCTTAGAGAAAGCCCTAGGTCCCTGCCTCATTTTGACGGAATGCCTCACATCCCGCTGACACCTCGAGAGGCACGCGGAGTTCATTGCTTCAAAAGGTGACGATGCCTGACTCCTCTTGAATACTGATAGGAATCCCAAAATCCCTGTGGCTACTGGAAAGGGTCCTTGGGTGCCCTGCCTCACCTCGAGAAGCGTCCCTTTTGCCCTGCCAAGCCTCGAAGAGATTCCTGAGGTGTCCCTCGTTACCAGGCAGGAGTCCTGACGTCACTGGAGAAACTCGTGTTTTGAAGGGCCATCCCCGCGGTAAGTCGAGAACATACCCCAGGGCCCCGCCGCAACTCGAGAAAAACCATGAGACTTCCCCCTAGAAGCGAGATGAGGCCCCATTCCCCTGCAGTGCATGCAGAGCTATTCCGTGATCCCATTCAAACAAGTCAGGAGCTTCGACTTGCTTAATGGATCTCGAGGCAGTCCCCAAGAACACTGTCACCAGTCTAGATGGACCCTGAGGTCACCCCAGCAACGCAAAGCAGCTCCAGGTGCCACAAATCAACTCGAGATGAGGCCCGATTCCCCTGCATTGACTCCAGAGCCATTCCCCGTTCCCCATTCAACACGACCGGTGGCTCGACTTCCTTCAGGCAACTCCAGAGATGCCCAGAGAACACTGTCCCAAGTCTAGAGGAACACCAATTTCAGCACAGCAACTCGAGGAATGCTCTGTGTACCACAAATCGTCTCGAGATGAGAGCTGAATCCCTGGCTTAGGCTCAAGACGTATGCCAACTTTCCAGAAGCACCTCAGGAGGAGGCTTCTCTCAGCAATAGGTATGTGGGAGGGACTCCGAGTTTGCTGCCTCAAGGGGAATATACAGCGAGAAGCCCTAACTTGAAAGGAGGCCGGATTTCCTTGCAGTGGCTTGAATACAGGCTCGTCTTTCATCTCACAACATGAAGGGATGTCTGAATCCTCTGTGGAGACCTTAGAGAAAGCTCTAGGTCCCTGCCTCATTTTAACGGAATCCTCACATCCCGCTGACACCTCGAGAGGCACGCGGAGTTCATTGCTTCGAAAGGTGACGATGCCTGACTCCTCTTGAATACTGATAGGAATCCCAAAATCCCTGTGGCTACTGGAAAGGGTCCTTGGGTGCCCTGGCTCACCTCGAGAAGCGTCCCTTTTGCCCTGCCAAGCCTCGAAGAGATTGCTGAGGTGTCCCTCGTTACTAGACAGGAGTCCTGACGTCACGGAAGAAACTCGTGTTTTGAAGGGCCATCCCCGCCGTAAGTCGAGAACATATCCCAGGTCCCCTCCGCAACTCGAGAAAAACAATGAGACTTCCCCCTAGAGGCGAGATGAGGCCCCATTCCCTTGCAGTGCATGCAGAGCTATTCCGTGATCCCATTCAAACAAGTCAGCAGCTTCGACTTGCTTAATGGATCTCGAGACAGTCCCCAAGAACACTGTCACCAGTCTAGACGGACCCAGAGGTCACCCAGCAATGCAAAGCAGCTCCATGTGCCCCAAATCAACTCGAGATGAGGCCGGATTCCCCTGCATTGACTCCAGAGCCATTCCTTGTTCCCCATTCAACACGACCGGTGGCTCGACTTCCTTCAGGCAACTCCAGAGATGCCCCGAGAACACTGTCCCAAGTCTAGAGGACCACCAACTTCAGCACAGCAACTCGAGGAATGCTCTGTGTACCCCAAATCGTCTCGAGACGAGAGCTGATTCCCTGGCTTAGGCTCAAGACATATGCCACCTTTCCAGAAGCACCTCAGGAGGAGGCTTCTCTCAGCAATAGGTATGTGGGAGGGACCCCGAGTTTGCTGCCTCAAGGGGAATATACAGCGAGAAGCCCTAACTTGAAAGGAGGCCGGATTTCCTTGCAGTGGCTTGAATACAGGCTCGTCTTTGATCTGACAACATGAAGGGATGTTTGAATCCCCTGTGGAGACCTTAGAGAAATCCCTAGGTCCCTGCCTCATTTTGACGGAATCCTCACATCCCGCTGACACCTCGAGAGGCACGCGGAGTTCATTGCTTCAAAAGGTGACGATGCCTGACTCCTCTTGAATACTTATAGGAATCCCCAAATGCCTGTGGCTACTGGAAAGGGTCCTTGGGTTCCCTGGCTCACCTCGAGAAGCGTCCCTTTTGCCCTGCCAAGCCTCGAAGAGATTGCTGACGTGTCCCTCGTTACTAGACAGGAGTCCTGACGTCACTGAAGAAACTCGTGTTTTGAAGGGCCATCCTCGCCGTAAGTCGAGAACATACCCCAGTTCCCCGCCGCAACTCGAGAAAAACATGAGACTTCCCCCTAGAGGCGAGATGAGGCCCCATTCCCCTGCAGTGCATGCAGAGCTATTCCTTGATCCCATTCAAACAAGTCAGGAGCTTCGACTTGCTTAATGGATCTCGAGGCAGTCCCCAAGAACACTGTCACCAGTCTAGACGGACCCTGAGGTCACCCCAGCAACGCAAAGCAGCTCCAGGTGCCACAAATCAACTCGAGATGAGGCCCGATTCCCCTGCATTGACTCCAGAGCCATTCCCCGTTCCCCATTCAACACGACCGGTGGCTCGACTTCCTTCAGGCAACTCCAGAGATGCCCAGAGAACACTGTCCCAAGTCTAGAGGAACACCAACTTCAGCACAGCAACTCGAGGAATGCTCTGTGTACCCCAAATCGTCTCGAGATGAGAGCTGAATCCCTGGCTTAGGCTCAAGACGTATGCCAACTTTCCAGAAGCACCTCAGGAGGAGGCTTCTCTCAGCAATAGGTATGTGGGAGGGACCCCGAGTTTGCTGCCTCAAGGGGAATATACAGCGAGAAGCCCTAACTTGAAAGGAGGCCGGATTTCTTTGCTGTGGCTTGAATACAGGCTCGTCTTTCATCTCACAACATGAAGGGATGTCTGAATCCCCTGTGGAGACCTTAGAGAAAGCCCTAGGTCCCTGCCTCATTTTGACGGAATCCTCACATCCCGCTGACACCTCGAGAGGCACGCGGAGTTCATTGCTTCAAAAGGTGACGATGCCTGACTCCTCTTGAATACTGATAGGAATCCCAAAATCCCTGTGGCTAATGGAAAGGGTCCTTGGGTGCCCTGGCTCACCTCGAGAAGCGTCCCTTTTGCCCTGCCAAGCCTCGAAGAGATTGCTGAGGTGTCCCTCGTTACTAGACAGGAGTCCTGACGTCACGGAAGAAACTCGTGTTTTGAAGGGCCATCCCCGCCGTAAGTCGAGAACATACCCCAGGTCCCCGCCGCAACTCGAGAAAAACCATGAGACTTCCCCCTAGAGGCGAGATGAGGCCCCATTCCCCTGCAGTGCATGCAGAGCTATTCCGTGATCCCATTCAAACAAGTCAGGAGCTTCGACTTGCTTAATGGATCTCGAGACAGTCCCCAAGAACACTGTCACCAGTCTAGACGGACCCTGAGGTCACTTAGCAATGCAAAGCAGCTCCATGTGCCCCAAATCAACTCGAGATGAGGCCGGATTCCCCTGCATTGACTCCAGAGCCATTCCTTGTTCCCCATTCAACACGACCGGTGGCTCGACTTCCTTCAGGCAACTCCAGAGATGCCCCGAGAACACTGTCCCAAGTCTAGAGGACCACCAACTTCAGCACAGCAACTCGAGGAATGCTCTGTGTACCCCAAATCGTCTCGAGATGAGAGCTGATTCCCTGGCTTAGGCTCAAGACGTATGCCACCTTTCCAGAAGCACCTCAGGAGGAGGCTTCTCTCAGCAATAGGTATGTGGGAGGGACCCCGAGTTTGCTGCCTCAAGGGGAATATACAGCGAGAAGCCCTAACTTGAAAGGAGGCCGGATTTCCTTGCAGTGGCTTGAATACAGGCTCGTCTTTGATCTGACAACATGAAGGGATGTCTGAATCCCCTGTGGAGACCTTAGAGAAAGCCCTAGGTCCCTGCCTCATTTTGACGGAATGCCTCACATCCCGCTGACACCTCGAGAGGCACGTGGAGTTCATTGCTTCAAAAGGTGACGATGCCTGACTCCTCTTGAATACTGATAGGAATCCCAAAATCCCTGTGGCTACTGGAAAGGGTCCTTGGGTGCCCTGCCTCACCTCGAGAAGCGTCCCTTTTGCCCTGCCAAGCCTCGAAGAGATTCCTGAGGTGTCCCTCGTTACTAGGCAGGAGTCCTGACGTCACTGGAGAAACTCGTGTTTTGAAGGGCCATCCCCGCCATAAGTCGAGAACGTACCCCAGGGCCCAGCCGCAACTCGAGAAAAACCATGAGACTTCCCCCTAGAGGCGAGATGAGGCCCCATTCCCCTGCAGTGCATGCAGAGCTATTCCGTGATCCCATTCAAACAAGTCAGGAGCTTCGACTTGCTTAATGGATCTCGAGGCAGTCCCCAAGAACACTGTCACCAGTCTAGACGGACCCTGAGGTCACCCCAGCAACGCAAAGCAGCTCCAGGTGCCACAAATCAACTCGAGATGAGGCCCGATTCCCCTGCATTGACTCCAGAGCCATTCCCCGTTCCCCATTCAACACGACCAGTGGCTCGACTTCCTTCAGGCAACTCCAGAGATGCCCAGAGAACACTGTCCCAAGTCTAGAGGAACACCAACTTCAGCACCGCAACTCGAGGAATGCTCTGTGTACCACAAATCTTCTCGAGATGAGAGCTGAATCCCTGGCTTAGGCTCAAGACCTATGCCAACTTTCCAGAAGCACCTCAGGAGGAGGCTTCTCTCAGCAATAGGTATGTGGGAGGGACTCCGAGTTTGCTGCCTCAAGGGGAATATACAGCGAGAAGCCCTAACTTGAAAGGAGGCCGGATTTCCTTGCAGTGGCTTGAATACAGGCTCGTCTTTCATCTCACAACATGAAGGGATGTCTGAATCCCCTGTGGAGACCTTAGAGAAAGCCCTAGGTCCCTGCCTCATTTTGACGGAATCCTCACATCCCGCTGACACCTCGAGAGGCACGCGGAGTTCATTGCTTCAAAAGGTGACGATGCCTGACTCCTCTTGAATACTGATAGGAATCCCAAAATCCCTGTGGCTAATGGAAAGGGTCCTTGGGTGCCCTGGCTCACCTCGAGAAGCGTCCCTTTTGCCCTGCCAAGCCTCGAAGAGATTGCTGAGGTGTCCCTCGTTACTAGACAGGAGTCCTGACGTCACCGAAGAAACTCGTGTTTTGAAGGGCCATCCCCGCCGTAAGTCGAGAACATACCCCAGGTCCCCGCCGCAACTCGAGAAAAACCATGAGACTTCCCCCTAGAGGCGAGATGAGGCCCCATTCCCCTGCAGTGCATGCAGAGCTATTCCGTGATCCCATTCAAACAAGTCAGGAGCTTCGACTTGCTTAATGGATCTCGAGACAGTCCCCAAGAACACTGTCACCAGTCTAGACGGACCCTGAGGTCACCCAGCAATGCAAAGCAGCTCCATGTGCCCCAAATCAACTCGAGATGAGGCCGGATTCCCCTGCATTGACTCCAGAGCCATTCCTTGTTCCCCATTCAACACGACCGGTGGCTCGACTTCCTTCAGGCAACTCCAGAGATGCCCCGAGAACACTGTCCCAAGTCTAGAGGACCACCAACTTCAGCACAGCAACTCGAGGAATGCTCTGTGTACCCCAAATCGTCTCGAGATGAGAGCTGATTCCCTGGCTTAGGCTCAAGACGTATGCCAACTTTCCAGAAGCACCTCAGGAGGAGGCTTCTCTCAGCAATAGGTATGTGGGAGGGACTCCGAGATTGCTGCCTCAAGGGGAATATACAGCGAGAAGCCCTAACTTGAAAGGAGGCCGGATTTCCTTGCAGTGGCTTGAATACAGGCTCGTCTTTCATCTCACAACATGAAGGGATGTCTGAATCCCCTGTGGAGACCTTAGAGAAAGCCCTAGGTCCCTACCTCATTTTGACGGAATCCTCACATCCCGCTGACACCTCGAGAGGCACGCGGAGTTCATTGCTTCAAAAGGTGACGATGCCTGACTCCTCTTGAATACTGATAGGAATCCCAAAATCCCTGTGGCTACTGGAAAGGGTCCTTGGGTGCCCTGGCTCACCTCGAGAAGCGTCCCTTTTGCCCTGCCAAGCCTCGAAGAGATTGCTGAGGTGTCCCTCGTTACTAGACAGGAGTCCTGACGTCACGGAAGAAACTCGTGTTTTGAAGGGCCATCCCCGCCGTAAGTCGAGAACATACCCCAGGTCCCCGCCGCAACTCGAGAAAAACCATGAGACTTCCCCCTAGAGGCGAGATGAGGCCCCATTCCCCTGCAGTGCATGCAGAGCTATTCCGTGATCCCATTCAAACAAGTCAGGAGCTTCGACTTGCTTAATGGATCTCGAGACAGTCCCCAAGAACACTGTCACCAGTCTAGACGGACCCTGAGGTCACCCAGCAATGCAAAGCAGCTCCATGTGCCCCAAATCAACTCGACATGAGGCCGGATTCCCCTGCATTGACTCCAGAGCCATTCCTTGTTCCCCATTCAACACGACCGGTGGCTCGACTTCCTTCAGGCAACTCCAGAGATGCCCCGAGAACACTGTCCCAAGTCTAGAGGACCACCAACTTCAGCACAGCAACTCGAGGAATGCTCTGTGTACCTCAAATCATCTCGAGATGAGAGCTGATTCCCTGGCTTAGGCTCAAGACGTATGCCACCTTTCCAGAAGCACCTCAGGAGGAGGCTTCTCTCAGCAATATGTATGTGGGAGGGACCCCGAGTTTGCTGCCTCAAGGGGAATATACAGCGAGAAGCCCTAACTTGAAAGGAGGCCGGATTTCCTTGCAGTGGCTTGAGTACAAGCTCGTCTTTCATCTGACAACATGAAGGGATGTCTGAATCCCCTGTGGAGACCTTAGAGAAAGCCCTAGGTCCCTGCCTCATTTTGACGGAATGCCTCACATCCCGCTGACACCTCGAGAGGCACGCGGAGTTCATTGCTTCAAAAGGTGACGATGCCTGACTCCTCTTGAATACTGATAGGAATCCCAAAATCCCTGTGGCTACTGGAAAGGGTAATTGGGTGCCCTGCCTCACCTCGAGAAGCGTCCCTTTTGCCCTGCCAAGCCTCGAAGAGATTCCTGAGGTGTCCCTCGTTACCAGGCAGGAGTCCTGACGTCACTGGAGAAACTCGTGTTTTGAAGGGCCATCCCCGCCGTAAGTCGAGAACATACCCCAGGGCCCCGCCGCAACTCGAGAAAAACCATGAGACTTCCCCCTAGAAGCGAGATGAGGCCCCATTCCCCTGCAGTGCATGCAGAGCTATTCCGTGATCCCATTCAAACAAGTCAGGAGCTTCGACTTGCTTAATGGATCTCGAGACAGTCCCCAAGAACACTGTCACCAGTCTAGATGGACCCTGAGGTCACCCCAGCAACGCAAAGCAGCTCCAGGTGCCACAAATCAACTCGAGATGAGGCCCGATTCCCCTGCATTGACTCCAGAGCCATTCCCCGTTCCCCATTCAACACGACCGGTGGCTCGACTTCCTTCAGGCAACTCCAGAGATGCCCAGAGAACACTGTCCCAAGTCTAGAGGAACACCAATTTCAGCACAGCAACTCGAGGAATGCTCTGTGTACCACAAATCGTCTCGAGATGAGAGCTGAATCCCTGGCTTAGGCTCAAGACGTATGCCACCTTTCCAGAAGCACCTCAGGAGGAGGCTTCTCTCAGCAATAGGTATGTGGGAGGGACCCCGTGTTTGCTGCCTGAAGGGGAATATACAGCGAGAAGCCCTAACTTGAAAGGAGGCCGGATTTCCTTGCAGTGGCTTGAATACAGGCTCGTCTTTCATCTCACAACATGAAGGGATGTCTGAATCCCCTGTGGAGACCTTAGAGAAAGCCCTAGGTCCCTGCCTCATTTTGACGGAATCCTCACATCCCGCTGACATCTCGAGAGGCACGCGGAGTTCATTGCTTCAAAAGGTGACGATGCCTGACTCCTCTTGAATACTTATAGGAATCCCCAAATCCCTGTGGCTACTGGAAAGGGTCCTTGGGTGCCCTGGCTCACCTCGAGAAGCGTCCCTTTTGCCCTGCCAAGCCTCGAAGAGATTGCTGACGTGTCCCTCGTTACTAGACAGGAGTCCTGACGTCACTGAAGAAACTCGTGTTTTGAAGGGCCATCCCCGCCGTAAGTTGAGAACATACCCCAGTTCCCCGCCGCAACTCGAGAAAAACATGAGACTTCCCTCTAGAGGCGAGATGAGGCCCCATTCCCCTGCAGTGCATGCAGAGCTATTCCGTGATCCCATTCAAACAAGTCAGGAGCTTCGACTTGCTTAATGGATCTCGAGGCAGTCCCCAAGAACACTGTCACCAGTCTAGACGGACCCTGAGGTCAACCCAGCAATGCAAAGCAGCTCCATGTGCCCCAAATCAACTCGAGATGAGGCCCGATTCCCCTGCATTGACTCCAGAGCCATTCCCCGTTCCCCGTTCAACACGAACGGAGGCTCGCCTTCCTTCAGGCAACTCCAGAGATGCCCCGAGAACACTGTCCCAAGTCTAGAGGAACACCAACTTCAGCACAGCAACTCGAGGAATGCTCTGTGTACCCCAAGTCGTCTCAAGATGAGAGCTGATTCCCTGGCTTAGGCTCAAGACGTATGCCACCTTTCCAGAAGCACCTCAGGAGGAGGCTTCTCTCAGCAATAGGTATGTGGGAGGAACCCCGTGTTTGCTGCCTCAAGGGGAATATACAGCGAGAAGCCCTAACTTGAAAGGAGGCCGGATTTCCTTGCAGTGGCTTGAATACAGGCTCGTCTTTCATCTCACAACATGAAGGGATGTCTGAATCCCCTGTGGAGACCTTAGAGAAAGCCCTAGGTCCCTGCCTCATTTTGACGGAATCCTCACATCCCGCTGACACCTCGAGAGGCACGCGGAGTTCATTGCTTCAAAAGGTGACGATGCCTGACTCCTCTTGAATACTTATAGGAATCCCCAAATCCCTGTGGCTACTGGAAAGGGTCCTTGGGTGCCCTGGCTCACCTCGAGAAGCGTCCCTTTTGCCCTGCCAAGCCTCGAAGAGATTGCTGACGTGTCCCTCGTTACTAGACAGGAGTCCTGACGTCACGGAAGAAACTCGTGTTTTGAAGGGCCATCCCCGCCGTAAGTTGAGAACATACCCCAGTTCCCCGCTGCAACTCGAGAAAAACATGAGACTTCCCCCTAGAGGCGAGATGAGGCCCCATTCCCCTGCAGTGCATGCAGAGCTATTCCGTGATCCCATTCAAACAAGTCAGGAGCTTCGACTTGCTTAATGGATCTCGAGACAGTCCCCAAGAACACTGTCACCAGTCTAGACGGACCCTGAGGTCACCCCAGCAACGCAAAGCTTCTCCATGTGCCCCAAATCAACTCGAGATGAGGCCCGATTCCCCTGCATTGACTCCAGAGCCATTCCCCGTTCCCCATTCAACACGACCGGTGGCTCGACTTCCTTCAGGCAACTCCAGAAATGCCCAGAGAACACTGTCCCAAGTCTAGAGGAACACCAACTTCAGCACAGCAACTCGAGGAATGCTCTGTGTACCCCAAATCGTCTCGAGATGAGAGCTGAATCCCTGGCTTAGGCTCAAGACCTATGCCAACTTTCCAGAAGCACCTCAGGAGGAGGCTTCTCTCAGCAATAGGTATGTGGGAGGGACTCCGAGATTGCTGCCTCAAGGGGAATATACAGCGAGAAACCCTAACTTGAAAGGAGGCCGGATTTCCTTGCAGTGGCTTGAATACAGGCTCGTCTTTCATCTCACAACATGAAGGGATGTCTGAATCCCCTGTGGAGACCTTAGAGAAAGCCCTAGGTCCCTGCCTCATTTTGACGGAATCCTCACATCCCGCTGACACCTCGAGAGGCACGCGGAGTTCATTGCTTCAAAAGGTGACGATGCCTGACTCCTCTTGAATACTGATAGGAATCCCAAAATCCCTGTGGCTAATGGAAAGGGTCCTTGGGTGCCCTGGCTCACCTCGAGAAGCGTCCCTTTTGCCCTGCCAAGCCTCGAAGAGATTGCTGAGGTGTCCCTCATTACTAGACAGGAGTCCTGACGTCACGGAAGAAACTCGTGTTTTGAAGGGCCATCCCCGCTGTAAGTCGAGAACATACCCCAGGTCCCCGCCGCAACTCGAGAAAAACCATGAGACTTCCCCCTAGAGGCGAGATGAGGCCCCATTCCCCTGCAGTGCATGCAGAGCTATTCCGTGATCCCATTCAAACAAGTCAGGAGCTTCGACTTGCTTAATGGATCTCGAGACAGTCCCAAGAACACTGTCACCAGTCTAAACGGACCCTGAGGTCACCCCAGCAAAGCAAAGCTGCTCCATGTGCCCCAAATCAACTCGAGATGAGGCCCGATTCCCCTGCATTGACTCCAGAGCCATTCCTTGTTCCCCATTCAACACGACCGGTGGCTCGACTTCCTTCAGGCAACTCCAGGGATGCCCCGAGAACACTGTCCCAAGTCTAGAGGAACACCAACTTCAGCACAGCAACTCGAGGAATGCTCTGTGTACCCCAAATCGTCTCGAGATGAGAGCTGATTCCCTGGCTTAGGCTCAAGACGTATGCCACCTTTCCAGAAGCACCTCAGGAGGAGGCTTCTCTCAGCAATAGGTATGTGGGAGGGACCCCGAGTTTGCTGCCTCAAGGGGAATATACAGCGAGAAGCCCTAACTTGAAAGGAGGCCGGATTTCCTTGCAGTGGCTTGAGTACAGGCTCGTCTTTGATCTGACAACATGAAGGGATGTCTGAATCCCCTGTGGAGACCTTAGAGAAAGCCCTAGGTCCCTGCCTCATTTTAACGGAATGCCTCACATCCCACTGACACCTCGAGAGGCACTTGGAGTTCATTGCTTCAAAAGGTGACGATGCCTGACTCCTCTTGAATACTGATAGGAATCCCAAAATCCCTGTGGCTACTGGAAAGGGTCCTTGGGTGCCCTGCCTCACCTCGAGAAGCGTCCCTTTTGCCCTGCCAAGCCTCGAAGAGATTCCTGAGGTGTCCCTCGTTACCAGGCAGGAGTCCTGACGTCACTGGAGAAACTCGTGTTTTGAAGGGCCATCCCCGCCGTAAGTCGAGATCATACCCCAGGTCCCCGCCGCAACTCGAGAAAAACCATGAGACTTCCCCCTAGAGGCGAGATGAGGCCCCATTCCCCTGCAGTGCATGCAGAGCTATTCCTTGATCCCATTCAAACAAGTCAGGAGCTTCGACTTGCTTAATGGATCTCGAGGCAGTCCCCAAGAACACTGTCACCAGTCTAGACGGACCCTGAGGTCACCCCAGCAACGCAAAGCAGCTCCAGGTGCCACAAATCAACTCGAGATGAGGCCCGATTCCCCTGCATTGACTCCAGAGCCATTCCCCGTTCCCCATTCAACACGACCGGTGGCTCGACTTCCTTCAGGCAACTCCAGAGATGCCCCGAGAACACTGTCCCAAGTCTAGAGGAACACCAACTTCAGCACAGCAACTCGAGGAATGCTCTGTGTACCCCAAATCGTCTCGAGATGAGAGCTGAATCCCTGGCTTAGGCTCAAGACGTATGCCAACTTTCCAGAAGCACCTCAGGAGGAGGCTTCTCTCAGCAATAGGTATGTGGGAGGGACTCCGAGATTGCTGCCTCAAGGGGAATATACAGCGAGAAGCCCTAACTTGAAAGGAGGCCGGATTTCTTTGCAGTGGCTTGAATACAGGCTCGTCTTTCATCTCACAACATGAAGGGATGTCTGAATCCCCTGTGGAGACCTTAGAGAAAGCCCTAGGTCCCTGCCTCATTTTGACGGAATCCTCACATCCCGCTGACACCTCGAGAGGCACGCGGAGTTCATTGCTTCGAAAGGTGACGATGCCTGACTCCTCTTGAATACTGATAGGAATCCCAAAATCCCTGTGGCTACTGGAAAGGGTCCTTGGGTGCCCTGGCTCACCTCCAGAAGCGTCCCTTTTGCCCTGCCAAGCCTCGAAGAGATTGCTGAGGTGTCCCTCGTTACTAGACAGGAGTCCTGACGTCACGGAAGAAACTCGTGTTTTGAAGGGCCATCCCCGCCGTAAGTGGAGAACATACCCCAGGTCCCCGCCGCAACTCGAGAAAAACAATGAGACTTCCCCCTAGAGGCGAGATGAGGCCCCATTCCCTTGCAGTGCATGCAGAGCTATTCCGTGATCCCATTCAAACAAGTCAGCAGCTTCGACTTGCTTAATGGATCTCGAGACAGTCCCCAAGAACACTGTCACCAGTCTAGACGGACCCTGAGGTCACCCAGCAATGCAAAGCAGCTCCATGTGCCCCAAATCAACTCGAGATGAGGCCGGATTCCCCTGCATTGACTCCAGAGCCATTCCTTGTTCCCCATTCAACACGACCGGTGGCTCGACTTCCTTCAGGCAACTCCAGAGATGCCCCGAGAACACTGTCCCAAGTCTAGAGGACCACCAACTTCAGCACAGCAACTCGAGGAATGCTCTGTGTACCCCAAATCGTCTCGAGACGAGAGCTGTTTCCCTGGCTTAGGCTCAAGACGTATGCCACCTTTCCAGAAGCACCTCAGGAGGAGGCTTCTCTCAGCAATATGTATGTGGGAGGGACCCCGAGTTTGCTGCCTCAAGGAGAATATACAGCGAGAAGCCCTAACTTGAAAGGAGGCCGGATTTCCTTGCAGTGGCTTGAATACAGGCTCGTCTTTGATCTGACAACATGAAGGGATGTTTGAATCCCCTGTGGAGACCTTAGAGAAAGCCCTAGGTCCCTGCCTCATTTTGACGGAATCCTCACATCCCGCTGACACCTCGAGAGGCACGCGGAGTTCATTGCTTCAAAAGGTGACGATGCCTGACTCCTCTTGAATACTTATAGGAATCCCCAAATGCCTGTGGCTACTGGAAAGGGTCCTTGGGTGCCCTGGCTCACCTCGAGAAGCGTCCCTTTTGCCCTGCCAAGCCTCGAAGAGATTGCTGACGTGTCCCTCGTTACTAGACAGGAGTCCTGACGTCACTGAAGAAACTCGTGTTTTGAAGGGCCATCCCCGCCGTAAGTTGAGAACATACCCCAGGTCCCCGCCGCAACTCGAGAAAAACATGAGACTTCCCCCTAGAGGCGAGATGAGGCCCCATTCCCCTGCAGTGCATGCAGAGCTATTCCTTGATCCCATTCAAACAAGTCAGGAGCTTCGACTTGCTTAATGGATCTCGAGGCAGTCCCCAAGAACACTGTCACCAGTCTAGACGGACCCTGAGGTCACCCCAGCAACGCAAAGCAGCTCCAGGTGCCACAAATCAACTCGAGATGAGGCCCGATTCCCCTGCATTGACTCCAGAGCCATTCCCCGTTCCCCATTCAACACGACCGGTGGCTCGACTTCCTTCAGGCAACTCCAGAGATGCCCAGAGAACACTGTCCCAAGTCTAGAGGAACAACAACTTCAGCACAGCAACTCGAGGAATGCTCTGTGTACCCCAAATCGTCTCGAGATGAGAGATGAATCCCTGGCTTAGGCTCAAGACGTATGCCAACTTTCCAGAAGCACCTCAGGAGGAGGCTTCTCTCAGCAATAGGTATGTGGGAGGGACTCCGAGATTGCTGCCTCAAGGGGAATATACAGCGAGAAGCCCTAACTTGAAAGGAGGCCGGATTTCTTTGCAGTGGCTTGAATACAGGCTCGTCTTTCATCTCACAACATGAAGGGATGTCTGAATCCCCTGTGGAGACCTTAGAGAAAGCCCTAGGTCCCTGCCTCATTTTGACGGAATCCTCACATCCCGCTGACACCTCGAGAGGCACGCGGAGTTCATTGCTTCAAAAGGTGATGATGCCTGACTCCTCTTGAATACTGATAGGAATCCCAAAATCCCTGTGGCTAATGGAAAGGGTCCTTGGGTGCCCTGGCTCACCTCGAGAAGCGTCCCTTTTGCCCTGCCAAGCCTCGAAGAGATTGCTGAGGTGTCCCTCGTTACTAGACAGGAGTCCTGACGTCACGGAAGAAACTCGTGTTTTGAAGGGCCATCCCCGCCGTAAGTCGAGAACATACCCCAGGTCCCCGCCGCAACTCGAGAAAAACCATGAGACTTCCCCCTAGAGGCGAGATGAGGCCCCATTCCCCTGCAGTGCATGCAGAGCTATTCCGTGATCCCATTCAAACAAGTCAGGAGCTTCGACTTGGTTAATGGATATCGAGACAGTCCCCAAGAACACTGTCACCAGTCTAGACGGACCCTGAGGTCACCCAGCAATGCAAAGCAGCTCCATGTGCCCCAAATCAACTCGAGATGAGGCCGGATTCCCCTGCATTGACTCCAGAGCCATTCCTTGTTCCCCATTCAACACGACCGGTGGCTCGACTTCCTTCAGGCAACTCCAGAGATGCCCAGAGAACACTGTCCCAAGTCTAGAGGAACACCAACTTCAGCACAGCAACTCGAGGAATGCTCTGTGTACCACAAATCGTCTCGAGATGAGAGCTGAATCCCTGGCTTAGGCTCAAGACCTATGCCAACTTTCCAGAAGCACCTCAGGAGGAGGTTTCTCTCAGCAATAGGTATGTGGGAGTGACTCCGAGTTTGCTGCCTCAAGGGGAATATACAGCGAGAAGCCCTAACTTGAAAGGAGGCCGGATTTCCTTGCAGTGGCTTGAATACAGGCTCGTCTTTCATCTCACAACATGAAGGGATGTCTGAATCCCCTGTGGAGACCTTAGAGAAAGCCCTAGGTCCCTGCCTCATTTTGACGGAATCCTCACATCCCGCTGACAACTCGAGAGGCACGCGGAGTTCATTGCTTCAAAAGGTGACGATGCCTGACTCCTCTTGAATACTGATAGGAATCCCAAAATCCCTGTGGCTACTGGAAAGGGTCCTTGGGTGCCCTGGCTCACCTCTAGAAGCGTCCCTTTTGCCCTGCCAAGCCTCGAAGAGTTTGCTGAGGTGTCCCTCGTTACTAGACAGGAGTCCTGACGTCACTGAAGAAACTCGTGTTTTGAAGGGCCATCCCCGCCGTAAGTCGAGAACATACCCCAGGTCCCCGCCGCAACTCGAGAAAAACCATGAGACTTCCCCCTAGAGGCGAGATGAGGCCCCATTCCCCTGCAGTGCATGCAGAGCTATTCCGTGATCCCATTCAAACAAGTCAGGAGCTTCGACTTGCTTAATGGATCTCGAGACAGTCCCCAAGAACACTGTCACCAGTCTAGACGGACCCTGAGGTCACCCCAGCAACGCAAAGCTGCTCCATGTGCCCCAAATCAACTCGAGATGAGGCCCGATTCCCCTGCATTGACTCCAGAGCCATTCCCCGTTCCCCATTCAACACGACCGGTGGCTCGACTTCCTTCAGGCAACTCCAGGGATGCCCCGAGAACACTGTCCCAAGTCTAGAGGAATACCAACTTCAGCACAGCAACTCGAGGAATGCTCTGTGTACCGCAAATCGTCTCGAGATGAGAGCTGATTCCCTGGCTTAGGCTCAAGACGTATGCCACCTTTCCAGAAGCACCTCAGGAGGAGGCTTCTCTCAGCAATAGGTATGTGGGAGGGACCCCGAGTTTGCTGCCTCAAGGGGAATATACAGCGAGAAGCCCTATCTTGAAAGGAGGCCGGATTTCCTTGCAGTGGCTTGAGTACAGGCTCGTCTTTGATCTGACAACATGAAGGGATGTCTGAATCACCTGTGGAGACCTTAGAGAAAGCCCTAGGTCCCTGCCTCATTTTGACGGAATGCCTCACATCCCGCTGACACCTCGAGAGGCACGCGGAGTTCATTGCTTCAAAAGGTGACGATGCCTGACTCCTCTTGAATACTGATAATAATCCCAAAATCCCTGTGGCTACTGGAAAGGGTCCTTGGGTGCCCTGCCTCACCTCGAGAAGCGTCCCTTTTGCCCTGCCAAGCCTTGAAGAGATTCCTGAGGTGTCCCTCGTTACTAGGCAGGAGTCCTGACGTCACTGGAGAAACTCGTGTTTTGAAGGGCCATCCCTGCCGTAAGTCGAGAACATACCCCAGGGCCCCGCCGCAACTCGAGAAAAACCATGAGACTTCCCCCTAGAGGCGAGATGAGGCCCCATTCCCCTGCAGTGCATGCAGAGCTATTCCGTGATCCCATTCAAACAAGTCAGGAGCTTCGACTTGCTTAATGGATCTCGAGGCAGTCCCCAAGAACACTGTCACCAGTCTAGACGGACCCTGAGGTCACCCAGCAATGCAAAGCAGCTCCAGGTGCCCCAAATCAACTCGAGATGAGGCCGGATTCCCCTGCATTGACTCCAGAGCCATTCCTTGTTCCCCATTCAACACGACCGGTGGCTCGACTTCCTTCAGGCAACTCCAGAGATGCCCCGAGAACACTGTCCCAAGTCTAGAGGACCACCAACTTCAGTACAGCAACTCGAGGAATGCTCTGTGTACCCCAAATCATCTCGAGATGAGAGCTGATTCCCTGGCTTAGGCTCAAGACGTATGCCACCTTTCCAGAAGCACCTCAGGAGGAGGCTTCTCTCAGCAATAGGTATGTGGGAGGGACCCCGAGTTTGCTGCCTCAAGGGGAATATACAGCGAGAGGCCCTAACTTGAAAGGACGCCGGATTTCCTTGCAGTGGCTTGAATACAGGCTCGTCTTTCATCTCACAACATGAAGGGATGTCTGAATCCCCTGTGGAGACCTTAGAGAAAGCCCTAGGTCCCTGCCTCATTTTGACGGAATCCTCACATCCCGCTGACACCTCGAGAGGCACGCGGAGTTCATTGCTTCAAAAGGTGACGATGCCTGACTCCTCTTGAATACTGATAATAATCCCAAAATCCCTGTGGCTACTGGAAAGGGTCCTTGGGTGCCCTGCCTCACCTCGAGAAGCGTCCCTTTTGCCCTGCCAAGCCTCGAAGAGATTCCTGAGGTGTCCCTCGTTACTAGACAGGAGTCCTGACGTCACTGGAGAAACTCGTGTTTTGAAGGGCCATCCCCGCCGTAAGTCGAGAACATACCCCAGGGCCCCGCCGCAACTCGAGAAAAACCATGAGACTTCCCCCTAGAGGCGAGATGAGGCCCCATTCCCCTGCAGTGCATGCAGAGCTATTCCGTGATCCCATTCAAACAAGTCAGGAGCTTCGACTTGCTTAATGGATCTCGAGGCAGTCCCCAAGAACACTGTCACCAGTCTAGACGGACCCTGAGGTCACCCCAGCAACGCAAAGCAGCTCCAGGTGCCACAAATCAACTCGAGATGAGGCCCGATTCCCCTGCATTGACTCCAGAGCCATTCCCCGTTCCCCATTCAACACGACCGGTGGCTCGACTTCCTTCAGGCATCTCCAGAGATGCCCAGAGAACACTGTCCCAAGTCTAGAGGAACACCAATTTCAGCACAGCAACTCGAGGAATGCTCTGTGTACCACAAATCGTCTCAAGATGAGAGCTGAATCCCTGGCTTAGGCTCAAGACGTATGCCAACTTTCCAGAAGCACCTCAGGAGGAGGCTTCTCTCAGCAATAGGTATGTGGGAGGGACTCCGAGTTTGCTGCCGCAAGGGGAATATACAGCGAGAAGCCCTAACTTGAAAGGAGGCCGGATTTCCTTGCAGTGGCTTGAATACAGGCTCGTCTTTCATCTCACAACATGAAGGGATGTCTGAATCCCCTGTGGAGACCTTAGAGAAAGCCCTAGGTCCCTGCCTCATTTTGACGGAATCCTCACATCCCGCTGACACCTCGAGAGGCCCGCGGAGTTCATTGCTTTGAAAGGTGACGATGCCTGACTCCTCTTGAATACTGATAGGAATCCCAAAATCCCTGTGGCTACTGGAAAGGGTCCTTGGGTGCCCTGGCTCACCTCGAGAAGCGTCCCTTTTGCCCTGCCAAGCCTCGAAGAGATTGCTGAGGTGTCCCTCGTTACTAGACAGGAGTCCTGACGTCACGGAAGAAACTCGTGTTTTGAAGGGCCATCTCCGCCGTAAGTCGAGAACATACCCCAGGTCCCCGCCGCAACTCGAGAAAAACCATGAGACTTCCCCCTAGAGGCGAGATGAGGCCCCATTCCCCTGCAGTGCATGCAGAGCTATTCCGTGATCCCATTCAAACAAGTCAGGAGCTTCGACTTGCTTAATGGATCTCGAGACAGTCCCCAAGAACACTGTCACCAGTCTAGACGGACCCTGAGGTCACCCAGCAATGCAAAGCAGCTCCATGTGCCCCAAATCAACTCGACATGAGGCCGGATTCCCCTGCATTGACTCCAGAGCCATTCCTTGTTCCCCATTCAACACGACCGGTGGCTCGACTTCCTTCAGGCAACTCCAGAGATGCCCCGAGAACACTGTCCCAAGTCTAGAGGACCACCAACTTCAGCACAGCAACTCGAGGAATGCTCTGTGTACCTCAAATCATCTCGAGATGAGAGCTGATTCCCTGGCTTAGGCTCAAGACGTATGCCACCTTTCCAGAAGCACCTCAGGAGGAGGCTTCTCTCAGCAATAGGTATGTGGGAGGGACCCCGAGTTTGCTGCCTCAAGGGGAATATACAGCGAGAAGCCCTAACTTGAAAGGAGGCCGGATTTCCTTGCAGTGGCTTGAGTACAGGCTCGTCTTTGATCTGACAACATGAAGGGATGTCTGAATCCCCTGTGGAGACCTTAGAGAAAGCCCTAGGTCCCTGCCTCATTTTGACGGAATGCCTCACATCCCGCTGACACCTCGAGAGGCACGCGGAGTTCATTGCTTCAAAAGGTGACGATGCCTGACTCCTCTTGAATACTGATAGGAATCCCAAAATCCCTGTGGCTACTGGAAAGGGTCCTTGGGTGCCCTGCCTCACCTCGAGAAGCGTCCCTTTTGCCCTGCCAAGCCTCGAAGAGATTCCTGAGGTGTCCCTCGTTACCAGGCAGGAGTCCTGACGTCACTGGAGAAACTCGTGTTTTGAAGGGCCATCCCCGCGGTAAGTCGAGAACATACCCCAGGGCCCCGCCGCAACTCGAGAAAAACCATGAGACTTCCCCCTAGAAGCGAGATGAGGCCCCATTCCCCTGCAGTGCATGCAGAGCTATTCCGTGATCCCATTCAAACAAGTCAGGAGCTTCGACTTGCTTAATGGATCTCGAGGCAGTCCCCAAGAACACTGTCACCAGTCTAGATGGACCCTGAGGTCACCCCAGCAACGCAAAGCAGCTCCAGGTGCCACAAATCAACTCGAGATGAGGCCCGATTCCCCTGCATTGACTCCAGAGCCATTCCCCGTTCCCCATTCAACACGACCGGTGGCTCGACTTCCTTCAGGCAACTCCAGAGATGCCCAGAGAACACTGTCCCAAGTCTAGAGGAACACCAATTTCAGCACAGCAACTCGAGGAATGCTCTGTGTACCACAAATCGTCTCGAGATGAGAGCTGAATCCCTGGCTTAGGCTCAAGACGTATGCCAACTTTCCAGAAGCACCTCAGGAGGAGGCTTCTCTCAGCAATAGGTATGTGGGAGGGACTCCGAGTTTGCTGCCTCAAGGGGAATATACAGCGAGAAGCCCTAACTTGAAAGGAGGCCGGATTTCCTTGCAGTGGCTTGAATACAGGCTCGTCTTTCATCTCACAACATGAAGGGATGTCTGAATCCTCTGTGGAGACCTTAGAGAAAGCTCTAGGTCCCTGCCTCATTTTAACGGAATCCTCACATCCCGCTGACACCTCGAGAGGCACGCGGAGTTCATTGCTTCGAAAGGTGACGATGCCTGAGTCCTCTTGAATACTGATAGGAATCCCAAAATCCCTGTGGCTACTGGAAAGGGTCCTTGGGTGCCCTGGCTCACCTCGAGAAGCGTCCCTTTTGCCCTGCCAAGCCTCGAAGAGATTGCTGAGGTGTCCCTCGTTACTAGACAGGAGTCCTGACGTCACGGAAGAAACTCGTGTTTTGAAGGGCCATCCCCGCCGTAAGTCGAGAACATATCCCTGGTCCCCTCCGCAACTCGAGAAAAACAATGAGACTTCCCCCTAGAGGCGAGATGAGGCCCCATTCCCTTGCAGTGCATGCAGAGCTATTCCGTGATCCCATTCAAACAAGTCAGCAGCTTCGACTTGCTTAATGGATCTCGAGACAGTCCCCAAGAACACTGTCACCAGTCTAGACGGACCCTGAGGTCACCCAGCAATGCAAAGCAGCTCCATGTGCCCCAAATCAACTCGAGATGAGGCCGGATTCCCCTGCATTGACTCCAGAGCCATTCCTTGTTCCCCATTCAACACGACCGGTGGCTCGACTTCCTTCAGGCAACTCCAGAGATGCCCCGAGAACACTGTCCCAAGTCTAGAGGACCACCAACTTCAGCACAGCAACTCGAGGAATGCTCTGTGTACCCCAAATCGTCTCGAGACGAGAGCTGATTCCCTGGCTTAGGCTCAAGACATATGCCACCTTTCCAGAAGCACCTCAGGAGGAGGCTTCTCTCAGCAATAGGTATGTGGGAGGGACCCCGAGTTTGCTGCCTCAAGGGGAATATACAGCGAGAAGCCCTAACTTGAAAGGAGGCCGGATTTCCTTGCAGTGGCTTGAATACAGGCTCGTCTTTGATCTGACAACATGAAGGGATGTTTGAATCCCCTGTGGAGACCTTAGAGAAATCCCTAGGTCCCTGCCTCATTTTGACGGAATCCTCACATCCCGCTGACACCTCGAGAGGCACGCGGAGTTCATTGCTTCAAAAGGTGACGATGCCTGACTCCTCTTGAATACTTATAGGAATCCCCAAATGCCTGTGGCTACTGGAAAGGGTCCTTGGGTGCCCTGGCTCACCTCGAGAAGCGTCCCTTTTGCCCTGCCAAGCCTCGAAGAGATTGCTGACGTGTCCCTCGTTACTAGACAGGAGTCCTGACGTCACTGAAGAAACTCGTGTTTTGAAGGGCCATCCTCGCCGTAAGTCGAGAACATACCCCAGTTCCCCGCCGCAACTCGAGAAAAACATGAGACTTCCCCCTAGAGGCGAGATGAGGCCCCATTCCCCTGCAGTGCATGCAGAGCTATTCCTTGATCCCATTCAAACAAGTCAGGAGCTTCGACTTGCTTAATGGATCTCGAGGCAGTCCCCAAGAACACTGTCACCAGTCTAGACGGACCCTGAGGTCACCCCAGCAACGCAAAGCAGCTCCAGGTGCCACAAATCAACTCGAGATGAGGCCCGATTCCCCTGCATTGACTCCAGAGCCATTCCCCGTTCCCCATTCAACACGACCGGTGGCTCGACTTCCTTCAGGCAACTCCAGAGATGCCCAGAGAACACTGTCCCAAGTCTAGAGGAACACCAACTTCAGCACAGCAACTCGAGGAATGCTCTGTGTACCCCAAATCGTCTCGAGATGAGAGCTGAATCCCTGGCTTAGGCTCAAGACGTATGCCAACTTTCCAGAAGCACCTCAGGAGGAGGCTTCTCTCAGCAATAGGTATGTGGGAGGGACCCCGAGTTTGCTGCCTCAAGGGGAATATACAGCGAGAAGCCCTAACTTGAAAGGAGGCCGGATTTCTTTGCTGTGGCTTGAATACAGGCTCGTCTTTCATCTCACAACATGAAGGGATGTCTGAATCCCCTGTGGAGACCTTAGAGAAAGCCCTAGGTCCCTGCCTCATTTTGACGGAATCCTCACATCCCGCTGACACCTCGAGAGGCACGCGGAGTTCATTGCTTCAAAAGGTGACGATGCCTGACTCCTCTTGAATACTGATAGGAATCCCAAAATCCCTGTGGCTAATGGAAAGGGTCCTTGGGTGCCCTGGCTCACCTCGAGAAGCGTCCCTTTTGCCCTGCCAAGCCTCGAAGAGATTGCTGAGGTGTCCCTCGTTACTAGACAGGAGTCCTGACGTCACGGAAGAAACTCGTGTTTTGAAGGGCCATCCCCGCCGTAAGTCGAGAACATACCCCAGGTCCCCGCCGCAACTCGAGAAAAACCATGAGACTTCCCCCTAGAGGCGAGATGAGGCCCCATTCCCCTGCAGTGCATGCAGAGCTATTCCGTGATCCCATTCAAACAAGTCAGGAGCTTCGACTTGCTTAATGGATCTCGAGACAGTCCCCAAGAACACTGTCACCAGTCTAGACGGACCCTGAGGTCACTTAGCAATGCAAAGCAGCTCCATGTGCCCCAAATCAACTCGAGATGAGGCCGGATTCCCCTGCATTGACTCCAGAGCCATTCCTTGTTCCCCATTCAACACGACCGGTGGCTCGACTTCCTTCAGGCAACTCCAGAGATGCCCCGAGAACACTGTCCCAAGTCTAGAGGACCACCAACTTCAGCACAGCAACTCGAGGAATGCTCTGTGTACCCCAAATCGTCTCGAGATGAGAGCTGATTCCCTGGCTTAGGCTCAAGACGTATGCCACCTTTCCAGAAGCACCTCAGGAGGAGGCTTCTCTCAGCAATAGGTATGTGGGAGGGACCCCGAGTTTGCTGCCTCAAGGGGAATATACAGCGAGAAGCCCTAACTTGAAAGGAGGCCGGATTTCCTTGCAGTGGCTTGAATACAGGCTCGTCTTTGATCTGACAACATGAAGGGATGTCTGAATCCCCTGTGGAGACCTTAGAGAAAGCCCTAGGTCCCTGCCTCATTTTGACGGAATGCCTCACATCCCGCTGACACCTCGAGAGGCACGTGGAGTTCATTGCTTCAAAAGGTGACGATGCCTGACTCCTCTTGAATACTGATAGGAATCCCAAAATCCCTGTGGCTACTGGAAAGGGTCCTTGGGTGCCCTGCCTCACCTCGAGAAGCGTCCCTTTTGCCCTGCCAAGCCTCGAAGAGATTCCTGAGGTGTCCCTCGTTACTAGGCAGGAGTCCTGACGTCACTGGAGAAACTCGTGTTTTGAAGGGCCATCCCCGCCATAAGTCGAGAACGTACCCCAGGGCCCAGCCGCAACTCGAGAAAAACCATGAGACTTCCCCCTAGAGGCGAGATGAGGCCCCATTCCCCTGCAGTGCATGCAGAGCTATTCCGTGATCCCATTCAAACAAGTCAGGAGCTTCGACTTGCTTAATGGATCTCGAGGCAGTCCCCAAGAACACTGTCACCAGTCTAGACGGACCCTGAGGTCACCCCAGCAACGCAAAGCAGCTCCAGGTGCCACAAATCAACTCGAGATGAGGCCCGATTCCCCTGCATTGACTCCAGAGCCATTCCCCGTTCCCCATTCAACACGACCAGTGGCTCGACTTCCTTCAGGCAACTCCAGAGATGCCCAGAGAACACTGTCCCAAGTCTAGAGGGACACCAACTTCAGCACCGCAACTCGAGGAATGCTCTGTGTACCACAAATCGTCTCGAGATGAGAGCTGAATCCCTGGCTTAGGCTCAAGACCTATGCCAACTTTCCAGAAGCACCTCAGGAGGAGCCTTCTCTCAGCAATAGGTATGTGGGAGGGACTCCGAGTTTGCTGCCTCAAGGGGAATATACAGCGAGAAGCCCTAACTTGAAAGGAGGCCGGATTTCCTTGCAGTGGCTTGAATACAGGCTCGTCTTTCATCTCACAACATGAAGGGATGTCTGAATCCCCTGTGGAGACCTTAGAGAAAGCCCTAGGTCCCTGCCTCATTTTGACGGAATCCTCACATCCCGCTGACACCTCGAGAGGCACGCGGAGTTCATTGCTTCAAAAGGTGACGATGCCTGACTCCTCTTGAATACTGATAGGAATCCCAAAATCCCTGTGGCTAATGGAAAGGGTCCTTGGGTGCCCTGGCTCACCTCGAGAAGCGTCCCTTTTGCCCTGCCAAGCCTCGAAGAGATTGCTGAGGTGTCCCTCGTTACTAGACAGGAGTCCTGACGTCACGGAAGAAACTCGTGTTTTGAAGGGCCATCCCCGCCGTAAGTCGAGAACATACCCCAGGTCCCCGCCGCAACTCGAGAAAAACCATGAGACTTCCCCCTAGAGGCGAGATGAGGCCCCATTCCCCTGCAGTGCATGCAGAGCTATTCCGTGATCCCATTCAAACAAGTCAGGAGCTTCGACTTGCTTAATGGATCTCGAGACAGTCCCCAAGAACACTGTCACCAGTCTAGACGGACCCTGAGGTCACCCAGCAATGCAAAGCAGCTCCATGTGCCCCAAATCAACTCGAGATGAGGCCGGATTCCCCTGCATTGACTCCAGAGCCATTCCTTGTTCCCCATTCAACACGACCGGTGGCTCGACTTCCTTCAGGCAACTCCAGAGATGCCCCGAGAACACTGTCCCAAGTCTAGAGGACCACCAACTTCAGCACAGCAACTCGAGGAATGCTCTGTGTACCCCAAATCGTCTCGAGATGAGAGATGATTCCCTGGCTTAGGCTCAAGACGTATGCCAACTTTCCAGAAGCACCTCAGGAGGAGGCTTCTCTCAGCAATAGGTATGTGGGAGGGACTCCGAGATTGCTGCCTCAAGGGGAATATACAGCGAGAAGCCCTAACTTGAAAGGAGGCCGGATTTCCTTGCAGTGGCTTGAATACAGGCTCGTCTTTCATCTCACAACATGAAGGGATGTCTGAATCCCCTGTGGAGACCTTAGAGAAAGCCCTAGGTCCCTACCTCATTTTGACGGAATCCTCACATCCCGCTGACACCTCGAGAGGCACGCGGAGTTCATTGCTTCAAAAGGTGACGATGCCTGACTCCTCTTGAATACTGATAGGAATCCCAAAATCCCTGTGGCTACTGGAAAGGGTCCTTGGGTGCCCTGGCTCACCTCGAGAAGCGTCCCTTTTGCCCTGCCAAGCCTCGAAGAGATTGCTGAGGTGTCCCTCGTTACTAGACAGGAGTCCTGACGTCACGGAAGAAACTCGTGTTTTGAAGGGCCATCCCCGCCGTAAGTCGAGAACATACCCCAGGTCCCCGCCGCAACTCGAGAAAAACCATGAGACTTCCCCCTAGAGGCGAGATGAGGCCCCATTCCCCTGCAGTGCATGCAGAGCTATTCCGTGATCCCATTCAAACAAGTCAGGAGCTTCGACTTGCTTAATGGATCTCGAGACAGTCCCCAAGAACACTGTCACAAGTCTAGACGGACCCTGAGGTCACCCAGCAATGCAAAGCAGCTCCATGTGCCCCAAATCAACTCGAGATGAGGCCGGATTCCCCTGCATTGACTCCAGAGCCATTCCTTGTTCCCCATTCAACACGACCGGTGGCTCGACTTCCTTCAGGCAACTCCAGAGATGCCCCGAGAACACTGTCCCAAGTCTAGAGGACCACCAACTTCAGCACAGCAACTCGAGGAATGCACTGTGTACCTCAAATCATCTCGAGATGAGAGCTGATTCCCTGGCTTAGGCTCAAGACGTATGCCACCTTTCCAGAAGCACCTCAGGAGGAGGCTTCTCTCAGCAATAGGTATGTGGGAGGGACCCCGAGTTTGCTGCCTCAAGGGGAATATACAGCGAGAAGCCCTAACTTGAAAGGAGGCCGGATTTCCTTGCAGTGGCTTGAGTACAGGCTCGTCTTTCATCTGACAACATGAAGGGATGTCTGAATCCCCTGTGGAGACCTTAGAGAAAGCCCTAGGTCCCTGCCTCATTTTGACGGAATGCCTCACATCCCGCTGACACCTCGAGAGGCACGCGGAGTTCATTGCTTCAAAAGGTGACGATGCCTGACTCCTCTTGAATACTGATAGGAATCCCAAAATCCCTGTGGCTACTGGAAAGGGTCCTTGGGTGCCCTGCCTCACCTCGAGAAGCGTCCCTTTTGCCCTGCCAAGCCTCGAAGAGATTCCTGAGGTGTCCCTCGTTACCAGGCAGGAGTCCTGACGTCACTGGAGAAACTCGTGTTTTGAAGGGCCATCCCCGCCGTAAGTCGAGAACATACCCCAGGGCCCCGCCGCAACTCGAGAAAAACCATGAGACTTCCCCCTAGAAGCGAGATGAGGCCCCATTCCCCTGCAGTGCATGCAGAGCTATTCCGTGATCCCATTCAAACAAGTCAGGAGCTTCGACTTGCTTAATGGATCTCGAGACAGTCCCCAAGAACACTGTCACCAGTCTAGATGGACCCTGAGGTCACCCCAGCAACGCAAAGCAGCTCCAGGTGCCACAAATCAACTCGAGATGAGGCCCGATTCCCCTGCATTGACTCCAGAGCCATTCCCCGTTCCCCATTCAACACGACCGGTGGCTCGACTTCCTTCAGGCAACTCCAGAGATGCCCAGAGAACACTGTCCCAAGTCTAGAGGAACACCAATTTCAGCACAGCAACTCGAGGAATGCTCTGTGTACCACAAATCGTCTCGAGATGAGAGCTGAATCCCTGGCTTAGGCTCAAGACGTATGCCACCTTTCCAGAAGCACCTCAGGAGGAGGCTTCTCTCAGCAATAGGTATGTGGGAGGGACCCCGTGTTTGCTGCCTGAAGGGGAATATACAGCGAGAAGCCCTAACTTGAAAGGAGGCCGGATTTCCTTGCAGTGGCTTGAATACAGGCTCGTCTTTCATCTCACAACATGAAGGGATGTCTGAATCCCCTGTGGAGACCTTAGAGAAAGCCCTAGGTCCCTGCCTCATTTTGACGGAATCCTCACATCCCGCTGACATCTCGAGAGGCACGCGGAGTTCATTGCTTCAAAAGGTGACGATGCCTGACTCCTCTTGAATACTTATAGGAATCCCCAAATCCCTGTGGCTACTGGAAAGGGTCCTTGGGTGCCCTGGCTCACCTCGAGAAGCGTCCCTTTTGCCCTGCCAAGCCTCGAAGAGATTGCTGACGTGTCCCTCGTTACTAGACAGGAGTCCTGACGTCACTGAAGAAACTCGTGTTTTGAAGGGCCATCCCCGCCGTAAGTTGAGAACATACCCCAGTTCCCCGCCGCAACTCGAGAAAAACATGAGACTTCCCTCTAGAGGCGAGATGAGGCCCCATTCCCCTGCAGTGCATGCAGAGCTATTCCGTGATCCCATTCAAACAAGTCAGGAGCTTCGACTTGCTTAATGGATCTCGAGGCAGTCCCCAAGAACACTGTCACCAGTCTAGACGGACCCTGAGGTCAACCCAGCAATGCAAAGCAGCTCCATGTGCCCCAAATCAACTCGAGATGAGGCCCGATTCCCCTGCATTGACTCCAGAGCCATTCCCCGTTCCCCGTTCAACACGAACGGAGGCTCGCCTTCCTTCAGGCAACTCCAGAGATGCCCCGAGAACACTGTCCCAAGTCTAGAGGAACACCAACTTCAGCACAGCAACTCGAGGAATGCTCTGTGTACCCCAAGTCGTCTCAAGATGAGAGCTGATTCCCTGGCTTAGGCTCAAGACGTATGCCACCTTTCCAGAAGCACCTCAGGAGGAGGCTTCTCTCAGCAATAGGTATGTGGGAGGGACCCCGTGTTTGCTGCCTCAAGGGGAATATACAGCGAGAAGCCCTAACTTGAAAGGAGGCCGGATTTCCTTGCAGTGGCTTGAATACAGGCTCGTCTTTCATCTCACAACATGAAGGGATGTCTGAATCCCCTGTGGAGACCTTAGAGAAAGCCCTAGGTCCCTGCCTCATTTTGACGGAATCCTCACATCCCGCTGACACCTCGAGAGGCACGCGGAGTTCATTGCTTCAAAAGGTGACGATGCCTGACTCCTCTTGAATACTTATAGGAATCCCCAAATCCCTGTGGCTACTGGAAAGGGTCCTTGGGTGCCCTGGCTCACCTCGAGAAGCGTCCCTTTTGCCCTGCCAAGCCTCGAAGAGATTGCTGACGTGTCCCTCGTTACTAGACAGGAGTCCTGACGTCACGGAAGAAACTCGTGTTTTGAAGGGCCATCCCCGCCGTAAGTTGAGAACATACCCCAGTTCCCCGCTGCAACTCGAGAAAAACATGAGACTTCCCCCTAGAGGCGAGATGAGGCCCCATTCCCCTGCAGTGCATGCAGAGCTATTCCGTGATCCCATTCAAACAAGTCAGGAGCTTCGACTTGCTTAATGGATCTCGAGACAGTCCCCAAGAACACTGTCACCAGTCTAGACGGACCCTGAGGTCACCCCAGCAACGCAAAGCTTCTCCATGTGCCCCAAATCAACTCGAGATGAGGCCCGATTCCCCTGCATTGACTCCAGAGCCATTCCCCGTTCCCCATTCAACACGACCGGTGGCTCGACTTCCTTCAGGCAACTCCAGAAATGCCCAGAGAACACTGTCCCAAGTCTAGAGGAACACCAACTTCAGCACAGCAACTCGAGGAATGCTCTGTGTACCCCAAATCGTCTCGAGATGAGAGCTGAATCCCTGGCTTAGGCTCAAGACCTATGCCAACTTTCCAGAAGCACCTCAGGAGGAGGCTTCTCTCAGCAATAGGTATGTGGGAGGGACTCCGAGATTGCTGCCTCAAGGGGAATATACAGCGAGAAATACTAACTTGAAAGGAGGCCGGATTTCCTTGCAGTGGCTTGAATACAGGCTCGTCTTTCATCTCACAACATGAAGGGATGTCTGAATCCCCTGTGGAGACCTTAGAGAAAGCCCTAGGTCCCTGCCTCATTTTGACGGAATCCTCACATCCCGCTGACACCTCGAGAGGCACGCGGAGTTCATTGCTTCAAAAGGTGACGATGCCTGACTCCTCTTGAATACTGATAGGAATCCCAAAATCCCTGTGGCTACTGGAAAGGGTCCTTGGGTGCCCTGGCTCACCTCGAGAAGCGTCCCTTTTGCCCTGCCAAGCCTCGAAGAGATTGCTGAGGTGTCCCTCATTACTAGACAGGAGTCCTGACGTCACGGAAGAAACTCGTGTTTTGAAGGGCCATCCCCGCTGTAAGTCGAGAACATACCCCAGGTCCCCGCCGCAACTCGAGAAAAACCATGAGACTTCCCCCTAGAGGCGAGATGAGGCCCCATTCCCCTGCAGTGCATGCAGAGCTATTCCGTGATCCCATTCAAACAAGTCAGGAGCTTCGACTTGCTTAATGGATCTCGAGACAGTCCCAAGAACACTGTCACCAGTCTAAACGGACCCTGAGGTCACCCCAGCAAAGCAAAGCTGCTCCATGTGCCCCAAATCAACTCGAGATGAGGCCCGATTCCCCTGCATTGACTCCAGAGCCATTCCTTGTTCCCCATTCAACACGACCGGTGGCTCGACTTCCTTCAGGCAACTCCAGGGATGCCCCGAGAACACTGTCCCAAGTCTAGAGGAACACCAACTTCAGCACAGCAACTCGAGGAATGCTCTGTGTACCCCAAATCGTCTCGAGATGAGAGCTGATTCCCTGGCTTAGGCTCAAGACGTATGCCACCTTTCCAGAAGCACCTCAGGAGGAGGCTTCTCTCAGCAATAGGTATGTGGGAGGGACCCCGAGTTTGCTGCCTCAAGGGGAATATACAGCGAGAAGCCCTAACTTGAAAGGAGGCCGGATTTCCTTGCAGTGGCTTGAGTACAGGCTCGTCTTTGATCTGACAACATGAAGGGATGTCTGAATCCCCTGTGGAGACCTTAGAGAAAGCCCTAGGTCCCTGCCTCATTTTAACGGAATGCCTCACATCCCACTGACACCTCGAGAGGCACTTGGAGTTCATTGCTTCAAAAGGTGACGATGCCTGACTCCTCTTGAATACTGATAGGAATCCCAAAATCCCTGTGGCTACTGGAAAGGGTCCTTGGGTGCCCTGCCTCACCTCGAGAAGCGTCCCTTTTGCCCTGCCAAGCCTCGAAGAGATTCCTGAGGTGTCCCTCGTTACCAGGCAGGAGTCCTGACGTCACTGGAGAAACTCGTGTTTTGAAGGGCCATCCCCGCCGTAAGTCGAGATCATACCCCAGGTCCCCGCCGCAACTCGAGAAAAACCATGAGACTTCCCCCTAGAGGCGAGATGAGGCCCCATTCCCCTGCAGTGCATGCAGAGCTATTCCTTGATCCCATTCAAACAAGTCAGGAGCTTCGACTTGCTTAATGGATCTCGAGGCAGTCCCCAAGAACACTGTCACCAGTCTAGACGGACCCTGAGGTCACCCCAGCAACGCAAAGCAGCTCCAGGTGCCACAAATCAACTCGAGATGAGGCCCGATTCCCCTGCATTGACTCCAGAGCCATTCCCCGTTCCCCATTCAACACGACCGGTGGCTCGACTTCCTTCAGGCAACTCCAGAGATGCCCCGAGAACACTGTCCCAAGTCTAGAGGAACACCAACTTCAGCACAGCAACTCGAGGAATGCTCTGTGTACCCCAAATCGTCTCGAGATGAGAGCTGAATCCCTGGCTTAGGCTCAAGACGTATGCCAACTTTCCAGAAGCAACTCAGGAGGAGGCTTCTCTCAGCAATAGGTATGTGGGAGGGACTCCGAGATTGCTGCCTCAAGGGGAATATACAGCGAGAAGCCCTAACTTGAAAGGAGGCCGGATTTCTTTGCAGTGGCTTGAATACAGGCTCGTCTTTCATCTCACAACATGAAGGGATGTCTGAATCCCCTGTGGAGACCTTAGAGAAAGCCCTAGGTCCCTGCCTCATTTTGACGGAATCCTCACATCCCGCTGACACCTCGAGAGGCACGCGGAGTTCATTGCTTCGAAAGGTGACGATGCCTGACTCCTCTTGAATACTGATCGGAATCCCAAAATCCCTGTGGCTACTGGAAAGGGTCCTTGGGTGCCCTGGCTCACCTCCAGAAGCGTCCCTTTTGCCCTGCCAAGCCTCGAAGAGATTGCTGAGGTGTCCCTCGTTACTAGACAGGAGTCCTGACGTCACGGAAGAAACTCGTGTTTTGAAGGGCCATCCCCGCCGTAAGTCGAGAACATACCCCAGGTCCCCGCCGCAACTCGAGAAAAACAATGAGACTTCCCCCTAGAGGCGAGATGAGGCCCCATTCCCTTGCAGTGCATGCAGAGCTATTCCGTGATCCCATTCAAACAAGTCAGCAGCTTCGACTTGCTTAATGGATCTCGAGACAGTCCCCAAGAACACTGTCACCAGTCTAGACGGACCCTGAGGTCACCCAGCAATGCAAAGCAGCTCCATGTGCCCCAAATCAACTCGAGATGAGGCCGGATTCCCCTGCATTGACTCCAGAGCCATTCCTTGTTCCCCATTCAACACGACCGGTGGCTCGACTTCCTTCAGGCAACTCCAGAGATGCCCCGAGAACACTGTCCCAAGTCTAGAGGACCACCAACTTCAGCACAGCAACTCGAGGAATGCTCTGTGTACCCCAAATCGTCTCGAGACGAGAGCTGTTTCCCTGGCTTAGGCTCAAGACGTATGCCACCTTTCCAGAAGCACCTCAGGAGGAGGCTTCTCTCAGCAATATGTATGTGGGAGGGACCCCGAGTTTGCTGCCTCAAGGGGAATATACAGCGAGAAGCCCTAACTTGAAAGGAGGCCGGATTTCCTTGCAGTGGCTTGAATACAGGCTCGTCTTTGATCTGACAACATGAAGGGATGTTTGAATCCCCTGTGGAGACCTTAGAGAAAGCCCTAGGTCCCTGCCTCATTTTGACGGAATCCTCACATCCCGCTGACACCTCGAGAGGCACGCGGAGTTCATTGCTTCAAAAGGTGACGATGCCTGACTCCTCTTGAATACTTATAGGAATCCCCAAATGCCTGTGGCTACTGGAAAGGGTCCTTGGGTGCCCTGGCTCACCTCGAGAAGCGTCCCTTTTGCCCTGCCAAGCCTCGAAGAGATTGCTGACGTGTCCCTCGTTACTAGACAGGAGTCCTGACGTCACTGAAGAAACTCGTGTTTTGAAGGGCCATCCCCGCCGTAAGTTGAGAACATACCCCAGTTCCCCGCCGCAACTCGAGAAAAACATGAGACTTCCCTCTAGAGGCGAGATGAGGCCCCATTCCCCTGCAGTGCATGCAGAGCTATTCCGTGATCCCATTCAAACAAGTCAGGAGCTTCGACTTGCTTAATGGATCTCGAGGCAGTCCCCAAGAACACTGTCACCAGTCTAGACGGACCCTGAGGTCAACCCAGCAATGCAAAGCAGCTCCATGTGCCCCAAATCAACTCGAGATGAGGCCCGATTCCCCTGCATTGACTCCAGAGCCATTCCCCGTTCCCCGTTCAACACGAACGGAGGCTCGCCTTCCTTCAGGCAACTCCAGAGATGCCCCGAGAACACTGTCCCAAGTCTAGAGGAACACCAACTTCAGCACAGCAACTCGAGGAATGCTCTGTGTACCCCAAGTCGTCTCAAGATGAGAGCTGATTCCCTGGCTTAGGCTCAAGACGTATGCCACCTTTCCAGAAGCACCTCAGGAGGAGGCTTCTCTCAGCAATAGGTATGTGGGAGGGACCCCGTGTTTGCTGCCTCAAGGGGAATATACAGCGAGAAGCCCTAACTTGAAAGGAGGCCGGATTTCCTTGCAGTGGCTTGAATACAGGCTCGTCTTTCATCTCACAACATGAAGGGATGTCTGAATCCCCTGTGGAGACCTTAGAGAAAGCCCTAGGTCCCTGCCTCATTTTGACGGAATCCTCACATCCCGCTGACACCTCGAGAGGCACGCGGAGTTCATTGCTTCAAAAGGTGACGATGCCTGACTCCTCTTGAATACTTATAGGAATCCCCAAATCCCTGTGGCTACTGGAAAGGGTCCTTGGGTGCCCTGGCTCACCTCGAGAAGCGTCCCTTTTGCCCTGCCAAGCCTCGAAGAGATTGCTGACGTGTCCCTCGTTACTAGACAGGAGTCCTGACGTCACGGAAGAAACTCGTGTTTTGAAGGGCCATCCCCGCCGTAAGTTGAGAACATACCCCAGTTCCCCGCTGCAACTCGAGAAAAACATGAGACTTCCCCCTAGAGGCGAGATGAGGCCCCATTCCCCTGCAGTGCATGCAGAGCTATTCCGTGATCCCATTCAAACAAGTCAGGAGCTTCGACTTGCTTAATGGATCTCGAGACAGTCCCCAAGAACACTGTCACCAGTCTAGACGGACCCTGAGGTCACCCCAGCAACGCAAAGCTTCTCCATGTGCCCCAAATCAACTCGAGATGAGGCCCGATTCCCCTGCATTGACTCCAGAGCCATTCCCCGTTCCCCATTCAACACGACCGGTGGCTCGACTTCCTTCAGGCAACTCCAGAAATGCCCAGAGAACACTGTCCCAAGTCTAGAGGAACACCAACTTCAGCACAGCAACTCGAGGAATGCTCTGTGTACCCCAAATCGTCTCGAGATGAGAGCTGAATCCCTGGCTTAGGCTCAAGACCTATGCCAACTTTCCAGAAGCACCTCAGGAGGAGGCTTCTCTCAGCAATAGGTATGTGGGAGGGACTCCGAGATTGCTGCCTCAAGGGGAATATACAGCGAGAAACCCTAACTTGAAAGGAGGCCGGATTTCCTTGCAGTGGCTTGAATACAGGCTCGTCTTTCATCTCACAACATGAAGGGATGTCTGAATCCCCTGTGGAGACCTTAGAGAAAGCCCTAGGTCCCTGCCTCATTTTGACGGAATCCTCACATCCCGCTGACACCTCGAGAGGCACGCGGAGTTCATTGCTTCAAAAGGTGACGATGCCTGACTCCTCTTGAATACTGATAGGAATCCCAAAATCCCTGTGGCTAATGGAAAGGGTCCTTGGGTGCCCTGCCTCACCTCGAGAAGCGTCCCTTTTGCCCTGCCAAGCCTCGAAGAGATTGCTGAGGTGTCCCTCATTACTAGACAGGAGTCCTGACGTCACGGAAGAAACTCGTGTTTTGAAGGGCCATCCCCGCTGTAAGTCGAGAACATACCCCAGGTCCCCGCCGCAACTCGAGAAAAACCATGAGACTTCCCCCTAGAGGCGAGATGAGGCCCCATTCCCCTGCAGTGCATGCAGAGCTATTCCGTGATCCCATTCAAACAAGTCAGGAGCTTCGACTTGCTTAATGGATCTCGAGACAGTCCCAAGAACACTGTCACCAGTCTAAACGGACCCTGAGGTCACCCCAGCAAAGCAAAGCTGCTCCATGTGCCCCAAATCAACTCGAGATGAGGCCCGATTCCCCTGCATTGACTCCAGAGCCATTCCTTGTTCCCCATTCAACACGACCGGTGGCTCGACTTCCTTCAGGCAACTCCAGGGATGCCCCGAGAACACTGTCCCAAGTCTAGAGGAACACCAACTTCAGCACAGCAACTCGAGGAATGCTCTGTGTACCCCAAATCGTCTCGAGATGAGAGCTGATTCCCTGGCTTAGGCTCAAGACGTATGCCACCTTTCCAGAAGCACCTCAGGAGGAGGCTTCTCTCAGCAATAGGTATGTGGGAGGGACCCCGAGTTTGCTGCCTCAAGGGGAATATACAGCGAGAAGCCCTAACTTGAAAGGAGGCCGGATTTCCTTGCAGTGGCTTGAGTACAGGCTCGTCTTTGATCTGACAACATGAAGGGATGTCTGAATCCCCTGTGGAGACCTTAGAGAAAGCCCTAGGTCCCTGCCTCATTTTAACGGAATGCCTCACATCCCACTGACACCTCGAGAGGCACTTGGAGTTCATTGCTTCAAAAGGTGACGATGCCTGACTCCTCTTGAATACTGATAGGAATCCCAAAATCCCTGTGGCTACTGGAAAGGGTCCTTGGGTGCCCTGCCTCACCTCGAGAAGCGTCCCTTTTGCCCTGCCAAGCCTCGAAGAGATTCCTGAGGTGTCCCTCGTTACCAGGCAGGAGTCCTGACGTCACTGGAGAAACTCGTGTTTTGAAGGGCCATCCCCGCCGTAAGTCGAGATCATACCCCAGGTCCCCGCCGCAACTCGAGAAAAACCATGAGACTTCCCCCTAGAGGCGAGATGAGGCCCCATTCCCCTGCAGTGCATGCAGAGCTATTCCTTGATCCCATTCAAACAAGTCAGGAGCTTCGACTTGCTTAATGGATCTCGAGGCAGTCCCCAAGAACACTGTCACCAGTCTAGACGGACCCTGAGGTCACCCCAGCAACGCAAAGCAGCTCCAGGTGCCACAAATCAACTCGAGATGAGGCCCGATTCCCCTGCATTGACTCCAGAGCCATTCCCCGTTCCCCATTCAACACGACCGGTGGCTCGACTTCCTTCAGGCAACTCCAGAGATGCCCCGAGAACACTGTCCCAAGTCTAGAGGAACACCAACTTCAGCACAGCAACTCGAGGAATGCTCTGTGTACCCCAAATCGTCTCGAGATGAGAGCTGAATCCCTGGCTTAGGCTCAAGACGTATGCCAACTTTCCAGAAGCACCTCAGGAGGAGGCTTCTCTCAGCAATAGGTATGTGGGAGGGACTCCGAGATTGCTGCCTCAAGGGGAATATACAGCGAGAAGCCCTAACTTGAAAGGAGGCCGGATTTCTTTGCAGTGGCTTGAATACAGGCTCGTCTTTCATCTCACAACATGAAGGGATGTCTGAATCCCCTGTGGAGACCTTAGAGAAAGCCCTAGGTCCCTGCCTCATTTTGACGGAATCCTCACATCCCGCTGACACCTCGAGAGGCACGCGGAGTTCATTGCTTCGAAAGGTGACGATGCCTGACTCCTCTTGAATACTGATAGGAATCCCAAAATCCCTGTGGCTACTGGAAAGGGTCCTTGGGTGCCCTGGCTCACCTCCAGAAGCGTCCCTTTTGCCCTGCCAAGCCTCGAAGAGATTGCTGAGGTGTCCCTCGTTACTAGACAGGAGTCCTGACGTCACGGAAGAAACTCGTGTTTTGAAGGGCCATCCCCGCCGTAAGTCGAGAACATACCCCAGGTCCCCGCCGCAACTCGAGAAAAACAATGAGACTTCCCCCTAGAGGCGAGATGAGGCCCCATTCCCTTGCAGTGCATGCAGAGCTATTCCGTGATCCCATTCAAACAAGTCAGCAGCTTCGACTTGCTTAATGGATCTCGAGACAGTCCCCAAGAACACTGTCACCAGTCTAGACGGACCCTGAGGTCACCCAGCAATGCAAAGCAGCTCCATGTGCCCCAAATCAACTCGAGATGAGGCCGGATTCCCCTGCATTGACTCCAGAGCCATTCCTTGTTCCCCATTCAACACGACCGGTGGCTCGACTTCCTTCAGGCAACTCCAGAGATGCCCCGAGAACACTGTCCCAAGTCTAGAGGACCACCAACTTCAGCACAGCAACTCGAGGAATGCTCTGTGTACCCCAAATCGTCTCGAGACGAGAGCTGTTTCCCTGGCTTAGGCTCAAGACGTATGCCACCTTTCCAGAAGCACCTCAGGAGGAGGCTTCTCTCAGCAATATGTATGTGGGAGGGACCCCGAGTTTGCTGCCTCAAGGGGAATATACAGCGAGAAGCCCTAACTTGAAAGGAGGCCGGATTTCCTTGCAGTGGCTTGAATACAGGCTCGTCTTTGATCTGACAACATGAAGGGATGTTTGAATCCCCTGTGGAGACCTTAGAGAAAGCCCTAGGTCCCTGCCTCATTTTGACGGAATCCTCACATCCCGCTGACACCTCGAGAGGCACGCGGAGTTCATTGCTTCAAAAGGTGACGATGCCTGACTCCTCTTGAATACTTATAGGAATCCCCAAATGCCTGTGGCTACTGGAAAGGGTCCTTGGGTGCCCTGGCTCACCTCGAGAAGCGTCCCTTTTGCCCTGCCAAGCCTCGAAGAGATTGCTGACGTGTCCCTCGTTACTAGACAGGAGTCCTGACGTCACTGAAGAAACTCGTGTTTTGAAGGGCCATCCCCGCCGTAAGTTGAGAACATACCCCAGGTCCCCGCCGCAACTCGAGAAAAACATGAGACTTCCCCCTAGAGGCGAGATGAGGCCCCATTCCCCTGCAGTGCATGCAGAGCTATTCCTTGATCCCATTCAAACAAGTCAGGAGCTTCGACTTGCTTAATGGATCTCGAGGCAGTCCCCAAGAACACTGTCACCAGTCTAGACGGACCCTGAGGTCACCCCAGCAACGCAAAGCAGCTCCAGGTGCCACAAATCAACTCGAGATGAGGCCCGATTCCCCTGCATTGACTCCAGAGCCATTCCCCGTTCCCCATTCAACACGACCGGTGGCTCGACTTCCTTCAGGCAACTCCAGAGATGCCCAGAGAACACTGTCCCAAGTCTAGAGGAACAACAACTTCAGCACAGCAACTCGAGGAATGCTCTGTGTACCCCAAATCGTCTCGAGATGAGAGCTGAATCCCTGGCTTAGGCTCAAGACGTATGCCAACTTTCCAGAAGCACCTCAGGAGGAGGCTTCTCTCAGCAATAGGTATGTGGGAGGGACTCCGAGATTGCTGCCTCAAGGGGAATATACAGCGAGAAGCCCTAACTTGAAAGGAGGCCGGATTTCTTTGCAGTGGCTTGAATACAGGCTCGTCTTTCATCTCACAACATGAAGGGATGTCTGAATCCCCTGTGGAGACCTTAGAGAAAGCCCTAGGTCCCTGCCTCATTTTGACGGAATCCTCACATCCCGCTGACACCTCGAGAGGCACGCGGAGTTCATTGCTTCAAAAGGTGATGATGCCTGACTCCTCTTGAATACTGATAGGAATCCCAAAATCCCTGTGGCTAATGGAAAGGGTCCTTGGGTGCCCTGGCTCACCTCGAGAAGCGTCCCTTTTGCCCTGCCAAGCCTCGAAGAGATTGCTGAGGTGTCCCTCGTTACTAGACAGGAGTCCTGACGTCACGGAAGAAACTCGTGTTTTGAAGGGCCATCCCCGCCGTAAGTCGAGAACATACCCCAGGTCCCCGCCGCAACTCGAGAAAAACCATGAGACTTCCCCCTAGAGGCGAGATGAGGCCCCATTCCCCTGCAGTGCATGCAGAGCTATTCCGTGATCCCATTCAAACAAGTCAGGAGCTTCGACTTGGTTAATGGATATCGAGACAGTCCCCAAGAACACTGTCACCAGTCTAGACGGACCCTGAGGTCACCCAGCAATGCAAAGCAGCTCCATGTGCCCCAAATCAACTCGAGATGAGGCCGGATTCCCCTGCATTGACTCCAGAGCCATTCCTTGTTCCCCATTCAACACGACCGGTGGCTCGACTTCCTTCAGGCAACTCCAGAGATGCCCAGAGAACACTGTCCCAAGTCTAGAGGAACACCAACTTCAGCACAGCACCTCGAGGAATGCTCTGTGTACCACAAATCGTCTCGAGATGAGAGCTGAATCCCTGGCTTAGGCTCAAGACCTATGCCAACTTTCCAGAAGCACCTCAGGAGGAGGTTTCTCTCAGCAATAGGTATGTGGGAGTGACTCCGAGTTTGCTGCCTCAAGGGGAATATACAGCGAGAAGCCCTAACTTGAAAGGAGGCCGGATTTCCTTGCAGTGGCTTGAATACAGGCTCGTCTTTCATCTCACAACATGAAGGGATGTCTGAATCCCCTGTGGAGACCTTAGAGAAAGCCCTAGGTCCCTGCCTCATTTTGACGGAATCCTCACATCCCGCTGACAACTCGAGAGGCACGCGGAGTTCATTGCTTCAAAAGGTGACGATGCCTGACTCCTCTTGAATACTGATAGGAATCCCAAAATCCCTGTGGCTACTGGAAAGGGTCCTTGGGTGCCCTGGCTCACCTCTAGAAGCGTCCCTTTTGCCCTGCCAAGCCTCGAAGAGTTTGCTGAGGTGTCCCTCGTTACTAGACAGGAGTCCTGACGTCACTGAAGAAACTCGTGTTTTGAAGGGCCATCCCCGCCGTAAGTCGAGAACATACCCCAGGTCCCCGCCGCAACTCGAGAAAAACCATGAGACTTCCCCCTAGAGGCGAGATGAGGCCCCATTCCCCTGCAGTGCATGCAGAGCTATTCCGTGATCCCATTCAAACAAGTCAGGAGCTTCGACTTGCTTAATGGATCTCGAGACAGTCCCCAAGAACACTGTCACCAGTCTAGACGGACCCTGAGGTCACCCCAGCAACGCAAAGCTGCTCCATGTGCCCCAAATCAACTCGAGATGAGGCCCGATTCCCCTGCATTGACTCCAGAGCCATTCCCCGTTCCCCATTCAACACGACCGGTGGCTCGACTTCCTTCAGGCAACTCCAGGGATGCCCCGAGAACACTGTCCCAAGTCTAGAGGAATACCAACTTCAGCACAGCAACTCGAGGAATGCTCTGTGTACCGCAAATCGTCTCGAGATGAGAGCTGATTCCCTGGCTTAGGCTCAAGACGTATGCCACCTTTCCAGAAGCACCTCAGGAGGAGGCTTCTCTCAGCAATAGGTATGTGGGAGGGACCCCGAGTTTGCTGCCTCAAGGGGAATATACAGCGAGAAGCCCTATCTTGAAAGGAGGCCGGATTTCCTTGCAGTGGCTTGAGTACAGGCTCGTCTTTGATCTGACAACATGAAGGGATGTCTGAATCACCTGTGGAGACCTTAGAGAAAGCCCTAGGTCCCTGCCTCATTTTGACGGAATGCCTCACATCCCGCTGACACCTCGAGAGGCACGCGGAGTTCATTGCTTCAAAAGGTGACGATGCCTGACTCCTCTTGAATACTGATAATAATCCCAAAATCCCTGTGGCTACTGGAAAGGGTCCTTGGGTGCCCTGCCTCACCTCGAGAAGCGTCCCTTTTGCCCTGCCAAGCCTTGAAGAGATTCCTGAGGTGTCCCTCGTTACTAGGCAGGAGTCCTGACGTCACTGGAGAAACTCGTGTTTTGAAGGGCCATCCCTGCCGTAAGTCGAGAACATACCCCAGGGCCCCGCCGCAACTCGAGAAAAACCATGAGACTTCCCCCTAGAGGCGAGATGAGGCCCCATTCCCCTGCAGTGCATGCAGAGCTATTCCGTGATCCCATTCAAACAAGTCAGGAGCTTCGACTTGCTTAATGGATCTCGAGGCAGTCCCCAAGAACACTGTCACCAGTCTAGACGGACCCTGAGGTCACCCAGCAATGCAAAGCAGCTCCAGGTGCCCCAAATCAACTCGAGATGAGGCCGGATTCCCCTGCATTGACTCCAGAGCCATTCCTTGTTCCCCATTCAACACGACCGGTGGCTCGACTTCCTTCAGGCAACTCCAGAGATGCCCCGAGAACACTGTCCCAAGTCTAGAGGACCACCAACTTCAGCACAGCAACTCGAGGAATGCTCTGTGTACCCCAAATCATCTCGAGATGAGAGCTGATTCCCTGGCTTAGGCTCAAGACGTATGCCACCTTTCCAGAAGCACCTCAGGAGGAGGCTTCTCTCAGCAATAGGTATGTGGGAGGGACCCCGAGTTTGCTGCCTCAAGGGGAATATACAGCGAGAGGCCCTAACTTGAAAGGACGCCGGATTTCCTTGCAGTGGCTTGAATACAGGCTCGTCTTTCATCTCACAACATGAAGGGATGTCTGAATCCCCTGTGGAGACCTTAGAGAAAGCCCTAGGTCCCTGCCTCATTTTGACGGAATCCTCACATCCCGCTGACACCTCGAGAGGCACGCGGAGTTCATTGCTTCAAAAGGTGACGATGCCTGACTCCTCTTGAATACTGATAATAATCCCAAAATCCCTGTGGCTACTGGAAAGGGTCCTTGGGTGCCCTGCCTCACCTCGAGAAGCGTCCCTTTTGCCCTGCCAAGCCTCGAAGAGATTCCTGAGGTGTCCCTCGTTACTAGGCAGGAGTCCTGACGTCACTGGAGAAACTCGTGTTTTGAAGGGCCATCCCCGCCGTAAGTCGAGAACATACCCCAGGGCCCCGCCGCAACTCGAGAAAAACCATGAGACTTCCCCCTAGAGGCGAGATGAGGCCCCATTCCCCTGCAGTGCATGCAGAGCTATTCCGTGATCCCATTCAAACAAGTCAGGAGCTTCGACTTGCTTAATGGATCTCGAGGCAGTCCCCAAGAACACTGTCACCAGTCTAGACGGACCCTGAGGTCACCCCAGCAACGCAAAGCAGCTCCAGGTGCCACAAATCAACTCGAGATGAGGCCCGATTCCCCTGCATTGACTCCAGAGCCATTCCCCGTTCCCCATTCAACACGACCGGTGGCTCGACTTCCTTCAGGCATCTCCAGAGATGCCCAGAGAACACTGTCCCAAGTCTAGAGGAACACCAATTTCAGCACAGCAACTCGAGGAATGCTCTGTGTACCACAAATCGTCTCAAGATGAGAGCTGAATCCCTGGCTTAGGCTCAAGACGTATGCCAACTTTCCAGAAGCACCTCAGGAGGAGGCTTCTCTCAGCAATAGGTATGTGGGAGGGACTCCGAGTTTGCTGCCGCAAGGGGAATATACAGCGAGAAGCCCTAACTTGAAAGGAGGCCGGATTTCCTTGCAGTGGCTTGAATACAGGCTCGTCTTTCATCTCACAACATGAAGGGATGTCTGAATCCCCTGTGGAGACCTTAGAGAAAGCCCTAGGTCCCTGCCTCATTTTGACGGAATCCTCACATCCCGCTGACACCTCGAGAGGCCCGCGGAGTTCATTGCTTTGAAAGGTGACGATGCCTGACTCCTCTTGAATACTGATAGGAATCCCAAAATCCCTGTGGCTACTGGAAAGGGTCCTTGGGTGCCCTGGCTCACCTCGAGAAGCGTCCCTTTTGCCCTGCCAAGCCTCGAAGAGATTGCTGAGGTGTCCCTCGTTACTAGACAGGAGTCCTGACGTCACGGAAGAAACTCGTGTTTTGAAGGGCCATCCCCGCCGTAAGTCGAGAACATACCCCAGGTCCCCGCCGCAACTCGAGAAAAACCATGAGACTTCCCCCTAGAGGCGAGATGAGGCCCCATTCCCTTGCAGTGCATGCAGAGCTATTCCGTGATCCCATTCAAACAAGTCAGGAGCTTCGACTTGCTTAATGGATCTCGAGACAGTCCCCAAGAACACTGTCACCAGTCTAGACGGACCCTGAGGTCACCCAGCAATGCAAAGCAGCTCCATGTGCCCCAAATCAACTCGAGATGAGGACGGATTCCCCTGCATTGACTCCAGAGCCATTCCTTGTTCCCCATTCAACACGACCGGTGGCTCGACTTCCTTCAGGCAACTCCAGAGATGCCCCGAGAACACTGTCCCAAGTCTAGAGGACCACCAACTTCAGCACAGCAACTCGAGGAATGCACTGTGTACCCCAAATCTTCTCGATATGAGAGATGATTCCCTGGCTTAGACTCAAGACGTATGCCAACTTTCCAGAAGCACCTCAGGAGGAGGCTTCTCTCAGCAATAGGTATGTGGGAGGGACTCCGAGATTGCTGCCTCAAGGGGAATATACAGCGAGAAGCCCTAACTTGAAAGGAGGCCGGATTTCCTTGCAGTGGCTTGAATACAGGCTCGTCTTTCATCTCACAACATGAAGGGATGTCTGAATCCCCTGTGGAGACCTTAGAGAAAGCCCTAGGTCCCTACCTCATTTTGACGGAATCCTCACATCCCGATGACACCTCGAGAGGCACGCGGAGTTCATTGCTTCAAAAGGTGACGATGCCTGACTCCTCTTGAATACTGATAGGAATCCCAAAATCCCTGTGGCTACTGGAAAGGGTCCTTGGGTGCCCTGGCTCACCTCGAGAAGCGTCCCATTTGCCCTGCCAAGCCTCGAAGAGATTGCTGAGGTGTCCCTCGTTACTAGACAGGAGTCCTGACGTCACGGAAGAAACTCGTGTTTTGAAGGGCCATCTCCGCCGTAAGTCGAGAACATACCCCAGGTCCCCGCCGCAACTCGAGAAAAACCATGAGACTTCCCCCTAGAGGCGAGATGAGGCCCCATTCCCCTGCAGTGCATGCAGAGCTATTCCGTGATCCCATTCAAACAAGTCAGGAGCTTCGACTTGCTTAATGGATCTCGAGACAGTCCCCAAGAACACTGTCACCAGTCTAGACGGACCCTGAGGTCACCCAGCAATGCAAAGCAGCTCCATGTGCCCCAAATCAACTCGACATGAGGCCGGATTCCCCTGCATTGACTCCAGAGCCATTCCTTGTTCCCCATTCAACACGACCGGTGGCTCGACTTCCTTCAGGCAACTCCAGAGATGCCCCGAGAACACTGTCCCAAGTCTAGAGGACCACCAACTTCAGCACAGCAACTCGAGGAATGCTCTGTGTACCTCAAATCATCTCGAGATGAGAGCTGATTCCCTGGCTTAGGCTCAAGACGTATGCCACCTTTCCAGAAGCACCTCAGGAGGAGGCTTCTCTCAGCAATAGGTATGTGGGAGGGACCCCGAGTTTGCTGCCTCAAGGGGAATATACAGCGAGAAGCCCTAACTTGAAAGGAGGCCGGATTTCCTTGCAGTGGCTTGAGTACAGGCTCGTCTTTGATCTGACAACATGAAGGGATGTCTGAATCCCCTGTGGAGACCTTAGAGAAAGCCCTAGGTCCCTGCCTCATTTTGACGGAATGCCTCACATCCCGCTGACACCTCGAGAGGCACGCGGAGTTCATTGCTTCAAAAGGTGACGATGCCTGACTCCTCTTGAATACTGATAGGAATCCCAAAATCCCTGTGGCTACTGGAAAGGGTCCTTGGGTGCCCTGCCTCACCTCGAGAAGCGTCCCTTTTGCCCTGCCAAGCCTCGAAGAGATTCCTGAGGTGTCCCTCGTTACCAGGCAGGAGTCCTGACGTCACTGGAGAAACTCGTGTTTTGAAGGGCCATCCCCGCCGTAAGTCGAGAACATACCCCAGGGCCCCGCCGCAACTCGAGAAAAACCATGAGACTTCCCCCTAGAAGCGAGATGAGGCCCCATTCCCCTGCAGTGCATGCAGAGCTATTCCGTGATCCCATTCAAACAAGTCAGGAGCTTCGACTTGCTTAATGGATCTCGAGGCAGTCCCCAAGAACACTGTCACCAGTCTAGATGGACCCTGAGGTCACCCCAGCAACGCAAAGCAGCTCCAGGTGCCACAAATCAACTCGAGATGAGGCCCGATTCCCCTGCATTGACTCCAGAGCCATTCCCCGTTCCCCATTCAACACGACCGGTGGCTCGACTTCCTTCAGGCAACTCCAGAGATGCCCAGAGAACACTGTCCCAAGTCTAGAGGAACAACAACTTCAGCACAGCAACTCGAGGAATGCTCTGTGTACCCCAAATCGTCTCGAGATGAGAGCTGAATCCCTGGCTTAGGCTCAAGACGTATGCCAACTTTCCAGAAGCACCTCAGGAGGAGGCTTCTCTCAGCAATAGGTATGTGGGAGGGACTCCGAGTTTGCTGCCTCAAGGGGAATATACAGCGAGAAGCCCTAACTTGAAAGGAGGCCGGATTTCCTTGCAGTGGCTTGAATACAGGCTCGTATTTCATCTCACAACATGAAGGGATGTCTGAATCCTCTGTGGAGACCTTAGAGAAAGCTCTAGGTCCCTGCCTCATTTTGACGGAATCCTCACATCCCGCTGACACCTCGAGAGGCACGCGGAGTTCATTGCTTCGAAAGGTGACGATGCCTGACTCCTCTTGAATACTGATAGGAATCCCAAAATCCCTGTGGCTACTGGAAAGGGTCCTTGGGTGCCCTGGCTCACCTCGAGAAGCGTCCCTTTTGCCCTGCCAAGCCTCGAAGAGATTGCTGAGGTGTCCCTCGTTACTAGACAGGAGTCCTGACGTCACGGAAGAAACTCGTGTTTTGAAGGGCCATCCCCGCCGTAAGTCGAGAACATATCCCAGGTCCCCTCCGCAACTCGAGAAAAACAATGAGACTTCCCCCTAGAGGCGAGATGAGGCCCCATTCCCTTGCAGTGCATGCAGAGCTATTCCGTGATCCCATTCAAACAAGTCAGCAGCTTCGACTTGCTTAATGGATCTCGAGACAGTCCCCAAGAACACTGTCACCAGTCTAGACGGACCCAGAGGTCACCCAGCAATGCAAAGCAGCTCCATGTGCCCCAAATCAACTCGAGATGAGGCCGGATTCCCCTGCATTGACTCCAGAGCCATTCCTTGTTCCCCATTCAACACGACCGGTGGCTCGACTTCCTTCAGGCAACTCCAGAGATGCCCCGAGAACACTGTCCCAAGTCTAGAGGACCACCAACTTCAGCACAGCAACTCGAGGAATGCTCTGTGTACCCCAAATCGTCTCGAGACGAGAGCTGATTCCCTGGCTTAGGCTCAAGACGTATGCCACCTTTCCAGAAGCACCTCAGGAGGAGGCTTCTCTCAGCAATAGGTATGTGGGAGGGACCCCGAGTTTGCTGCCTCAAGGGGAATATACAGCGAGAAGCCCTAACTTGAAAGGAGGCCGGATTTCCTTGCAGTGGCTTGAATACAGGCTCGTCTTTGATCTGACAACATGAAGGGATGTTTGAATCCCCTGTGGAGACCTTAGAGAAAGCCCTAGGTCCCTGCCTCATTTTGACGGAATCCTCACATCCCGCTGACACCTCGAGAGGCACGCGGAGTTCATTGCTTCAAAAGGTGACGATGCCTGACTCCTCTTGAATACTTATAGGAATCCCCAAATGCCTGTGGCTACTGGAAAGGGTCCTTGGGTGCCCTGGCTCACCTCGAGAAGCGTCCCTTTTGCCCTGCCAAGCCTCGAAGAGATTGCTGACGTGTCCCTCGTTACTAGACAGGAGTCCTGACGTCACTGAAGAAACTCGTGTTTTGAAGGGCCATCCCCGCTGTAAGTCGAGAACATACCCCAGTTCCCCGCCGCAACTCGAGAAAAACATGAGACTTCCCCCTAGAGGCGAGATGAGGCCCCATTCCCCTGCAGTGCATGCAGAGCTATTCCTTGATCCCATTCAAACAAGTCAGGAGCTTCGACTTGCTTAATGGATCTCGAGGCAGTCCCCAAGAACACTGTCACCAGTCTAGACGGACCCTGAGGTCACCCCAGCAACGCAAAGCAGCTCCAGGTGCCACAAATCAACTCGAGATGAGGCCCGATTCCCCTGCATTGACTCCAGAGCCATTCCCCGTTCCCCATTCAACACGACCGGTGGCTCGACTTCCTTCAGGCAACTCCAGAGATGCCCAGAGAACACTGTCCCAAGTCTAGAGGAACACCAACTTCAGCACAGCAACTCGAGGAATGCTCTGTGTACCCCAAATCGTCTCGAGATGAGCGCTGAATCCCTGGCTTAGGCTCAAGACGTATGCCAACTTTCCAGAAGCACCTCAGGAGGAGGCTTCTCTCAGCAATAGGTATGTGGGAGGGACCCCGAGTTTGCTGCCTCAAGGGGAATATACAGCGAGAAGCCCTAACTTGAAAGGAGGCCGGATTTCTTTGCTGTGGCTTGAATACAGGCTCGTCTTTCATCTCACAACATGAAGGGATGTCTGAATCCCCTGTGGAGACCTTAGAGAAAGCCCTAGGTCCCTGCCTCATTTTGACGGAATCCTCACATCCCGCTGACACCTCGAGAGGCACGCGGAGTTCATTGCTTCAAAAGGTGACGATGCCTGACTCCTCTTGAATACTGATAGGAATCCCAAAATCCCTGTGGCTAATGGAAAGGGTCCTTGGGTGCCCTGGCTCACCTCGAGAAGCGTCCCTTTTGCCCTGCCAAGCCTCGAAGAGATTGCTGAGGTGTCCCTCGTTACTAGACAGGAGTCCTGACGTCACGGAAGAAACTCGTGTTTTGAAGGGCCATCCCCGCCGTAAGTCGAGAACATACCCCAGGTCCCCGCCGCAACTCGAGAAAAACCATGAGACTTCCCCCTAGAGGCGAGATGAGGCCCCATTCCCCTGCAGTGCATGCAGAGCTATTCCGTGATCCCATTCAAACAAGTCAGGAGCTTCGACTTGCTTAATGGATCTCGAGACAGTCCCCAAGAACACTGTCACCAGTCTAGACGGACCCTGAGGTCACTTAGCAATGCAAAGCAGCTCCATGTGCCCCAAATCAACTCGAGATGGGGCCGGATTCCCCTGCATTGACTCCAGAGCCATTCCTTGTTCCCCATTCAACACGACCGGTGGCTCGACTTCCTTCAGGCAACTCCAGAGATGCCCCGAGAACACTGTCCCAAGTCTAGAGGACCACCAACTTCAGCACAGCAACTCGAGGAATGCTCTGTGTACCCCAAATCGTCTCGAGATGAGAGCTGATTCCCTGGCTTAGGCTCAAGACGTATGCCACCTTTCCAGAAGCACCTCAGGAGGAGGCTTCTCTCAGCAATAGGTATGTGGGAGGGACCCCGAGTTTGCTGCCTCAAGGGGAATATACAGCGAGAAGCCCTAACTTGAAAGGAGGCCGGATTTCCTTGCAGTGGCTTGAATACAGGCTCGTCTTTGATCTGACAACATGAAGGGATGTCTGAATCCCCTGTGGAGACCTTAGAGAAAGCCCTAGGTCCCTGCCTCATTTTGACGGAATGCCTCACATCCCGCTGACACCTCGAGAGGCACGTGGAGTTCATTGCTTCAAAAGGTGATGATGCCTGACTCCTCTTGAATACTGATAGGAATCCCAAAATCCCTGTGGCTACTGGAAAGGGTCCTTGGGTGCCCTGCCTCACCTCGAGAAGCGTCCCTTTTGCCCTGCCAAGCCTCGAAGAGATTCCTGAGGTGTCCCTCGTTACTAGGCAGGAGTCCTGACGTCACTGGAGAAACTCGTGTTTTGAAGGGCCATCCCCGCCGTAAGTCGAGAACGTACCCCAGGGCCCAGCCGCAACTCGAGAAAAACCATGAGACTTCCCCCTAGAGGCGAGATGAGGCCCCATTCCCCTGCAGTGCATGCAGAGCTATTCCGTGATCCCATTCAAACAAGTCAGGAGCTTCGACTTGCTTAATGGATCTCGAGGCAGTCCCCAAGAACACTGTCACCAGTCTAGACGGACCCTGAGGTCACCCCAGCAACGCAAAGCAGCTCCAGGTGCCACAAATCAACTCGAGATGAGGCCCGATTCCCCTGCATTGACTCCAGAGCCATTCCCCGTTCCCCATTCAACACGACCAGTGGCTCGACTTCCTTCAGGCAACTCCAGAGATGCCCAGAGAACACTGTCCCAAGTCTAGAGGAACACCAACTTCAGCACCGCAACTCGAGGAATGCTCTGTGTACCACAAATCGTCTCGAGATGAGAGCTGAATCCCTGGCTTAGGCTCAAGACCTATGCCAACTTTCCAGAAGCACCTCAGGAGGAGGCTTCTCTCAGCAATAGGTATGTGGGAGGGACTCCGAGTTTGCTGCCTCAAGGGGAATATACAGCGAGAAGCCCTAACTTGAAAGGAGGCCGGATTTCCTTGCAGTGGCTTGAATACAGGCTCGTCTTTCATCTCACAACATGAAGGGATGTCTGAATCCCCTGTGGAGACCTTAGAGAAAGCCCTAGGTCCCTGCCTCATTTTGACGGAATCCTCACATCCCGCTGACACCTCGAGAGGCACGCGGAGTTCATTGCTTCAAAAGGTGACGATGCCTGACTCCTCTTGAATACTGATAGGAATCCCAAAATCCCTGTGGCTAATGGAAAGGGTCCTTGGGTGCCCTGGCTCACCTCGAGAAGCGTCCCTTTTGCCCTGCCAAGCCTCGAAGAGATTGCTGAGGTGTCCCTCGTTACTAGACAGGAGTCCTGACGTCACGGAAGAAACTCGTGTTTTGAAGGGCCATCCCCGCCGTAAGTCGAGAACATACCCCAGGTCCCCGCCGCAACTCGAGAAAAACCATGAGACTTCCCCCTAGAGGCGAGATGAGGCCCCATTCCCCTGCAGTGCATGCAGAGCTATTCCGTGATCCCATTCAAACAAGTCAGGAGCTTCGACTTGCTTAATGGATCTCGAGACAGTCCCCAAGAACACTGTCACAAGTCTAGACGGACCCTGAGGTCACCCAGCAATGCAAAGCAGCTCCATGTGCCCCAAATCAACTCGAGATGAGGCCGGATTCCCCTGCATTGACTCCAGAGCCATTCCTTGTTCCCCATTCAACACGACCGGTGGCTCGACTTCCTTCAGGCAACTCCAGAGATGCCCCGAGAACACTGTCCCAAGTCTAGAGGACCACCAACTTCAGCACAGCAACTCGAGGAATGCTCTGTGTACCCCAAATCGTCTCGAGATGAGAGCTGATTCCCTGGCTTAGGCTCAAGACGTATGCCACCTTTCCAGAAGCACCTCAGGAGGAGGCTTCTCTCAGCAATAGGTATGTGGGAGGGACCCCGAGTTTGCTGCCTCAAGGGGAATATACAGCGAGAAGCCCTAACTTGAAAGGAGGCCGGATTTCCTTGCAGTGGCTTGAATACAGGCTCGTCTTTGATCTGACAACATGAAGGGATGTCTGAATCCCCTGTGGAGACCTTAGAGAAAGCCCTAGGTCCCTGCCTCATTTTGACGGAATGCCTCACATCCCGCTGACACCTCGAGAGGCACGTGGAGTTCATTGCTTCAAAAGGTGACGATGCCTGACTCCTCTTGAATACTGATAGGAATCCCAAAATCCCTGTGGCTACTGGAAAGGGTCCTTGGGTGCCCTGCCTCACCTGGAGAAGCGTCCCTTTTGCCCTGCCAAGCCTCGAAGAGATTCCTGAGGTGTCCCTCGTTACTAGGCAGGAGTCCTGACGTCACTGGAGAAACTCGTGTTTTGAAGGGCCATCCCCGCCGTAAGTCGAGAACGTACCCCAGGGCCCAGCCGCAACTCGAGAAAAACCATGAGACTTCCCCCTAGAGGCGAGATGAGGCCCCATTCCCCTGCAGTGCATGCAGAGCTATTCCGTGATCCCATTCAAACAAGTCAGGAGCTTCGACTTGCTTAATGGATCTCGAGGCAGTCCCCAAGAACACTGTCACCAGTCTAGACGGACCCTGAGGTCACCCCAGCAACGCAAAGCAGCTCCAGGTGCCACAAATCAACTCGAGATGAGGCCCGATTCCCCTGCATTGACTCCAGAGCCATTCCCCGTTCCCCATTCAACACGACCAGTGGCTCGACTTCCTTCAGGCAACTCCAGAGATGCCCAGAGAACACTGTCCCAAGTCTAGAGGAACACCAACTTCAGCACAGCAACTCGAGGAATGCTCTGTGTACCACAAATCGTCTCGAGATGAGAGCTGAATCCCTGGCTTAGGCTCAAGACCTATGCCAACTTTTCAGAAGCACCTCAGGAGGAGGCTTCTCTCAGCAATAGGTATGTGGGAGGGACTCCGAGTTTGCTGCCTCAAGGGGAATATACAGCGAGAAGCCCTAACTTGAAAGGAGGCCGGATTTCCTTGCAGTGGCTTGAATACAGGCTCGTCTTTCATCTCACAACATGAAGGGATGTCTGAATCCCCTGTGGAGACCTTAGAGAAAGCCCTAGGTCCCTGCCTCATTTTGACGGAATCCTCACATCCCGCTGACACCTCGAGAGGCACGCGGAGTTCATTGCTTCAAAAGGTGACGATGCCTGACTCCTCTTGAATACTGATAGGAATCCCAAAATCCCTGTGGCTACTGGAAAGGGTCCTTGGGTGCCCTGGCTCACCTCGAGAAGCGTCCCTTTTGCCCTGCCAAGCCTCGAAGAGATTGCTGAGGTGTCCCTCGTTACTAGACAGGAGTCCTGACGTCACTGAAGAAACTCGTGTTTTGAAGGGCCATCCCCGCCGTAAGTCGAGAACATACCCCAGGTCCCCGCCGCAACTCGAGAAAAACCATGAGACTTCCCCCTAGAGGCGAGATGAGGCCCCATTCCCCTGCAGTGCATGCAGAGCTATTCCGTGATCCCATTCAAACAAGTCAGGAGCTTCGACTTGCTTAATGGATCTCGAGGCAGTCCCCAAGAACACTGTCACCAGTCTAGACGGACCCTGAGGTCACCCAGCAATGCAAAGCAGCTCCATGTGCCCCAAATCAACTCGAGATGAGGCCGGATTCCCCTGCATTGACTCCAGAGCCATTCCTTGTTCCCCATTCAACACGACCGGTGGCTCGACTTCCTTCAGGCAACTCCAGAGATGCCCCGAGAACACTGTCCCAAGTCTAGAGGACCACCAACTTCAGCACAGCAACTCGAGGAATGCTCTGTGTACCCCAAATCATCTCGAGATGAGAGCTGATTCCCTGGCTTAGGCTCAAGACGTATGCCACCTTTCCAGAAGCACCTCAGGAGGAGGCTTCTCTCAGCAATAGGTATGTGGGAGGGACCCCGAGTTTGCTGCCTCAAGGGGAATATACAGCGAGAGGCCCTAACTTGAAAGGAGGCCGGATTTCCTTGCAGTGGCTTGAATACAGGCTCGTCTTTCATCTCACAACATGAAGGGATGTCTGAATCCCCTGTGGAGACCTTAGAGAAAGCCCTAGGTCCCTGCCTCATTTTGACGGAATCCTCACATCCCGCTGACACCTCGAGAGGCACGCGGAGTTCATTGCTTCAAAAGGTGACGATGCCTGACTCCTCTTGAATACTGATAATAATCCCAAAATCCCTGTGGCTACTGGAAAGGGTCCTTGGGTGCCCTGCCTCACCTCGAGAAGCGTCCCTTTTGCCCTGCCAGGCCTCGAAGAGATTCCTGAGGTGTCCCTCGTTACTAGGCAGGAGTCCTGACGTCACTGGAGAAACTCGTGTTTTGAAGGGCCATCCCCGCCGTAAGTCGAGAACATACCCCAGGGCCCCGCCGCAACTCGAGAAAAACCATGAGACTTCCCCCTAGAGGCGAGATGAGGCCCCATTCCCCTGCAGTGCATGCAGAGCTATTCCGTGATCCCATTCAAACAAGTCAGGAGCTTCGACTTGCTTAATGGATCTCGAGGCAGTCCCCAAGAACACTGTCACCAGTCTAGACGGACCCTGAGGTCACCCCAGCAACGCAAAGCAGCTCCAGGTGCGACAAATCAACTCGAGATGAGGCCCGATTCCCCTGCATTGACTCCAGAGCCATTCCCCGTTCCCCATTCAACACGACCGGTGGCTCGACTTCCTTCAGGCAACTCCAGAGATGCCCAGAGAACACTGTCCCAAGTCTAGAGGAACACCAATTTCAGCACAGCAACTCGAGGAATGCTCTGTGTACCACAAATCGTCTCAAGATGAGAGCTGAATCCCTGGCTTAGGCTCAAGACGTATGCCAACTTTCCAGAAGCACCTCAGGAGGAGGCTCCTCTCAGCAATAGGTATGTGGGAGGGACTCCGAGTTTGCTGCTGCAAGGGGAATATACAGCGAGAAGCCCTAACTTGAAAGGAGGCCGGATTTCCTTGCAGTGGCTTGAATACAGGCTCGTCTTTCATCTCACAACATGAAGGGATGTCTGAATCCCCTGTGGAGACCTTAGAGAAAGCTCTAGGTCCCTGCCTCATTTTGACGGAATCCTCACATCCCGCTGACACCATGAGAGGCACGCGGAGTTCATTGCTTCGAAAGGTGACGATGCCTGACTCCTCTTGAATACTGATAGGAATCCCAAAATCCCTGTGGCTACTGGAAAGGGTCCTTGGGTGCCCTGGCTCACCTCGAGAAGCGTCCCTTTTGCCTTGCCAAGCCTCGAAGAGATTGCTGAGGTGTCCCTCGTTACTAGACAGGAGTCCTAACGTCACTGAAGAAACTCGTGTTTTGAAGGGCCATCCCCGCCGTAAGTCGAGAACATACGCCAGGTCCCCGCCGCAACTCGAGAAAAACAATGAGACTTCCCCCTAGAGGCGAGATGAGGCCCCATTCCCTTGCAGTGCATGCAGAGCTATTCCGTGATCCCATTCAAACAAGTCAGCAGCTTCGACTTGCTTAATGGATCTCGAGACAGTCCCCAAGAACACTGTCACCAGTCTAGACGGACCCTGAGGTCACCCAGCAATGCAAAGCAGCTCCATGTGCCCCAAATCAACTCGAGATGAGGCCGGATTCCCCTGCATTGACCCCAGAGCCATTCCTTGTTCCCCATTCAACACGACCGGTGTCTCGACTTCCTTCAGGCAACTCCAGAGATGCCCCGAGAACACTGTCCCAAGTCTAGAGGACCACCAACTTCAGCACAGCAACTCGAGGAATGCTCTGTGTACCCCAAATCGTCTCGAGATGAGAGCTGATTCCCTGGCTTAGGCTCAAGACGTATGCCACCTTTCCAGAAGCACCTCAGGAGGAGGCTTCTCTCAGCAATAGGTATGTGGGAGGGACCCCGAGTTTGCTGCCTCAAGGGGAATATACAGCGAGAGGCCCTAACTTGAAAGGACGCCGGATTTCCTTGCAGTGGCTTGAATACAGGCTCGTCTTTCATCTCACAACATGAAGGGATGTCTGAATCCCCTGTGGAGACCTTAGAGAAAGCCCTAGGTCCCTGCCTCATTTTGACGGAATCCTCACATCCCGCTGACACCTCGAGAGGCACGCGGAGTTCATTGCTTCAAAAGGTGACGATGCCTGACTCCTCTTGAATACTGATAGGAATCCCCAAATGCCTGTGGCTACTGGAAAGGGTCCTTGGGTGCCCTGGCTCACCTCGAGAAGCGTCCCTTTTGCCCTGCCAAGCCTCGAAGAGATTCCTGAGGTGTCCCTCGTTACTAGACAGGAGTCCTGACGTCACTGAAGAAACTCGTGTTTTGAAGGGCCATCCCCGCCATAAGTTGAGAACATACCCCAGTTCCCCGCCGCAACTCGAGAAAAACATGAGACTTCCCCCTAGAGACGAGATGAGGCCCCATTCCCCTGCAGTGCATGCAGAGCTATTCCCTGATCCCATTCAAACAAGTCAGGAGCTTCGACTTGCTTAATGGATCTCGAGGCAGTCCCCAAGAACACTGTCACCAGTCTAGACGGACCCTGAGGTCACCCCAGCAACGCAAAGCAGCTCCAGGTGCCACAAATCAACTCGAGATGAGGCCCGATTCCCCTGCATTGACTCCAGAGCCATTCCCCGTTCCCCATTCAACACGACGGGTGGCTCGACTTCATTCAGGCAACTCCAGAGATGCCCAGAGAACACTGTCCCAAGTCTAGAGGAACACCAACTTCAGCACAGCAACTCGAGGAATGCTCTGTGTACCCCAAATCGTCTCGAGATGAGAGCTGAATCCCTGGCTTAGGCTCAAGACGTATGCCAACTTTCCAGAAGCACCTCAGGAGGAGGCTTCTCTCAGCAATAGGTATGTGGGAGGGACTCCGAGATTGCTGCCTCAAGGGGAATATACAGCGAGAAGCCCTAACTTGAAAGGAGGCCGGATTTCCTTGCAGTGGCTTGAATACAGGCTCGTCTTTCATCTCACAACATGAAGGGTTGTCTGAATCCCCTGTGGAGACCTTAGAGAAAGCCCTAGGTCCCTGCCTCATTTTGACGGAATCCTCACATCCCGCTGACACCTCGAGAGGCACGCGGAGTTCATTGCTTCAAAAGGTGACGATGCCTGACTCCTCTTGAATACTGATAGGAATCCCAAAATCCCTGTGGCTACTGGAAAGGGTCCTTGGGTGCCCTGGCTCACCTCGAGAAGCGTCCCTTTTGCCCTGCCAAGCCTCGAAGAGATTGCTGAGGTGTCCCTCGTTACTAGACAGGAGTCCTGACGTCACGGAAGAAACTCGTGTTTTGAAGGGCCATCCCCGCCGTAAGTCGAGAACATACCCCAGGTCCCCGCCGCAACTCGAGAAAAACCATGAGACTTCCCCCTAGAGGCGAGATGAGGCCCCATTCCCCTGCAGTGCATGCAGAGCTATTCCGTGATCCCATTCAAACAAGTCAGGAGCTTCGACTTGCTTAATGGATCTCGAGACAGTCCCCAAGAACACTGTCACCAGTCTAGACGGACCCTGAGGTCACCCAGCAATGCAAAGCAGCTCCATGTGCCCCAAATCAACTCGAGATGAGGCCGGATTCCCCTGCATTGACTCCAGAGCCATTCCTTGTTCCCCATTCAACACGACCGGTGGCTCGACTTCCTTCAGGCAACTCCAGAGATGCCCCGAGAACACTGTCCCAAGTCTAGAGGACCACCAACTTCAGCACAGCAACTCGAGGAATGCTCTGTGTACCCCAAATCGTCTCGAGATGAGAGCTGATTCACTGGCTTAGGCTCAAGACGTATGCCAACTTTCCAGAAGCACCTCAGGAGGAGGCTTCTCTCAGCAATAGGTATGTGGGAGGGACCCCGAGTTTGCTGCCTCAGGGGAATATACAGCGAGAAGCCCTAACTTGAAAGGAGGCCGGATTTCCTTGCAGTGGCTTGAATACAGGCTCGTCTTTCATCTCACAACATGAAGGGATGTCTGAATCCCCTGTGGAGACCTTAGAGAAAGCCCTAGGTCCCTGCCTCATTTTGACGGAATGCCTCACATCCCGCTGACACCTCGAGAGGCACGCGGAGTTCATTGCTTCAAAAGGTGACGATGCCTGACTCCTCTTGAATAATGATAGGAATCCCAAAATCCCTGTGGCTACTGGAAAGGGTCCTTGGGTGCCCTGCCTCACCTCGAGAAGCGTCCCTTTTGCCCTGCCAAGACTCGAAGAGATTCCTGAGGTGTCCCTCGTTACTAGACAGGAGTCCTGACCTCACTGAAGAAAGTCGTGTTTTGAAGGGCCATCCCTGCCGTAAGTCGAGAACATACCGCAGGTCCCCGCCGCAACTCGAGAAAAACCATGAGACTTCCCCCTAGAGGCGAGATGAGGCCCCATTCCCCTGCAGTGCATGCAGAGCTATTCCGTGATCCCATTCAAACAAGTCAGGAGCTTCGACTTGCTTAATGGATCTCGAGACAGTCCCCAAGAACACTGTCACCAGTCTAGACGGACCCTGAGGTCACCCCAGCAACGCAAAGCTGCTCCATGTGCCCCAAATCAACTCGAGATGAGGCCCGATTCCCCTGCATTGACTCCAGAGCCATTCCTTGTTCCCCATTCAACACGACCGGTGGCTCGACTTCCTTCAGGCAACTCCAGAGATGCCCCGAGAACACTGTCCCAAGTCTAGAGGAACACCAACTTCAGCACAGCAACTCGAGGAATGCTCTGTGTACCCCAAATCGTCTCGAGATGAGAGCTGATTCCCTGGCTTAGGCTCAAGACATATGCCACCTTTCCAGAAGCACGTCAGGAGGAGGCTTCTCTCAGCAATAGGTATGTGGGAGGGACCCCGAGTTTGCTGCCTCAAGGGGAATATACAGCGAGAAGCCCTAACTTGAAAGGAGGCCGGATTTCCTTGCAGTGGCTTGAGTACAGGCTCGTCTTTGATCTGACAACATGAAGGGATGTCTGAATCCCCTGTGGAGACCTTAGAGAAAGCCCTAGGTCCCTGCCTCATTTTGACGGAATGCCTCACATCCCGCTGACACCTCGAGAGGCACACGGAGTTCATTGCTTCAAAAGGTGACGATGCCTGACTCCTCTTGAATACTGATAGGAATCCCAAAATCCCTGTGGCTACTGGAAAGGATCCTTGGGTGCCCTGGCTCACCTCGAGAAGCGTCCCTTTTGCCCTGCCAAGCCTCGAAGAGATTCCTGAGGTGTCCCTCGTTACTAGACAGGAGTCCTGACGTCACGGAAGAAACTCGTGTTTTGAAGGGCCATCCCCGCCGTAAGTCGAGAACATACCGCAGGTCCCCGCCGCAACTCGAGAAAAACCATGAGACTTCCCCCTAGAGGCGAGATGAGGCCCCATTCCCCTGCAGTGCATGCAGAGCTATTCCGTGATCCCATTCAAACAAGTCAGGAGCTTCGACTTGCTTAATGGATCTCGAGGCAGTCCCCAAGAACACTGTCACCAGTCTAGACGGACCCTGAGGTCACCCCAGCAACGCAAAGCAGCTCCAGGTGCCACAAATCAACTCGAGATGAGGCCCGATTCCCCTGCATTGACTCCAGAGCCATTCCCCGTTAACCATTCAACACGACCGGTGGCTCGACTTCCTTCAGGCAACTCCAGAGATGCCCCGAGAACACTGTCCCAAGTCTAGAGGACCACCAACTTCAGCACAGCAACTCGAGGAATGCTCTGTGTACCCCAAATCGTCTCGAGATGAGAGCTGATTCCCTGGCTTAGGCTCAAGACGTATGCCAACTTTCCAGAAGCACCTCAGGAGGAGGCTTCTCTCAGCAATAGGTATGTGGGAGGGACTCCGAGATTGCTGCCTCAAGGGGAATATACAGCGAGAAGCCCTAACTTGAAAGGAGGCCGGATTTCCTTGCAGTGGCTTGAATACAGGCTCGTCTTTCATCTCACAACATGAAGGGATGTCTGAATCCCCTGTGGAGAACTTAGAGAAAGCCCTAGGTCCCTGCCTCATTTTGACGGAATCCTCACATCCCGCTGACACCTCGAGAGGAACGCGGAGTTCATTGCTTCAAAAGGTGACGATGCCTGACTCCTCTTGAATACTTATAGGAATCCCAAAATCCCTGTGGCTACTGGAAATGGTCCTTGGGTGCCCTGGCTCACCTCGAGAAGCGTCCCTTTTGCCCTGCCAAGCCTCGAAGAGATTGCTGAGGTGTCCCTCGTTACTAGACAGGAGTCCTGACGTCACGGAAGAAACTCGTGTTTTGAAGGGCCATCCCCGCCGTAAGTCGAGAACATACCCCAGGTCCCCGCCGCAACTCGAGAAAAACCATGAGACTTCCCCCTAGAGGCGAGATGAGGCCCCATTCCCCTGCAGTGCATGCAGAGCTATTCCGTGATCCCATTCAAACAAGTCAGGAGCTTCGACTTGCTTAATGGATCTCGAGACAGTCCCCAAGAACACTGTCACCAGTCTAGACGGACCCTGAGGTCACCCCAGCAACGCAAAGCTGCTCCATCTGCCCCAAATCAACTCGAGATGAGGCCCGATTCCCCTGCATTGACTCCAGAGCCATTCCCCGTTCCCCATTCAACACGACCGGTGGCTCGCTTTCCTTCAGGCAACTCCAGAGATGCCCCGAGAACACTCTCCCAAGTCTAGAGGAACACCAACTTCAGCACAGCAACTCGAGGAATGCTCTGTGTACCCCAAATCGTCTCGAGATGAGAGCTGATTCCCTGGCTTAGGCTCAAGACATATGCCAACTTTCCAGAAGCACCTCAGGAGGAGGCTTCTCTCAGCAATAGGTATGTGGGAGGGACCCCGAGTTTGCTGCCTCAGGG